GGCTGAACTGCAGGCCATGATGGTCGGAAGGATGGTCTGCGAAGGGAAGGAGGCAGAGCTGTCACCCCCGCCGCCTCCGTTCCACTCCGCCCCACTGACAGTTTCTGCTATTCTTTTCTTCTCGGACTGTCTGTGACGTTCACCGACATATCACACAGTCCCTCTGTCCTGAGTCCATACGGTGGGGAGTCTCGGGTTACGAGTAAGTAGTCGCTGTTCGCCCTAAGGCGCCGGCGGCGCTGTTTGGACCTGGCGCACGCGTCGACTGACTACAGGACTGACTACAGACTCGGTCGTGGCTCAGTCAGGAATAGAAGCACCGTCAGTGTCACTCTAGACTGTGCCCAGGAGAATCGCAAAGAATCATGACAGCGAATAGACAGGCTGGTCCAAGCAGCCTCCGTGCTCCTAGGCGCCAGCAGATGAGTATCGTGCTCCTTGTGGTGCATACCACGAAAGACTGGCCAGTTGTACATACGCACATTTCTGGATGATGATTCATCTCGGCAGTTGCTTTCTGATATGTCGGCTGATGACGATCATCTAACCGAGAGGTTGCGTGCTCCAGGTGCGTGAAGAGGCGGGAAGGAGTACAGAAGGCTTCGGAGCGTGCGTGTGGATCACGACTCGGATTCATCTCGTCTCTGAGCATGCACGACTCAGTGGGTGAAGTGGACGAGGTGCAATTACAGTTCTCCTCCAACGTTAGCTCACCGCCTTCTCAGACCGCCGTTTGCAATGTCAAAGTCGGTGTCAGGGCCCCAGACGTCAGTTCTGGCATTGGCTGTGGGATGCTATGCTGCCGTGGCCACACAACTCACCAAACGTTCGTTCTTTGGTGCAAGCTACACCTCGAAACTACTCAGTCACCTGCCTAACGGATCTACCGGGTAGATCGGAACATGGCAATGATGCCGCGGCGGGATCGATAGCCATTGCCACGATTTCGGCAGTTGCGAGGAGCACGAAGCTGTCGGTCTGACTGAATCATGGAGAGCAGGACAGGGACGCATGTACCTCCGCCGGCAGCTGTCAAACGGTCGACTCCCTATATGCACCGTGCCCACCTCACCATGCCGAAGCTTACTCAAGAACTGACTACGATCGAAGCCGAGCTTCGGTAGCTGAGTTAAATTCGCAGTTCCTCGGCAGTTGGCTTCGAGACGTGCATGCGCGTGATTGACAATGATTGACAAACGGTCGTGGGCGATCATCGCGAACGTGCGATTCAGGCCACTGGGAAGGGTATGGCGGGGGTGGGGGGCCCCAAGAGGGCCCCAAGAGGGCCCCAAGAGGGCAAGGAAAGAGGGCATGTGGAAAGGACCGTCTGGTGGTTAGGGCGCGCGCACGCACATGATGCAGTGGCATGTGCGATACCTCTCCTCTCGTCTGTTCTTTTCGACTACTACTCGCACGCACGTCTCTCTCTCTCCCCTGGTTTTTCTTTTTTTTTTCCTTCATGAAGCCTGAGCACACGGGACAAGAGCGGTCAGGGCGTCAGGAGTGTGCTGGGAATCACGGTGTCGGGGAAGGGGGAAGAGATGGTCCGACCGTCAGGCTTGTTTTTGTTGTTTGTTTAGACGTGCCCGGTCCGCCTTACTTTGATGATGGCCTGGCAGGCATGCTCCCGCCTTGCTACGCTCGCCTTACAAACGCTTTGTCGCAGCCGCTAACTGCTGCCCCCATCACCACCTCCGCAGGCCCCGCTTCGCTTCGGTTCCGCCTTGAGTGCGCCTGGTCTACCCTTTTTTTTGCACGTGCCATGACTGCGATGCTGCGCCTCCCCTTATTCGTCACACGGACTGCCGATGCGGGACGCCTGGTGGTCCCTTGGAAAGTATTGGATGAGGGGGAGGGGGGGGGGGATGGAAGGGAGCATGAGTCGTTGCAAGTGACGTTTCGGCTTTGGCCGGGAGAACGCGGCAGTTTTTGGATGCGCCAGACAGGGGGGATGCAATCGGGTGGTGGCAGGTGGGTGGGGAAAAACGCTGGACGATTTTCAGCACCACCGACCGCGAAAAACATGCCCGGCAACGGGAGATAATTGAAGCGCGCAGCAGGCAGCGTGATTGCGTGACACACTACTGATGATGATCATGAGTCGGTGTACTACTACTCATCTGGTTGTTTTTTTTTTCTTTGGTATTTTTCTTTCTGGTAACAAACCAATTATCGAAACACATGGCTGGAGCGACTACGACTCCGGGTGGTGCGGATGCGGGCGCTATCGATGCTGGTCTAGATTCAACGTCTGCATGTAGTGCACCTGCAGGATGGGGCACGGGGTCAGGGGAGTGATGAGGCATGTGCGTCTTTCTTCAGGTCAATGTGGTGAGGTGCGCAGACATCACGGACTTTGCTTTTTTTCGTTGGTGTCAGGTTCGTGATTTCGGGGGGGCGTGTGGTGATGGTCGTGCTTTGATCTTAGTGTTGAAGCTTAGGCTTTCTTCCTTTTATTTTTTCTTATTTCCGTTATAACCAGACTATTGGTCGCTATTTTTGGCCTCTCGAGAGGAGACAGACTCTCTTGCCCGCCTGCAAGAGGTGTAGGTCCGCTGCATGGGTGGATGGGCTTGGCGTTCTTGGTTTCTGTGGTGAGTTCTCAGATCAGTCCGGGCCGAATTTGGTCTCGAGATACCCGTTAGTAGCGTGACGAAGGAGTTTGGCTCGTCGATCTCTCTCTGTGTAAACTCCATGCAAATTCGGACCGTAATCCCGAGAAGATCAAGTTTGAGATATGGAGTAATGATTGACGTGATGTTTCAAGGTCGTCGATGTTCTCTTGCCCTTGCTTCTTACCACCTTCGCATGTGTTCAGCGTTGAAACATGGGGTCACATCGTCACACCGACATGGCGATCAAGATGAGACAATGTGTGGGGCACCGTTTTATTGAATGGCCTCACAATCTGTTGGTCTCCCTTGTGGGCGTGAAGTGTGGGCCATACTTGCCAAGTGCTTCATCTCGTCTCAATTTCTCCGCCAAAACCTATCACGCATGACCTTCAAAAAAAAATACTTCCGTGGATCCGTGGATCAACTCACTGTGCACTGCCGTCTTAACGGAATGTGATTTTAAGTGAAAGTCTAGGCTTCCGGAGCCCGCAAAAGCTTTCTAAGCAGCATAACAATTTTGTATGCGACGCGGTTTATTCATCTCAAAAGTATGGATAATAGTTTTTCAGTCCGTTCAACTTTCTATAAGGGCTACCTTTCGAGACACCTCGCGGCGAATCTCATTGCATCAGGACGTGGAATGGTACATAAAAATTCGTACTCCATGAGTGACTGGGAGGTCGCTCTTGCATCTTGGGCTCACAGGAGGACTCTGTGCTATACGTTAATATTAAGACTGTCATTAACGAAGTATAGATCAATTGTTAGGAAAGGCTGAAAAGCTTTTACATACGTATACTATGAGCTCGCTTGATGCAGACTCTCCCCGCACACTGGAGGTACTGTCTGCAAAGATTATAGTAACTGTAATGATAATATTTTCTAATGTCTTCATACTTTTAATAGCTCGGTATCAATTCACATGAGCCAGCTATGCTAATATGTTTATCTGTGGACACTCGAATATGACCATCTTTTTTCCGTTAATAGTATAGCATGAGCATACAAAGCAAGGTCTAAATCAACCTACCCAATAACTAGGGACTCACTGCCACTTCTATTCCCCGTCTAATTGCATAAGAAGTAGAGGAAGAGGCGAGAACATAGTTACCGGATTACCCGAAATTTTTACTTTCACACCAATGTCGATGAGCTCTTGAGAAAAGGGACAGCCACCAGCCTTATAATCGGTGCCGAAAGGAATTGATCAACGGCGATTCTTTGTGTAGGTAGTCGAAGCAGATATCCCAGCGTAGATGTAGGTTCCAAACAGCCTTTCATCATGAGCAGGTAAAGCAGACATCCGGATGCAGATGCAAGTATGCAAACTGCGCAAATGCATCTAGATATCGGATTTCGCTGCCCACGCAGGTGGGTCAGTTTCCTTCTGCACCCCACTGCGGCCTTGCGCTCTTCAAACCCGTCACTCTCGACCAGCCGACACCGGCAACCAATTCGACCACCCCAACCAATCACCGCACACCACCTCTCCAACCCTCACCAAACCCTCGAAAAAAAAAAAAAAGCCCAAACACTCCCAATAGCCGGTCACACACAACGCATACTAGAAGAACACCGCACTCCTCACCACTGGCCGCCTCACCAATCCTCCGCGCACCCAGCACTGCCACGTAGTCGAGAAATTTCTTTCTCTCCGCTTCCCGCCCCCCCTTTCCCTCCGCCAGTCGATAACCAGGGACGAGGACAACACCAGGCAGCCACCACTACCGCCATCTTTTGCTGCCCACCGCTGCCAACACACACTGACCCGCGAACGGGCTTCGCTTCGACCGGCGCCCCGTCGCCAGCGAACAGTGCGCACCCGGAGAATTGCTTCAGACGTTCGAACTTGCGGTGACCAAGCCTATCACGATGGCTCTAATAAGTGGGTGTGAGGAGAGAATGCCATATGCTGGTTTGTGCGGGCCGAAAGAAAAAAGGGTACAGGAAAAAAAAAGACCGGTAATCATCCCGTGCGGTCGACGTTAATGCAGCATTACAATGGCTGGCGGCGCCGGGACGTGACCCTACTTTGGGACGTCCGTGAGTAGGTAGCAGTTAGTATAGTAAGTAGTGGTGACGGCGGGACCAGGTTGCAAGCTCCGCGCTACAGCCGGCGCCGGCGATGCGCGGCGCTATGTGGCCGACCACACACCAACAAAGCTCGAAGGAAGAACGGTAGGTCAGGTGTAAGGGTCCCGGATTTTTTCTACGAACGGGTTGATTTTTCCTTCTTGACCGCCATTCCTTTCCATGCTAGCTTCTGGGAATATGAGCACGCATCTAGCTTGTTATGAGTCCGCCTCTACCGACACCCCACAGCCAGCCAGCCTCTTTCTTGCAGCGGTGCTGCGGGATTTTTTTTTTTTTTTTGCTTCCCCCCCTTCAGACCTCCTCCCCGAACGGGTAGTTAAACTTCAGCAGCCCGTTCAATCCGCCCACCCAGTGATCCTCCCCTCTGGTCATGCCGCCATTCGTGCCCCTCACGATGCTCGGCACGCCGCCGAGAAGCGGCGTCCCCTTCTCACCCCTACCTATCCCACGTAGGCCGACGTCCTCGCCGGTGATGCGCACCTCGCCGCCGCGGCCGAGTGGCTCCTCGAGGCGCATGCCGTCGATGCTGACGTCGACGCCGTCGGACCGGTTGCTCTCGGCCACGCGCAGGGTGATCTCGGCGTTGGCGGGGAGGACGAGCGGGCGGAAGGAGAGGCTGCGCGGCGATATGGGGGTCAGGATGAGGGATGGAACGAGCGGGTGCACGATGCAGCCGCCGGATGATAGTGAGTACGCGGTGCTGCCCGTGGGGCTGGCGACGATGAGCCCGTCCGCGATGGCGTCCGTTAGGTGCCGGCCGTTGACGGTGATGCCGATTACGGTCAGGTGAGGGTTGCGGCCGCGGTGCAGGATTATCTCGTTCAGGGCGTAGAGCGGCGACGGGGGAAGTTTGGTGTTGCCGCGAGCGAGGGTCTGGGCTGTCGCTAGAGATGGGTGCTTGCCCGTCAAGAGGGGCTTCTTGTGTGCAGGGCCAGATGCGGACGAAGAAGCCCCTGTGGATACGAGTCTTGCAGGAGTGTGTACCGACACCTTGAGACGGTGACGGAGGAGGATGCGGGCGTGCCGATGTGTGCCCATAAATTTGCCCCGAAGAGAAGCCCACGGATCGTCAGCGATGCGAACGATATCTTCAGTCCCCGTGGATGAGACCGGGTCGAGCGTCTGCTCCGCGGCGGCGCTGGCGCCAGACATGAAGACCTCTCTGAAGGCGCGCTTGTACTCGGCGAACTTCCACTCTCCCAAGAATCCAAGCGTTCCCATGCTGAAAGCGAGAATGGGCGGTACTTGCTTGGCGTTTGCGTACAGACTTGCGGCGTGGAGGATTGTTCCATCTCCACCCAACGTGGTTATGAGATCGACACTGCCATGGAGCACCTGCTCCGCTTCGCGTTTCTGGAGTGGCAGTGCATAGACAGTCGACGGAAGTCTGTCATGGATCGCATGCGCGACGTTGGGCTCGAATAGCAGATTCACGTCGGGATATGTTGTCTGAATGTGATACGCCAGTTCTACGAGTGACTCGGTGACGTGAGGCGCGTCTTCCTTCTTCATGAGCAGCACGGTGCGCAGAGGAGAATGCCAATGGAGGCCGAGGAGGTCATTCTGGCGGGTTGCTGGATGCAGTCAGCGCCAGAGCTCTGGTTGGCGGGTTCCGAAGAGGGACGGGAGAGTTCTCGAGGGCGGGTAAGGATGCTGAGCTCACCATGTGCGTATAACGCCTATCGCTGCTCACCTTGGTATACGGGAGGGTTGCGCTCGGGCAGCTCGGCAGCTTGCGGCAGCTCGCTGACCTGCCGGTGACGGACGGCGCACGAGAAGGCCCTTCGCGGCGGGGCGGAGCGGAAGCGCAGCGGGAATCGCGGCGGCATTGTGAGGGCTACCTATGGCATGGCGACGGTGGTGGTGAGCGGCGAGATGTGAGATGTCGCCCAGCGCTGATGTCAAGGTGGCCCATGCTCCCGCGCTCCACGATGCTCGACGAACCGCACATCCGCGTCCCACATCGTTTGCTGGACCCTCGCAACTTGCCGGGCCCGTCACCACGCGCCTCACCGCATTCGTGGACGCCCGTCTGCAGCCCTCTTCTCGGCCCTTCTCACCTCCCAGCTTCCTCCCGCCATGCCTCTTGCCAGGCAACCTCTCCGACCACGCTGACCCTGACCCCCACCGGCTGCTGCCTCGCTCCTGCCCACGGCGTCGCGTGCTCATCCGCCACAATCCCGCCTGCCGCCCACGCCTCCGCCTCCGCCTCGCCGCGACTGTTCCCGCGACGCCTAAACAAGGCATTCACCACCAGTCTCTCCCCTCCTCCACGCACCTCGAGCTCGCCGCCATGGACTCCGACGGCCTGAAGCAGAGGCATAATGCTGCCACGCAGCCCATACCGCCCGAGGAGCTGCACACACACGGCGCAGATACTGGCAAGATTGTACACCCGGCAGGCCCAGTCAAACACGGCGGGCCAAAACAAGCTCTGCGCATGTTCCTGTTCGGCGTGTACTTCTTGGGCAGCTGCGTGTGGTAAGAGACTTTCTCATCTTTTCCTACTTTACTAAGGGAATAGTGCCTCATTCGGTCTTAGTATCAACGTATCCCAGTTTATCGGCGCCCCGCTATACTTCTGCAGCAAGGACTGGTACTATGCCTGGATGGCCGTCACCAAACAGCACTTCGGCTTGCTCATCACCACCATGACCCAGTGGTGGTCGCCGACCGTTGTGAGAGTCAGTGGCGATGAGAGCGTGCGCGGTCAGCTCAGGCAGACTGAAGACGGCCGTTTGGAGTGCGACTTTCCCGACCGCATGCTTCTGATTGCGAACCATCAGGTGCGCCTCATATCCTGCCACTGCCGAGGAACACATCACTGACGGGGAACAACAGATTTACACGGATTGGCTATACTTGTGGTGGATTGCCTACACCTCGCGCATGCATGGCCACCTGTACATCATTCTTAAGGAATCGCTCAAGTACATCCCCCTCATCGGCACCGGCATGCAGTTCTTCAGCTTCATCTTCCTCTCGCGCAAATGGGCGACAGACAAACCCCGCTTTCAACATCGCTTGCAGAAGCTTAACGCTCGCCACAAAGGCCCCATGTCAGGCGAGCATGACCTGGATCCAATGTGGCTCCTCATCTTTCCCGAAGGCACCAACCTGTCCACGAATGGCCGCGAATCAAGCGAGCGCTGGGCGAAGAAGAGCGGTCAGCCCGACCTGAGACATGCGCTCTTGCCGAGGAGCACTGGGCTGTTCTTCTGCTTGCAGGAAATGAGCGAGACTACAGAGTGGGTCTACGACTGCACTATGGCATACGAGGGCGTTCCGTAAGTTCCGATATGCTTGCCAGAGATGTCTCTTCCTTACAATCAATAGGCGAGGTCAATACGGCCAAGATCTATTCACCTTGAAGTCCACCTACTTCGAAGGCCGGCCCCCGCGGTCAGTCAACCTTCACTGGCGCCGCTTTGCCGTCAAGGACATCCCAGTATCGTCACAGACCGAATTCGAGCAATGGGTCCTGCAGCGTTGGCGCGAAAAGGATGATCTGCTTGAAACCTACCTGCAGACGGGCCGCTTCCCTTGCGATACCGAGGGCATACGTTACGAGGTACCAGGCCGACGTCTCAATGGCATGCCGATGCTCGACAAGACCAAGACGATTGAGGAAGGCAAAGGCTACATCGAGACCGAGGTTCGACCGAAGAGCCCGGTTGAGTTCCTACAAATTTTTATCCCCGGGGCTACGTTATTGCTGGTGGGCAACGTCGTGTTCAAAACGCTAAAGCTGGTGAAATTGGTTGCCGGCGGTGCGTAGGTGGTTCTTTTTTCACATGTCAATACTTTTGGCCCACCCATCCTCACCTCATACATCACCTCATCCGATACGATCCGGATGTATCCACATTATTTTTCCCGAGGCATTCGTGATCAGCCGATCACCGATTGCCGAAGGCCACAGTGGACGGTCCTTCGGTGAAGCCGAGGATGGTACGAATACGCATGGGTCATGACTGTACGAAGTTTGGCTGGGTTTAATGTTTTCCATTATTGCATTCCTAATACTTCTTGCCTTTCTGTTTTTGCGAATGGGACATCCGCGTCATACCCAGGTCTGCTTCATTGGTGTAGTAGGATGCTTCTTTGGGTCAGCGGTTGGATAGAAGATGACACTTGTTAGACATTCCTGACGGATCGTCTCCTGGGGCTATACATAGGCTGAAATTCACCGGCGTACACTAGACGAGTTGTAACAGGAGGCGGGGCCTTTGTTAAGACTATGCCGCGAGGCTGCTATGCCGTACCAGGCACAATGAATACCGTCATTAGAAGAATGAGCGTACTTTGATCATAAAATAGGGGGAGAGGGAAAAGCCATAACACTTCTCATTACCTCTCATCTCCTCCCATTCCACACTAACCCTCTCTTACCTTCTCAAGCACCATCACCACCACCACCATCCCTCTCTCCCTCATCCAACCCCGGCGCAAACCTGAGCAGCATCTCGGCTGTCTTATACCCCTCTCTCGCGCGAGCGTGACGTCCGCCGGGACATCCGGACGGAGGAGGAACGTACCACGAGGGCGGCGGCCTGGCTGTCGGGTATTTTTTTTGGTTCATCTTAGTGGTGGCAGGTCAGGCGGGAAGGAGAATGGAGGAGCGGGGAGGCGGGGTTTGATTTTGATTGGGTTGGGTTCGGGTGTGAAGAAGAGGTGAAAAAGGGAGGGAGGACGTACATACATCCCATACGCGATCACCGCGACGACGGGTTCCTCGTGGAAGGCGATGCTGCCGATATTGTGCAAGGCGATTGCGTCCCAGATCTGCTGCGTCTTGCGGTCTTCGTACCCGCGCACATTCCCTTCTCCCCGATCACCACCACCACTGCTACCAGCATCAATCATTTCCCCCCCCCACCCACCCATCCCCACCATCATCACGACCCCATCTCACCGGCGCCTTCCCCCCTGAAAAGCTCCACCGCCGCATCCGTCCCATCCACCTCAAACCACATATCCGCGTTCACGCACTCGCCCCAACCAAGATCGTGCGGAATGCACCCCAGCGCGACGACTTTTTGGTCGATCTTCTGGTGTTCGAGCGCCGGATGTGACTGGATGAGTGCGGCGAATAACCAAAATCGTACCACGTAGTTATATGTGAAGGAACCCAGAGAGTGCTGCTAGGCGTGCTGCAGGGCACTGGCAGCGTGGACGAGGGGGTCGTGGTGGGGTAGAGGGAGGGGGTGGTGGCGGATGTGGGCGTTGTGGGTGGTGGTTTTGTTTGCGGGTGGTGGCTTGAAAGGTTGGTGTTTCTGAGGACGGAAATATCTGAGTTGGGTTCTGAGCAGCAATAGTGCTATGCTGCATTGGAAGTGGTGCGGAGCTAGCTCACTGATATATTGCTGTTGTTGCTGGTTGCTGCTTCCGTTTCATTGTGCTGTTGAAGTGAGGTTTGAGCTGGCTCTTTATGCTCCGCCGCTACGATGCGGGGAACATTTAGAATTATGACCCTGTGTGTTTATAGACTTATAGACAGAGATGGTGATGTCCTTAGTCCCGAAATGCTAATTACTATTTAGTTTGAGATCTAGCAAAACAAGCTCGGGTTGGTGTTTAGGACAACAGCGGTGAGCCAACGATTCCGAGAGAGTAGCACAAGGAACCACTCACTTTCCAATACCCACAGTTCCATGCTCCGGGGACTTTGCTCGTGATTGCAGCAAAGGCATGCATTCGAATAAAACAGTTCCTTAAGGCACCATGTATTACTGGACCCTTCATCAAATGTAAATACGACCGAAAGCAAATCGCCATCACTCTAAACCCCTTCCCTACCATCAACCCTCCACTGTACACTGAGACACCTCTTTACGTGCAGTCACTGAACATTCACCACCCTCTCTCTAAGCCAGCTATGCGCAGATAATGGGGCTTCTTCCTCCCATTCATTCATCCATACGTCTATCCACGCATGAAGGCTTCACCCAAAAGCTCAAAAGGAACAAAGAAGATCCCGAGCAAGGAAGAGGAAATTGAACATCCAGACCGAACATCAAGACCAGAGATAAAACACTAGAAAGTAGTATTGCATTGAGAACGATTAGACACAGAAAAGAAGACAACGAAAAAAAGAAATAGCAGAATACGTATGCACACGGAAGAGGCAGAGAAAAGAAGAAAAAAACTAGAGAGCCCAACGGATTAAGAAAGGAAAAAGCGATGCAGGCCAAACGACGAGTTGCGTGAAACAAGGTCCAAGCCATGCTGAGAAAGCAGAAAACCACCCAAAAACAGAGTACTCGAAATAACACCAATTGCTTTCTCTAATACGAATAAGCACCGGTGGTATCCCCCCTTTTCCGCTGGATGATTCCATTCCTTAATGATTTTTTTTTTCCATTGCTTGTTTGTTTCTTACCGTATTCGCCATTGTTTTTCCCCCGCTCCGTGAGGAGAACCGTGATGATCCCTTCGTCCGAGCAGTAATAACCCAATTCTCCTTGTCCACAGCTTTCACTGCCCCATGTTACCCCAGCCCAGCTCCGGAATCGCCCTTCCGACTTCTATACTTATTTGTACAGATACCCCTTTTCACCTCGCAGTCGTATTCACGTATCAAGTCATCCCCCGTCCTTATTGACTACTCTCCCCATCCATCAACCTCCTCCCCTCACTCGCCTTCTTCGCCTCGCGCTCCAGCACGTCCAAATCGCCGCTCATCTCGCACATTCCGCGGAAGATGCCCTTCTTCTGCTGCATCAGCTCCCACGGGTCTCCAAACTCAATCACCTCACCCTTGTCCAGAACCAGGACCTTGTCGTAGTCGACAATGGTCTGCAGACGATGCGCGATCGTGATGGTCGTGTTGCGGATCTCGCGGATCGTCTCCTGGATCTTGCTGTCGGTCGCGTAGTCGATCGACGCCGTCGCTTCGTCCATCAGCAGCACCTTCGGGGCCTTGAGCAGCGCCCGCGCCAGGCAGAGCAGCTGCCGCTGCCCCTGAGACAGATTGCTGCCCGACTCCGACACGGTCGAGTTGAGGTTGCGGAAGATGTTCTTGTTCTCGAGCGTCTCGGACGACGGCGTGCCGGGGTTCGAGGCTTCGGAGGCGTTGATCGTGGCGCTCTTGACTGCGGCAACTGCCGACCTCAACTGATCTTTTTTGTCGTTCGGTCCGTTCTTTTTGGACTTGACGCCGTTGGACGACCCGACTGGCGATGGCGGTCTCGTCGTCTGTGCGGAGGTTGCTGCGGACCCGACGAGCTGGACGCGACGAAGCGCGGTAAAGATCTCCTCGTCAGTGAAGAGGCCAAAGGGATCGAGATTGCTGCGGATTGTTCCGCTGAACAATGTCGGATCTAGCGGCTCGTTAGTCTCGTTGCAGCGGAATGCATCGTGGAGAACGTGAAGAAATCTTACCTTGCGGAACCATAACAATGTTCTCCCGCAGATCCTGCAATCCGATCATGCCAATATCGACGTTGTCAACCAGGATTTTGCCCTCCTCTGCTTCTAATGCGCGGAACAATGCAAGAGCAAGAGAACTCTTGCCAGCACCTGTCCGGCCCACAACGCCAACCTTTTCGCCGGGCAGGATCTTGAACGTGATGCCTTTGAGGACATAGTCGAAGTCTTTGCGATACCTCGTACTGTAGGCAATGAATTCAACTGATCCCTGACTGGGCCAGTTAGCGGGCGGCCGGTTGTCCTCAACAATCGGAGGCGACTCCTGCTCAACATCAAGGTACTCCTTGATCCGCTCCACAGAGTTCATGTTCTGCTCATTGGCCGCATAAAGCCGCACAAACCAGAGCACGTTGTCAGTGAAGGTGACCGCATAAGTCATTGCCAGTCCTGCTGCACCAGCGTCCAAACGGCCGATGCTGAGGAGGATGAATGCACCCGAGAAGAACGAAACCATGGAGCCCACCACGTCAACGCGGAATGCAAGCCATCTGTTGGCTGCCCACAGGTAGATGAAGGGCCGGTTGTGGCTGTTTACGCGGTTCAAATTCTCGCGGATGAAGCGACGTTCGTCACCGTATGCACGGATAGTTGTCATGCCAGACAGAGTCTCTCCAAATTGCTGGTAAAGTGGACTGCGCTGTACAGACTCCAGACGCTTCAAGTCGCGGGAGGCGTTGATGTAGAACATGCCGATGAGGAAGAACAGACCACTGATGAAGATACCAGCGATCAAGAATTGGGGGATGATGACGGAGATGAGGACGACGACGGTTATGATGGAAGCCAAACAGTGGACAACACCAATTGCGACTGGGGCGATTTCCTGGTCGATAGATTCGATATCCTTGGAAAAGCGGTTCATGAGCTGGCCTAGAGGTGTGGAGTCGAAGAAACGGAACTTGGCGTGCATGACCGCATTGACAAGGCGTTGATGGATTCTCCTAGACGCGCCAAGGGAACCCCAGAACAGAACGGCTTCTCTGCTGAGTGTGATGATCATGAAAAGCACCCCGAGGACCGCATAAACACCCAGATAGTACCCAGCGTCAACGTTAGAGTTGTTGTTCGAGACGATGGACACTTGAAGGTCGTCGTGGAAGTTGCTGTGGTCTGCTTGCGAGGAGAACCAGGGAACAGGCCAGATGCAGCTTCCGCTAGTCAAGCATGAGCCGAGACCGGTAACGATGTTGGTGTGCGTAACGTGGCTGGTCTGTTTATGGACGCCGAAGATGCTGACCTGCTTGTCGTTGTATGCGTTGGCCCACTGCCGAATCCAAATATTCGTCGCAACGGAGGAGAGCTGCTGAGCGGCGAAAGCAAAAAAGGCGGCAACCCAGTACCACCAACGACCCATTGACCTGAGATACATGAAGATGATGCCCATTTTGACTCCTCCGACTGCCTTGGTCTCTTCTTGGGATTCTGTCAGCTTGCCATCCTTGATGCCACTGACATGGCCGTTGGAACTGCCATTTGCATGTCCGTTCTCCCCGATAGCTTCTTCACCTCCAACATCGGAGGGGACGCGGGAAGCCACTCGAGAAGGAGCGCGAGAGACAGGGCGAGACTTCGAAAGGTCTTCGCTAAGCCTTCCAGAGTCGATGAGCTCATTAGGCGTGCCTTGAACAGCGACCCTTCCGTTGTCGAGAAGAACTGCAAATTCGGAATGGGGTAAGCAAAGTTGAACGTTATGCGTGACCAAGATGCAAGTCCTGTTATACATAAGGGGGCCCAGAAGCGCCTGATCGAAAATCCACTTGGCAGTATGCGAGTCAACCGCGCTGAGCACGTCGTCCAGCAGAACGTGGCGAGCTTTGCTGTAAAGTGCACGAGCAAGAGAGATTCGCTGCTTCTGGCCACCGGAGAGCGTGACGCCCTTCTCACCGACCAAGGTTTGGTCACCTCCATCGAGGATTTCCAGATCTCTCTGCAGTGAGCAAGCCACAATGACATCCTTGTAGCGCTTGGGGTCGAACGGGCTGTTAAAAATGATGTTGTCCTTGATGGTACCGTTCATCAACCAGGCTTGCTGCGCGCAGTAAGCGACGCTTTCGGTAAGATTAGTGTCTGGATCGGGAGACATATCCTCGCGGCAGCGTCCGCCAGGAAGGTAGACCTTGCCTTGGACAAGCGTCATCTCGCCCAGGAGAGCCATGAGCATAGATGTCTTGCCGCATCCAGTGGAGCCCACAATGACGCTGAGCTGTCCGACAGGGAAGCGTACATCCAGGTCCAGCATCTTGAATGCATCATCTAGCTCACCGTTGGCGGATTCTCCATTGCCCCAGCTGAAGGTACCGTGCTCGAAACCAATGAGGGGGTCATCATTCTCATCAAACTCCTCGCTCTTAAGCTGCTTGTACTTGTCCGTCTCGGGCTCATTCAGATACTCTTCAATACGATCGACCGACACCTTGGATTCCTGGACGTGGGCGACCATGTCGGCAAGCTGGTCAAGTGGAATGCGGAGAAGTTGGAACAGCGAGAGCGCAGTGAAGGCGACGGATGGGACCAAATCTTTCTTCTCGATAATCGTATAGAAGAAGAAGGAGAGGAAAGTGATGATGACTGGGGCACCAGACCAGACGGTTGCCGCAGCAGCCCACCATTGGTACCGGCGACGGAGATTGGCGAGTTCAGCGGCACGCTTTTCGTTGACTTGTGCCATGAAGCGTTGCTCCCACGCGAAGTACTTGATGATCCGAATGTTGGTAAGAATCTCATTGGTCGTGTGGATGCGGGCGTCGGTGGCTGCAAGAATCTGCTTCTGGATAGCGGCAAAGCGTTTGGAAATGAGCATGTTGATAGGGAGAAGGAATATCATCATGCCAATTCCGGCGACAGAGCTAAGACCCAGGATGCGGTACAGGAGCCCGACCGACACCACCACTTGGACGGGAGTGTTGGCCCACAGGAAATGGAGGTAAGCGGAGATTTCAGCAACCTTGAAAGAGTCCACCGCCATCAAGTTGATGATGGCTCCAGAGCTGACCTGTGAGTCCGTACCACCAGTTGTAACCGCCGCGCTCGTGACCTTCGATGCCTCCGGCCTGGCCTTCTTGCGACGGAAAGACATTACCCTCTTGAAGCGTTCCCGCTTCGACTCTGACCACTCTGGCTTTTTCTCGCCCAGAACCTTGTCTCCAGAAGAGGCGGCCCTACGCTTTAGAGCCTTGGCATAGATTTCTCCAATGATGATAGCTCGAAGACGGATACAGATCTTGCGTCCAATCCACAGCGCCTGGCCGTCGGCGAGAGCGGAGGTGATGCCTGATAGGAAAAGCAGAATGACGTAGAACCAAGCAGCATTGCGGGGCGTCGCAGAAGGGTTCTCAACGTACTCTAGAATGAGCTTGAGGAGTATCGTAGGAACAAAAAGGAAAAAACCCGAGCACGCGGCCCACGCTCCTTGGATCAAGAGCTCATAGCGGAAGTAACGCAGCAGGTGCCATGACAGCGCCTGGGTCTTCCTGAATTGCCTGTACTGCGCGAGAATAGCATTGGCCTTGTCCTTCGGAGCCAGGTTCCAGACATCGGCCATCTCGAACGTTTTCTTGTACCCTTGCCATACAATGCCGTCAACCCATCCGAAAGTGACGAGAGATAGGACACTGGCGGTCTGCTCCTTGGAGGGTTTAATGTGGCCTTCATACTCCAGCTCCACAGGGCGGTTGCCCTTGCGCGAAGTCAGTGCAATGACGGCCAGTAACGTTGTGAGAGCGAAATCCGCGATGGTGAGGTTTTGCCCAAGCCTGGACTTCGGATGGATGATAGCCGAGCGGAAGAGAAGGATCTCGAAGAGCCAGAGGAAGCAGTAGAGCGAGGCGGTGTGGAACCAGAGCCTGGGAAAGGATAGCCGTTTCGCATTGGAAAACAGCAGTCTCGCAGAGGCCAGGACCGTGATGTATGCCCAGACCGCAACTCCCGAGACCCTCGACACAAGCGTTCCCTTGCCTTCAATCAGAGCCGCCACATGTATAGCCAATTCGCCGAGCACCGCCAGTTCCTCGACCACAACCAGAAGCACCTCACCCTTCGGTCTGTCCAGCTCCACGAAAGAGTCGTTTGTCCTCGTCGGGACCAGGGCAAGGTCCGCATTCCGCTCGAGCTCGTCCTCAGTGTCCGACTCGCTGTCCTGGATGAAGGGATTGGTGCCCAGGCTGTGCTGGACAGGGCGGAAGGACCAGACGTTGCACCACGAGTTCAGGGAGTGATATGCCGTGTAGTATTTGGACTGCTGCCATGCGCGGTAGAGCTGCAGCAAGAGGTACAGGAAGGACAGGCCACATATTATCAATGGGAGCAGCGTCTGCAGATAGCTGGAGCGGCGGTTAGCGCAGACGGGCAGGGCACCAAGGGCTCACGTACTCCTGCTCGAAGCACTCGGTAAAGTCATCGGCGCGCCATACTGGGCTTTCGCAGCGGGCGAACATGGTGTCGCTCGGCGGCGGCTTTGATAAAGCGCCAGTAGTGGGGGAAAGCTCAACCACCGCGCCTCGCCTCGTGGTGCGCGGGTTATTCAGATGGCATGGACAGGAGAGGAGTGCTCTCTGGGGATGGGCAGCGGTATGGCGCCGAAGGCGGGTGGAAAGGCGGTCGACGAGGGCGAGGCGGTCGCGGCACGCAAATATAACTAAAGTCCACGACGTCGACGCCGCTAGTCTGTACGTCACCGTGGTTGCCGGGCAGCACAGGCGCGATCCTGCCCTAGCAGGCAGCGGAATCCCGGTCGGCTCTGCTCCCGCAGCGGACAGCGGACAGCGCAGCGAAGCACAGAGGCGCGGCTTTGATTAAATCAGCGATGGTGAGGCTCGCGGGCAGCAGTGGCGGCGCGAGCGGGCGGCGCAGGCAGGCCGCGCGCACGCCTTATCGCCTGCCGGAGTCACGATGCCGTGAATCGCGTGCCCGCTGCACCATGCAAAATCAGCGCACCGCCCGCACCGCCCGCACACCGCAATTCGGCGCCGCCCAGCATCGCTCCGGTTCGCCGTCCCAGCCCGCCGACTCCGCCCGGCGCCGCCTTTGGGTCCGTAGCGCCGTGCCAGGCGCGAGCACAGAGAGGCTACGCAGACGGCGCACCGCAGGCAAAGAGAAACCTCGGCCGCCGTCGAGGTCTACCTTTTACCCCACCTCCCTCACGATCTGACCCCGTTCCGAGAGGCGCGAGCTTGCAGGCATCAATGCACATCATTGGCGCTAGGCGACGCGCATCCCAACCGTCGTGCAGCGCAGTAGTAATCTCGATTCCGCGATCCTCCTTGGGCGCGCCTCCAAAACAAAGACTGCGCGTGCTCGCTGCCAATGCCGCCGCGACGCCCTAGAACCATCTCACACGCGGCCGTTGCTGTTCCTGGCCGGAGGATGGACCCGTGCGCGCCGCCGGCGTTCACACCACACCAGGCGCTCCACGCCTTGTCCGCCGCTGTCGTCAGCCGTTGGGCTCGTTGCACCAGGGCCCATGTAAGGCTAAAATAAAGTGGTTTGACAACAACGCCCACGCCCACGCTACCTGCAGGATCAGCCTAGCTTCCAGCCTAGCTTCCAGCCTGGCCTACGTAGTCTTGCGCTGAAGAAAGCGCACTTCCCCATCGCTAAGGTACCGCAGTGGTCCCGGTCCTCTCTGCCATCCAATCCCTGTCGTCCACCAGTTGTCCACTGTGTACCTTACCCCAGTGGTCGATAGCTTGATGCCTGGAATCCCCCGGCGGTACGGATGCAGGCTACCTGCAGATAGGCGCTGTACACCGCTGCTCTGTGATATTGTACAGGGGCTGATTATTAACTGCTCTCCATGCACTTGCCTGGCTCGCAGGCCGTCTGTTGCGTGGCATTGGACCACCACCGTATTCCTTTTGATGAGGCTGCAGAGACCCGGGCCTGCCAACGCTCGCATGTCCGCGCCAATATCTCCAAGTTACACTCACTGCTCTGTTCCCGAGTGGCTCTAGTTCTAGCGTCGAGGCATCTCAATTCTCTGGAAAATGATGCGTTACGCTTTCATCTGTCCGAGGTTGAGGCGTTGGATCACTTTGCTGGCTTCCAATTCTCGGGATATATGCACCCCGCTTGGCGCATTCTCTCTCTCCCTCTGTGCTCCTTTGCAGTCCCTCAAAACTAAACTTGCGGCATTTCGAAACGCCCCACTGTGGGCTCTTTTAGTGGCGCAAGCAGATTGGTATGCATTGGCGTTATATACACCTCTAGAAGACAACGGAAAGAGACTCTCTGCCATTTACTTGCGCGGCGCAGCAACGGGAGTCCACGCGCTGTACTTGGCTTTGGTGCTAAATTTCCCGTCAGCGATTTTCAACATATTCAGAACAGCCCCACGTACGTGCTGTAAGTCTTGAAACCCGAGCGACTCCAGGTAAGCGTCGGCCTGTGTTCCTTAGGTTCCCACGCGCGGAGCTGCCTCTGCATGATCTTATCCTCGGTCGGGGGCTTGTCCACCATGTACGACATCCAGGCGTGCCTAGAGGGGTCAGTCGAGGGACCAAAACTGAGAGTAAGTTGGCAGCCTACCATCCCGGCTCAATCTGGGACCTGCAACACATCAGCGACAACACCCCACACTTGAAACCGGTTTGGTCCTTACGGGTCGAATTCATGGTCCTTGTAGTCCACCCAGCGCGTCCTCACTGCACGTTCTCAGGTCAATTGTTGTCAGTGCGCGGGCGAGGCACTACTGACGAGGCAATTCCTCCGCAAGGTTCTCGAAGTACTTGTTGCCGTATCTGTCGGTTCCAATGAGAGCACCGGCCTTGGTGTCGCCTGCCGTGGCGTCAGCTCCTACGTCATATCCCTCGAAGCCGCATCGACTGACCAATGTACTATGTCCGCGAAAGATGGCCCGTCAGTCCGGAGCGCGAGCGGAGGTCGGAGGGTGGAGAGCATACCTGCATCTGGTGCCAGGCGTCCTATTCGAGGCATGTTAGTAGCTGGAGGCGGAAGTCGCGGGGCGCATCGCAAACCTTGACGCCCACTCTGCGCAGGTTGCGCAGCGTACGAGTGATGGTCGACATGGTGAGCTGGTGTGGTGGTTCAGGGCACGCGGGTCCGCCGAGGAGCTTCACCAGGACGTTGGTGATGCGGCAGGGCAGCGGGAGTCTTGGCGCCGATTGCATCCAATGCGAGCTAGTGCATTTGTCCGGTCCCACCCCCGGCTCCGAAGACCGCCCGCCGGCCGGCGAGTCATCAACGCGAAACAAACACCATCCTCTCGTGTGCCAAGAAATTTTGCAGCACCCGGCGGTCAGCGCGTTTGCAGCCGGAGGTATAATGTTCGCCCGGTCTGCCATACGGTCCTCCACTTCCAGGATCGCGCTGCCTCTGCGCCGGCCCGTTCCACTGGGTAGAGCTGCCCGGAGATATTCGACGTCTAGCTCAGCGGCACCTGCTTCCCCACCAGCCACTCAATCCGGCGCCCACATGTTGGCCAGCTTGACTTCCGAGCTGGACAGGCTGTCCCCTCGCTTCGAGGTCCAGCCCACCCAGATTGAGATCCTCTCGACCCCTTCTGAGTTCTATGAGGCGCTCAAGGTCAGTTAGTTCTGTGTCTTCCATGCTGTTTGGGCTGCATTCTGTACAGTGATCAGTCTTTGCTCCTTTTCTATGCTATCGTTTACGAGAGAAACATGATGTTATATCCGCTGTATTCATGGTTCTTTCCGATCATTTTCAGCTTCAGCTCCAAAGACTCAAACTAACTATACAGAAGTAGACTAAAATCTCCACCGCCAAGCGGAGAGTATACCTCTCCACTCTCTACATAGGCAAGACCGAGCATGAGCTGGTAAGATGCCTTCCATTATTGACCTGATCAACCAGCTTACCCAAGGGTCCCCTCTGCAGATCTCAGTCATTCGGGACGCTCTTCAACGTAACCCGGACCTCAAGGTATCATTCCTGACGGATGCTCTCCGCGGAACCCGTGAGACGCCCAATCCATCATGTGCATCCCTCCTCGCTCCTCTCGTCGAAGACTTCGGAGCGGGCCGTGTGGAGATTCGCATGTTCCATACGCCAAACCTGTTCGGCGTGCGGAAGAAGCTGCTCCCTCGCCGCATCAACGAAGGATGGGGCCTGCAACACATGAAGCTGTACGGCGTGGACGATGAGTTGATCATGTCCGGGTATGTGACCATCTGTCTTGGCATTATAGAGCCCAGTGGCTGATGGGATATCCAGAGCAAACCTCTCCAACGACTACTTTACGAACCGTCAGGACCGTTACCACGTCTTCTCGTCCGCCGAGATCACCGACTACTTCTTCCGCATCCACTCTGCCATCAGCAACCTCAGCTACCTCATTTCTCCCTCGCCATCCTCTCCGGGCGGCTACACCATGACATGGCCCACCAGCAACGCCGGCCCGTCTCCCCTCGACGACCGCAACACCTTCAAGAAAGCCGCCTCGGACCTCCTCACGCCCCTCATCCGCCCGGCCGCGACGCCGCTCCCCTCCTCGCCCACCTCCACCCTCATCTACCCCCTCCTCCAATTCACCTCCGTCCTGCCGCCCGCCAACGACACCAGCACCGAACTCCCCGCCATGACGTCCCTCCTCACGCACCTCACGCGGCCCGCGCACGCCGGCAGCGCCTGGACCTTCACCGCCGGCTACTTCAACATGACGCCGTGGATGCGCTCCCTCCTGCTCGCCACCGACCCCGTCCGCGGCACCGTCGTCGCCGCCGCGCCGCAGGCCAACGGCTTCTACGGCTCCGCCGGCGTCTCGGGCATGCTGCCCGCCGCGTACACGCTGCTGGCCCGCCGCTTCCTGCAGGCCGTCGCCGCCGTCGATGGACTCGCCCACCGCGTCAGGCTGCTCGAGTGGCGCCGCGGCACCGTCGGCGAGCCCGACGGCTGGACCTACCACGCCAAGGGCTTCTGGGTCACGCTGCCGGGCGAGACCGAGACGGGCAGTGGCGGCAACAAACAGGTCGACGCGTCTTCCCCGTCCTCGTCCTCGCCGACGTCGGAAAGAAGCTCGGAGCAGCAGCAGCAGCAGCAGCAGTCCGGCCCCTCCATCGCCATCATCGGCAGCAGCAACTACACCAAGCGCAGCTACGAGCTCGACCTCGAGGCCGGCGCCATGATTGTGACGCGGGACGTGGACCTGCGCCGGCGGCTGGGCGCCGAGGAGGCGCGCCTGGCCCGCGGCGAGTGGGCGCGCGAGGTCGGCATGGGCGAGTTCGAGCGGACGGAGCGCAGGGTCGGGCTGCACGTGAGGATTGCCATGTGGATCGTTACGATTTTGGGCGGTGCTTTGTAGAGGCTGGATGCCGATTGTACTGTACAAACAGAGGGTAGAGTGTGGCGGAACGTGAGAAGATAAAGTGTACGAGTATTGTTGCACAAGAGAGAGAGGGAGAGAGAGAGAGAGAGAGAGAGAGAGAGAGAGAGAGAGAGAGAAAGGGTACGCGATCAGAGAGAATGGAACGGTAACGTGATGCATTGTCGAGTGTACACTCTTCTCACCCTAGGAGGTATAACGGCGAGATAAGGTATTGCACGAGCCACGTATGTCTAGGTGCTACTACATAACTTCAATCCACATTTACGCCCGTCATAAATCTGCGTGGACTGCTTAGACAGGGCAACCATAGTATACGCTTCGCAATCAGTGGAAAGATAAAGTTTCCTTATATTAGGACTCCGACGGATCGAACTGCGGAGAGATTTTACGGCTGTCAAGTACAACGTACATCCAAGGCGCTTAAAATAGCGTGACGACAGTGAGTTGTTCTCGAGCCCGACGTTGCCCAAAAAAAAGCAAAAAATAAATAAAATGCAGCCGACGCTAAAGACACGACAAACAACAGGTTGGTCCGTTGGGCGAGGGCGACGGACAGGGTGTTGTATACAGAAAACCTATACGGTTATACGCGCAGGCCCAGGACGATGACGTTGAAAATGAGGTTGTTGGGGACTGGGCTTAATGACGTCTTCGACTTTGGGTTAATACTACCTATGTGCGGCTGCCCTATTCAACATTCTGCAACTATGGTTCATGAACGTAGGTAATCCACGGCGACTCACATATTCACTGATACGCAAACACGCATCTAGGAGCACACCGTTCATTATTTCAATTGGATTTTCCAGCGCCCTCTCTATGGTAGGCCATTTCTTTGTAATGAAGCTTTTTTCAACGATGAATGAGCTCAGAGAAGCGTCGTCCATTCGCAGAGAAAAACCAGCACTTGCTGCTACCCGCTGATCCGAGTTTGGTATGAGAAACCCGAAGAATAGGCTTAACCTATCCCAACAACATTTATCGAAGAAGTAATGAAAAAGGAAAAAAAGTGATCCCGACGCCCGTGGAGAGAAATCATATCCACCGTGAATGCATAACCCAGCGCATGAAAAGCAAGAAACCGAGAAATCCCTTGGCCGCCTGGACATCTCTTGGTGTTTCCGGATTAAAGATACTATCACCGGTGAGCGCCTCTTTCGTGGTGAAGGGGCTGGGCATTGTATCGGTGGGTAATAAACGGTGGCCGCGAAGATCGTTCCGAGTTTGTCTTTACCAGAGATGCCTGGGGGCGCAGAAGGCGGGGAGCTTAGCGGTCCTCGGCCCACTCGTTCTCGCGACGGATCTGGTCCTCCTCCTCGGGGGTGAAGTCGTTCTGGATGTTGAAGGTCTTGCGGATCTCGTCAGGAGACTTTCCCTTGATCATGTTCGCAACGGTCTTGCAGCCGACGTCGAGGAGCGCCTTGATGTCGAGGTAGTTGGCGGCCTACGATGTGGACAGTCGCAAATTAGTATGCGGCAACGTTCCCACGAAGGGTGGCGCTGTAGCCAACCCTGCGCGCACGCGGGGGTTGGGGTGAAGCGGGGCGGATGACGACTCACCAGGATGATCTCGAACAGCATCTCTTGGTCGACCTGCATGAACTTCTGGTCCCACTCGTCGATGTCGGTTGACTTCTTGCGCGAGTCCGAGTCATCGTCGGCGGACGCGGGGGGGTCCTTCTTGTGCTGCTCGCACCACTCGATGACCTTGCGCATCACCTGTTCGTTGACCTGTTGTGCGCTGTGTCAGCGGAGGAACGGGCTAGCAGCATGGGAGGCGACGGTCGGGTCGACATACGTTGGGAATGGGGATAGGCTCGCCCGTATCAGCACCAAGATCTTCAAGCAGGTTCTTGATCAGGATCGATCTCTCGGCGACCTGGCGCTCTGTATGACGCTGTCAGCTTGCAAAGCCTGGAAGCGCGGGGCGGGGCGCGATGGCACGTACCGACTTCGATGTCGACGCCATCGGAGGTTGTCAGCGTGATCTTCGTGGTAGACATCGTGGTGTCGCGATGTTGCAGTTGTCCGAGGTTGTGGTGTGGGTTGGAGAGGGACGGTGGAGCGGCGAAGTGCGGTGGTCGGGCGGTTCAAGGTTGTGGGGCGGCGGAGCTTGGTTCGCCGACGGTGCACGGAAAGGCTCGGGGTGAGGGGGGTTAAGCAGTTGCAGCGCAAGAAAATGTACAACGGTCGTCGACCTTTTAAGTTATGCGAAGCGTCGAAACCAGTCAGGCTAGCCAAGGGCACGGTGAATAGTGACCACGCAGGCAGACAAGCCCGAAAGGGTATGACGGTTCCTTAGGAAGCTTTCGCAAGGCAGCAGTTGCTGGCGCTAAGCCCTCTACTACTGTCTGCGTAGGCTCCCACTACTTGGCTTCGCCAGCTAGAGAAGCAACGTGTCTGCGCACACTACTGGGCAAACGGCTCGATTTCACCTGCTGTGTGTTTGTGATTTCACACGCATGGGGTCAAAGCTTGGCAAACATGCAGTCTCTGGGAGTCCGTCTCAAGCGCCTCATCAGCGTCTGTTTGTACAGAGTATCCACATGATTATGCAAGCCTACAACAGCTATAATACGGCAACAGGGCCTGGCAAACGGCCCAATCGGTGACGTCCCTATAGGCGAGGGCGGCGAAGGTGTCATGACCCGGCAGTAGAGGCAACGGACGACGCGCAAAATTAACGGCAAGCGGCCCAGCGCGTCGACCCGTCCGCCAGCCTTGTGATCGGACCACCCTGCTGTCCTGCTGCGGGTCGATGTTTCGGGCTCGTGCCGCTTTGGGAAGTCATAAGGCTGGTAATCACCGCGTCATGCGGGCCACCACCCGTGTGGCCACTCTCGCACGTCGTAAGACCTCCATGGAGCTCCAACTGCGCTGCGCACCACGCGGAACAGCCGCTCTCAGCCATGGCCGCGACTCGCCGAACAGCCTGGCCAATTTCTGACTGCCCCGAAGCCGGATTGTTCTCTCCGAGCGTCGACCAATCTCAGCCTATCGAGACTGCCGCTCCTTATCCTTATCGAGCCGGGTAGCTTCATTTGAGAGACGTGTGTGCCTGCTTTTGTGTCGCACAGCTTGACCCATCACTCCCCAAAGCCCCAGCTCCGACGCCCTTTCCTCCACCGTCCATGTGCTCCCTTCCTGGTGTCCTACTGCTACTTCTTCGATGAGCTGAGCCCGCGACGCTGTTACAATGTGGCGGCGCGTGTACCTCCTGCTGCTCCTGGTGCGCCTTTGGTTCGCTCTCTCCCCGAGCTACCTGCACCCGGACGAGAACTTCCAAGGACCCGAGGTGATAGCTGGTATGCTCTGCATGCGCATTTCCAACGAGCGTAGCTTGCTGACATTGCCTTCCACCAGGACGCATCTTCGGCTACCCCGTCCACCTTACCTGGGAGTTCACCTCCAAGCACCCCATTCGCAGCTCGTTCCCGCTATGGATCTGTTATGGCATACCCATGGCCGTATTGCGCGGCATTGGCGAAGGCATCGCGGAGGAAGTGCCCCCATATGTTGTATACTGGACGCTGCGTGTGATGATGTTCGTCATGAGCTTCGTGCTTGAGGACTGGGCTATTCTGGAGCTGGTGGCGCCGCATCAGCGCAGCTCGGCTTCCATGCTTGTCGCCTCATCATATGTGACGTGGACCCTACAAACGCATACTTTTTCGAACTCATTGGAGACTCTCGTGCTCATTTGGAGCCTGGTTTTGATTGGGCGCATACTGGAGGACAAGGTATGGACATGCTGCCTCTAACCCGAGGGCGTAGCTAACGCACGTTGCAGAAACGCTCCAGTCTGAACGCAACAGCCTTGTTAGGTTTCTTTGCCGTGGGCGGTTTCTTCAACAGGATCACGTTCCCAGCATACCTGATAATACCGTTGCTTCAACTCATCCCACACTTCCACCGCAAACCGCTGTCCCTAATCGCGCTCTTACTCTCGGCGACCGTCACAACTATAGTAGCCATAATGTTTGATACGGCCTTCTACCATCCCGAAGGCCTGACCCTCACGAACCTGATTCACCACCCCGTAATCACGCCTCTCAACAACCTCCTCTACAATTCCTCGGCGCACAATCTTGCGCAGCACGGCCTTCATCCTTATTACCAACACATCGTCGCCAACCTGCCGCAGCTGATCGGCCCCGCCTTTCCGCTGCTCCTCTTCAGCTACCGCAAAAACCTACGCCTCGCTGCGGCACTCTCCGGCGTCGGCCTCCTCTCGATCTTTCCCCACCAAGAGGCCCGCTTCCTGCTCCCGGCCGTGCCGCTGATCCTCTCCTCCATCCGCGTCCCCACGAACAAAAGGGTGCGGCGCGCATGGATGGCAACCTGGGTCGCCTTCAACGCAGCCATGGGCCTGCTGATGGGCGTCTACCATCAGGGCGGCGTCGTGCCCGCGCAGATCTGGATCGCGCGCTCGGGCGAGCCGGCCGTCACGAGCGTGTACTGGTGGAAGACATACAGCCCGCCGGTGTGGTTGCTCAACGGCAAGAACGAGCTCATCGACACGGTGGACTTGATGGGCATGAAACCCGCGTCGATGGTCGAGCGCGTCGCGAACGGCACCGCGTGCTCGAACGTCGAGTTGGAGCGGGGTGGCAGGGAAGGCGAGAGGGCAATCACGTACCTCGTTGCGCCGAGGAGTGCGACGTTTCTGGATGCGTTTTCATCGCCGCTGCAGGAGACTGGGGGTGAGAAGCGCGCGTTTGAGCTTGAGGAGGTTTGGAGCTATAAGCTTCATCTGAATCTCGACGATATGGATTTCGGTGATGACGGAGTAGTGCCGACACTGCAGCGGATAGTAGGCAGGAGAGGCATTGTGGTTTGGAAGGTCAAGAAGCAGTGCGGAAGTGAAAGTATGTTGGAGCAGTGATTCGTTGCAAATGGGATCCAACACAACGACTGAAGAGATGGGTTAGGATTTCACAAGAGATTATTCACTGGCGCGAAAGGGCCATCGACTTAGCAATAACTTGTCTTGTAATGTTGAATACCCCACCATAATGGTAGATTCGATTCGACTTAAATTTGAGTGGCATTTAATTTCTAGTCACGTTGAGTTTTGCAACGAAGGGTACACCCAGCTTCAACAGGGAAAAAAAATGCGTTGCTCACCCCGTTCCATCTACATACTATGTACCCCTTCTTCTCACAACTTCGCCTTACCGGTACTCCTCTCCAAGCTCAGCGGATCCACCCTCTTCAGCCCCGCCAACCTGAACAACTCGTCCGCCTTGGCATGCTGCGCCTCGATGCGCTCGCCCAGAGGCTTGCCGCGCTTATTTTCATTCCTACCCAGCTGCAGGATGTGCACCTCATCGGGCCCATCGACAATGCGCATCGTGCGGCCATTGGCATACATATTCGCGAGCGGGGTATCCTGGCAGACGCCTGCTCCGCCGTACGCCTGGATGGCGCGGTCGATGACGGCGAGCGCGGTCGTGGGCACGAGCACCTTGACCTCGGCGATCTCCTTGAGCGCGTGCTTGGAGCCGACCAGGTCCATCTTGATGGCGGCGTTGAGCACCATCAGGCGCGCGGCGTCGATGTCGATGCGCGAGCGCGCGACGCGGTCGAGCATGACGCCGTGCGACGACAGCAGCGCGCCGAACGGCCGCTTGCGCGGGTCGTTGAGCCGCGCGAGCAGCCACTCCAGCGCCCGCTCGGCCGCGCCGATCGACCGCATCGCGTGGTGGATGCGGCCCGGGCCCAGGCGGCCCTGGATGATTTCGAAGCCGCGCCCGGGGCCGAGCACCATGTTGGCGGCCGGCACGCGCACGTTGTCGAAGGAGATGTGGCCGTGCCCGTGCGGCGCGTCGTCGAAGCCCATGACGGAGAGCATCCGGTGCACCGTCACGCCCGGCGTGTCGGCCGGCACGAGGATGACCGACTGCTGCTTGTATGGGTCGGGGTTGGTGGGGTCGGATTTGCCCATCGTGATGTAGATGGCACAGCGGGGGTCGCCGGCGCCTGAGGACCACCATTTCTAGTGTGGGGGAGATGGTTAGGATCTGTGGGGAGAAAGAATGTGTTTGGGGGAAACCATGAGTGGGAAACTGGATGGAAAAAAAAAAAAAACTCACCTGTCCGTTCAGCACCCAGGTGTCACCCTCCAACCGCATGTTCAGCTCGATGTTGGTAGCGTCCGAGCTGGCGACCTGCGGCTCCGTCATGAGGAAGGCGCTCCTGATCTTGCCGGCCAGCAGCGGGTCGAGCCAGCGGCGTTTCTGCGCCTCGTTGCCGTACTTGGCCAGCACTTCCATGTTGCCCGTGTCCGGGGCGGCGCAGTTGGTCGCTTCGGAGGCGGTGCGCGACTTGCCCAGCAGCTCCGCCATCAGCCCGTACTCGAGGTTCGAGAAGCCCGCGCCCTCCTTGAAGTGCGCCTTCGGCAGGAACATATTCCACAAGCCCAGGGCCTGGGCCTTCTTCTTGAGCTCCTCAACGATGGGCGGGTGCGACGAGAAGCGCTCCTGTGGCGTGTTGCCGATCTGTTGCAGGTACACGGAGTCGGCTGGGATGCATTCTTCTTCGACAAACTTCTCGACCTGTTCACGGAATGGTCAGATTGGATGTCCACGGCAGTTGCGGGGAGAGAATTGGTGCTGTGGGTTGGCTCACAATGTCGAGAGTCTTCTTCGCCCGGTCACTGACGTACGGCAGAGCGATGGGCGGGATGCGTTCCGAGGCGGGCACATGGCCCTTCTCGCTGTTGATCAGCAACTTGGACGCTGACATTGCTGGTGATTCAATTCGTCAATGAATGGAAAGGGGGAAGAGCGGGAGGAGAAGCTGGGGGAGGCTGGATTGGAATAGGCGGGGCCCCAGAGTAGTAAGTAGCTCGCACCCGGAGGTTAGGCGGCGATTAATACGGCTGTGGACCCTCGGCGTTCACTGGCTGCGTTTGCGGGGAACGTTGGCAACTACCGAGGCCCCTTGACATCACGCCCCAGTCGAACCACCACCACCGCTTATTCGGCAAACCTCAAACTAAACACTGAGAAGACTGGCAGTCAGATGAATCTGACCATAGATTTGAAATTCGATTCATTTTGGCATCCCAGGCCCTTGAAGCTTCTCCTGGCCGTATCCGGCAATTCACAACTTTACTTTTGAGGCCATACATCAAAAAGACCACCATTCCTTTCGGGAATGATTTACCGACGAATCATTAGCCATCCGTCTTAAAAATAATCCAAACCGACCAACGCCGAAAATGCTGGAGTCTCACAACGACTGAAAACCAGAGCACGGAACTAGCCTAATCCAGAACAATTCATCCCCGAGCTAGACCGCCCAGTCTACTCATAACCTCCTCCTTGGTTCCTGACCTTGACCTTCCTCTTACCCTTGAAGTGCTTCTTACCCTTCTTCAGCTCCGAGGGGTCAACGTCCTTGTCCAAAGCCTCCATCGTCAGAGCCTTGCGTCCACTCAGCTGTTTTCCAGCGGCCAGACCCTGCTCCGTGTACTTATCGTGGAAAGGCATCATCAGATGCCCGCCGTTACCTCTCGGCGCGAAGAACTTGTTGTCGAGTTGCCGCGTCTTCTCGCCCTGCATCTTGTTCTTTCTAAGCGGCACCACGTCGGGGTCATCCATCAGCGAAACGTCATCACTGGGTGCGCCTGCCACGCTCGCTTCTTCTGCAATGGCGAACGCGGCACGGCGCTTCTCGGGGAGATGCGATGCATCATAAAGGTCCCTGTTGAACCACCTGCCATCGATCGGCGGATCAGCCGGAGGCGGGTGGCAATAAAGGAGCTTGCCCTTCACATAGTCCTTGAGCACGGTGCGAGCGGCGCGTGACACATCTGGCTGGCCAAGGCCCTGTGTCGAGAAACCACGGGCGATGGCATAACCGGAGAGCATCTCTTCCGCGGTCGGGATACCCGTACCGCCCTCCTCCTCGGGCCTGATGTTGATCTTCATTCCATAGATGGCCTCGAGGAAGGCCTGCGGAATGCGCTGGGCGACGAGAGCGGCAGGTCCAGTGAACTCCCTGAGCTGATCGATGGGCAAGACGCCGCTGCAGACAAGCTCGGCCTTGGTGGATGCGAAGTTGGGGAAAACAAGACCGGGACAATCGCAGAGCACTACCTTGTCGCTCAGATGGATAGTCTGGAAGTGCTTGGTCTTTCCGGGAGTGGCAGACACAGATACCTTCTTGGCGCCGATGAGAGCGTTGATCGTAGACGACTTTCCGACGTTGGGGTAACCGACGAGACCAATCTGGGTCTTTCTGGGTTGTCCGTCGGGGCCCGTGGCTACGTCGGGTGAATGCTCGAGGAACAGAGCCTCCAACTCGTCCGTTGTTATGATCCGGGTAGCCTCAGAGTCTGTAAGAGGTACACCATTCTGGTCCGCCTTCACGGTCTCTTCCCCAGAGCTCGGGAGAGGCACGCCACTCTCCTCTACGTTTACGGTCTCCTCCTCAACCCATTTCTTCTCTTCGTCGTCCTTCTCTTGGATATCCAACTTCTTAGCCTCTTCGGCCAACTTATCTCCTGCCTCAGCCTCGTCATCAGACGACTCAAGCTCTTCGTCTTCTAGATCCCTTGCCTCGTTCATCTCCCTTGCCAATTCAGCAGAGAAGAATCTGTAGTTGATCTTGTTCTCCGTGAAATAATCCGCCCACCTCTGCCTCTGGTCGAACGTCATCATATCCGCCTTGTTCACCAGCAACAAGTTGTTCTTCTTGGAATCCACTTCCTTTACGTAGTTCTCCAGATCATCGCATCTGAACAGCAGCGGATTGCGCGCGTCCACGATCTGCACAACCAAATCCGAGCGTTCGATCACACGCCACAGCTGTCTCCAGACCTCGATATTGCGCTCAAACGGCGTCATGAGCAAGTCGTTGCTCTCCTGCAGCTCGGCCAAGCCGCGGCGCCACTGCAGCAAGCTTTCGCGCTCGCGCTCGTCCAGCTCCCTCGGGGTCGTATTCTCGTCCCACGGCGGGCGGCGGGGCACGGTCAGGTTCTTGCGGTGGGCGTTCTGCTTGCGCACGGCGGCGCGCTCTTCGGTGGCAGACAGCAGGTAAGGGTTCTTTTGGTCCTTGTGGATGATCTTGACGTTGTTCATCTTCTCGGCCGTGAAGTCGGTGCCCGCGAGCTCGGCGGTGCTGAGGAATTCGTCGAGCGCGGCCTGCTCCGTGACACTGCGCATCTTGACCCATGACGCATCTTTCTTCTGGTTGGTGATGTACTGCAAACAATGTGAGCGAGAGTTCTTGACACGGCTGTCTGGAGGGTAATTGCGCATACCTTCTCGCCGTTTTGACCTGTCCGCTCGATTGCGCCGGTGTAGTTGCCGCGGCGCATGTCGGAGCCCTTGCCTTTGCCGAAGCGGTCGTTCATCAGGCTGTTGCCCAGACCGACCTGGTTTTTGGACTTTGGGAGACCCATGTTGCCGGTGTCTTTCTGCGAATATCCGGTGCGGAAGGTTTTGGTGTGTTGTTGGTTGCGGAGGACCGCAGATGGAGGGGTCTTGTGTTTCCCAGGTCGGGCGGCGACATGAGCCTGCGTCACAGTCGGATTTTTCTCGTCCGCCGGCAACTTTTTGTCAGCATCGATAACGCGAACATTTCCCACACTCCACACCAACCGACCAACCCGCGCCTTAACTCCGTGCACCCTTCGAACAGCCGCCACCTCTGTTCTCCGGCCTTCTCGAATACACGTAGCCCACCATGCCGCGCCGCAAGGTTTTGTAAGCTTTCATCCTCCCCGAAAGCCCCCTCACCGTCACCGCTACCCAAAAGCGGAGGGACGAAAAACCTCGCTCGCGCGCATACCCCGCTAACAACCCAACGCAGCGACAAGAAGACGGCGCAGAACTTCCAGCTCGTCTACCGCGCCCAAAATGACCCCCGCATCCATGACCCCAACGCCCCGGACATGGTCTTCGCCGAGAGGGCGGCGCCCAACTCAAACAAGAACCGCCACAACAACAACAACAACAACAACAATGCCGCCGGCGAGGGCAGCGTGCGCGGCGGCAAGATCAAGTCGCGCCACGACCTCGAGGGCGAGTTCGGCGGGCGGGTGCGCCCCAACGAGGGCGAGGCCGCCAACTACGGCATCTTCTACGACGACTCCGAGTACGACTACATGCAGCACTTGCGCGACCTCGGCGCCAGCAGCGGCGCCACGTACATCCCCGCCAGGGACGCGGAAGCCGAGCGGCGCAAGGGCAAGGGCAAGATGAAGCTGGAGGACATGCTCGCCGGGATGGGCGTGGACGACGACGGCGAGAGCGACGCCGGCGTGAGCACGTCGAGCGCGGCGAGCGCGAGCAGCGCGGCCGAGCTGTTCGGCGAGGATCTGGCGCCGTCCGAGTTTTATCGGAAGGGCAGCTATCAGGACCAGCAGGATGTTCCCGACGCCATTGCCGGGTTCCAGCCGGACATGGATCCGCGGCTGCGAGAGGTCTTGGAGGCGCTGGAGGACGAGGCGTACGTCGAGGACGAGGATGACATTTTCAACGAGCTGGCGAAGGATACGAAAGAGGTGGATCAGCAGAGCTGGGAGATGATGGGAGACTTCGTGGACGATGAGGACGACGGCTGGGCCACGGACGACACGGTCAAAGCGGACAACAGGACCAGTTTCGAGGCACCTTCTCCGACGGGTGCAGTGTCCGAAGAGGGCGTCAAGCTGCCACCAGCCGAGGGGCCTGCCGGCGAAGAAGGCGAGGACCATGGGGATGGTGACTGGATGGCTGAGTTCAGCAAGTTCAAGAAGGACGCCAAAGCCCAGAAGATCCAGAAGAAGGCCGGTGCTCCCTCTGATCTGCAGTCTTTCGTCACTGGTGCTTCTTCGGTGACGGGTGGCCGGCAGAAGAAGAGGAAGGGTGCTCTCACGTCCACCTCCAACTACAGTATGACCTCTTCCGCCCTGCAACGCACCGATCAATTGTCGCTTCTGGACGAGCGTTTCGAAAAGTATGAGCAGGATTACGCCGATGATGGCTATGGCGGCGATGACAACATGTCTATGATGTCGGGCATGACTGGTATGTCTGGCATGTCCGGTCTTTCTGTATACAGCAAGGCATCGACCTCAAGCCAAGCACCCGGACTGAGGAGCGACTTTGACTCTATCCTGGACGAGTTCTCATCAAAGAACGGCCACATCAAGAGGGGAAAGAAGCACGACGGATACAAGGATGGCCTGGCCCAGCTGGACGAGGTCAGAAAAGGACTGGGACCTGCGAGATTGAAGCAGGGCTCAAGGGCTCGTTAACTGGACACCAGAGCAACAGCAGTTGGTACTTCCCATCGCATATACTGCTGGCGCAGTTTTTTGGTAGGCGTTTCGGGCTTCAAAACGGGTTATGGGTACAGGCGTGGAACACAAAAGTGATATCTAGATACGCATAGAAACGATCATAATGAGAACTTACAATCCGTCCCATCACTCATAATTGCGTTGGAGAAGGTGAATTATTTGCGTCGATGAACAGGTGCTACGGTAGCCTCGGGTTGCGGGCAACAATCTTAGTCAGCATACGATACTTCGCGAAGGTAGAGGCTGGTCGTTGTCTGCATTTATATCGGGGGGGCCGTCTCTTTTTCGTGAGATCAAACTTGTCCACCCGCAGTAACTTAAGCTCCACCTGCCCCGCAGATATACGGCACGTCGTGGAGTGCAAAGGGGCATGGCAGCAAGGTAGAGAGTTACGGCACGCAGTTTCGGCTCCACATGGCACGAGTCGGGCAACAACCATGAGCAGCAACAATCGTAAAAACAACAACGAACCGATCACTATTTTTGAGGCCATTTGCACGGGCGTCATCTCATTTGCGACAGTGTGAGCTACCCCGTGGAGGCGCATCCTGGAGTTGAGATGCAGGGTGGGGACGGGGAGGGAGAGCCGGAAACATCTACTTGCTATTTCCAATTCTAACATGTAATAAGCCTCGGGCTGAATCATCAACACTCCGTACGCTTTGATTGGTCGCTAGTAATTACGGCGGAGGATGGCATAACCGACCTCGAGGACTCCAAGATTATGCTGCAACCCTCCGGAGACTCGGACCATGATACTATCCGACCCTGCGGAGGAGACTAGGCCGATTCTATATATCAATCGCAATCCTCGTTCTCGACGTGCCCTCTTATAACCCCAAACACTCTCTTTGAGTCATCCCTCTCTCTTTTTCTTCCGGCAGCATACCATCCTCCTCCCACACCAAAAAACACCCTTATCAACCACACCACCATGGTCCCTCCCATCACTCTCTCGAGCTTCTCCCCTCCCACCTCCCCAACCTCAATAGCCACTTTCCTCATCACCATCACCACCCTCCTCTTCATCCTCCACAAACTCCACCACGCCCTCACCTCCCCGCTCCGCACCCTCCCCGGCCCCTGGTGGTCGCACTTCACGCACTATCCACTCAAAATCGCCAACATCGCCGGCCGGCGCGTCCACCACATCCACCGCCTGCACGCCATCCACGGGCCCGTCGTGCGCATCGCGCCGGACGAAGTGGCCGTCGCGGAGGCCGGGGCGTGCAGGGCGATACACCGGCCCGGATCGGGGTTCGAGAAGGCGCCGTGGTATGGGAAGTTTGTGAGGGGCAATGCGGAGGGCATGTTCGATATGGTGGGTGGGAAGAGGCATGCGGCGCGCAGGAGGCTGTTTGCGAGGGCGTTTGGGAAGAGTGAGATTAGGGGGCGGTGGGAGGGGATGGTGAGGGGTGAGTGTGTTTTCGTGTCTGATTTGTGGTTTTTTTCTTTCTTTTTTTTGGGGGGTTGCGTAAGGGCGGGCTCTGCTTGATGTGGGAGAGCGACGTGTGTGTTGGATGGCGATGATGCGATGACGTCGATTGAGTGGCTGTGCTGACTGCTTGGTTGCTGCGATGTAGAGAAGGTGGAACTGGCGGTGCAGCGGATGGGCGAAGAACTGCGGCGCGGCGAGGAGAGCGACTGTCTCAAGTGGTGGACGTTCCTGGCCACGGATGTCAGCGGGCACCTCATGTTCGGAGAGAGCTTCCGCATGCTCGAACTCGGGAAGGTGAGTGAAAGCCCCAGAGGCAGGCTCCCCTCGTCTCGAAAATCCCCCATTTCCATACTGCCAAACCCCACCCCACAGCACCCGCAGCGTTGACACACCCAACTACTGCAAGAAAAACGAATACATCGAGACCCTCGAATCCACCATGGTGGGCTCCGGCATCCGCGCCGAACTCCCCCTCCTCGCCGCCATCGGCAAGCATCTCCCGCACCCGAAGCTGCAGGCCATGTTCAACGCCAACGACCGCCTCCTCGCCTACGGCACGCGCGCCATCGCCTCGAGCAAAGCCTCAGGCAGCCACGGCCACGGCGCCTCCATCTTCGCCCAGCTCGACCCGGACGCGCAGAAAGAGAGCCCCTTCCCGTTCACCGACCTCGACGTCCGCGTCGAGGCCGGCAACCTCATCGTCGCGGGCGCGGACACCACCGCCGTGTCGCTGACCTACCTGACGTACGCGGTCCTCGCGCGGCCGGGGTTGAGGGAGGAGTTGGAAGAGGAGGTGGCGGAGGGGCTGGAGGAGGGGTTCGGGGACGGGGAGTGCGAGCGGCTGCCGCTGCTGAATGCGGTGGTGAACGAAACGTTGAGGCTGTACGGCGCGGCGCCGGGGAGCTTGCCGCGGACGGTGCCGCCGGGTGGCGCGACGCTGGTGGGGAGGTATCTGCCTGGTGGCACGACGGTGAGCACGCAGGCGTGGTCGCTGCATCGGGATGAGGGGCTGTGGGAGGATGCTGAGAGGTGAGACTTGCCCTCCCGTGTGGTGGTCCAGACGCGGAGGAAGGGGAGGCCGCTGATGTATGAATGTGCGCAGGTTTGACCCCTATCGCTGGCTCTCGCTGCCGCAGAATACTTCGCCTTCGTCGATGAGCTTTCAGCCGTTCGGCGCGGGCACGAGGATCTGTTTGGGTTTGCATCTGGCGCTTATGGAGCTCCGACTCGCGACGGCCGTGTTCTTCAGGGAGCTGAGGGGCGTGAAGCTGTCGGAGAGGACGTCGGCGGAGAGCATGGAAGTGGTGAACTTTTTCCTGATTCAGCCGAAGAGTGGTCGGTGCTACATCAGTCTTTGAAGTCTGCAGTCGGGAGAGGGATGCTGGAGGTGGCTGGAATGGAATAATCGAGGGAGAGGGGTGTGAGCCTTGATATTCCCTTAGCACTCTGTCTTGGTATACTCGTAAATTTACCTGCTTCGTACTTCTTGTGGCGCCGTGGGAAATGTCCACGCCGGTAATAGTTCCACATATTTGCCGCTGGAGACGTGGACCTCTAAATTTTCCAACTACAAGCAGCCAGCCGTGAACAAAGCCAATGCTATTTGCTAAACACTCATGTATAGATATAGCAAAGTATCTTGGACAATATGATGAATGCGATTGCTGAAGGTGAGTACTGATATGAGCCTGGACTCGTGTTAGTTTATTGAAAATTCTGATTGACTTGGAAGCTGGCATGACTAGACTGAATTGCAAAAAGGGATGAGACTGTTTGAAATAGCTGCTAAAACAAAATTCAAGTGTGGAAGTTCCATGGACTGCATGTATGTAAGGATGAGGTGAGCCCTAGGCGCGGAAGTGCTGACACAGGCTCGGCGAAGTGATCAGTGGTCTCCGCGGACAACTGTTCCACGGGCCAATTGGTAGAAATGGCAAAGCAGAAGAGTAAAACGGGACAAATCGAGGACCGGATTGGTGCGGAGATAAAGAATGCAGGTGAGGTAGTTACAGTTCCTGGCGGGATATCCGAAAATGGGTGGCAAGCAAGGGCTAGGGGATTTCCAATACTTTCTTTCCCTCGAGGAGGGCGCTGCATAAGTTCAAACGTCTGCGCTAGACGGCTTGGCGATTTGACCGCCTTGGCCTTCTTGGCTGCTGCGAAATTTTGAGTGGTTTCGTGGGGAAAAGCTGGGCGCCCAAGAGTCCCAGGAAGACTGGCCGATCGTCTGGGCGTGGGGCGCCGTACCAACAGGCTCTCTGGGCTGGAAAATTCCGTCGGCGGCAAGCTACGAGCCCGCAAATGCATGGCAGGCTTCATGAGATTCTGAACAATGAAGCTTTTGGTGGACACGACTGCTTGGGTGAGCATTTGCAGAGCATATGTAGGTTGGGTGGTTGCACGCGCGGCAGGTCGTCGGGGAACGGGTCCGTGCTTGGTGGTGTACATGGGAGCTGCTACGGACGTACACAAGTCTCCATGCTGCACCACCTGCAGCTCGGAAGACATGCCGGTTTTGCTGGCAGAGTCGGGTGGCGGCGCGCGCCAGAGCCGGCAGTGCCACAGTGCCACAGTAGTAGTGCTTGGGCTGTCGTGGGTTTGACGTGGCCGGCCCCGACGGAATGGAGGGACCGATTGCGTGCTTTCTTAATCATGACGTCGTCGTCACCTCCTGCGCGTACTGTTACTAGCCCTTATCACCACCACCCGCCTCTCGCAATTTCACCTCCAAAGACCCCCGCACTCACCCACCGCAGATCATCACGCCTTCGCTGCTACCCATGCATGTTTTAATTGGCCTCTCCTGACTGTGCATGTGCTGTTGAGCCAGCGCCGCACCGCCCGAACAGAGCTGCGCGGCTCTCACGGCTTTCCCCGGCCCCTACCGCCCCATGCTACCTACTTTACTTGCTCTGCCCCAGTCTCTCTGCACCCTTCTACTTCTGTCCGTTCTCCCGAGGGACGTCGCACGTTAACAGTCGGCGTCGCACTCAGCTGCGACCATGGCGCCTTCGTCACATACCTGGCATAAGCTTGTCAACAACCTCCAGATATCCGCCGACTACTCAATCCCCCCAGCCGGACTCCAATGGCGCAGCAACACCCTGTTCATCATTGCCACTGTGGCCATTGGCCTCTTTACCGACCTGTTTCTCTACGGCTTGATCGTTCCTATCCTCCCCTTCATGCTCGATGATCGCCTGGGCATCCCTGCATCAGACGTCCAGCCCTACGTTTCCGGCTTGCTTACCGCCTATGCTGCTGCCAGTGTGCTCTTTAGTCCAGTGGCCGGCGTGTTGGCCGACCGCGTGAGCACCCGCCAGGCTCCATTCCTGTTGGGTCTCTTGAGCCTGCTCGCTGCAACTTTGCTGCTGTTCTTCGGAAACAGTATGGCTGTACTTGTTATTGCTCGCGTCCTGCAAGGTGTGGCTGCTGCAGTGGTATGGACCATCGGCTTGGCATTATGCCTGGAAACCGTTGGCTCCGAGAACTTGGGCAAGACCGTTGGATCTGTGAGCTCGCCGAAATGTGTCAGATCGAAATAACACATACTGACCTTGCGATGCTTTGAAAAGATCTTTAGCTTCATTTCCGTGGGCAATCTGGTGGCCCCGGTCTTGGGCGGAGTGCTCTACGAAAAAGCCGGCTATCCGGGTGTCTTTGGCATTGGCTTCGCAATCCTGGCAATCGATTTCATCATGCGCTTGCTAGTCATCGAGAAGAAGGTCGCAGCACGCTATGAGAACAATGATCCGACCCAAGGCGATCTGCAACAGGATCTTCAACACGAAAGAACCGGTCAAGATGGACCCAACGAGGAGCACGGCGATACCGAAGAGACTCCACTCCTTTCCAACAAAAAAGAACAGGACTACTACAAGATCTCTCCAGACCAGCCCGCTATTGCCCAGAGATTCAAATTGCTGCCTTGTCTCAAACATCCCGGCCTAGTCACTGCCTTCTTCGTTGCCGGCGTCCAAGCATTTCTCCTCGGTGCTTTTGACGCGGTAAGCTACATTTCCTACGTGCACCCAGTTTGAGCTAATCCCACCCAGACCGTCCCAACCGTAGCGGAGCAGTACTACACCTTCTCCTCGCTCAAATCCGGCCTCCTCTTCCTCCCCCTCGGCGTCTCCGACTTCCTCCTCGGCCCGCTCTTCGGCTGGGCCGTCGACCGCGCCGGCACCAAGCCCGTCGCCACCTTCGCCTACCTCTACCTCGTCCCCGTCCTCATCCTCCTCCGCCTCCCCAAACCGTGCCCCTCCTCCCCCTCCTCGCTCGCCCTCCTCGCCTCCATCAACCCCCACGAGCCGCCCTCCTCGTCCGCCCTCAAAGCCCTCGCCGCGTGCAGCGAACCCACCAAGCAAATCGCCATCTGGTCCGCCCTCCTCTTCCTCGCCGGCGTCGGCCTCGCCGGCACCAGCGCCCCCAGCATCGTCGAGGCCGGCGCCATCGTGAAGCGGTTCCACGAAGCGAACCCCGAGTTCTTCGGAAAGGACGGCCCCTACGCGCAGCTGTATGGCTTGAGCAGCATGGTCTTTAGCGCTGGCTTGACCGTCGGCCCGCTGGTGGCAGGCGCTCTGAAGGAGAAGGTCGGCTATGGCGATATGAATGCCGTCGTCGCGGCGATTTCGGGCCTCACGGGTGTGGCGGCGTTTGTGTGGATTGGCGGACGGGTTAGGTGGAGAGATTTGAAGAGGGTGGGGGAGAGGGGGTGGTGGAGGGGTTCTTGATGGGAGTAGGTGGGGAGGTCGTGGGTTGAAAGAAAAACTCAATGGCGTTGTTTGCGATGGTAGCGAAAGGTGACGATGGTGGGAAAGCTCGGAGCTAAGCGGCGTTTGTGGCGAAATCCAGCTTTTTTTTTGCCCAAGGTGGGATTAAAGATGTTCGCTCTATCGGGATAAATTTTGGCCCTCTGGCATTATGTATTATTGATCAAAGAATTCAGAGTATTCACAGTTGACCAGAGCGCGAACTGCTTCGAAAGGAACCCTGTTTGAATGAGAGAAAACACACCCAACACTCTTTTTGCTTTCACTGGGGTTCCGCATGGTGTGTCATGGCCCCCGACCTGCACATATGAAGATCTTTTGGCACACCACGAGCGGTGCATTGCTGTCCGATGAAAATCGTCAGGTCGCTCAACACGGCTTTGAAGCAGGAGGGACTCCCTTCTTGCTACCGCGTACTCTTCTGTGTCCGTCTGTTTCTTCTACGGATGAAGCGCGCCATCCCGTGGGTGGCAGCAAGCACCATGTCACCCGGCCAAAACCCACTCAAAGGAAAACGCGTGCGCTGAACGGATCACCGCCATCAGCTGCTTCTCTACCTATCGGAGACCGTGGTCCTTGTGGTTCCATCATGCTGCGAGGACGGAAGAAGAGGATGAGTATAATGCCCTTCTTTCTTTCCTCCCTATCTTGTACACATAGAAAGCAGCCGAATGTTCATGTTCGCCGTATTGCCATCCTTAATCACTGACTGTGCTTGTGGAGAGGGGATAGTGGGAGGGTGTGTGGTGGTGTAGGCTTTATAGTTGATGTTCGTGGCTTGACGAGAGTTGAGACCTACGCATCATCTGCGCCCGCTGCGTCGACGGGGTGGTGGAGCCTCGTATGCTGTGTTGGTACGTGCAGGAAATCATTTAGTGTGGGATTCATTTGATGCCATGTGGCTCGGAAGATACTAATGATGGTTTAAGAAGGGCGATGGGTTATATGGGTTTTTTCTGCGTCAACGGATGGCTGCCTACAACATGCAGCGATGTCATGTTTGGGATTCAGATCTGGGTTCTCAACTGGCTACACTGCGTACTGGTTTCCTCGGAAGTCTGGACGTTACTGAGCACGGCGGATCAGCTTCCTTTATGCCTTCTATAGCAGTAGAAGTGCCCCCAAGGAACATGGGGAGCTTAATGGATATTGACTTCTTCTATGATAAGGGGGGAACGGCTCGTTCCATGTCCTCGGATCATGGATGTAGGAAGGAAATCTCATAGAAGATGAAGCTGCCTTTCAAACCTCTACTTACCTCCTGCCATAGGAAGCGGGGCTATGGATAATAGCTACATATACTCAGCCGGTCTACGAGAATTCGGCACTCTATTGTATTCGAGGACGGTTGGCGTCGGAAATAACACTGTGTCCTCGAGCGGATGGCCGAACTGAGACTGACACATGGCCCAACTCTCCAAAAAGCAAAACTTCCCGCTCGGCCTTGTTGTCTGAATTGGACATGATTTTCCTCTTAAGAAAACAGTAAAACTTTACAAAAACGATGCTGGCACGCGCCCGCATAAGCGGAAATTGCTGATATCGATTGCCGATGGAGTTGTCTCGAATAAAATAGAAACTGTTACAAGGCCGCTCCGAAATAAGTAAAAGAGAGCGAGGTAGCCAAGTGTTGTAATTCAGATTGCGAAAAGGGAAGTTTCCGATAATAAATGTGAGACTAACCCAGTCGAAACTCTCGGCTTTTGCGTCAATAGGTTGTACACATTATATATTGTCTATTGCCATTTTGTGTTACTATCAGTCTGAGAGAGACACCTCGAGAAATCGGGGTAGATCACCATCCGTTGTGGTCTAGGGGCTAGGATTTGCCGCTCTCAGTCCAGAGAGTTATCTCACTACCAAGTGCCGGCAAGGCCCGGGTTCGATTCCCGGCGACGGAAATTCTTCTTTTGCTCCTCGTGAAGAGAGCTCTACGTTTTGCCGTTGTGCATTGTGGCTGGCGTGGAAGAAATTTTGTTTGTCCGAGGTAGCCGTGGTGGTTGGCGCCGAAAAGGGGCCGACGGCCTAGTTGCTACAACTCGACCGTAGAGTGCGAGACAGATACGATAAGCAAGGTTGGCGACTGTGACTTTTATCACATCAAGGACACTAGAGTTTACCTATATTGCCATCAAAGGGATGTCCGGAGACAGCCGCAACATCCTTTTGGATTTTTCTTCCTTTTTTTCTTGGAAATGAATGAAGAGTTAATGGATAACATATTCGTTACGAATTGAGCCTAAATGTTATAAGGAAAGGAGGACAGTATCTTGTCAACTCGAGTTGGGCAATGAAGATGTGTAGATACTTAATCATTTCATCATAATATAAAAAAAAAATTGCGGATTATTGGTATCTCCTGGTAACTGTCTAAACGTTCCTTCAAGGTAGAATCTAAATTAAATCTAGAGAATCTGGCCATCTATTTTCTTAGGGAATCTAAGGTCTGGACGTTTGTATTTTGGTAAGGTAGTTATGTACTTCTGAATATTTGCCACACCCGTTAGAGACTATCCGACGGCCTTGCTTTTTAAGGGAGCAAATATTCGCTGTTGAAAAAGTATACCAGCTTGCTGCCTTTACCAGGCATGGAAGGTAGTTGAACAGGTATTTCGACAATGGAATGTATGAGAAGCAGCATGCTGTTTTGGTACGACGGCCTCTAGCCTGCGTTGAGCTTCGTTCAAAGGGCCCAGGTAGGCAAAGTCGAGCCCAACAACTCATAGAGGAATAGAACATATTTCGCGATCCTGGATGACAGAAAAGAAATTTGCTTGTCCCAATGCGCCATGAGCAGCGCCTTTATGCACCCATCTTCATCACCAGTAGCAAAAGACAATTTTGTATGAACGGAATGCTATGTTTATATTTGGTTGGTTACTTTAAAGCGATAGTCGATCGTTAACAGCGTAAAAAACAAAAACCTAAAGCCAAAACACAAAAAAGTTTTTTATATACAATAGAAATAGGTAGCAGCAGTCAATCTCATTCCATCCCATCCGCTCCCACTTCCATAGATCCGGATGCGTGCGTAGAGGCAGACAGATTCCGAGCCAGCAAAAGAGACCATCGAGCCAGCTTCTTCTTTCCGTCCTCCCCCCCGCAACAGTATCATTTCACTCGCTCATTCTCGTCCACTCGTCCACTGTACTCGTCCACTCGCTTAAGCGCGGAAAGCCCTGGCGTCCTTGGGGGGAGGGGCGGGCTTGCCGTCAGGGCCGGGAGCGGGGGCAGGCGCGGGCGCGTCGCGGCCGACGTGGGCGTTCACGTCGACGAGGCCGTGGGGCGGCGGGGGAGCGGGCGCGTCGCGGGCCTGGGGCGGGGGCTGGGGCTTGCCGTCCTTGGGGGGAGGAGCGGGCGCGTCGCGAGCCTGGGGAGGAGGGAGCGGCTTGCCGTCGGGGCCCGGGGCGGGAGCCGGAGCCGGAGCGTCACGGCCGACGTGGGCGTTCACGTCGACGAGGCCGTGGGGCGGCGGGGGAGCGGGCGCGTCGCGAGCCTGAGGAGGAGGCTGGGGCTTGCCGTCGGGGCCAGGAGCCGGGGCCGGGGCCGGGGCGGGAGCATCACGGCCGATGTGAGCGTGGGCATCGACGAGACCGTGGGGCGGCGGGGGGGCAGGAGCATCGCGAGCCTGGGGAGGAGGCTGGGGCTTGCCGCCCGGGGGAGGAGGAGCGGGAGCGTCGCGGCCGACGTGAGCGTTCACGTCGACGAGGCCGTGGGGCGGCGGGGGAGCCGGGGCGTCACGAGCCTGGGGCGGGGGCTGGGGCTTGCCGCCCGGGGGAGGAGGAGCGGGAGCATCACGGCCGACGTGAGCGTTCACGTCAACCAGACCGTGAGGCGGCGGGGGAGCAGGAGCGTCGCGGGCCTGGGGCGGAGGCTGGGGCTTGCCGCCGTTGGGGGGCGGGGGAGGAGCGTCGCGAGCCTGAGGAGGAGGCTGAGGCTTGCCGCCGTTGGGAGGCGGGGGAGGAGCATCACGAGCCTGAGGAGGAGGCTGGGGCTTGCCACCCGGGGGAGGAGGAGCGGGAGCGTCGCGAGCCTGGGGAGGCGGCTGGGGCTTGCCATCGGGGCCGGGAGCCGGGGCCGGGGCCGGGGCGGGAGCATCACGGCCGACGTGGGCGTGGGCGTCGACGAGACCGTGAGGCGGCGGGGGAGCCGGGGCGTCACGGGCTTGAGGAGGCGGCTGAGGCTTGCCACCCGGGGGAGGCGGGGGAGGAGCATCGCGAGCCTGAGGAGGAGGCTGAGGCTTGCCACCCGGGGGAGGCGGGGGAGGAGCATCGCGGGCCTGGGGCGGAGGCTGAGGCTTGCCGCCGTTGGGGGGCGGGGGAGGAGCGTCGCGAGCCTGGGGCGGAGGCTGAGGCTTGCCGCCGTTGGGGGGCGGGGGAGGAGCGTCGCGGGCCTGAGGAGGAGGCTGAGGCTTGCCGCCGTTGGGGGGCGGAGGAGGGGCGTCGCGGGCCTGAGGAGGAGGAAGAGGCTTGCCGTCAGGGCCTACCTTCGGGGCGTCGCGAGGCTGGTTCTCAGGAGGGGGAAGAGGCTTTCCATCAGGGCCGACAGCAGGAGCGTCGCGGGCAACGCGAGCGTCCTTGGCAGGCGGGGGAAGAGGCTTGCCGTCGGGACCGACGGCGGGGGCGCCGCGAGCCTGAGGGGGAGGCTGGGGCTTGCCGCCGTTGGGCGGAGGCGGCGGCGGAGCGTCGCGGGCCTGAGGAGGCTGGGGCTTGCCGCCCTTCGGGGGAGGAGCGGGAGCGTCGCGGGCCTGCGGGGGAGGAAGAGGCTTGCCGTCGGGGCCGTTCTTGGGCGCCTCCTTGGTGGGGACCTTGGACACCGGGGCGGACCTCGGTGCCTTGGGGTCCTTGGGCTGCTGCTCCGGGAAGTCGGATGGGCGGATGTCGTCAGGGACGGCAGCACGGACGGCGTGCGGAGGAGGCGGCGGCGGGTTGGCGCCGGCGGGAGCAACACCGTTGGCAGGGGCGACCGGAGCACCGTAAGAGATGGCACCGAGGGCCAGAAGGGCCATGATGGTGGTGATGTTGGAGCGCATGGTGAACGAGTGGATTGGTCGGGTGAAGGGGCGGAGGAAAGAAGAGCAGTGAAGAAGTGATTGGGATTAAAGGTGAGCGAGTAGTAGTTGTGGTTGGGAGGTGAAGACCGGTTGTGGTGGTGATGTTCTTTTCGACGGGCACGGCGGTCTCTTAAGTAGGATCGTTGGGATCGACTGTCGTCGTCAATCTCTAATGAGGGCACGTAAGTTGCTGCACCGGCAGCAGCTGTGAGGTGGTTGGTGTATGCGTGTAGGGGGCGAAGCACAGCACACAGTTGGCAGTGATGAGCGCGATTGGCATCAGCGTGGCCAGCTTTGCAGACGACACCGAGGGTTCAGAGCACGCAAGCCCGGTGGTCCGGTACGGCGTTGGAGGGTACATGCTTGAAGACTGGGCCTGGTTGAGCACATTGTGCGTGTATAGGCCCTGCGAGGCACTGCAGGATGGCGTGGAAAGCTATGAGCTCATCCTAAATTGAACTTGTCTCACTCCACTGGATAGTGATCAGCGCGTCAACGTACGACTCTTGGAAGGCTGAGGTACTCTACCTGTAGAAAAAAAGCATCTTGCGGACGCTAGCGTCGTCGCCTTGCTCGTATTGCATAGTAGGCTTTACCAATGGCAACCGGGCCGTACATTAGGCGTGACCTCACCATACATCTACTGGGTGCCTCTAGTGTAGCAAGGCCTTAGAGGTAGTCGTAATACCCCGCTTATGGTTTGAATTAGCTTGGGAGATCATCAACTACCGGAAAGGGCAAGCTTCTCGATCGAGGCTTGCGTGTACCTGGCCTTGTGTCTTGGGGCCGAAGCTTGAACTACCGAAGATTTCCGCAAAAGGGACGAGCCAAGGCGACGTGACGGTACCTGCAGAGGCACGAGAGCGGCCCGTGGGGAGGGGCGGTTGAGGCGGAGGGACGACGCGGCTTGGCACAGCCATACGTTGACAAGGCTGCATGGGGTAAGAGCCGCGTAAGCACCTCGCCGAGTTCCCGCCGTGGGTCGTGGCCAGCGCACCAGGTCATTTTAATCAACGTAGGGCTGTGGGGAAGGTGCCATTCGAGCGAATAGACTCGTCATCAGCAAATGAGCGGATTCGCCCGGCGTGAAAGGGGAGGTAAGACAAGCCACAAAGGTGGAGCAGCCTTGGAGGTGACCCGTGACAGGGGTGTGCGCGAAGGCCGCCCGGGGTAACAGGCGAAGCTCCGACCACTTCCCCTTTGGGCCAACCTTAACATGAAAGTTCGACATGCGGTGAAGCACTGGGAAAACACCGCTCAGGAGACGGCATCCGCAAGTGAATCGCTTTATTTGTTATTTATCGTGCAGTCACAAAGAGAAGTCGTCCGTCGTAGCCTTTGCGCTTGCTTAGATAACGACTGTGTTGGGAGCCCGGGTCTCGAACCAGCAGCAATTGCAGCCCAAAGCAACCCGCCTCAATCGAGATTCCCGGAGGGCGTAAGCACATTTGCCTTGTCCTCGGGGGTATTGTAATCCCGCACGCTAACATAATCTGGCCGTTGAGGTAATGGACCACCCATAACTCGGCGTGTGCGTTGGGAGCACGCTCTCGATCATCGGCTTGGCGGAAGGATATTCCTGAGGTCCGTTATTCCCGCCACCTGGTGGCTCGGAGATCCGACGACAACGGAGACCGAGGGTCCGATGTTGACCGCCGAATGGCCGTGGAGGGGCAGCCGGTGGTTGGGAATTGCATCCATCGTCGTACAACTGTCAAGGGACCGCATTCGACCCCCTCACTGACCAGGCCCTTCAGGTCCCACAAACTGGCCGAAGCCGGCATCGAACTGGAGAGGATCGAAGTTCCAGAACCCCTGAAGCAAGGTTAGCCTTGACCAATCTTAACTGCGCAAAAGTTACTTGCCCAGTCCATATCCATGGCCATATCCTGCAACCATGCGCTGGTATTTGCCTCACTCATCCCGGCGTTCCCCCGTTCCATTTCAGCAATGTACCCTGCCATGCTCTGGTTCCCTGATTGATACCTAGCATCGATGCTGCTCCTCATGTCTGAGCCAGGCATTGTGACTTGCGCGGGCGAGAAGAATGCGTAATCCTGTTGCGAAACCGCGGTTGGAGTTGCGACCGGCGGCGGCGCCGGCGCCGCCGCTTGTGTCGATGGGTGGGCCGGGATGGATACTTGAGATTGAGGGGGTGATTTGATCGAAGATGGCTGCGAGACATTGTGCGAGGCCGCCGGGCTGGGGCTTTTTGCGAAGTACATGACACTCAACTCATCTTCACCGAAGCGTTCCTTGGAGATACCGCTCATGGGTCCCGGTTTGGCATGTTCATGGTTGGGGTCCAGCCTGTCAACCATGCGCTTTATCACTGCCCAAGTATTCGACTCCGAGCGACCTTTCAAGCCCAGAACAGTATGCAAGGCTCGTAGGGCTCGGGATCGGATGATGGGGTCTTTCGAACCACTGAACTCGGGATCGCGAAGCTCAGCGAGGATGTGCATGATTGCTTGGAAAGCAGCATGTCCACCAATGTGCCACTGGAACTGTTCGGCGTCCTTGTCGTGAGAAACTCGATTGAGCGACTCGATCAGAGACACTGATCGTGTCAGGATCCTGAGGTAAAACTGTTAGCCCCGCCAATTTTTGCACGCACCAAGTATATCGATGCTAACGCCCAGCAGATACAGGGCCGACCTACATGGTGCGGACATCATCGTTGATGACGACTCTCCTCAGGTCCTTCGGAACGCCACTCCAGAATATCAACCAGCATCTCCACTCCAGATTAGCGCTTAAACCGATCGTCATCCTTTCAACCGTAACATCAAGGCGGCAGTATCGGAGGGTACATCGTTCATTTTTGGTATGCACTTCGTCCACCATCCGCTTAGTCTCTTCAAAGAGAGCCTGAAGCTCGGGGACAATGTCGAGATTGCTGTTTCGCAAGCGCGAATCTTTGCATTTCCGATCAAGCCGGTATGCGTTCTGCGCGATTTTCCGGAAGCACTGGATCATGCTCAGACGACAGAGCTGAAGAGCCATGTCCGTGACCCCTTCCTCCTCCAAATACGGGTTGGTTGGGGGTGGCCGGCCCTCGAGCAGGTCGGAGTCGCTCACGTTCCGCGGTAATAAGGTGGTGAAGTCGTCATCGGAAATGGTTGGCTCCATACCCTTGCCTTCTGACGCCCTCCAGTCCAAATGACAGATTTGATGCCACATCCTGCGGCGAATCTCCACCTGAACTTCATCCATGGAGGATGTGAAGAAGCTCGGCTCTCTGTGCAGGCCTTGTAGCATGGCTATCCTGATGGCAACGCCAGTAAGTGGCCACACCTGACCCATGTCGTCTTCGCGGGCTTGCACCGTCTAGAACAAGTTAGCATGCCACATGGACAGCTGGCGGGGATGCAACTCATACTAGATATATTATGAAGGCTTGGAGGACCTCGATGCTCGAAGTGGTGAGAAAGTCGGCTTGTTGAAGGGAGAACTCGAGACCTTGCTGATACCTCCGCAACAGCGACAGTTTATCTTTCCTGAAGCGGGTTTGAACAACTTCGGCCTTCAAGCTGTTGAGAGCAGAATAGAATATAGCATAAGCCAGAGGCTCAAAGTTCTGCAGCTGTTCTTCATTCCAATGGTCTTCGAAACTGCCGTTCGTCAGCAACCATCTCAAACGTAAGGGTGCAGTGAGGCGCTGTACTTGTCGCTACTGCGGGCCGAAGCGGACGAGGGCGTAAGATTTTGCCATCTTCGGGTGAAGGCGGCGAAGCGCCTACCCAGGGAAGGCTTGTGCACCAAACGACTGACAGGGTCCACATTCTGGATGAAAATGGCGAAAAGCTCAAAACACTCCTCCTGTGTGTCTGGCATGAAGACCGAGGTGTCGCCGGCGGCCTGACCACTGCTGAACAGCAAGGACTGCGAGGTACGGATGCCTCCCCATGCTGTCGAGTCGTTGACCTGGCCAGGCTGTTTGCCCTCGGTGCTCAGGATTGCCTTGATATCTTGGAGCTGTGTGGAGCGTTAGCAGTTTCGAGGAGGAAGATCGGCGCGAACTTACCTCCTCGGTCAGCAGGGCCCAGTGTAGAGAGGACACGAAGTGAGATTGGCCGTTCTCGACGAGAAGCGTGCCGTCATAGGCATCGGCAGCTTGGATGTCGCCCGAGGTGGTGCTGTTGGGAGAGGCAGAGCTGGCTGCTCTCTCCTTGGATTCATAGGCATCGCTCTGGGAGGTGTCACGGCGAGCGGGCTGGTTCGGGTGGTGGTGGGACGGCTGCTTCGCCGTGTTTACAGAGAGCTTGGTGGGAGGCTGATTGTTCACTGCCAGCTCGAGCAGCGACTCGAGGCGCTCTAGACGAGCATTGATCTCGGCATGGCCGGACTGGCCTTTGCTCTGACTGGAGGCGTGCTTGTGCACGCGATTGGCCGAGGGCTGGGCTGACGGCGGCGATCGTCCGTCGTGCTGGTGCTGGTTGGGGACGTTGGCATAATAGCAGACATGGTTGCCGCGCGAACATGCAGAGCAGACGGGGTATTTGTGATCGCATTTAACCTTGCGACGACGACACGTGAGACATGAAGTGATGATTCGCTGGCGGGTGCCGCCGGACGACTGCGCGGCGGCCGCGGACGGCGGCGCGTTGGCGGGCTGCGCGCTGGGGTTGGCGAAGGCGTCCATGCCTCGTGGTGCTGGCGGCGCAGAGACAGAGGGTCGGCCGAAGTGGAGCTGCTCCTGGAGGGTGACGGCGGGGGAGTGAGGGCTTCTTCTGCGCGTAGGGAGAGCGTCAGGCGTCAGAGGCGGGCTGAGCGCCTGTGCTGGGCTTGGTTCCTGCAGCGGCCCCCACAGCGTTGAAGCCCTCGCGCCGTTTCACAGGTGGCGCGCGAGACCGCCTTTGCTTGTCGCAGAAAGACTTTCTTCGGCCAGGAGCGTCGGTGCGCAGGGCTGCGGCGGCTTCGCTCGCGCTTTTGAGAATGACGTGGAGAGCCAAAAAAATCGGCGTCGGCCTTCGACTAGCACCGCCCCCTCCGCCAGCCGACCACCGTCGCCCGACTGCTGATGAGTAACGCTGCACCACCACCTGCCAGGGCCAGCCCGTCGCATGCACACGCCCCCGTGGATCCAAGCAGCTGCGCATACGCGACTGAGCTTTCGCGAGTCAGGCTCCTCGCACGTCGCGTTTGCGCGGGACCGAGCCGAACAGCCCGAGCGATGGCGAGGCCTGTGAGGCATTTCGGACCTGGCCACGACTTCTGACGGCCTGCGGTCCGGCAGCTGACGTGCGCCTGTCGCACCTGCCGCACTGGACCCTCGCGCTCTCCGTCGCTGCCTAGTTTATTTTTACCGCGTACTACGCCAGCTACACAGTACCACTGCTCTACACTCGCCCAAGACCCGGGCTCGCCGCATTGCCGGCCGCGCGCAGCGCAGAGCCGCAAATCTTGCCGCGGCCGTCGTTCGCTGTCTAGACCTGCGACAGCACCACCAAGGACCGGCCCCGCCCCAGACTCCGGATGCTTGACCACAACGCTAAGAACTTGGCCACAGCTGCCAATTCGCCTTGGCACATGTTTGCCGGCCATCGCGGGGATCCTCCGCCGCCTGGCCAGCGATCCTGCCCCCCTCGGGTCTTTCTTATCTACCTCTGCCCCTGCGTCTGACGTAGAGCCTTCTCCACCCTCCGCTGTCGCTTTCGAAAATTCCTCGCATCATGCCAGTTGACGTGCACAGGAACCCGCGTATCTGCTTTGTGTGTCGATGACTGCGGCTCGTGCCGACCCCACCTTCTCGAACACGAGGTGACGATCACAGCCGTACCTTAGTCTGCGGATCATCGACTATATCGAGGCCCCTGCCCTCCGATGAACCCGGCTTTTCCGAACATAGGCATACAACGCGCAGGGTCGGAACTGGGGGCAGGGCAAGGATTCGGGGCCGGTAGTCACCCCTAGTTTGGACCTATGCTGCGCCGCGGCTGGAGGCCTTGAGCAGAAGCATCAGCCGCATGTCTTGTTGCCCTGTCATACTGGGACGCTTTCAGAAGTCTGAAAGAACCACTATGATGATGATGGACAAAGAAGCAGCAACTGCTCGGTGGCTGCAAGCAAGGAGAGGGTATCTCCGGAAGCGGACAGCTGCCTCTCCGACGTTGAAGCCACTAATAATCAGCTTGAAAACAGCTGCTTCCTTTATGTCATTGTAGAGACGCAGTGCGCCCAACCTTGACGGTTGGATGCTCGAGACATCATTCTCTGTTCCGGGTATGTGATGTCTCGTTTTTCCTTTTATTTACTTGCTGCCACTGAACAGGGGTCAGCGGAGGTTGCTCACGCTTCGTCAATTCTCTTTTTTTTTTTTTTCACTTGCACCTTACCTTCTATCATATGTCAGGCGTTGGATTTCAATCCCTTGTTCGAGCCTGACAGCATGCGAAGGTGTAATCACAGAGATCGCTGTTCTTTGTTTGGCTTTATGATGATGGCCCGTCACCCTGCCGCTTTGAAAACAAGTTCTTTAGTTTCCTAACATTGCACGAATGATGTTTTATTCGACATATAATATTCTCAGTTGTTCCATTTGTAAGAGATGAGTTTTCGAACCAAACATCCGCCTCTCCGTTCTGCGTCACTTGCGCAATGTCGATCACGAAGCAAGCTCACCATATTCATCTTCAGATTTACAACAGGCGCCTGGAAGTTGAGCATGTACCCCCGACAAGCCTTCCCAATGGTCTTAGTTCCACCTGCGTCGTTTGCTCCGAGAAGTACAGCGAGATTACTCCGGACGAACTCCGCCGCGAAGAAGCTGACCGCGAAATCCTGAGGGGGGAAAATAAGAATCCCGGTCGGCCGTCTCCCGTACCCATCGTTCTCTCAGGCTGTGGTCATCACTTGTGTCTTGGATGCGCGTTGGAGCATTTCCATGGCTTGATGGAGGACAACACGAATGAGAAGGATGAGGCAGTGTTGTATTGTCCTGCTTGTCGAGAGCCCGCTGAGAAAAAGCACAAGTGGTTGAAGCTGCTGCCTAGTAGCAGTGGCCTTGTGGTCCGAAGGTAGGGATCGGTACTTCCGTAGCGCCGTCATGGCTATCTACAATGACTATCTCCTTCCAAGACTAGTTCCTTTTCGCATGATCTTTTTGTTCCATCTCGTGTCATGATGCTCGTATAGCTTGCAGGTACGTACGTCATTTGCTTACTGTCGCATTTCGGTCTCAATCATCACCAAAGATTTCCGAGGAAGGCAAGCTCTTTAAAAGTCGAACTGTTCTCCTCTGCAGCTTACGGATACTCAACTCCCGATCTGAACCACCCAAGACTGAGCGGGATGCTAACCGTGCTTTCATATAGATGATTTGTTCTCCCGTACGAGAACAACCCGGTGCAGATAGCTGAAATTTGACGGTGATCATACGTTACTCAATCTTGAGGTAGAGATCAGTCTCGCATTATCTACCTGCGACTATAAAAATGTCCCCCAGAGAATCCAATCATGTCTTTGCGAAAACCAGCCTCAAGATCCATCCACTGACAACAATGATACGTGCCTCGCAGTCCAGTGTTGCAGACATTCACCCACCCTTCAACAACAAACCTACTCATAAGTAACCTCAACCTCGGACGAGCTCGGGATCGAAGCCGAGGTCAAGACGGAGTTGCCCTGCTTGATGTCGATGAGGGTGGCATCGCTCGTGCCGACCGTCTCGGTGGTGGTCTTGGCGGAGGCGCCGGTGAACAGGACGGTGCCGAAGTCGGCGAAGGCGACGAGCTCGCCGTTGGACTCGAAGTCCTCGACGATCCACTCGGCGTTCTCGCCGCACAGGGCGGAGCTGGAAGAGAGGGTCTTGCTGACCGTCTTGCCGGTGGTCAGGTTGTCGAGCGTGGCCGTCCCCGACGTCGACGACGACGACACGACCGACATGACGATGACGTCGCCCGCGCTGACGCTGAACGAGCTGAAGTCGTACGCGTAGTCGGGGTACCACTCATACCTGCACACACACACATCCCCCGTCAGCACAAACGAACACTTTCGCCCCTGCGGAGAGAAAGGAAAAAAGGAACTCACCAAGCATCATACGAATACGACGTCTTGCTCCCGCTCTTGGTCGCCGTGAAATCCACGCCCGTCTGCAGGATGGCCGAGCCGCACGTGTCGCCGTCGATGCCGACCCACGCCGACGCCGAGTACGTGCCCGCGGCGGTGGCGGTCGGGACGGGCACGGTGACGGTCGCCGACACGGCGGTGAAGGTGCCCGACGGCGGCTCCTCGTACACGGCGCCCGCCCAGTTGGACGAGTACTCGACGTGCGAAGTCGCGTTGCCGTTGCCGTTGCTGCCGGAGACGGACACGGGCCCCGCGGCGCTGCCGACGCGCGAGAGCGGCTGCGATTGCCGCTGCGTGCGCGTGGCGAGGCGCGCGGCGAGGCCGTGGCCCATGGCGCCGCTGGGAGCGGCGAGGGCGGCGGTCCCGAAGAGGGCGGCGAGGAGGAGGGTGGGGAACTGCATCTTTGCTTGGATGGAAGGATGGATTGCTGGGCTGTGGGAGGCGGAGCGATCGAGGGGTTGAAGGAGGGGGAAGTGCACTGCGGATCAGCTGGAGGCTGGAGGCTTGCTGGTGGTGGTGGTGGTGAAGAGCATTTCCTGCCATGGTGGTCTTCAGGGCCATTTATACATCTTCGTGGTGCTGCCTCTGTCTCTGTCTATCGACCCTTGGAGAGGTACCGGCTGCTGGAGCCGGGGCGGGATCTGGGATGGTCGTGAGAGGAGAGGTCAATATCGCGCGATAAGGCGCGATGTCTTGCCGTGTTGTCTTGTTTGAGCAGGTCGGATGGGTCACGAAGGCAGACGGACAGGAACAGACGCATGACCGGCCGGGTTCGCGAGAGAGACTAAGGGGCGGTGGGCATGGTTTGCGGTTTGATTGTGTCTGGAAGCGCTTCGAAGTCTGCAAGAGTATCGCGTGTGGGGTGTTTTCCCACATGGCGCGCCGTTGCCGAGCACGAGGTCGAGGCTTATCAGTGTCCAAGCCTTGACAAGAGGCGGTGCCGAGAGCGCGAGAGGAGAGCTTCGCTTTCCGCGCCGGCCCTTGGCGTGCTTAAACAGCCCGTTGGCCGGGACAAGTGTTTCTGGACTTGCTGCATTCGGCATGGCGGGCTAGGTGGTTATTCCCCGAGTGCGGGCATGCTGGGAAGACTGCATGTGAGGACGCGTATGCCTGCAGGCTAGTACATGGTCGGCTGATCCGACGTGATAACCGTTTCTGGTGTTTGGACTGGTGTGTACCTGCGTGTGATGCTGGAAGAAGCTTATAGCATCTATAGCTGGATCTTGCGCACACTAGGATACGAGACATAAGCCTTCAAGCAACGCTAACGGCCGACGTCTGTGCAAGTGTCGGCGTGCACGGATGACGTCTGAAACCACAGCTGAGAGCAGCCTTCGCTTTCCTCACCCATAGCATGACTGACTTCTAGCCCGCCGGGCCGACCGTGTCGTATCGCGTCATTCCCGTTAATATCGAGAGCGACCAGTCTCCTGCAGTCTCGCTGTGTGGTGGGGGTTGTCGCTGTTGTCTCGCCGGTTTATCGGCGGGGTTGTAGCCAAATCGGGAAGGTGGTAAATGCGCGCATGATAGGCGGATCCCTGTCTCGCATCTGGATATGGAGATATTCGGCTTGGACTTCTTTAGCACGACCACACCCCGCTTAGCTCTGTGGTTGCAAGGTGCTTCCGCGCATGATTCCAGGAGCTTGACTCGGGTCAAGTGAGGGAAGGAATCCTGCTTTCTCTTCGCACTGCATCGATTGCTCTTTGCATGAACGCCACTCTCAGTCTTCCACAGCCTTTTACTTGAAATTACGATTCGACCGCGCGCTATCATAGAAGGCTTGTACTCATGAGAGCCATACAGCGTGAAGATCGAAGAACAATCTCCAGTCTTATACTGTGTCTGTGGCCGACACGCACCATGATCTGACCACACCATTGAACTTTTGGGTGGAAACTAAGCGAGAGCGATAGTGCAAACATTGATCAAACTACCTTTATAGCGAAAGGACAATCGGAAGAAAGAAAATAACCCCTGACACAGAACGAGTCGGCGAGCAAACACATGGTGCAAATATTAGACTTTACCCAGAAACACCCCGAGAGATCAAAGCAAAAGGCAGAATACAAAAAAAAAGGAAAGCGAGTATTACGCCAAAGCCTAGCTTCCGTCTATCCTCCTCTAGCCCCGATCAATCACCCCCATCCATTTCCACGTCACTTTCCTCATTTCCTCTTCCTCCGTTTCGACTTCTTGCCCTCCTCGTCTTCCGTCTCCGTTTGTTTCGCCTTACTCCCCTTCCTCGTCTTCCCTCCTCCCTTCCCCCCCTGCGTCGCCACCGACATACTCCGCGTCACCCTCCCCCCCGGCGCCGCCGGCTCCGGCGGTCCCGGGGACACTTCTCTCCTCCTCTTCTTCTTCGTCGACGCCTTTGTGCCAACATCCTGATCAGTCTCAACAGCCGCTCCCGCTCCATTCCCTTCCCCATCCTCATCCTCCTCCTCCTCCTCCTCAACCACCTCAGGCAAGGTCGTCAACCTCCGCCTCCTCCCAACGAGCCCCGCAGCCGCCCCCCGCGTCCGCGCCGCAGATCCCCTCATCCGCCGGCTCGTCGGGCCGGGCGCAGCGGCTGTACCTTGTCCTTCCCGCTCCACGCTCGCCCGTCTCGTCGTAGCTGCCGTCGTCGTAGTCGTAGCCGTCGTCGTCGTCCTCGACCTCTTCTTCGGCGGCCGTTGCGCCGCTGATCCGCCGCCGCCGTGCTGCAGCTCAACAGACCTGATCGGCGTGTCCGGATCCGCGACGTCGGCCCCATCCTCCTCCTCCTCCTCGCGCCGTCCACGCTTCCGCGAAGTGGCGGGTGCTGCTGCCGCCGCCGCCGCCGCCGCCGCCGCCGCTTCCGCCGCAATCGAATGCGACCGCGAGCGCGTCCTCCTGTACGGAGCGATCTGCGGCTGAGCCTGCTGCTGCAGCGCAGCCGCCGTCGCTTCCGCAGCGGCTGCGATCGAGAGCGAGCGTGAGCGCGTGCGGCGCTGTAGGATGGCCGGGTCGATGGGCGGCGAGTGCTGCTGCAGCAGCTGCGGGTCCGGCGCCCACGTCGAGGTGGCCGGGTTCAAGACGGGGTTGTTGAGGAAGCTGGGTTGGGCCATGGGGTGGCCGATCATGGCGTATATGCCTTCGGGGGATGGGAGGGTGCTGGGCGCGGCGCCGGAGGGGGGGTAGAGGAGGTATTGTTGCGCGGCGGATGGGGAGGGGTAGGCGGGTTGTTGTTGTTGTTGGGTCTCTTGTTCTGTAAGCGCGGCTTGCTGGTCGTCGAAGACGAAAAAGTCATCGTCGTATTGGTCAAGCAATTCTCGAACTTTGGGGGTGACTTTTATTGGATTCCACTGTGGGGTTTGCGACCTTCCTGGTGACGACCCCGACGGGGCTGCCGGAGTGGGTGTCCTGGGGCCGGCGTAGGTTGCGGCCTGGTTTTGAGCTGCGTCCAGGTCGGCCTGGTTTACTCTTGGCGATCTCCGGAACGGGATTGCTTGAGAGGGTGAAGTGTGGGGGAAACGCGTCTGTCCCTGAGTCGGTTGGGGGGTGCGTGGCAGCGGTGCTTGATTAGATGGTCTGGCTTTGCTGGGAACATTCCGCGCCGTGCTTCGCTCGGGCTGTTGTTGTTCCTGCTCTTCTTCTTGTGCACGTGATATCCGTTGTATGGTCTCCCATGATGGGCTCTCGCGCGGTATGAGGGGGTTTGACTGTTGAGTTTGGCGGGGTGTAGTCCGTGCTTGTCCTTCGTGGGTTGGCCGAGGAGACGAGTTTTGCGCTGGCTGATGACCCCCTTGACGATGATGTCCGTATTTGAATGGAATTTCCGGGAGATCAGGCGCTTGCGATGGGGCTCGTCCAAATGGTACACTCGAGACAAATCTAGGTTCGTTGGAGAAATTATTCTCCCAGTAGTGATCCGCTGCAGAAATTACGTCGTGCACAAGTGCTGTGCGACGCTCAACAGCATCGTTGCTCAACCCTTCGTAGTCTCGAAGGATAGAATCCTCATCAGTAGGTACGAAATCGGGTGCGATCTGCAGCTCGAACAACTCTCTTGATTTCCAAGTGAGCCTTTGGCAACGTAGCACAATTAGAAGAAGAATGGCAGAATGGAACCGACGAACTTCGTTCTGTGTGTCGTCACAAAGGTAAGCGCGGCGCTCCTCTCGCCACTGAGGATTCCGGATCATGTCCTTTTGATGAGCTTCGCCGCCAAGCCTCACTGCCGACCTCACATAGTCCAAGAAAGCCGCTGCGTCTTGGCGCTCTTTGTACCTTTCCAATTGGCCGCGATGCTTCTTCGGACATGCTATCATGTAAAGCCCAGCCCTTTCTACGTTCATTAGGGCTTGTAGAATCTCATCACTTAGCTCTTGGCCCGCGTAGTGAAAGACAAAATGCTGATCTTCGTCACTGGAGTGATTTGGCACGGTTAGATGCTGCCTTGCGGAACGTTGGCCAATGGGAGTGGCAACATACCTTTCGTCATTGCGGAGAGAAGGTTGGCCTCCCCCATGACTAGGGGAGTCTTTGTTCTTCCCTCCTCCTGTGCCTTTCCTTTTTTGGCCTTTCTTTTTGGGTTTGTTCGCAGAACCCCCTTTGTTGGCATTGGTAGACGCCGCTTCGGCAGCCTCGTCGCCTTCGGCACCCGCTTCGTCCTCATCCGCGTGCGGTCCGGCATCGGCATCAGAAGTGTTTGCAGAGACTTGTCCCGAGCGTTTTCCCTGAGTTTCCTTCCTCTGGCTCTGGTTCCTGTCGACACCCCAGACCCATGCCGAGTTTTTACTGGCAAAAGCCTTCCAGTCCTTCACTTTCGGATCGCTTCTATAACGATACGACTCGATCTGGTCGCGCTTCGCACACGCCTTCCGAGACCGGGTGGCGTCGGCATCGTAGACAAAGGGCATTGGGAACACGTGTCGGACATTCGGACCAACTTCGTTCATGAACGATTGCTGAATACCCCATTCTTTCGTATCCTTGACCCGCACAACGTGCCAAACCGTGTTTCCAAATATCTTCCGCTTCGTGTTCTTCTGGTCCTGCGTAAGCCCCCCGTTTGCGGCGCGGGTGCCGTACAGGGTCAGCGGGTTGATGCGGTCCATGACCAAGCAGTCATGCCTGGACGCCTGGATATAGTCGCGGTCCAGGTCCTTCTCGCCCCTCGTCCTCGCCGTGACGTTGAAGCCGCCGAAGCCGGCCGACCAGTCCTCGATCTTCTTCGCCACGCGAAGCTTGGGCAACTTGGGGTCGGAGCTCCAGATGCGCTTCTCGATCTCGGCCGCCGTGACGCGGCTGTCGTACGTGATCCACGCGGCGGCGCGCCACCCTTCGACGGCGCGCGAGATGCGGCGCGGCAGGATGGGCAGGTCGGCGAGCTCGTCGCCGTTGGGGCCCAGCACGGCGTTGCCCCCGCCGTCCTTGAGCACGGGCAGCTTGCGGCTGCGCGGCTTCTTCTTCTCCTTCTCCTTCCCCTTCCCTTTGACCTCGGCCGCGACCTCGACCTCCAGGGGCCGGCGCTCGAGGAAGCCGAGCAGCCAGGGCAGGTTGCCCGCGGCGAGGTAGTCCTGGCCGCGCACGAAGTCGGTGCGGTCGCCCGCGACTTCCTTGATCCGCTGCGGCGGGTCCCAGTAGTCGGCGGCCTGGCGCTGCGCGGCGGGCACCTCGCCCTTCGGCGTCGCGATGTCGCGCGCGAGCATCTCGTGCGGCTCCATGGCCCGCGGCTGCCCGTTCGCGCCCGGGGTCGTGTAGCGGGCGTTGAAGTCCTCCTTTGTCATGGCGGACGCGGCTGTGTCGATCGGCGGCGCCCTGTTGAGCCAGACGGCGTTCTTCTTGTTGATCCAGTAGGCGACGCGCGCGGCTTCGTTGGCGTGCGAGGCGTTGGTCCGCTCTCGATCCAACCTTCTCTGCTTCTCGTCGTCGTCTCGTGGCGGGGAAGGGGTACTTGACGCGTCCGATGGGGCTACTATCTCGATATCTTCTGCATCGTCCTCGCTCGAATCCGAGTCGTCGTCGCTCGAGTCCGAGTCGTCCTCGCTCAAGTCTGAGTCGTCGTCGCTCACGAATTGCGGCTGCTGAGGAAAAGTGTCGCTCGTTTCGATATCTTGTGTGTCGGTGTTGCTCTCCAGGGCAACATCCACGCTCGATTCATCCTGGCTCTGTGACTGCCACTGCTGAATAGAAGGCGATGCTGGAGCGGAATAAACAGGTCCCCATTGTTCCGGTTGTAGTGTTGCTGGTTGGTATGACACGGCCCCTTGGGATGGAGCTGCAGGTCCATTGCCCCTACCAAGCTCCGGTCCCAGTAAGGCGTTGACCAATATCCTGTCGAATTCCTCGTCACCTGTACCATCTGTGATATTGCCTGAATAGTATCCGGCTTCGCTTTCCGAGTAGTCTTCTGACTCGTCCGTCATTTTGTCTCAATGAAGCCGTACGAAACTAGTTCACCACCACAAACAGCACTAGTAGTGGCAATAGGATATATCAAAGACTGCAACGGTGCCAGTACGGAGTCTAACACGCCCATAATTATATACTATTTCCACACGGCTTTCATTCTCATCTTCTCATCATTGTCCTTTGTGTTGTGGTAGCCGAGTGTGGATATGGGCTGGATATAAAGATGCCCACCAAATGGTCTGGGCAAAGCCTTTCATCTTGCATCCGACTTCAAAGAAACTCCATCGCCGGATTTGACTGATGGATAACCCCTCCGCATTAAGGCTAGTATAATCTCCTTCACTGCTTTGCTACAGGAAAGATGCTGGAAATTATTTTTGTGGAACTGAAAGCTGATGGACGCATGCCAAGAAATCTGAACGGCGGCCCCTGTCCCAAACCATACAACACTGACCCGGCATCCAACCATCTCTTAGTCCCAACCTGGAAAAGAATGATATCCAACTGATGACTAGAACTACGATCGCTCATGCTCTACATCCTGGTTCTGAGAAGGGTTTTGCGGGAGGTGAATGTTGCTGTGACTCCACACAGTGGAATTATGGTTGGCTGGAGCCTGAGAGCCAAATCGAAGGGCAGGATCAAAATTGGCAGTATGCGCAGCCGAAGGAGACCGCTGGGGACGCCCGTGATTTGCTGTAGCCGTCTGATCGGTGTTCGCATCCGTGCCAGGAAGAGCGTGTGAGTTGGACGACTCGGCAGGGCTGGCAGTCTGCGGAACCGGGCGCTTCTGGTTGCCCTGCTGGGAGCCAGGTCTGGCAGCGGGCTGGACATTCCACCTCCCGAGGGCCCACTCAACATCACCGCCGCCCATAGCCAGCACATCCGCCGGCGTAGGGCGCTCCCTCGGTGCCCCCGATCCCATCAGCCACATGCAGAACGAATCCTCCACCACCTCCACCATCTCGCCACACTCGACCCCATACCTCTCCGCCTCCCTCCTCTTCCCCTCCCACACCGCCAACGCCGTCTTCCGCCCCCGCACACCCCCCTCAACCTCAACCTCCCACACCGCCGTCGCCCACATCGCCCCCTCCCCACCCGGCTGCCTGACAAACACCCCCCTCACCGCACACCCCCTCCACAGCTCCCACACGCAGTTCCTCGCCACCCTCTCCATCCCCAGCTCCCCCACGATCCGCACATCCCTCTCCGTGACCCCGCCGCCGCCGCCACGCCCGGCCGCCAACGGCCGATGAAACGCCATCCCCGCATTGCCCTCGCACCACGCCACCACCGCCTCCGCAAGCGCGTCCTGCACCGCCTGCAGCCGCCCCATCGTCGACACGACGCGCATCCGCGCCGTGACGTCGAACAGCGTCGCGCACGGCTCGTAGCACAGCCACATGGCGACGCGCCACGGCTCGACCGCCGTCGAGATGGAAGGCGGTAGGATCAGTAGGTCGTACAGCGGCTGTCCGAGCGCGCCGGTCACGGGAGGGCCGTGGTTGTCGCGGAAGAGCGGGAGCGGGACGGTGGATGCGGCTGAGTGGGGGGGCGCGCTTGTTTTTTAGGACTGGGGGTTTGTGGCTGTTTTGGGGAGGGGGGACTTACCGCTTTGGTAAATTGGCGGCGCGGGCTGTTCGAGGAGACCGAGCCCGATGGGGAGGTTGGATGGGGCGGCCCAGGCTTGCAAGGGGTGGAAGGAGGTGATGTCGAGCGGGTCCGCGCCGTGGGTGGGCGGCGTGATGTAGTCGGTGACGGGGTTGTCGTGGTTGCGTGGTATGTCATTGTGGAGGCGCACGTGTGGGGGCAGGTACTGGTGCTGGGCCTGCTGCAGGGGGTGGATGGGAGTGGCTGTGGTGGGCCACGTGGGAGGCTGGTCGATGCTGTCGCTGCTGTCGCTGCTGTCGCTGGTGCTGGCGGTGTGCGAGGCGGTTTTGCTGCGGGAAGTGAAGTTAAACGTGTTGAAGTGCGGGTCATAAGTGCCTGCTGCCAGCTGCCGGCTACACCTGCGAGCAGACTCATCCGCGATGGAAGTGTTTGGCACTAAGACACCCCCACCGGATGTGTTCGAAGCTGTTGAAGTTGCGGTCGGTAGCAATGAAGGTTGAGCAGAAGCGCTGGGAGAGACGCGAGCCTCCGCCACGGGATGCGTCCTCGGCTGTTGGTCTGGCATGCTGCGTGGTGAGGTGGGGGATGTGGAAGGTAGGTTGTGGCGGACGCGAAAGGCTGTGGTGTCATCTGCCGGCGCGCCTGCCGTATCCGTGTGTGGACCTTCGGTTTCCGGAGGAACCTAATGCCCCAGAGGCAGGTGCGGACATGTGAGCAATACGTGGGCAGTAGAAGCCGATGTAGCTTTCTCAGCTGTCACATATAATCAGAGCAACTGTCCGTACGTAACTGTAAGCTTTCCGAGCTCCCATATATAGGTGCATGAGGAAAACGTCCTAATGCAGAAGTAGGATATTTGAACCGTTATATATAGTTACTTGTAGCAAAGGTGCGGGCGTATATATGAGTTTAGAGACTCCAGACCCATGCTTCAACTAACCACAGGGATTACACAGCGGACCATCATACGCAAGTCGCGGATAACACTCCATCCAACCACATACAGCACCCAAGAGTCCACCAAGGCCTCAATGCACTACTGGAAAACGTAGACATTGGACAAGCGCGCCACCATTCATCGTTCTAAGCGTACAGAGCTTTCGAAGACCGCTTATCACTTCTAAAAGATAAAGTCCGCAATTCAGAAGCTCTCGCCGGGCGCCCGGATGAGAACTGGTGGATAGCAAAGAACAATTAGGGCGGGCCATGTGAATGGCGATACTGTACGAATTCAAATCAAGAGGAAGAGAGATAAGAGGAGAGCTGGCAGACCCTCTTATCATCAACACCGACCATTGAAAACTTCCAGGTAGATTTCTACAAAGTCATCCAAATGCCACAGAACATAAGAGTATAAGTCACGAGCGAGCCGTTTGGTGGATCTGTTTCCAAACAGTGAAGTTGGACTGCAAGCTGAGTGTATAAACCGGGCAACTAAGTTGGAAACACGAACCGATTCGTGAAATTGCTTTCATCTACCCATTTGGGTGAATTAACTGGGGGGCCTCGCCCATGTCAGTTTCTCAGAAATCAGCAAAGAATAAGCTAGTCCCTCCGTCTGAATTGAAAATGGCCAGAACCATCCTTTGTCCTTGATCAAAGCGCCTCAAGAAGCGCCACGTCGATCCCAGCCCTTTGTATTCCTGACGCTTCCATCAATGCCTTTGAACGTCTCGTCCACTCTATTCTCCTCTTTATCCCTCAACACCACCCTTTCCGTCGCCGCCCTGCTTCTTGTCCGGCTTCGTTTGCGTCGCAGCGGCGGCAGCCGGCTTCGTCGCCTTCTGGCCGCGCGTCTTCGGCAGCTTGAGCCTTCCGTAATCGTCGAACAGCGGCTCGACGACGCTCTCCGCCGTGCCGACCGGTCCTCCGTTGGCCATGGGCGCGCAATCCGCCAGCGACCAGTTGCGGCCGACGCGCTTGTCCAAGCGCCAGCGAGCGCGCGGATCCTGCGTCTGTGCTAAGTGTTATCAAGTCCCAACCGAAGGGCACTGCTCTTTACACAAAGAAAAGAAAAGAAAAGAAAAGAAAAGAAAAGAAAAGAAAAGAAAAGAAAAGAAAAGAAAAAGCAAAACGGCTAGACGGTGAGTTGAGAAGGGAGAATGGATTGAGTTTGTTCATCGACTTACATCGTACGGCACGGGCAAGTTCACGGGCGGCATCTTGCCGGCGTGTCCGAAGCTGCGGCGCCACCATTCGGCGTAGCGCTCGCGCTCGCAGGCCAGCGCGGCCTCGGGAGTCAGGACGGTGTAGATGCGCGGGTCGAAGGGCGCCTGTTCGTTGGCGACGTGGAAGATGGTCATGTAGCCGACCGAGGTGGTCTTGTCGGTGGCGGGCGGCGTGGTCGCGGCGCTGCTGGTGTTGAGCGGAGCGGGACTGCTGCTGCGGACTTCGGCGGCACTGGAATGGCTGAGTGAAGTACGAGACCGGGTGTTCTTGGCGACGGGCGTCTTCGTCTTGTCGTCGGTGGTGACAATGTCGGAAGTGTTGCTGCTGGCGCTGTTGCCGACGTCGGGCTCGATCGAAGCAGCACCGGTAGCCGGTTCCTTACCAACCGCGGTGGCGGTCTCGTGCGCCTTGTCAACCGCGTCGTGGATCTTGATGGGGGAGTCATGGAGGTCCTTGGCGCTGCTACTTCCGTCGCTGCCATTATCGGCAGGCGTGCTGCTATCAGTGACGACGACTGCCGCCATCTCACTAAGCTGTTCTGCAGACGCCGAGTGTCCGGCGCTCGCGACGGCTCCTCCTTCTCCGCACTGTTCGTCGGCGTTCTTCTTACCGTGCTTGCCACCTCCGACTACGCCGTACTCGCCGCCTTCGAGGTTCTTGTTGAGCACGTTGGGCTCACCCGCGTTGGTGCGCGGTCCGACATCAGAAGACTCCTCCACACCGCGGTCTTCGGCGACAGTAACAGTCTCATTCTGGGCTCCTTCCATAGCAGCCGAAGAGCGCTCCTCACTCGAGACCTCACCAACACTCGCGGGGGTGGCGGCAGAAGCAGAGGCCTCAAGTGTAGCAGAAGAAGCAGCCGCCTCACTCTCACCTGTCTCACCCTCACTGGCCTCACTGGCCTTACCCTCACCCGCATCCCGCGCCTCCCTCTCCCGCTCCTGCCTCTCCACAATGGCCCTCGTGTCCTCCTCCCCCGTGATGCGGCCGGCCGCAATCATCTGCGCGCGGATGCTCGCCTCGATCTGGGCCATCATGTCGCGCTCCGCGGCCGAGTACGTGGGCGCGTCGGCGGCGAGGTTGCAGCAGCCGCACGTGCGCGTGTCGTGATCGATGGCGGCAGCCGCACTGGACGACGACGACCCAGCACCACCGGTGGCGGACGTGGTTTTGTTTTTGCCTTTGCCTTTGGCTTTGGGCTGCTTGCGGGGTGCCATGGTGGTGGCGGCGGTTCGTGGCTTAGAAGGGTGTTTTGCGGAGTTCGGTCCTTGGATGGGACGGGAAGTGTGTGTGGATGTGGAAGGATGGGTGAGGGGGGTGGAAAGGTTGGGTTTTATGTGCGTGTGAGGGTATGGGTTGGGGTGAGAGCGCGCGCGTGCGCACGTGCGGTAGCATGCGAACGCGCGGTGCGGGTGCGGGTGCGCCTGCCTGCGGTAGGCCGTCGCAGGCGAGGCTGTCTGGCGGCTCTTGCTGCTCTGCTGGTCTAGTACTGGAAGGCTGTAGAAGCGGCGGGAATCGTTAATTTCGTGGGCTGGTTCCTAGATTATTCGGTAGGTGCGGCGGATGCGGGCGGGTGAAGAGCTTGTTTGGCCAGCGGCTTCTTCACTTGCCGATTACACGAGTATTTCACGTTTGGGTACATAGATCTTGCAGGTGAGTGATTTGTGTATTGAGATCCTCTGATTCCCAGTCGCATGAGGATATCTTCGCAGCAATGGAAGCAAGAAATCGGAACAGAAGACGCTTAGTCTCGTGCACCAACGAAGGCGTCCGGTCACTTAAACTTTCTCTGCGGTGTAGTAGACTCGACGACTCATATGGTGGACCCTCAGCATCTAATTCTGCTACTACGCTTGGATCTGTACAGGTTTTGCTTATACGGAGCTTTAGACTTCGAGGCGGGCTCCAAGTAAGCTATGAAGATGAAAGATGAATCCGCCACTCGTGCGGTATCTCGCATCCATACGCGAGGTTTCCCAATTTCCGCAAAGATCTGGAAGAGTCTAATCTTTGATGGGAGGGTTTACAGTCCGCATGGCCAAGGAATTTGTAGCCTTAGTGAAGCTGTACGTAGGCTTCGTTTCCCGGTCGTAGGCGCAGCGGCTTGTGCTTACCATCGAAGCGCTCGTCCTATTCAACTGTAGCGGAAGATATCGGTTCTAGAGCCTCACATCCTGCGGCATCCCGCTTCTGCTACCGGTCTTCGAGAATCTCGGTCAGCGCCGTCAGAAATAATCTGTCATGGCCTCCCAAATGCCGTATCAGCAATGGCAATCTGTGTGTTTGCAAATGGTTCCTCGATTATCTTTGATTGTGAGCTACAGAATCTACCATACCTCTGCCTCTGAATCTCCCAAAGAGATCAATGTAAAGAAATTCTGAACGGTCTTTGTAATCCCGTCGCAGAACAATAAGCCTTTTCCGCCATCCATATCCCAATATCGGTATAACCCCACCAACCATTCACATCCCAATATCGGTATAGCCCCACCAATCATCCAAGCAACCCCTCCAAACCAATCCTCGACGCAAAAGAAACCGTTACAGCCCCATCCACAACCAACCCGTCGTTCCGACCACCCCCACCATCTGGCATCAACTACCCCATCACCATCTCCACAAATGAACCTAAACCCCCCTCCCTTTCCCCCCAACCACCATCAACGAACCTACCCCTCCCTTTCCCCCCAACCACCATCAACGAACCTACCCCTCCCCCTCAGCCCTGCCTCCCACCCACCGGCCACTCCCCATCCCCGTTACCACCACCCGCACCCGGCGGCGGCCTCATCCCCACCCTCCACACCGCCGGCATCCCCACATCCAGCCTCAGCCTCGCCCACACGTGTCCGGGCGGCGGCGCGTCGTACGCCGCCTCCACCGCAGCCGCCGCTGTGGCGCCACCAACATCCCTGCCACCGTTACCACTTCCGAAAGTGGCTGCGTACCACACGAGGTACCGCTCCATCTCCGCGGCTTCGGCCTCGCGCGGCGTGAGGCGCGCGTAGGTGGCGGTCGAGACGCCGGGCGGGTAGGCGGCGATGGCGCGGAGCTCGTGGGGGGTGAGAGGGGTTGGGGTGGGGTTGGGGTTGGGGGCGTGGTGGTGCTGTTGCGGGGGTTGGTGCTGCTGTTGGGTTTGTTGTTGCTCGGGGATTGGGAGGTGGCGTGTTGTGGGGAACAAGCCGGGGGAAGAGCGCAGGATGCGGTCGCCGAGGGAGACGATCTGCGTGAGGAGTTTGGCTTGGGCGGTCTGGGCGATTTGGGTTGACTGGGCTTGGGCCTGGGTGTTGGCGCCGCTGTCTGTGTGAGAGTTGGTCTCGTCGACGTGCGTGGCGGGCGTGGCGGCCGTGTTGGCCGTGTTGGACGGATCGACGGCGGTGCCGGCGGCGGGCTCGGAGTCGATGCGGGGGCGCTTCGACGTGGTGTTCAACGCTATGCTCAGAGATGCAGCGCGGGGGCGCTTGTGCTGGATGGTGCCGCTGTCCTGGTGCCCGCCGGCGGCGCTTGCAGAGGAGCTTCTCTCTTGCTCGGAAGTTGTCTGGGTTGGAGCGGCGTCGGGAAGGTGCTCGGCCTCGTTCGAGATGCTGTCAACTTCGCTGTTCTCTCTGTTGGCGCTAGTAGGGGTGAAGGTATCACGATCGCTGGGAAAAGTGGGCTGGATTTGCACAGTCTGCGGGCAGGGGGTGTCAGAATGCGTTTTCAGGTTTGGCGAGGGCGGGGGCGTTGACTTACGGTCATCTGGTGTTCGCGGACCGCATCCGCGAAAGCTGCCGAGACATCGGCGGAGCGTTTCGGCGTCGCAAAGTGCGAGGGCGTCTCATCATCCTTCGAAGAGGACTCCATGTCTACGTCAAAGTATGACTTGAAGTTGGAGCTCACGCCTGGAGGCGGGTTGATCATACGATCCGACTGCTCGCGCATCTCGGTGTCCTGGACATTTGAATTGTCTCGCTCAGAGCTGTGACGAGAAGCATCTGGAGGCAACTCGTATGTGGAAGTTCCGGGAGCTACAGTCAGCTTATCCACCGGCACAGTCGAAGTGTACGGATAGCTCGGGAAAGTGATGGAAGTTTGCTGCTGCTGAGAAGCAAATCCGCTAGGGCTCGAGGGATCAGTACCACCGGGTGCAATGGTAGTATTGAGCTTGATGTTATCGAGGTATGGGTTACGCGGGAGGGAACCTGCGCTCTGTAGGCCTGGGATGAAAGTGCCCTGTAGGCCTGGGATGGAAGAGGCGAGGCTCTGACCGGCACCTCCAAGGGACTGTGTAGCGCTGGGATGCTGTCCCGTCGAAGCCGCGTCGTCGCCATCCTTGTTGCTTCCATCACTCGGGAATATCTCGTTGCGAAGACTTGATCCTGTCACATCTATCAGTGGTGTGAATACGATCTTACCACGGCTCTCCAAAAGAACATACCTTGAACGGGCGTCGCGTTGTTCGGTCCGCTTCCCTTCGGATCGGCCTTCTTGGCGCGTTTACGCGGGGTTTTGGTCTTCTTCTCCGCTGAATCTCCAGTTTCTTCTGCTTTCTTCTTGGACGCAGGCGTCTTCTTCTCCTTCGGTGCTCGCGGTGCGGGCGAGTTCGTAGTGTTCCTCTTGCGCGGCGTCTTGCTCGTCGGTGCTGCACTGACTTGGTTGGCCTCGCTGTTGGGGCTGCGCAACTCGCTCTGCGACGACATGACCGGAGGAGCGGTCACGGGACCCATCGCACTCTGGCGTGCAAAAGGTAGAAGCGCGGCACTTGGCTGAGGGCCAGTGCCTGGGACCGGGGTGCCCATGCTGCTGTCGTGACCTGCGGCGGACGTCGTGTCAAGCGCCAGGAGCTGAGCTTGAGTCGTCATCTGAGCGACCGTGGTATCCGGAGCTTGCGCAGCCTGAACAGCGTCACTAGAGCCGGGCTCGGCCGGTGACATGGTGTCGCCCGCTGGCTTCGTTAAGAGATGGGCGTACCAAGCGTCTGGTCCCAGACGTGCGCCCGGGGACGGACTGCTGGATGGAGAGGAAGAAGAGGCCGCGGCGGCAGCCGAGGACGGCTGAAGGGAGTCTTCTGCCATGATTCGTTCGGTGCGCGCAGTCGTGTCGTGGGTCGCGGTCGTTGTCTGCGCAGCGCGTGTGGTGTTAATGTCACTAGCGGGCGTGGCGGCACCTGAAATCCCGTCCGTAGCCCTACCCGCGGCACCTGATTTCTTCTTCGGAGACTTTGCCCGCTTCGTTGTGGTACCTTTCCGCAAAAACACAATTTAGTGGCAACAAATACTCTCCTCCTTACGACGTGAGTGAGCCAACTTACCAGTCTTTCCTTTCGACTTCCTCCTCCGCTGATGGTTTCCGTACTCGACGTCCGTCTCGCATTCCTCAGCCGACAGGTTAGCTTTCACGCAGCCCGCACACGGCTTGCCACCAGTGCAGCCCTTCTTCACGGATTTGCAACGCAAGCATCGCCGGAGAAGCGCGAGCCGTTCAACATCAGTGTCACTGGACGCCGCGTTCGTGTCGTGAGGCTCTGTCGTGACGGGTGTCTCCGAGCGACGAGAGGCTTGCAGTCCTGGCTTGGGGGTCTTGCTCATCTGCTGTTGATTCGACGCTGTGAGATTAGCAATGGATTGCTGCTCTGTGGTCGGGGTGGTCTGGGAACCTGTGGCCAAGGTGGCAGTGGTGGAAGGTCGCTGCTCAGAGACCACATCTAGCGTGGAAGTGTTTGCTTGACTTGTTTGCTGCTGCTCGCCTGGCTGCTTGCTCGACTGCTCGTCCGACGCGATGTTTGGGTTGCCGGACAAGAGGGTCAGGCCCGGAACACTCTCCTTGTCTTGTAAATCCATGGCGAGCTCGAGGCAAGGTGTGATCTTTTTGACTTGACGGGCAGTACTGATTGGGTGATGGTCAGAAAAGAAGATGCAGTGGAGAGAGATGTTTTGAAGATATGTGACCTAATAGTGATACTTTATCACGTGCGGCTTCTGACTGGTCGACCACGCTAGTGATTCGCCACCGAGCTCGAGGATGCACGGGGCACATCAGATTGCGCTGCAGGTGAGTCTTGGACCTCGCTGCCGTTCTCACTTGGTCTCAATGTGAGAGCTGTGTCTTAGAGCCTCACCTAATTACTTCATCTCAACCTCAAGCAAGAGTAGTTGCAGTAGACAAATCCACAGAATGCATTTTGTTCACTCGTCGAAGATGGACTGCATCAATTAAAGATCAAGACCTAGAATCAAGATATGAGATCTTCTTCATCCAGGCGCGGAGGTTCAGTACGACGAGGTCGTTGCAGGGATGTGAGCGAGCTAGCCGTGATAGGCAAGCGCCGCTAAGCTAATTCCTACCCAACCTGAACCTCACCCTTCCCTTCCCTTCCCTTCCCTTCCATGTTCTTTTGTTCCCCGGGAATACCGCAGAAATACCCACACAATCGCCGTGCAGAGAAAACCCCAATTTAACCATCATCAAACCACGCATCCAAACAGCATGCGGGCCATCCGCTTAAAGAAATGCAGCCGGACCAAACCCAAGACCCAATACCGTCCAACACCTCACTTCGGAGGCACCTCCAATACCATCGTGTGTTCGCCAGAGTCGTGCACCAGCTGACACGATACTGCACCAACACAGTCTCACTTTCGCTGCTGCTGACGCTGCTTCTTCTCCTGCGCAATCCGTGCTTCTTCTTGCTGTCTCTGCGCCGCGTATGTCCCAAGCGAGATGGGTCCGTCCGGTCCGAAATCGAGATTGAGGTGGAGCGGAGGAGAGTACCGCCTAGGCAAATGCGAGGAGACGGCGGCAGGACTGTCGCTATCACCAGGCGCCGGCGTAGAGTGACGAGTGGCGGCCGTCGTCGTCGTCGTCAGCATAGTCGTCGGTCCGGCCGCAGATGGAGTGTTTGAGCCGCTGCGAGCGTCGTGGAAGGCCGGCGGGCTGCAGTTCTCGGACACCCCGCCGTCTCCCTTGTCCTCTGAGTCCGACGGCACCTCGTTCGTACTCTCGTACCGACAATCTCCCCACTTCTTGTTGACCCGACAGCAATTCACGCACGGCCACAGCCGATCGCACCCTCTCTTCCTCTTGGTCGAGCACTCGACGCAGATATGCGCATGCTTGACGCCGTGGATATTGATGTTGTTGGTCTTCTTGCCGCCGCGCTCGAGGGTGAGGTGATGCAAGCGCTGCGTCTCCTGCGAGCAGCGGAAGTCGGGGTTGGTGGCGGTGGGACCGTAGGGAGGTGGGGGCGAGAGAAGTGTGCGCTTCGTTGCGGAGCCAGCGGCCTCGATGGCGGGGGTCTCGGTGATGGACATGGCATTTGTCATGCCTTCGATGTGCGCGGTAGCATCGGCTGGCTTGCTGGTGGAGTCATCGCCACCCTGTTGGCTGTCAGCGATGGCGGCAGCTTGTGCGGCGGAGCGCGCGCGCGCGGCACGCCGGGTCGTCACGGCGGGAGCGGGGGCGGTCGCAGCGGTCTTGGTGTTGGCGCTGGTACGCGCGACAGAAGACAATCTTGATGGCGCGTAGGACGGCTCTCGTGAACGCGGAGCGGGAGGCACGGGTTGAGGCGCGGGCGCAGGCGCGGGCTGCGCAACCGGGTCTTGAACGTGAGGCCGAACCGGGTTGGCGGTGTTATCTGTAGGAACTAGCGGATATGGAGAAGGATACGCTGGCTTGCCCGAAGGAGGGAGCGGGTAACCTCCATGGTGCATCTTCTGCTCGACTTGAGGTGTCGGACTTCCCGCCTGACCGGGATGCGCGGTAGCGCCGTGGTGCGGCGGGTCTGAACTACCTGCATGGCTGTTGACGGGTTGCATCTGGCCGCCGAGTGGGTTTGGATAGTAACCGGGCGGCATCCAGGCATGTGGAAACTGTTGCATCTGCGGATGAGGAGGATAGCCGGGGTATGGAATCTGCTGGAACTGAGGGTGCTGTCCAGGCTGAGGGTGCTGCAGGGCGCCTGGATGGACCTGAGGACCATCCGGGGCTGGCGCCGGCGGAGGTTGTTGGAACTGCCCCTGCGAAGTTTGGTCACGCGAACTGTTCTCAAGCTGCTGAGGCGGAAAGTTGTGAGGATAACCTCCGTATCCCATCGGCGGGTAGTAGGGTGCGTAGGGCGGGTTGCCATATTGAGCGTATGGCTGAGGCGGGTTTCCGACGACCTGTTGCTGCTCCGGGTGAGGTTGAGACTGAGGTGGAAAACCGAAGGCGTACGGGTTGTACGGCTGGCTCACATGCCACTGAGCTTGAGGATTATCTTGCTGCTGTTGCTCAACCTTCGGCTCTTGTGGTGGGCTTCCCTCAGGCGGGCCCTGCGACAGCCTATAGTAGGGTGCGCCGGGCTGAGTCTGTCGATCATCCGCATCCATCTTCTTGCAAGGTCGAAAAGGTGGAGAAGGTGGAGGAGGATGAAGGGTAGAGGCTCGAGGAAGCCCTTTTGTAGACGAGCGTGCCAAGCGAATGTCAGTGACAAGTGAACGCGGCGCTCGATTCTTGAACGCTCTGCCTTTGAGCGGGCAGGCGCATGCTATGATCGGCTCCAAGAACCTTCGCGGCGTGATATCGGGGATGAATGGTCACCCGCCGTTTGCTACCTACAAGCGCTGCATTTGGGGCGGAGAGTAAGATCCAATGCACGTGATGATTTGTGCTTGATGAAACTATGAAATAGAGCTATAACAACGCTCACCATACAAAGCAAGCTATCTGTGGCTCTATGAAAGAACGCGCGGAATCCCATACCGCACGGTGTGGCTCGATGGCCTTTGGCGTCTCCGACTATAAAACACAAAAAGAAAAAATAAGAAAGCACATCTGTCAAATCCAAAGATACAAAGAAAATTCAAGTGATACAGCGCTAATAAAACAATGGAAGCTATTACTTCTCCGCCCATGTGCTACACCATTTTCTCCCCATAACCTCTTTTTCTACTGAACCAGCTTCGTTCTACGGGAGTAGCTCTCATCTCATGCCGCGCCTATTGGTCGTCCTTCATTTGAGAAGACCTCGCTTCCGCTTCCGCCTTCACCTCGGCCAAGATACTCCCCATCTGACCAAAGCTTGCCATAGGCATCTTGAACGAGAACATGGTGTTGTTCTCATTGTCCACCGGCGAAGAGGGCGAAGAGGGCATGGTGCTGTTCTCGCTGCCCATCTCTGGCGACGAGAGTGTCGTCTTACTGCTCTCACCATTTGTCTGGGGCGAAGCCGGCGTCGTGTCAGTCTCACCACCATCCCTCGCATCGTTGTTCGAGCCATAGAACCCTTGGACCCGCTGCAGCACCTCCTTTCTGTCAGAGCCCGCCGCCTGAATCAACTCGGACGTCTTCTGCCCGATGCGCCGCAGCGTGGAATCCATGATGCGCTCCATAGCCGTGGGCTCGCGACCAGTCGCCAACTCCAGCTCGAGCACCGCATCCGCGCTGCCGTCGTCGTCCTCCTCCGTCTCCCGATCCTTCACATCGAACGCCTCGCGCTCGACATCTTTCAGCTCGTACCCCTTCCTCGTCGCAATCGCCCTCACCCCCTCACGCACCTCAACCGGTATCGTGCTGCCCACACGGCCCCCCCGCGGCACCGCCAACCCCATCTTCCTCCGCAACGCATTGCACTCCTTATGGCTCTCCCTCAGCATCATGCCCAACGCATCCAAATTCCCAAAATAAAACCGCAGCTCCTCCCCCCACAGCTCCCGATCCCTCACACAATGCTTCCGATGATGCTCCACCACCCCCCGCTGCTCCGCGACCACGCGCTCGGCATCCAGCATCGCCCCCATCGCCTCGCACCACGCCGCATGCAGCCGCCTGTTGCACTCCCTGCCGAACGCCGCGAAATCGGGCGTGATGGCCGACCAGTGGCACAGCAGCTCGCCCTGCAGCTTCGCGACGCGCGCGCGCAGGACGGGGACCTCGGCCGCGAGGGGCCGCAGCCGCGTGGCTTCGGCGGTGAGGTGCGCGATCTGCGAGCCGGACACGACGGCCAGTTCCCATTCGAGGTCGTTGATGTCTTTTTCGTGGGAGGCGAGCAGCGCGGAGCGCGCGGCGAGGGTGTTGGAGAGGGTTTGGATCTGGGCGCTGGAGGCGTCGGCGGCGGCGGTGGCGGCGGCGGTGGAATGGTTGGAGTCGGGCGGGGTGGTGGTGGATAGGGTGGCGATCTGGGCGTCGCGGGAGGCGAGGAGGCGGTGGAGGTGGGCGTTCTCGTGCACGAGGTCGTCCCAGCCGTCGCGGTCGAGCTGCTTGCTGAGGCGTTCGATGGCGGTTTCGTAGCCCTTTGCTTCTTGTTCGCGGCGCTCGGCGAACTCGATGAAGCATTCGCATTGCTTCTCGACTTCGGCCAGCTCGGCCTTGGTGTGGGCGTGCTCCGCCAGGGCGGACTCGAGCTTGTCGATTAGGTCCAGCCCCCTGTCGGCGGCGAGCAAGGCGCGCTTGTCGGCCTCTTGGGCCTTTTCGTTGGCAGCATCGAGTGCGGTCAGGCGGAAAGAGGCCATGTCGCAGGCCTCTTGCTTCGCGGTGCATGCCTGTTCCTTCTCGTAGTTCGCCTGGGCGACCATGTCACGGAGCTGGCAGCACTTGTCGTGGAGGTTGTCGCGCTCGATCATGACCTGTTCATGGCTCATGCGGTAGTATTCCTTCTCTGCAGTGATTTGATCCAGATCTCGACTCTGGAGGGCGCCAAGCTGCTGGTTCAAATGGTCGTTCTGAGCCATCTGTTTTTCCAGCACCTGCATCAGGGCGTCCGTCTCGCCCTGCTTCTGGCCGAGCTTGGCATTTGCCGCGGACATGGCTTCACTGTGACGCCTGGTGCGATCTCTCTCCTGGACAACAAGGTCAGTACAAGAGTACTTGTTGTATTTGCCAGTCAGCGGGTGGGTATCCGGCTTACTCTGCTGTTGAACTTCTCCTGAAGCTTCGTAAGTTCGGCCTTGAGGTCATCCAGCTCGTCCTCATGCTCCTCTTGGAGCTTCTTCATCTTCTGCTCGTGAAGGGCATCCGTCATGCCGTAGTACTCGCCGTCCTTCTCGATGTAGCCGAGGACCTCGCCCCAGACTGGAGCGGGTGCATTGTCGGCCTTGCGGTTGCCGCCGTCATGGACAGCACGGGAGAAGGCTGAGCCTGAATCACGTAGGCAGTCGTGGGCCAGGAAAACGAAACCCTGGACAAGGTGGAAAATGACCATGCCAAGGGTGACGAGCAGCATGGAGCCCATGCAACGGCCGATGCGGGCTGTGATCGAAGCGCGACCACACTGGGGGTTGGTGTTTTCAAGCATTGCGTCGGGGTTTGTGGGAGCGGTTGCAGTGCTCGGGTGGACGCAAGTCAGAAGGTAGATTGAGGGAAGAAAGAAGGAAGAGGGTAGACGGAAAGTGGTGAAGGGCTTAAGTAGGGCAGAGTAACAGTGACCGCTGTCAAACCCCACAGGCAAAAGCCGGCCGGCGAAAGCCCATGTGTTAAGTGACAGGCTCTCTACGAAAGACTTCCGCCTGGTGTTAACCGTGCTCGGCGTCGACTCGTTCGGCACAGTCGAAACCACCTAATGTAGTTCTCAGGAACACAACTCACTTGCGTCTGGTCCACTACTAGAACGACACAACTTGTCATCCCTTAGTATCTTACCAACTTCTCTCAGATCTGCTATTTGGAACCACTGTTGAGTACCCAAATATCAACATCTACTCATGCCACGTCAACGTGGGCGCTTGAAGACGTTGGGCACAAATAGTAGCAGTCAGGGAACTCCGTTTGAATCCTTTTTTTTATTCTATGTTTTACAACTATATAGTCCTTTTTCTAGTTTTCCATAAACCAAGCCACTAATCAATTTCTCAAAGCGGGACCTATAGTCCAGACAAAACAGTGAGTTGTGAGAAACCGCTAACATGCTAAACGGATGACAAGAGTAAAGAGCGCAAGACGACAATGCTCGAACTTATCTTCTCGCGACATCCCTAATTCCTTACTCCTCCGCCACACCAAGATACGTCGAGCATGCGTTTCCGCCATTTCTTGTCAAGGTCCAGGCGCGGGAAGTTAGCGGCTGATCAGTTCTGCTTCGCGAGCTCAGCCTCCCGGGCCAGACGGTCCTTGCGGCAGTCCTCAAGAATGTCGCAGAGGTTGTTGTACATGCGATCGAAGACGGCCTCCTTGATGTGCTGGGTGCCGCCCTCGGCCCTCTCGCGTTGATCGACCTGCTTCTTCCACTTCATGCCCCAGTTCCACGTCTCAGCCCTCGCCTCACGCTCACGCTCGTACTGCTCTTGCAGCTTCTCCGCACGCTCCCACTGCTCTTGGCCCAGCTTGTGCACCTCTTTCGTTACCTTCTCCGCCTTCTCCGCTTTCGCCTCCATCTCCATCGCATACTTCCTCAGCGCATCAAACTTCTCCACGCTCTTCTCCTCCCACGCCTTCGCCTTCTCCCCCTCCGCCTTCAACTCGCCATTCTCCTCTTTCAACTTGGCATTCTCCCCCTTCAACTTCTCCACCTCTTCCTTCAACTTCTCCACCTCCTCCCCTCCAGCACCAGTAGCACCACCAACACCAGCACCACCAACACCCCCGCCCCCCATCGCCAACTCCTTCACCTTCCCATCCCTCCTCTCAATCGCGCCCCACAGCGCCATCTCCTTCTCCCGCGCCTTGCGCAGCTCCTCCTCCGCCGCGCAGATCACCTCCGCCTTCTCCCGGCCGGCCTTCTCCTCCGTCTCCTTGACCTTCAGCAGCAATTCGCGGATCTTGTTCATGCCGAGCGTCTGCGCCTCTTCGCTCGCCGCGAGCTGCGATTCCAGGGCCGCGATGCGGGAGTGGGATCCCGCGGTGGTGGTGGTGGTAGCGGCGGATGGTTTCAGGGTGGGGGGGTTGGTGACGGTGCGGGCGAGGCCGCCGACGCCGCTGTCGTTCTTGTTGGTGTTGTTTTTGTTGTTCTTGTTGTTGGGGACGTCGACGGCGAAGCTGACTTGGCGACGAGGGGGAGCCGGAGCCGGAGCGGCTGCTGTCTTGGTCGGGCTGCTGGGGGGCGTCGTGGACTTGGAGAAGTTGATGACGGCGGTGCCGGTGGCGGCGGTGCCGGTGGTCGTCGTCGTCGTCGGCTTAGACTGGGTGGTGGGAGCGTCGCGGGACTGGATGGGGAGCTGGGTTTGGCGGGGATTGAAGGATGGCGTGGGGTTTTTGTTGTTGTTCTGGTTGCTGTCGATGGTAGCGGTGGTGGAGGGGTCGGAGCGCGGATGCTTGAGGGTCGGACGCTCGATGACGCCGCCGTGGCGCTTCTCCTGGGCGAATGGGGTGGTGCCGCCCATGACGACGGTTTGCGAGAAGATTACTTTCATGTCGTTGTGGTTGTGCTTGTTGGGCGTGGAAACGGTATCTCCGGTGGTGTTGGCGGCCTGGCCGGCCTTGACCCAGTCGGAGAAGCAACGCATGCTATCGGAGAGTTTGTCCGTCATGTCTGCGGACGGGTTGGCGTGGATACAACGGGATGGTCCTGCTCAAATGTAAGATCATAGCGCGAAATGGGATGGGGTATGTATCTACCAGTATGTTGATTTAAGATCAGAGAGCGCCGGTCTCTTCTTGGTCAGAAACGCGGGTGGATTGGTAGATGGCAGCTGTCTTGGACAACGGGCGGAAAGTTAATCTTAGTTGAAGAGGGTTGGATGGGTCCTGAAGAAATTCTGAGTATTTTGTAGTTGGAAGCTTCTGTGACTGGACCCGGGGGAGGGGCTTGGATTGAGCGCCACGTCCCGTCGCCGCGGGTGGTAGTTTGGATTGCGCCTGACAACCCTGGTGTTAGCAGATCTAGAGTCGGTCATGGGGTCCCGGTGAGCCAATATGCAGTTTCTGAATCCGGCTCACGATGATGTCAATGGTGTTATTGTCAGCACATGATCATTTAGCTGACACCACAGGCAACGAAGTGTTCTCTCAAACCTCAATGATGAGACGACCAACGTAAGAATACGTACAAACTCAGCTTTTCTTAAACTGTAGACTGCGTAGAAGTCATACGCTGATAGATCTATGGAATATAGACTGGTGTCAGGAAGTGATACTAATACCGCAGCGTACAGGTACATACAAAAACAATTAGAGCAAATCAGCCATAGAGCTTAACTGCATTCACGAACTCTTTTCCTTTGTACCACGAATGTAACCCGCCAGCGTAGTCTTCCTGTTAATTCCCTTTGATGAGTTTCTCATTCTACGTGCCGGGGTCAGCGAATGGGTCGTGAAAGCCCAAGAAGTCATTGTTTAGCAAGATTGAATATATTACAAGTGTCTTTGTCTATCTGACAATGCGATGCAAAACATACAAAGCTGGATTTACACCTACGATGCGTTTACTGGAGGATGTTGCTTTGGGAGACGTCTGATGAAATTTCTGATCAACTTGACGCTATCGATGTAATGACAGCAACCACTCGCACGCTCATTTTCTTCTTCTATGTGTATCAACAGCTTTGCATGGGCGCCCACGATTCACTCAGTGCTGCCGGCTTTGTGCTTTGTTTATATCAACAAAGTCCATATTTATCGCCATTAATATCAAATGCCATTTGACTAACAGATCACATACAGAGAAGAGGTATAGAAAATTAAGAAAGAGAGGAAGATAATGCACAAAACACGACGCTAACTCTTGTAAATCCCAAATCCTAGGCTGAGCAGCCTATTTTTTTCCACCTTGATGTGCCGATGCCCGCAACTCCAAAGCAAGTCTAAACTACCCCTGAACCGTTCGTGCAGATCTGATGTACCAGCTAGAAAGACTCTTCAGCCAGGATCTGAGCATCTTCGTTTTCCTTCAACACGGCCGCACGAACCTCCTCGGCGGTCTTCCTGCGCATCGCCTGCTCCTCCTCAGACCTTGCATCAGCCAACTTCTGTTCCTTAGGATCCGTCTCCAAGTCCAGTGGCTCCGGAATAAACTTTTTGCTGTCCTCGGAGTCCTTTCCGTCACCCTTCACACCCCGGAAAACTCCCAGCATCTTGTCCAACACCCTTTCCACCGCCTTCTCCGCCGCGGTCATGGGACGATCCCAGAGGGGGGCCTCGCTGTCATCGGCAGGCTCCATGATCAGCTCGTCCAAATTGTCGCAGAAGTCGAAGTCCTCCTTGATAAGCCTGTAGTTGTGGACCTCTGCCATCCTCTGCATCATGTACCGCATCCTGACTCTGCCGTACTCGTCCTGTCCACAACCACCGTCGACGACGTAGTTCTTCGCGGGCAAGCCGGCCGCCTTCCTGATTTGCACCATCTCAGCTGCCAACTCATGATTCCGCTTGTGCAAGAACGCGATGATGCCGTGGTTCGCCTCGGCCTGGTCGTCTCTGTCCTTGGCCAGTCGCTCGCACATCGCATGCTGGGTCTGCACCGCCTCGGCAGCACGCACACGGGCCGTCAGCGCGTCGACGCCCATCTGTTTCGCATCCAGCTGGGTCCGCAGGTCCGCCAGGATCTCCTTGTAGTCGGCCGGCGCCGCGTCGATCTGGGCGTCAAGGAGCCGCTCATCCAGGTCGCGCACATCGGCCTCGAGACCGGGCACGCGCTCAGCCTGCTCCCGCAGACCGGCAACCTCAGCCTCGGCGCGCTCCGCGGCGGCGGCGGCGAAACCCTCATCAATGGATGCGGCGTCGAGCTTGTCCTTGGTATCGGTGAGCTTGTCCTTGAGGTTGACAACCTCGTCCCTCAGCTTGGCGATGGTGTCGCGGTCGGCGGCGGCAGCGTCGACGAGCTCCGCATTGGTGGCGACCAGCTTCCTGCCCACGCCGATATTGTGGTTGCACGCCTCCATGAACTCGCGCATGTCCTCCGCCAGTCCCGCAACCACCTCATCATTCGTCAGCTCCGCCAGCCTCGCGACACTGACCACGCCCTCCTCCCTCATCCTCTCCACGACCCCCACCGCCCTCCCCAACACATCCTCCGCAAACCCCCTCGCCTCGCGCGCCTCCCTCTCCGCCCGCTCGACCCGCTCCTTCAACCTGACATTCTCCCCATGCAACCGCACGTTGTAGTTATCCACCGGCACCCGCTCCGCCAGCAGCGCCCGCACGTGCGCCGCCTGCTTGCGGTTGCTCCACCGCTCGCCCTCGGCCGCGGCGCGCTCGCGCACCAGCTCGTCCTGCAGCCTTTCCACCTTGCCTTCCTGGACGTCCGCCCACTCCTCCCACTGCTCGCCGCGCGCGCGCTCGCGGCGCTGCGCCGAGCGCGCTTCTTGCCACGCCCGCTCGTTGTGCTCGGCTGCGCGCTTGGCCTCGTGGTAGGCGGCGCTGTTGTGCGCGTTGGTGGCTTCGAGCTGGTGGATGTGGGCGCGGAGGCGGGCGATTTCTTCTTCTGAGGAGGAGGAGGAGGCGGCGGGGGCGCCGGAGCGGGCTTGCGCGAGGTCGGAGGTTAGCGCCGTGTTGGAGGCGATGAGCTGGTAGATGTCGGATTGGGCGGCGGAGAGTTGGGCGGCGAGGAAGCTGTTGGAGAAGGGGGGAGGGGAGGAGGACGGGGGAGGGGATTGGGATGGGGAGGTTTCTTCTGCGTCTTCTTGTTCTTCTTCGGATTCTTCGGATTCTTCTTCTTCATCATCATCAACATCTTCTTCTTCATCTGTGGTGGAGGAGGGGAACGCCTCGGCGTACTTCTGAGACTCGTCGAAGGCAAAGGGACTGAGGAGGGTGGCGTGGCGGGGGTTGTGAAGTACGATGGCCTTCGACGGCGAAGACGGCGGCGAGGCGATGGCGTTGTCGTCGGACGATTGGAGCTGCTGCTGCAGGTGCTCGCTCAGCTTCCGGACGTTGGCGACCTCGATCTTAGTGGGTCCGTTGAAGTCGTCCGCCTCATAGTCATCGTAGAATTGACCCTCCTGATCGTTGTTGTTCTCCTCGATACCAGCCTCGGAGCCTTCCTGCTCTTGCTGTCGCTGCAGCATTTCTTGCAGACGCTCGCTGAGCGCGTTGATGTCCACGACCCTGACGGGAATGGGGGCGTGGATGAAGCTCGCCTCCTGAACGTCGAAGGACTCGTCCTCTTGGCCATCAGGGCCGACGACGTCGTTGTGGATCTCGAATGCTGTCTCCTCGAAGAACTGCTGGCTCGCATACGAACCCAGACCATCCCGACCCACTGCACCATCCGAGTCGTCGATGCAGTCATCGTCAAGATCCTCAGCCCGATCCACGACAGAAATCTTCAAGCCCGACATCATCACAGACAACTGCTGGTCCGCGCCATCATCAACATCATCATCATCCTGTTGACACGCAACATCCTCCTCCTCCTCCTCCTTGTCCTCCTCCTCCTCCTCCCCCTTCCCCTCCCCCACCTCCAAGACCCGTACCCCCCGCGCAGCACCTCCCACCACCAGCTCGTCACCGCAAGAACCGCAGTCATCATCATCCAACCAGTACACAACCACGTCCCGATGAGGGATCGCAGGCCCGGCGTCCGACGAACGGTCCTCGCAGCAACAATTACCCGCCTCAGTCTCACGCACGTCGTCGTCAATCAGTGGCTCGCGCGAGCCGTCGTTGTCTTCATCGTCGTCGCCATCATTCGGCCAGTACACAACCGCGTCCCGATGGGGGAGCACGGGCCCGGCGTCCGGCGACGGCGAAGGCGAAGGCGAAGGCGGCGGTATCGATGTCTCGACGCGAGTCTGCTCGTTTGGAGTGCGCGGGGGCGGTTGGGGGGAGTGGTAGTCCTGGGAGTTGGGGGTGGAGTCGGGGGTGGAGTCGGGGGTGGAGTCGGGGTTGGAATTGTGGTCGGAGTCGTTTTCGAGGGAGAGGCGGAAGTCACCGCTGGCTAGAGGGTTGGTGTCGGAGATGTTGGTGTCGGTGTGGATGACTGTGTCTGTGTCGGAATCTTCCTCGTCGTCCACCCAGAGGCGGAAGTCGTTGCTGTCTAGCTGGCTGGCGGGAGGGGGGGTTTCGGTGTTGATGACCGAGCCTGTATCGGAATCGTCATCCTCGTCTAGCGAGAGGCGGAAGTCGCCGCTGGCCAGAGGGTTGGTGTCTGCGATGTTGTCGATGTGGATGACCGTGTCCGTGTCGGAATCATCCTCGTCGTCCACCCAAAGGCGGAAGTCGTTGCTGTCGAGCTGGCTGTCGGGAAAGGAGTCCTCGGTATGGACCACCGTACCCGTATCGGAATCGTCGTCCTCATCTAGTAGCGAGAGGCAGAAGCCGTCGCTGTCATCATCCAGTAAGAGGCGGAAGTCGCCCCCGTCCAGCAGGCTGTCAGGAGGAAGATGCTTGAAGTGGATGACCGTGCCCGTGTCGGACAACGTGTCAGAGCACTGCTCGTCCTCATCCAGTAAACCGCCTGCTTCACTGAAAGGACTGCAGGTTACGAGGCCCTGTCCCTGCAGGTTAGCCTGCTGACGAGCCTTGAGGTACTCCAACCGAAGAGAAGGGTCGATCACGATCGGTTCCACTTGGGGAGTGTGACGATCCGAGGCGAGGGAGGGACACTCGATGTCAGGCTGAGGGGATTTGGCGACGGGGCTGGGCAGATGGCGCGCCGCCTTGAAGGAAGCGTGGGTGCCTTCGAGTGCCGTGTCGATCTCATGTTTGAGATTGCGAATGACCTCCATATCGATGTGGCTCTTGACGAGCTTTTGGATGACCGCTTCATGGTCGGCTCGCTGACTGTGACCGGGCTGGATGGAGCTGACAGTCAAGACGTACTCGGCCTCGAAAGAAGCGATAGTGGCGTTGACTTTGACTTGCAGGCTTTTCAAAATGGACTCGTGGTTGTTCTGGATTGAAGTAATCTCAGACTTGTGCTTCGACTTGATCGAATCGAGCTGGGCCTGCTGTTGGCCCTTGGTCCTGGGTAGGATGATTGCACCCTTGATGATCGAGGAGTGCTCGTTGTCAAGAGAAGCAAGAGCAGCAATCACTTCAGCTTCGAGCTTGTCCAGGGCGGAGTCGTAGCCTTCCTTGATTGAAGTGACTTCTGACTGATGCTGCGCATGAAGCGAAGTAATGTGGGCCTGTTGTTGGTCCACGGTCCTGGGTAGAGCAATAGTGAGCTCATCGTTAGACTTCAAAGAGTTGAGAACCGAGGAGTACTCGTCGTCAAGGGAGGCGAGAGCGGTGGCGACCTCGGACTCAAGCTTGTCCAGCGCGGACTCGTGGTCGGCGATTTCAGACTTGTGCTGCGCCTTGATGGAGGTGATCTCTGAGCTGCACAGCGACTTGATGATGGCAATCTCAGCCTCGTGGTGAGATTGAATGGAGGCAACTTCAGCCTCATGATGTGATTGGATGGAGTCGATCTCAGACTCGTGCTGGGTTTTGATGGCTTCAAGCTCGCACTTTTGCTTCAACTTCATGGTCCGAATGCCAAGCTCGTTGATACACTCCATGGAAGCAATCTGGGCCTGACACTGGTCCAAGGTCTGGCGCCAAGAAGCGGCACGCCCTTTTTCAGTCTCCAAGAAGTTCTTGATGAGGGAGTACTCTTTGTTGAACATGTCGACTGTGCCAGTGAGTTCCTTCTGCAGTTGATCAAGATCGCGCTCAGATCCCTGCTTGATGGACGCAATACCAGACGCGTAATGGGCCGTCTTCGCCTTGACTTCCTTCTGACCCATCGTCTTGGCCACAAGGAGCTCGGAATTGTGCTTCTTGGTTAGAAGTGTGATGGTCGACTTCTGCTCAGCACGAAGCTTCGCGATGCTGGCATTGTACTTCTTCTCCAGGTTAGCCAAAGCAGACTTGTTCTGCTCCTGGAGCGAGGAGAGGAACACATTGTTCTTCTTCTTCCTCTGCGCGTGGCCGAGTGCCGCAGCGTGGGTGATCTTCAGGCGGGCGATGGTGGCTTGGGCCTCTTCCTGCACGCACTTGCTGCCCAAGAGGTCGGCGACCAGAGTGCTGATCAGCTCACGCAAATCCCAGACCTTGTTATCGTGTTGGATATTGGTGACGCCGCGGGCGTGGCCGTTGCGGTAGATGATGCCGTCCGTCTCCAGCCAGGTGGCGGGACGAGAGAAGGCGAAGTCGCCGGCATCCAGCTGGATGGCGGCCAGGTCGGGAAGTTCAATTGAGTCGTCGATAACGGTTGAGTCGTCCGAGTCAAATGAGGACGTAGAGCCGATCCTCACATGGGAAGACGAGTCGGGGATCCCGTGGGTGGTCTTTTCTTTACCAAGGGTGGGCAACGGGTGGATGCTCCCCACGATATCAGCATAGAAGTCAAAGCCGCCCTTCTTCGCGGGATTAGACTCGGCATGCTCATCGGCTGCAGGCTTATCCTCGGTGTTGTCTTCGGCCTGATCTTTGAGTGTGTCAGCATTCTCGTCGATGGGAGCGTCGTCAAGTGCGTCGGTATGCGTACCGGCAGTGACGCTGCGGCCGAAGATGCGCGGCAGCCCAAAGAGCGTCATCTCGTAGTATTGGAACAGGAAAGAAGCAATTGCAATCAAGATGAGGTATGGATGCTGGTGAGCGAGTGCTTTCAGGTTCGAGAGAGCGTTGCTCAGAGGTTGGTAGAATCGATCGTAGGCTTGCAATGTCGCGGGATTGTCCATGAGATGGAAGCAAATCACGACAAGAGTGGATCGAAAATTTTAGAGGAGGAGGGAGAGTGTGTCGGCGCGCCGCGGTGTTGTTTATATCTAACCTTCCGCCCACCAGCGAAGGTGCGCACAGGGCATCTCGCCAGCCACGACCTCGCCCTGAAAAGCGCGCCAACTACCTAAACAAGCATGCAATCATGCTTGAGCCACCTATGATGGCCGGCCTCGTGATACAGATACCCATGAGGTCGCATCTAGGGAACCGCATCAACCCTCGGGCAAGCTCAAGCGCGTCGTTTCCGACCCTAAGCGGCGATATGCCTGACTTACGTCTGAGAGACCCTCAATCTTGGGGCTCACATGCTAATGATAGCCGTTGCCAATGATATCTCCCATGCAGTATCAAACCATGGAGAGCTTCCGAACAGTACTTGGATTTGAAAACGTGGCTCACGGTCAAGATATGCGTTTATGTGTCACTGAATCCAGCTGCAAGTCCGCCGTCTTCTCCGCATGTACGGCTCCTTCACCAGGGCAGCGTGTTGCAATAGCCAATATTGAGGGGTTTCAATGCCTAGTTTCCCAACGGCTAAAAATCTATCAACACCATTCCTTCACCCAATTCAGTTCCGCGGTATTTCCATCCAGGTGCTTGTCGACTTCAGCTTCCAGAAAGGTAGAACTGAGATACCAAAAGTCGACACAATAGGGAGCACGACGCGTAGATTTGCGTGACAGATGAAAAGCCCATTGCCACTATAGCTATGCCGAAGACAAGAAGTACTGCTGTCTGAGATTGATTTCGATTCTGTGTATGAGCTCGTCGAGCTTTGCGGCTTGCATGCGGTTTCCGAAGATTTGGGAATCCAGACGTCTTCGCGGTCGAGGGGGTTATCGGCGGTATCCTAAACGCCCGCCTTGCTGCTGGCGGGCGGTGTTACGGAATACTGGGCACATGACTGCCGAGTGTTAGCTTTGCGTGAGAGAAAAGCGAGGTTACAGTGCATTGTGCTTTCCTCCAGAACGGTCTCATAATGCGTCCGAACAGAATTCTGCTTGGCAAATCGAGCCCAGCGCAGGAAAAGACGCCGAAATTCAATTGAGTGAATTGTTGACCGCCAATCGGGAACAGTTTCGCCACCAACTTGCGCGCGCTCGTCTGGCCGCCAGCGCGAATCGCATGGCCGCCCGCTCGCGACTTTCGAAGCCACCCTGTCAGCATGCGCCACCAGCTGATTGGTTGGGAGATCAGCGGCATCGCAATCACCTTTTAGGCGGGAAGCGCGAGCGCGACACTGGCGAGGGGGCAAATATCAAACAGGCCAGCACCGTGACTCTGAGCCTCACTGAAGATGAGAAACGCAGGGTATAGCGTGAAATCGCTCTCCAACCATATAGTGACGCAAGACCGAGAGCCTGCTGTCTCCACGCCCTTTTTCAAACCCTGGCGTCCGCACAGCATGCCGCAGCACAGTGAGCGTAAACAGCACAGGGGATCACGACAGCAACTTGCCTGTGGTTTTGGTTTCTAACTCCCAAGTTCCACAGACATTTAGATATATAGAGAAATTTCCAATTGCAACCTTGAGAGGATGTGACGGGGGCAGGTAATTCATCAGTCACTGGCCTCATGGCCGAGCTCGCTTCGTGGAGGCGAGACATCGGGATGGCAGCCTCATGCTAAGTCACTGAAAGCGTTCTCAAGCATGCATATTTAAACTCCATGGAACAACAGTTCATTGTTTCTAACATTCGTATCCGCTTGATGTAGGCTTGTAGCATAAAGCAGAAGTTCAATTTTGTGAGCAAACTAACAACACTTCAAAGATAAAACTGCATTCTTGTATATGGATCGATACGCTTACTACGCTAATAACGGAATCGACGCCACATTATACCCAATTTCAAATCTTTTGGGTTCATATTTAGGTGCCCATACAGCCATATTTGTGGCAACGAGCTATAGCCAACGCTATCAAAGATACTCTTAATGTTGTCGAAGCGAACTTCGCCAGCACCATCACCAATAGACCCTGCTTCCTCCAGCCACCTCAGATTCAGATGCAGATTCATCCGTATCAGTCTGTAATCGATGATTCCGTGGAAGGTATCGCCAATGTTCTCCATCGCCGTCAGACGCCGTCCGAAAATCCTCTCCACGCTCTCAAGCCTCTTATGACCGTCTAACTGCTGCAAAAACTCTTCAAACGTCATCGCATCTTGTTGCTCTCACAGCGGAACGTCTTCGTCCGTCAGATCCACTCCAAATATCTCCGCCCATTTCTCAGAGATCGCTCTGCAGGTGATATTGATTCATTCCCGCCACCCCCGGCTCCGGTGTCTGCGCCTCTAGCCAAGCTTTGATGCGACGCTCGTTGTACTGCTACAATGTATGGTCGTTGATATCTTGTAGTGCGCAGGTGACGTTTTGGCAGAACGTGGAAGTTTGTTGCGATGACGCGCTGATAGGTCTTGTGTACCTCAAAAACGTCCTCGAGAGCCCTGATCGTGTTCTTCGCGGTGTTCAGTTCATCGAAGACGCGAGTGAGGTGTCCAGACGGTGTTTTTCTCTTTTGTAGCTTTTTCCGACTTGCGGTCGTCGTGACGTTTGGCGACACGAGCACGAACGTAGTTGAATACCGCCTCAAGGTCGAGGATAGTGATGATATGCTTTGCATAGCCCGCGAAGACAGTTTGAAGGAATCGTTGTTGGCAAGCCGACTGGGCTTTCAGATCCTTGACGGGGCCCCCAAGGTGCTTGTTGCCAGTCCTGGTCTTTCCATCTCGATGAACAAATCTTTCCTCAAGCAGCTCCTGAACGCGACGTTCATCCATAGAGATGGTATATTGCTAAATCTCGCACAGCTTGTCTGTCTGAGCAAGTCGGATGGGGATCTACTCCGCAGACATGGGCCTCAGCTGGACTATCGGCGCCAAGTCACTGCGGTTGAATCTGGGCTCTTCGTGCTTTTTATCACTGTTATTTGGAAGAAGTAAAAGTTGTAAAAAGGGTTCCTATTGCAACATGGATACCTTCTGCGCTTGGGATAGCTTATTCGTCAGAGCAGGGTATCAAACACCCACCGGACTGCTTCCCCCTTCTTGCTTCCTGCCGTTCATCAAGTTCATTCAGTACAATTGATTTTTATCATCTATTGCAATGGTTTTTTAGGTGAACCCGAGGAAGAATTGGTACCGAATAGTACGAGCGAGAGCTCATCATCTCCTACCTTTTGTGGACATATTTCTGTTTCCTTAGCGGTTAGGATTGCCATTAAGCAGAGGCATGGATGGACTTGATGCTTGCGCCACATTTCCTGCTTGCTGTGGCTGGTCAGCTGATGGGTAGTGTGATCCTCGTTGACCTTATTCCGAAAAGGAGCCTGAAGGCGCGGAGGAAGGATTGGTGCCGTATTCGGAGGTGGGAGCGGTAGAGGAGGAGAAGTTGGTAGAGCGAGGAACGAGGGCCACAGGATATTACGCCGCAGATGTGCCCTTTATCAGGGTCGAGAGACATTGGATCCGGAAGAGCGGGCTGTTGGGAACATGTTGCCGTTCCACCATTCAAAATGAGCGACGACCTCACATCCTCCCTCTTGCCACCCTACTCTCTCCCCTCCTCCTCAACGCATGCTCTGCTGCTAGGGCCGTGCTTGCAGGCGGTTTGTTTGTAGGGGTGGCGGAAGGAAGATGAGGTGGAGGTGACTTTGGTAGTGCATTGGGGAAGAGGCCGTGGTCGGTTGGCGCTTGACGTGCCATTTCGGTGTTTATCACATGCAAAAATTGCTCAATGAACAAGAAAATTTTCCTAGTACTACTACTGTGAACATTGGTATACGTAAGCTATGATTTGGGTTAGGCTGTGCCATAGCACACATGCACGAGAATATGAACATGCGGGAGGTGTGACTTTCTTTTTGTAATTAAATAAGAGAACTATCTGTTTTCATGATATAAACCTAGACGCCACCGCCGAATCATAGCAATAGCTCCGCGCTGTGGGGTTGCAGCAAGAAGACCGAAGGGTCGATATCAAAACTCGTAGCGCCGTATGCCATACAACAATAGACCCAGAACACCAAAACGAAAAGGAAAAAAATTGCCGTCCTGCCGCTTTATGTAGCCTCTCTATGCATACCTTTGAAAGCAGTGGTCATTCCACTTGCACTTATTTTCGCAGAAGCACATCCATATCATCCTCAAAGGTAGAGGGCTGCATTCACGCCTCGCCGAACAAGCGGGCGGTGATGTCGCCCATGTAGGCCTCCTCGAGCTCGTAGTCCTGGCCCTCATTCTTGTCGATACCCACGTACTCGAAGGCCGAGACGACGCTGTCAACGTCGAAGCCCATGGCCACGAAGCGGTCGATGAGGTCCTTGTTGTAGCCGTGATACCTATGCTGCGAGTCAGGCAAACCATCATTTCCTACAAGCAAGTGCCCGGTATACGTACGCAGCCAGCTTCGCCTTCTCCTCCTGCGCCTTCTGCTCCTCCCTACGTTTCTTCAGAGTCTCTTGCGTAGCCCCGCCGCTACCACCAGCAATCTCCTTCTTCGGTGCACCCGCAAACTTGACGGCCCAGTCGCGTGCCTTGTGTTCGAACTCGGCCGGCTGCTTGAGGAGCATGCCGGCGACCTCAGCGTCTTGCGGATCCTTCGGCTCGGGTGTGCTAAGGAGGGATTGCAGGGAAATAAGGGCCGACTTGATGGTCAGGACGGGCGACCACGCTTGCGAGAGAGTGTCAAGACAGATAGCGCCCTACGGTCAGCCACGAGAACGGTCAGTGGGACGGCCAACATGAGCAAGTAGTATAGCACGTACGGTCTGCGAGCTAACGTTGGGGTGCCAGATTTTGGTCTCAAACTTCATAACGGGCGGCCTGAAGGGATAATCGGTGGGGATCTTGATGTCGATCGAGTACTCGCCGCCCTCGTAGGGCGTGTCGGGCGGACCCTTGAAGAAGCCTCGCAGGTGGGTGAGGTCATCATCGCGGTGGGTCTCAACGTGGATGCCCGAGTGGTGGTCCGACTTGATGTCTGCGATCTCCTTGGCGATGCGACGAGTGCGGTTGGAGGCCATGATGGGCAGAACTTCGATAGAGTTGTGCGATAGGTGAGAGGTTGGGGTGGAGCGAATGCACGCCGTTTGTGTCAAAGTGGGTGGCCGGGGTTGGCGACGGAAAAGCAATACGCGCTCTGGAGATGCGAACGCGGGAAGGTGCTCTGTTGCGCGCTTTTAGAGGTATGGTCAGCACGATACCGTGATGGCGGGGCGCATGCAGCGGCGGGCTCAAGTTGACCGCGGGAACAGTGGGTTCTGGAGCATTCACAACAGAACGAGTTGGCAGAGAAGCAAGCATCGCAGGAAGCGGTTGGGCACGTAAAGAATGCAAGGCTGCTGCAGGCGCAGCTATGGCGCAGCAGCGCCTCGTAGAACTCACATGCAGGTAGAATTTGAGAGCCGGGCAGAACTGAAGGGTCGAGGCTGCAACAGTGCCAGGCCGGCGCCAATGTGAGCGATAGATATACTGCTTGGGCGAGCAGGGCTGAGAGCGGTTCGACGTGGTCTGCCTGGTGTGGTTGCGGACAGCGCGTCCCACACCAATGACGACGGCCAGCGGTGGAAGGCGGCAGAAATCACGTGCAGAGTCCGCTGAGGCTCGAGCGCGTCAAGCCGGCCGGCGCTCCAGCTCCAACAGCTCCGACCAGCGATTACAACACCATCGCCCTTCGCCATCCGCAACCCCCAGCACCCTGCGCCATCCGCCCGCCGACCGGTCCCCACCCGCGTCGCTCCCTTTCTAGCATCTGCGTCCCCTCACACCCCCCCATACCTGAGAATCCGCCACCATGGTGAGTCGCCGCTGTGGCCAGCTGAGCTCCAAACCCGCCATGTTGACCACTACCTAGGGTGCGAATCAATCTCAAATGGGCGGCGGCCCGCCCGGTGGTGATAAAGACAAGAAGGGTGACAAGGTACGCAGCATTTACTGTCCCGCCGCCTCGGCCGCTTCGCCTCCGGCAATCTAGACACTGACAGCGACGGGCCGTGTAGAAGGATAAGCCCAAGTACGAGCCCCCGCCGCAACCCACCACCCGTATCGGCCGTAAGAAGAAGAGGAACGCCGGGCCCAACGCCGCTTCCAAGCTCCCGACCGTCTATCCTACCGCCCGCTGCAAGCTCAGGTATCTACGCATGCAGCGCGTCCATGACCACCTGTTGCTGGAGGAAGAATATGTTGAGAACCAGGAACAAATCCGGAAGGCCAAGGCCCAGGCTCAGAACAACGCTCCCGCATCAGCTGGCGGCGATGCGGATGCGATGGACAGGAACGCCGATGAGAGGAGTAGGGTGGATGACATGAGAGGTAGCCCGATGGGCGTTGGCAACCTGGAGGAGCTTATCGACGACGACCACGCCATCGTCTCGTCCGCCACCGGTCCGGAATACTACGTTTCCATCATGAGCTTCGTCGACAAGGACCTGCTTGAGCCCGGCGCATCCATCCTGCTACACCACAAGTCTGTTTCCGTTGTCGGTGTCTTGACCGACGACACCGACCCCTCCGTCTCCGTGATGAAGCTGGACAAGGCACCTACCGAGTCGTATGCGGATATTGGTGGTCTGGAGTCTCAGATTCAGGAAGTAAGAGAAGCGGTCGAGCTTCCTCTGCTGCATCCGGAGCTGTACGAGGAGATGGGTATCAAGCCGCCGAAGGGTGTCATTCTCTACGGTTCGCCCGGTACCGGCAAGACTCTGCTGGCAAAGGCTGTCGCCAACTCGACGAGCGCAACATTCTTGCGTATCGTCGGTTCCGAACTTATCCAGAAGTACCTTGGTGACGGACCCAGGCTAGTACGCCAGCTCTTCCAAGTCGCCGCTGAGAACTCCCCGTCCATCGTCTTCATCGACGAGATCGACGCCATTGGTACCAAGCGTTACGAGTCAACTTCCGGTGGTGAACGTGAAATTCAGCGTACCATGCTTGAGCTTCTCAACCAGCTCGACGGTTTCGATGACCGTGGTGATGTCAAGGTCGTCATGGCTACCAACAAGATCGACACCCTTGACCCCGCCCTCATTCGTCCTGGCCGTATTGACCGCAAGATTCTCTTCGAGAATCCCGACCGTAAGCCAGACACTTTCAAGATGCTCGAAGGGCCAGCTGCTAATCAGTACATACAGAAAACACCAAGAAGAAGATCTTTACCCTCCACACGTCCAAGATGTCCCTCAACGAGGACGTCGACCTGGACGAGTTCATCAACCAAAAGGACGACCTCTCCGGTGCCGACATCAAGGCGATCTGCTCCGAGGCCGGTCTCATGGCACTGCGCGAGCGTCGCATGCGCGTCCAAATGGCCGACTTCCGCACCGCAAGAGAACGTGTACTCAAGACCAAGAATGAGGGCGAGCCGGAGGGTCTCTACCTCTAAGCGGCGTCTCTCACGGGAATTGGACGGAGGTCTTACGTGCCAGAAGTAGTTGCAGGTTAGCCTTGATGAAAGACTCGACGGCATGGGTATGCTTAGACGTATGCAAGGAGGATTGATGCTGGATGTATTAATAGGAGCGTAGTTCACGAATGCGGCGCGCTGCGACGTTGCCGTTAATGCCTCCGCATTGATTTACCTCTTCTGATTGTCTTCCGTGTCTGTATTCTTTTGTGACTGGATTCACTTGATTTGTTGCTTGGTCAATGTTCAACTTGCCTCTTACCGTCCTCGCCAGTGCCGTCTTGTGTGTCCGCATGATCAAAGGCGCATTTCACTAAACCCGCAACCGAATGATTCCACACAACTTCCAGTATAGCTCAGCACGGCGCGCGGGCATGTGCTTTCCCACTTGCCGTGAATCGTCTCCTCATGGCTAAAGCGACGCACATGCACTCGCTGTCCGTGCACGACTGACAGATGATTATAGAACAAGGGCTATTCGAGCTTTGGAAAGATTCCTCATGGGCATCGAGCATTCACGATTCACTAACGATGATCAGTGGTAAAACTTCCGGCCAATCCCAGACACTAGATGGCGTGGCTTTCATTTCTCGTGACCAGGTCTTGGATCCGCTGCTTTTCTTTACCCGCACTGGTCAGGTCGAGAGCGCAGTAGTAGCGTTTGAGTTGTATCTGATGGACCTGGTCATGGAGGATGGTGTCATGTAATGTTGTGGAGTAGCAGCGTTTTGTGCATGTTGGTAATGTGCGGCATGTGCGGGACTCATCCAAGGTGTTGAGCAGGGACAAATTATATGTACACACGGAAGCGGCCACGGCCGCCGAACAGTGAGGGGCCAACTGGAAAGACCAAAAGCAGCAGTCAAGGGCTTCTTACCATTCTGTCTCTGCGGTGGATTCAGATAGCGGCAGTGGGTAAAGAGTTGTATTTGGGAGCGATGGCTTTTTATCTCAGCTTGTCGCCAGAGCCGGGCATTACGGGCCTGGTGCCATGTCTGCTCCCACCATTTGTGTAGGCCCAGTGACCACAGGATACTGCTGTTCTGAGAAAGGGATGAAAATCGTGGTCGCGCTGTGATGGTGGCCTCCTTCCTTCCATCTCGGAACGTCGGATATTGCAAAGTAATAACACACAAACGCTCGCCACTCTCGGTGTGATCGCCTCTCTTCAGCAGCTTGTCAACGACATCTTGGTAGAGAAAGCAGAAGCTGAAAAAGTGGTTGATGATGAAATGATATCTGAGAATAGATAGTGGTGTCCGTCACTAAGCTATTTCATTGATAAAAAGCACAGACAGTGGCCCACAGTTGAACTTATGCAGATGTATATTCAATTTTTTTGTCTCTTCTCTGATTGGTACAGAGGTACAGATACCCAAGTGATCCAAACAATACCAAAAACTAAGAAATTTCGACAGACCTGGGTATATCGCTCTCTTATCCTCACTCTCTCTCCGTTGCAGCAGCCACACTGGGCTAGGACTCAACAGCCAGATGAAGAAAAGTTGGAACCCCCCTCCTCTCCCTCAATACCCCTTGATGGTGATGAGGGATGACGGCAAGCGCGCGCTAAAGCACTTTGACCACCATCGGATGCTAACCGACATCGACCCCAATGACGATGAAGATGAAAAGCCGCCCCCACAATGACTCCCTTTTTTCCCTTCTCTATACAAACAGAAATCGATTACTCCCGCACGTCATTATAATGAATCATTACAGCGTCCTTGATCTTTCTACCGCCTTTCTGAGAGCCGTGACCTCCAGAGCTTACGAACTGAAGTTGTAGTTCTTAGTGCGGTAGTCATCGTAGGTGCTAGGCGGGCTCAGCGCCGACGGGGCGATGTGGAAAGCCTGGCTGTCACCCTGAGACGGCGACGGGCTGGGACGGTAGGCGGGGTGATCGCCGCCGTAGTGGTCATCGCCATAGCTCAGCGGTACACCGGGATGGCGGCCGTCGTCGGTATCACGGCCATCGACGAGCGGAGTGTAGATGGCGGCAGCGGCCGAAGCGCCGCCGTAGCCAGTGTTGCCGGCAGTGGGGAGCGGGGGCATGGGCGGGGCGTCGCCGAAATCGCTGGGGTCGTGATGGTCGTAGTGCGACGAGGATGTTTCAATGTCGTGCGTGTTGCTGCTCCACACGCCGTTGTCGTCGTCGGTCTTTGGTGCGGACTGGTAGGCGGTCGAGCCGCCAAAGTAGGAGGTTCCCTCGGCGCCGGGAGTCGTGTTCTCCTCGGCACCAACGAGGACGCCGGTGCGGCGGTAGACCGTGCAGTAGTAGAAAGAAATGACGCAGGTTGTGATGAAGAGGACACTGGAGAACAGCGAGTTAGCATATATATGGCGGGGAACAATCGAATGGTGTACGAACGTGATGACAACACCGAAGCCTACAGTGGCCTGGCTGAGCTTGCACTTGAGCTCAGGGCCGTAGGCAAAGGTAGTGCAGTTGCCTTTATCTGTATTTGCCTCCTTGGCGCCTTTGGCGATACCGTCCGAGTTCCAGGTTGCGACGCAGATGAAGGCAGCAAACCATAGGACCTGTAATGACCCGAGTCAGCTGTACTGCCCAGAGAGATTGTACGAGTGTGCCACGGGGCACTTACGGTGTAGATGAAGTCGACAGTAGCGAAGGCGTAGGCGTGTGCAAACCGCACTGTGCGGCTCCACATGGGCACGGCAACGAGATATATCAGGGCGGGCACGGTAACGAAACACTGCGAAAATAGTGTCAGCGATGGTTTCGGTAGGGGCTCAAGTAGAGAGGTGCTTACCAGAGCGAAGAAGTACCTCGATCTGCCGTCGGTAGTGCCATCCTTGGTGAAGATCGCGATAGTGATGCAGCCGGCGACGAAGATGAGAAGACCTTGGATGGCATGGCAGGCGGTCTTGGCCTTCTGGATTTTGCTTTGCTGGACGCGCATGGCTCTGGTGTGGAGGGTTTTGCGGAGAAGCGGGCAGGGAGTGCCTGTTTAGGCTGGGATACGAGGTGTGGGAGGCCGCGGTCTCCTAAGCTGAGCGGTAGAGCGGCTGGGAGCAGTGGTTGCGGTTGGTTGGTTGCGGAAACTCGAGAGCAAGCAGCGAGTGAGAAGTGCGGCGAGGGCTGAGGAGAAGAAGTAGTTGCACGGCGTTAGGCCTTGGGTCTCAGCCTCGATCGGTCTGCGTTGCGTAGGCGCAGCAAGAGGGTTGTTTACCTGAGGCCAAGGCCCGCTCATTGCGCGGACGGGACTCGTGTCGCGCCCTGCTATTTTCGCAGCCGTGGCGCAGTGAGGCTGATCCTTGACCGCCACCCCGGCCCGACACCGTCGGCCTCGCCGTGCCGGGTGCGGTCACGCACGCATCGTCGGGATTTGCGCGTGGTGGCCGCTTGCAGAAGAGCTCCGTGGCTCGTCGAAGGGGTGTGGGCAGCACGACGTCACCGGGCGCGCTGGCCGTTGGTCGCCCGTTGAACGTTTTCCGAGTCTGCGGCTCGGCGGCCTTGGGACCTGCAGCACGCCTCCCCTTCCCGCGCTCCGTGGCCCGTCAGCTCAGCCCCGTTCTCTTGCGTGGACGCCCCGTCAACAACCGGCCTTCCCGTTTGCGCGAGCGTTTTTGCTGGCATTAGCTATCTACATCATTTTACAGTCCTGATGACCCAGTTCCACAAGAAATTCCATGCGCGCCCACTACGCCAGTGCGCCTAATGATCTCCGGCTACCGCACAGTTTCCGCCAGTCGGGCCATCCCCCAGCCTCGTCCGTGGGTCGGGGAGAGACAGCACTGTGCCTCCACTCAGCCCCCTCTTCCCCGCACTCTGCCCTGCCCTGCGCGTAAACTCTGCTAGTCCTTCGATCTCCCGTTGTGCTGTGCATCGTCCCGTCCCGGTCCCGGGCTCCACCTAGTCGCTCTTGCCCTTCTCAATCGCCGCGTCGATATCCCTGGCGAGCGACTGAAGGTCCGCCTCGTTAGGGTCGAACTCGCGGGCCTGGGCAACCCAGTCGCGGGCCTCCTTCGCCCTGCCCATTTCCAACAGGCAGCGGCCTCTCCTCCACCAGGCTTTCGCGTTTTGCACCCGCTTGATATCGACGCTGGTCTCGGCGTCGACGGAGCCCGAGGCCCAGTCCTGCAGCGACATGTAAGCCTGAGCGCGGTTTGCGTACAGCGCCGAGAGCTCCTCGCGGACGAGCCCCGACGGCTCCCACTGCGGGCGCTGTATCGCCACATCAATTGCGAGCGTGTAGAATTTGGCAGCCTCGGCGTATTGTCCCTTCTTGAACGACGCATTTCCCGACTCGCGAAGCTTGCCGATGCCGGCGCTGCGCTTGGGGTTCACTGGCACCGGGGGCGGCGGGGTCTGGCCAGGCGTCTCAAGCGTGAGGAATTGCCGGTGCAATTGGTTGAGCTCCTCGAGCTCGCGCTGGACCGCCGGCGGGATGTTGTGCCCCGAGATGGCCTTGGTGTGCGGGTCCATCTCCAGCGGCAGTTGCGTGTACGTTTCCTCCTCCATGGCGGTCGTTGGCGGACTTGGGTTCGGTGGCGGAGCGAATTAGATGGGCTCGTGACTGTTTCGTTCGGCCGAGTCTGGATCTTCTTTCGCTTGGGCAGAGCCGGCTGCGGGACGTGCGCGTGGTGTGTTGACGTTTGACGTGAATGGTGTTGAAAGAGGACAGCACGACACGCACAGCTGCACGCAAGGGTTCCTACTTGGCGCTCAGCCACAGTGGCTCTTAGCGTGGCGTCGGGCCGCCCGCTTTTCCAGGAGAAACCCCCGCAAAGTCGTGCTTGGTGCTGCAGCATGTTCCGGCTGGCGGCCGGCCACGACTAATGATTCGCTGTGGATCCTCTCCATCGAGCTCCAAACACCCAGCCACCGCACAGGTCTCCTGCGAGCATCTGCACGTCTGCGCCGCCGCGCCCTGCCTGGGTAGCCGCCCAGGGCTCTGCCAACTTGTTCACCGCTGCCCGACTTGTGACGAAATGCTTCGCTTGCAAGCGCCGGACACCTCATGACTTGCCAGCGTGCTCAGCACACGTCCTACTAGCTCCATTCGCTACCACTATCGTTCAGCTAACCCCCAAGGCTGCTAACTCCGCTTTCCGAAGTTCCTCACATCATTGCTTCTACACTCGCTACTGCTACCATTCGGACCCCTTATCGCTCATGCCACCCTCATTCCCCAAAGGCCATGGCTTCCTCGGCCGCGCCGACTCGAAGAATCCCGCTACGACATGCAAGGGCGTGACCTCCGCTGGCCGGCCGTGCCGCCGTGACATCGCCGCCGCTAAGCCCTCCAAGAGCGGCGTGCTCGCAGTGACGTCTATCAACGAAAATGAGGGCGCCGCCGCCTACTTCTGCTGGCAGCACAAAGATCAGGCCGACAAGCTGGTCGGAGGCGCACCCACCGGCCAGGGCGGCCTTGAAACACACATTGAGGAGACGCACATCGTGCCGCTCCAACAGCGCAACAGTGTCGACTCGCTCGTCGGCAGGCTGGGAATACTGGACATGAATGGCAACTCCAAGCCAGGCAAGAAGCCTGGACAGGGCATTCAGCGGCCGCCCACCTGGAACAAGGTCAATGGCCCGCTGTTGTCTGTGCCGACGTCCGCCATGAACGGTCCCAAGCCCTCCGGCACCTACCGGCTGCCGGTGCAAAAGAGCGCGCCCGGTTTCTGGGCGAGCCTGTGCTGTCTCTGCGTGGGCGGCGACGACGAAGAGTACGAGATCGTGCGCCGCAGGCGGCAGAACGAAGCCGCCCAAAACCACTCTCCGGAGATGAGCCAGTCGACCTCGCGGCCTCCGCAGGGCGTTGCCTCGTCCCCCAAGCCTCCAGCCCCAACTTCGGACCCGGCGAACCCCACCAGCCGGCTGCTGTCGTTCATCCCCTCCAAAGTCTCGCCCCAGGTGGCCTCGCAGCTCATGGCCGAGGCCTCGAAACCCATCTCCGCCAAGGACGAGCCCGGCTTCATATACATCTTCTGGCTGACCGAGACCACGGGCGGCGGCGGGCCCTCGGACAAGGACGCCTCGTCCCTGCTTTCGCCCGGCCGGCCCAGCGCCGGCAGCCGCAGCCCCAGCGACATGCTGCGTCAGTACGGCGGCGGCAATGGCGGGAAGGCCGGCAAGAAGGGCGGCGACAAGTCGCACGTGATGCTCAAGATTGGCCGCGCCAACAACGTGCACCGCCGCATGAAAGAGTGGGAGACGCAGTGCGGCAAGACGCCGTCGCTCGTCCGGTTCTACCCCTACGTCCCCTCCCCGCGCGACTCGTCGCCCAACGACAAGATCGTCGCGCCCAAGGGCGACGGCACCGACGCCAAGGGCGTGCGGAAGGTGCCCTTCGTGCACAAGGTCGAGCGCCTCATCCATATCGAGATTGCTGAGAAGCGTGTCCTCCGCACGTGCGACGTCTGTGGCCGTGAGCACAAGGAGTGGTTCGAGGTCGAGGCTACCAGGGAGGGCATCGAGAATATCGATGAGGTTGTCAAGAGGTGGGTGAAGTGGGCGGAGGAGCAGAAGGTGTAAACCATTTCCAGATCCTTTTTTTTTTCCCTCTTTTCTCTTGGTGTATATGATATGGGACTGATATGGGACTGATATGGGACTGGATTCCAGTTGCCGCACAGCATGGTGTTGTCCCTTTCTTTTCTTTTTGCGGCACATGGCAGACCTGGCGTTTGGAACATTCTCTTGGGGAGGGTATACTGACCCGAACTCTTTTTTCTGCAAATGCATTATGGGCATAGACGGCGGATCATGGCGTTAGGGCTTCGATACTGATGTACTCAAATATGAGAAAACGAGAGATGGCATGCCTGGTGGACAGCTCTTCTCATTTAATGGATTCAAGATCTTTCTTCATATTTACGATTGAGAGACGTTGCTATTTAGCCGTTGGCCTTGTGACGTACACTTCCACCACCCGACTAGCCACGGTACGTTGCCGAGGATACTAACGTTACATCTCCTGCGAAAGACAGTTTCCTTCTCTACTTGGCCTTTGGACTTGGATCCCAATTTCCCATACGCCGCACGACGCCCGTACAGACACTACTCGCGGACGCACCCTCCGTCATAATAGGGGCTGGGTGACGTGTCACCCTGTATCACTATTTCTCAATCGGGGAGGCGGAGTGGAGGTACTTCGAACGTATGGATTTCTCTTCGAGGCTGACCGCTGTGGCCACCGCCTTTTGCCTTGGCCAATTGCAGACGCTGCTTTGTTGTCCTCCCCCTTGTTGTTGTTCTCCTTTGGGAAATAGGGAAGAATAGCTAGCTGTAGGGCCGTCTGCGTCTTCTCGACGTTTTTGCTTTGCCATTTCAGATGGCGGCGTTGGGGGTGTAAAGGCGTAGTCGCACAAGATCAGCGACGTTGATACGGTCACGGGATCGAGGAGAGCGTGTGGTGGCTTGGTGTAGCGTTAAGACTGTGAATGGGTGGGCTGGGGGGAAGGGGTGGCTTGTGCTGTTGTTGCGTATATCTGAACTCTTGCGTCCGTGGTGCCCTCGATGTTCTGACACTGAAAAGGTGGGAGATGGCTTTTCTTCGTCGGAGTTACGACTCGGAAAGGTGACCTATCGTTAGTCCCAGCCCGTTCTTCATTGGTGTGGAATGATGCGATCCCGTCGTCGTATTCTGCCGAGAGTGGTGATGAATGCGTGAGGGAAACCTCCAGTGACCGTAGCTGTATGATACGTCATTCTCGTGCTCTGCGGTGAAACATGGCAAGCATGTCGCTCAGAACGGCAAAATGGAAGGGAAGTTCGAACAGAGTATGCAGGCGGCCGATTTACAATGCATCAAGCCGAGACCATGCATGGGTAGGCATACTAACAGCATAAAAGAGATGAGTGGAAACAGAATTTGGGTGAGCGGTCAATCATTGGACGTGAATACTTAGAAAATGAGAGCTTGGAACAAAAAGAAAAGATACAGAGGTGTTGCGAAGGTCCGTTCTGTTTGTTCATACTTTCTTTTGTTTGTCTTCTTTGGTCGCTCTGTTTATTTATTCCGTAGATTGACTTCCTTTTCTCAACTCGTATGATCCGTCAGCAATCATACTGCAATAAATCACAGCTTAGAGATTTAGAAAAGCTGGGCATCTCAAGTGCCATTTTCTCCCTCCTGAAAGCTGGTCGAGCAGCTCTGGTGGCCGCCAAATACGGCAATAAGATGCGCATATATAACAGCAACAAGTGATCATCCATCGCGATCTCGGCCGCTCTTCTTCCTATTTTCCTTTCACACGTGGCTGGTAGCACGCCCCCTCATGCCTCGTGCACGTGCATTCCGTGCCTTGCAGAAAAGGAATGGGCGACCACGCAGGAACGTGTGTGGCGTAGGACAGGGCCCAGGCACATGGGAAAGGAATGTGGGCGAGCAAGCGGGCCATATCTGTCTCAGAAATCAGCCATTCCCGCCCCAAGCTTACTTTGACTTGCCTGCGTGGTTACTGCGACAGTCTCTAGTGACGCTCTACTTGCGACCGTAATTGGTGGATCGTCCGCGATGTAGCATGTAAAGGCTGCTTATGGGGTGCCTGAGAGAGGTGGACGGGGGTTATCCTCGAAACGAGGAAGCTGGCCGTGCATCCCTTAATATCGCCACTCACGAGATTGGAATTGCGCTTCCTGCTCGTACTCTCGCTCACATCACTGCGACGGCGGCGAAGATTTGCAGAGCGTCGGTTGTGTGAAAAGGAGAATTGAATTTGTTGTGCTACCTACAGGGACCCCCCGCTGGCGTGCTGGATATCTTATCGTTGTTCATGTGATTTACCTTTGTCCCCATGTCCTTTGTCGTTACTTTTCCGTCTCTTCCTAATCCTCAGCGCCCTGTTTTTTTGGTTGATCCCGTCTATTTATCTCAAGGAGAGATGAAAGTCAATTAAGAGATTAAAGATTACAGCGTGAAGAATGCCATGTATGCGTGTGGTTTGGGGGAAGAGCCTTGGGAAAAATAACAAAAAGGCAAAACTTCTTTTTTTTCTTTCATTTGGCAAAATCCACACAGGAATCTTGTGACGTCCGTGAACGAAACAACTATCTACAGAGAATGTTAATGCAATCCGTCGCGTTTGTCGTAGCAAAAGCCCGGCAGAGTCATGCATGAGTAGCATGGGGGAATCGAATATGAAACCGAGGCTTGAGAAGCCCCGAAAGGGTGAAGCGAAAAGGGTAAAGGTGTAGGTGATGGTTGTCTGGTGCCCTTGGGAAGAGATTTTTCGATGGGTAGTAAGGTCTTGGTTGGGTTTGGGTAACTAAAGGCTGGGTGGTATATAAAGAGGAAGTGTACAATCTGTTCTGACGAAGAGAGATGAATTGCGGTGGCGGTGCGGGGTGATAGAGAAAAAGAGACAACCAATCGACTCCCAGCCAACCCTTGGTCTATATGCGGAGGGGATCTCAGTTCAAAAAACGCCAACTCCCATAGTAAAGTAAGTGGTCAGGGTCGTAACGAAAAAATGTTTCATCCAACGACTTTGCTTGCGCATCCCTCTCTGTGCGTGCTGCTGTTCCTCCAAATCCAACGTGCTTGTCTTGAGCGCGACAAGGGTATCATCCAAAATCTTCTTTTCCAATCGTACGCAACACCAGCAACGCCACAATCATCCGCGTACAAGCGTGTCATGTGATTATGGTTCGAGATGGGCATTCTTAGTAGATGATGCCGGCCTCGAGTCCGCCGACGATGCCCAGGGTCTCGTCGACGGTGCGCTCAAGAGCCTCGACTCTTTCTCTAAGGTCCCTGTTCTCGCGCCAGACATCCATTTGGCCGTTGGTGTCGTTCATCTTGCCAGCTCCGGTAAGGATGATGGGCATGGCGCTGCCACCCATCTTGGAGTTGCGCTTCTTCTGCAGAGCGGCGTCGACGGTGCTCTTGCGCTTGAAGAGCGTCGGCTTGGACGGCTCGACCGGGCTAGGAGCGGAGGTGGGGGCGGTGCTCGGGGTGCTCTCGAGCTCGGGGATGTCGGACTCGCTGGCCATGCTGGTGGGACGACTGCGGTAGGCCAGGTCGTCGGTGATGGTCTCGCCCTCGGACTCGAAGCCTGAGTCGCGATCGCTCAGGACGCCGCTCGGTTCGCTGGAGATTGTGCTGGACGCGGTGCTCTTACGATTACACTTGCAAGCCTTCATGGCACGGAGCGAGACGATGCGGGCCTCCTCCTCGTCGGCACGTAACTGGCTCTCCCTTTCGAGAGCCTCGCGCAGGGCCTTGGATTCCTTTTCGCGCAGGTCGGCCTCGGCCTTGAGGTTGTCCAGCTGCATCTGCAGGCTCCGGGCATGCACTTCGGCCTGCTTCTTCTCCTCGATCAGGCCATCCTCCTCTAGCCTGGTGTCCTGCATGCACAGCTGCATCGCCTTGTAGGAAGACTGAAACTGCTGCAGCAGGGCGACGCTGGTCTTGTGGAGCTCATGGAAGGAGGCAGGGTCCTGCGGATCGGCCGGGCCGTTGGGGAAGAGGGCGCTCTCGATATCCAGCACGGACAGCGGGTCCTGCGGCATGTTGCGCTTGGGGCCGTCAGACTTGCGGGAGAACCATGAGGCGAATATGGAGTTGTTGTTGTTGGTGTTGTTGGCGTTGTTGCTGTTGTTGGCAACGCTCTGGGTGCTAGCGCGTTTGACAGACTTCACGGACCGGAGCGAGCCCGCGGTGGCGCGCTTGCTGGCGGTGTCCATGATATCGTCGTCGGAGTCGAGATCGGAGTCGGAGCCGATGTCTGACTCGCTGTCGTTCTCGGTGGGCTGGCTGCTGAGGTTGTAGGCGGCGTAGGGGCGGTTGAACCAGTCTCCTAAGACAGAGGCGCGGGATGGTTTCTGTTCGTCGGGAAGGGTGGTGGGATCGCGGCGAGAAGGGATGAAAGAGGCTTGCGACTTTGCTGGCGAGGGGACAGCGGCGCGGGACTGGTTTTGGAAGGCGGACAGCGAAGAGGTTGCGCGATCAACTAGCGGTCTGCAACCGTGGATGAATGCGGTGGAGAGAGCCTTGGGGCTCTGGCGAGCGCGGTGAGCGGGGCGGCAGTCGTCTTGCAACGAGAGAGCGGCTGGGTCGTAGCTTGTGTCTTCGCGGGTCAACAGAGCTTGCTCGGGCGTGTGCAGGCTAACATGGCAGAAGGGGTCGCTCTGGGTGCTCCGGTGCGGGCGAGAAGGGGAGCGCGGAGAGTGGCTCGGCGGGACGTGCGCGGGGGCTCGCAGCGAGCAGAGGGTGGCTTGTGAGCTTGCGGCCGCCGCCGGGCTTTGCAGCATTATTTCAATGGCCGTGTCCGGCAACCGCTTGCGCGCGACGCGATTCCTGGAATGCGGGGCGGGCGCGCTGGCGTCGGGCGGCCGCTGGGGGGCAGGCACGGCGCGGGACCCTGGGCTGAGTTCCAGGCGGTGGCGGGCCGGTGTTTGAGGCCGGGGATTCAGCCCTGCGGATAGCTGCAAACGGGCCGCGATAGCGATAGGGTGGCTAAGGCCGGAGGGGGTAATGCGCCCACGCGACGATGTGCTGCACGACCGGTGATGCTCGAGATCCGGTGGGTCACGAGCGGCGGCGGTGAGAGAGGAGAGTGTGATTGCGGTTTGAGCGTCGCCGGCGCGCGGGGCTGGTCGTCGTTTTCTGCCCGTCTCCAGCCGGTGGCCGGTGGTGGTGGCTGGGACTGATGAGATGCCACAGCTGTGAATCAGGTACTCCCGCAACGTCATCTGCGCCACCACGCTGCCAGCGGGCCCAGCGCCATCCCTGCCTGCTGTGTCCACTTACGCAGGTACACGCTTGCTAATGGCTGCCCTGCGCTGCCACAGGCTGCGGGCCCTCCGCTGCCTCTCTCCAGCGCCGGTCGTGGCCTCACAGAGACGCTGCCTCCGCTGCCTCCGCTGCCTCCAGAGTCTGCAGCCGTCTGCCCGCCGCCGCTCTTCGAAAAGCGCCGCGCCAACTTTCCCGTCGCGGAGAAGCGTCTTCCAATCTCTCTGGGACCCGTCGGACCTGGCCAGGCAACCAGCGTCGCCCACGACGACGACTGCGGACGTTGGAGCCGGCGTGCAGCAGCTCTCACTCCTCAACCAACGCGCCTGCAGTAGTCGCTGCTGGACTCGACGAATGCCCCGTAGCCGCGAACATCCGGCGTTTCTGGCGCTTGACGCTTGACGGCGGCCCAGAACGAGGCCGCGTTCCGCAGCGGTGATCGGCGGATGTTTGTATCTGCCGCGCCTGCTCGTTTCGCGTCTCGCTGCCGCCCTGGCCAGACCGTCCTAACCCTCATCTGAATATGCTCCAACCCCATCTCCGTCTGCCACCACCCACTCTCCTGCCAATCTTACACCCTAGTCGCCGCGTCTCATGTGTGTTCTGGAACTATCCAATCACGCCTCTGCAGTACTGACAAAGCTCACACATGCGGCATTATCAATACGCCCCCAGGCCTGCGCCTATCCGCCCTATGACGCACTATCGTCAGCTCAACTTTCGTCTCGTGTTCCCTTCGTCTTGGCTTTTCATCGTTCATTTTCCGTTTGACTTCGTCGCAAAAATTCATCAATCCTTCACCCGCAGCTCTCTTGCCGCGGAAGCCACCTCCTTGCCGTTTCTCTGCCGCCCAGCGCCAGCAACACCGTTATCGTAAGTTGGCTCGGCTGCAAACGGAAGGATCACGAGAGATGGATTGCGCGCCGGACGTAGCGCGACAGCGCGTCGCAGCCATCATGGAAGGGACCCTGGCCGTGGAATCGCAGACTGCGGCCGCAAAACGCCTGTACGCCGCGCGTGCGGCGAATTACGACGATTCCTGGCACCCGGCCTTCGCCCGCGATTTCGTCGACCAGCTGCCGCTCTTCGCCGGCGCCAAGGTGCTCGACCTGGCCTGCGGGACCGGCCTTCTGACCTTCCTCGCCGCCGAGCGCGTGGGGCCGACGGGCTCCGTGACCGGCGTCGACATTAGCGACGGCATGCTAGCAGTGGCGCGCCAGAAGCTGGAGACCGGCGCCGCCCCCGTCCGCCCGAGCAAAAAGGACCGGGAGGAAGACCTGCTGCTCAGCGTCACCGACGACGATCGTGACGAAGAGCCTGCGGAGGACCAGCCCGAGCGCTGGAAGCACGTGCGCCTGTTCGAGCACAGCGTCACCGAGCTGGACTCGCTGGAGGGCTTGGAGAAGGAAAAGGGCACTTTTGATTTCATCACAATGGCCTCGGCCCTCGTCCTGCTGCCCGACCCGGAGATAGCAATACAAGGCTGGATCCCGTACCTCAAGCCCGGCGGCATCCTGGCCATTGACGTGCCGCATCCGCAGAACCAGCTCGCCGGCATGATCCTTGAGCGCGTCGGCCGCCGCATGAGCGTGTCGGTGCCGTATCATCGCAGCTGGGTTCTAGACGAGCATTCTCTGCCCGACTTGCTCAGAGCCACGGCAGGGATGGAGATCCTCGACAACAAGTTCATCAACCAGGTCGGCTACAAGGAGCGCTACCTGCCCTCGGACGCCAAGGAGACGGAGCAGCAGTTCGCCAGCATGATCAGCAGCGAGGCCGGCAAGGGCTTCGGTCGGAACCGTGGGCCCAAGTGGGAGGAGGCACGCATCACGTTCTGCGACGAGTGGATGCTGGAGGCCGCCAGGTCCGACGTGCCGTACGGAGTCAAGGAGGTCGATGGCGTGTGGCTTACGCTTGCTCGCAAGCCGCCCATCGCCGGATCCTGCCGCTGCGGCGAGGTAAGCTACACGGTTAGCAACCGCCATCCGAAGGAGTCGAGCATGTGCCACTGCTGCACTTGCCAGAAGCTCGGTAGCGGCGGAGCGATGGCGTGTATCTGCTTCGACGAAAAGGATGTCACGTGGCTGGAGGATTCGGAAAGGGTGCTGCGGCTGACAAAATTCTCCCGGACTGCGGTCAGGGCCTTCTGCGAGAAGTGCGGGACTCCGGTGTGGATGCGGTACAGGAAATTTGCGGACGGGCCGTTCGAGGAGGAGTACTGGCTCTTTCTGAGCACAGTGGACGATGGACTTGCACCGGATTTCAAGATCGCGAGGCACATATTCCTGGATGAGAAGCCGGCCTGGGAAAAGTTGCCGGAAGACGGCGCGGAAAGGTGGAGAACAAGGGCGGGTGGGGAGAAGTGGGAGGAGGTGTGATGGGCTGTTAGCGACACCCCGCTGGAAGACGGGGAGTCAAGACGAGGCTCGTCTCTTCTTTGTGTTACAGATATCCCAGGTCTTTATTTCCTTTCGCTTGGTCATACGAACCTGACCAATCATTTCTTCGTTACCATTCGGTCGCCATACCAACGGATCGCGGTGCATGCGCGGGCGCTACTAGCCCACGTGGTATACGCACGTGGAGCGGCAATGCAGCCAAATCCATAGCAGAAAGTGACTTTACGCTCGGTTCTCGAGCCCCGTTGTTCATGCAAATTTCTCTCAGGGTCGATTTACCACTGCAAACTGCGCCAGGAGCGTTCGAGAAGCCATAAATTTGGCTACAAAAAAAAACTTAAGAAAACTTCCGAAGTTGCTAAACAAGCTTGACACATCAGCACTCTACCAGTGCTCGCCCAATCCAAACGCGTATCAGCACCCTCAAACTCTACGATCTCATCTACATCGTGCGTCGGAGCCCGTTCTCTCTAATTGCACCATACACCATCCGTCAAATGATATGCGAGATTACTTGAAGAAGCTCCGGTAGATCTCTTAGTCGGCGCGATGGGCCGTTATATGGTGCTTGTTCCACCGATAGGCAACGGCCGCCTGCCTGTTATTCACCTCTTCCAGTGTTGTATGGACCTTGAAATTCGCAGTTACTATATTTTCTTAAGAGCACGGGAATGTAGTGGCGGACCACGTGTTTCTTCTTTATTTTTTTTTTAGCCTGAGTATCTAAGTTTGACAACGAAACTTTTCTTTGGCCATAAAGCCACAATCAGGGTCCCGAAAGGGAAAACTCCAGGAGCCGCATTGTCTAGGATGAGGAGGGGGGGGGGGGGGGGTTATGGTGTCTAAAGTTCAATCTTGGTCATGGTTCAGCTTTTTGCCGGGGTTTCCTTTTCTCCTTCGCGTTCGCCAGGCGCCGCGTGGTTGCCCAAAGAGGAAGTCACACACCCGGCGGCATAGGAAACGGGGGCGCAGTGCCATGTTTACGCGACAAGCGGACAGCGTATGTGTCAGACAATATAAGGCCTTTAGCCAGCACTGAAAACAAGTGCGGCGCTGCATCTTTTTCCCAAGTGCGATAGTATGAAACCTTTAATGGCATCATTTCAGCTCATGCAGGACCTGCTGATGATCAGAAGCCCGAGAATGTGCGCATTCATCCGTACTGCCCCAGCTGCTATGCATTAATGGCAAGGATGCGAACTCAAACACCGAGAGAAGCCATTACTCACTTAAGCTTAACTCAAAAGCTTAACTCAAGATCACAATAACGATGAAAAAGCTGCTGCGGCCAAACACTAGGACGTTGAATCCATGATCTCGATGATGCGGGAAGTTTCGTATAACACACTCGGTATCAGCAGTTTGGTACTTATATCCGCCACCGATTCCTTGAAACGGTCAACCCCCACTCCTTCATCGCCTTTTCTCCGCCTACAGTGCGACAGAAACCAACACGCTAAAGAAAACAGAAAAAAGAGCAAGGACTGCTGGAACCACCCGCCCTCCCACCACTCAACCATCCAACCCTCCATCCTCTCCCCATCCTTCCGCCCTAGTCATCGACACGAACCAACAATGTACTGACCATCACCTTTCCTCCACCTGCTCTGCATCGACGCCCTCACCAGCACAACCATTTTGGCCACTCCGTGCGCCCGCGCTGACACCTCGCCATTGTATTTTCCAGCCTCCGCCGCCGCCGCCGCAGCTAGTAGCAGCAGTAGCAACACCAGATGTGACGGCGATTGAGAACGAACAGCCGGCCAACAGCAGGCGCGGCGCTGCGCTGCGTCGGTCCCCAAGTGCCTGGAGGTGTGTGAAAGGAGTTGGGCGGACCAGCGGGGTCGAAGGGGGGGCAAAAGGAGTGGGTGGGGGGTTTGGAGCGCGAGAAGAGGGGTAGGGAGCAGTGATGGATGGCGTTTGTGTGCAAGTCGGCGGTGTAGGGGTGTGGAAAACGTGTGTGGGAGAAGGGTTGAGTTTTTGTTGTGTTTGGTGGATGAGGGCTGGTTCGGCGCGGAGTTTGGGCGGATGTGCTGGGCAGTGATTGTGATGCAAATTTTCTATGAAGTGATCTTGGTTCAGTGTGATGGTGTGTAGGAGGATCAACGCTTGGCTCGATCGCGTGAGGTGATTCATGGGTTGGTGGTACTTTGTCTCGAAATTTGATCCTGCAAGGCCACAACGATTCAGGCCCCAGTCACGTCATGGAATATGCTGTTTATCTAGGATGTTAAGTTGGCTCCCGGCTGGACGGACGAAGGCTTGGATGAAAGATTTCGTGGAAGGCCAAGGACTTGGGGCCGCCGATCTGCGCAGTCTGTGCGGTGTTTGAGAGTTGAGCTCTCCTTATCTCCAACAAATATCGATGCTGCAGTGATCAGGACCATGAGAGCAAGCATGTGCAGGTCGATTCTAATAGAGTCAGTGCTTGGGGACAAGAGCACGCCCGACTAAGCCCTACAGCACGGCCTACAACGCTCGCGCTTTCCCCTTGACGGACGATCATAATCTCAAATGACGTCTTAGTGGCTCTGGGATTTTCTCATTTGCTGCTGCTGCTCCCTGCACTAAACATGCGGTCTGCAGTCAAATCCTGACCGTCGTTTCAAACGAGATTCTTTCCGTTTGATTGGACGAGTTGGGTTGTGGACATGGCCATGACCAAAACCAAATCAGGCAATCAACGGCTGCGACCTAAATCCAAATAACGGAAGATCGGCGAGCTTACTGGTAACTATTTGCTGTAAGGGGCAATTTCATCTTAGTAGAGGAGTGTTAAGATTGCGGGGGATAATAGCGCATACCCAGCGTGATGGGCAGCTAACCTGTTGTGATGCCCGGCTCTGCTTGGCTGACGACTTGACTTGGTTTCAAAAGCTTTGATTCGACAAGTGAGCGGCCTTACAGCACGCAAGAACTAAGCTCACCACGCGCCAAGCTGCAAATTTGAGGCGGGGCGGGACCGTCACACTCCCCGGGGGGTTCGTCCCGGACCCTGGAAGGTGACCACCATCGTGTCCAACCGGGGAGTGTTGGTCAAGTATAAGGAGAAACCAGAGAGCTGCGAGGAATGCCTCCCAAGTGAAACCCTATTCACTCACACAAGAGAAGTCTTTGTTCTTCGGCACCGAGTCACTTTCGTTAACAACCCACACTCATTTCCACACTCACCTTCCACACGCAAAGATGCACTCCCAAGCCCTTCTCCAGTTGTTCCTTTTCCTCAGCGCCACCTCGGGCGCCCCCTTGAACCCCAACAACCTCGCCAGGCGCGATGACTTGTTGCCCGTCGGAGATGCCACCAACGCCCTGCCTGTTGCAGGCGATGCCACCAAGTCCCTGCCCCTTGTCGGCGGTTCCACTCCCGGCGCCGGCCTGGGTAGCCTCCCCGGTGTCGACGCGGTCAAGGGCCTTACCGGCTCCCTCCCGGTCGTCAACGGCCTTCTCCAGCGCAGGCAGCTTCCTGGAGCCGGCTCCTTGCCCGTTGTGGGCGATGCCACCAAGGCTCTGCCCCTTGGAGACGCCACCAAGTCTCTTCCCCTCGTTGGCGGCTCCACTCCCGGCGCCGGCCTGGGCGGCCTCCCCGGCCTCGACGCAGTCCAGGGCTTGACCGGCTCTCTCCCGGTCGTCAACGGCATCGCTCAGCGCAGGCAGCTCGTCCCCGGAACCGAGTCCCTGCCCGTTGTCGGCGACGCCACCAAGTCTCTCCCACTCGTCGGCGGTTCCACCCCCGGCGCCGGCCTGGGCAGCCTCCCCGGCGTCGACGCGGTCAAGGGCCTCACCGGCTCCCTCCCGGTCGTCAACGGCCTCGTCCAGCGCCGCCAGCTGCCCGACTACGGCGCCGCCGCCGCGCCGCAGCCCGAAGGCGAGGACTCTGGCGCCGAGTCGGACTCCGACTCCGACTCCGACTCGGAGTCTGAGTTCGGCGACGACGAGGACGCGGAGGCGCCGGCCAGCACCCCCGTCGCGGACGCGAGCAACCCCGTCAACCCCTCCTTCGCCCTCCCGCCCGTCATCCCGACCCCCGCCCTCGGCAGCCTCCCGACCCCCCCTGCTCTCGGCAGCCTCACCAACGGCGCGATCCCCGGCGTTGGCGGCTCGTCTGACGCCGCTGCCGAGGACACCACCACGACGCAGGCTGAGCCCGCGTACGGCGCGCCGGTCGGCAACTCTCAGTCCGTCGAGGATGCCGAGTCCCAGCCTTCGTACGGCATCTAAACGGAGAACCGGGGAACGGAGAACATCGTCACCACCGCAATGGAGACGATGAGCGCGGGGAGGAAGCACGCGGGATCACCTGCACGGCGCCATCTTGTTGGATTTTGGATACCAAGGCCTCGGATTTGAAGAGGGGCAAAGCGAGTTCATATAATCTTTGTTTTTTTTTATACCTTTCATGTACATACAAACATCATACGTTGAGGACGGAGAACGTGATGAGCGACGGGTCTTGACGTCTGCTCTGTGCAGAGACAGACAAATTCATCCCGTCGAGGCAGAGAACCCTTAAAATTCTGATAAATCTTTGAAAAACTTGGGACTTTGAAGTGTGCTAAACGTCGAGAAACATGGAGCTAGCAGTCGATAACGATGGAAAGAATCAACAGCGTCATCTGTTGAAGTATGTTGGGTCTTTGAAGCGGGGGCAGTGCTCTGGCAGAGCGTAGCTACACTTACCCTTGAACTGTAGACCGAGAGACTGATCCCGAAGAGAGAGTGGTGGGTTCGTGTATCATTTGTCGATCTGCATGAAGACCATGAGCAAGGCACCGTACCTGGCAAGAATCGTTAGCGGTACGATTTCAGATTGACTCGAGTGTAGCGCATACGCAGCTGTGCCAATCATCGTCTCAAATGGTTTGGTCGGTGTGGTGAGAAGCAAGAGCCCCACGAAGAGAGCAATGAAGCCGGTAATCAGCGCCAGGCGGACTGTGTGCGAGTCGATTCCCTTGAGTAGCCATGCAGGAACTAACAGCATGATGAGCCCCAAGAGCAGAATGATGATCGTGATGGCCTTGTCTACCAAGTCGTCATCGTAGTAGATAACACCTTGGTCCTGGTATTTGCGGCTATACTCGGTGACTCTCGCGTCCTTTTTGCCGCCAACGGGTGCCCTTGTTAGCCTAGATTCCCTCGAGTTGGCTGCAGGCTGAAATCTGTACTTGGACGCACCTTGGAGTGGAACGGTTCGAGGCGGTAGAAAAGTGGAGTTTTCTCAAGGATTCGCCGGAGAGGGGCTTTCAAACGGTCTGCCGTTGCTATCAGATCATTTTGCCTGTCTTGTTCGAGGAAGCCCCTCTCGTGCACCGTTATCGCCTGCGGATACCGGTCGAACCACCTGTCAATATACTTGACCGTTCTTTTCAAAGCCTTGGGACGCTTCTGCATGTCGGAGTAGCTTGTAACTAGCCTATCTTGGATGATTTTTAGCGTTTTTCCATATTTTCAGTGTGCGGGACGCAAACTTACCGTACTTCTCAAGTAATGTCGGAAGATGTTGCATAATTTCATAGCGTTCGCGATGCCACATCTTGTCCCCCCGGAAACTACCATTGTGGCACAAGTACTCTTCTTGCTGTGCTTCGGCAACCTCCTTGTCGATCTTGGCCAGGCGGTCTTCGAGTTGAGTAATTTCATCCTGGACGAACAGAATGGTTCGGACGTGCAACGATCCAAACCTTCGCGCCACAAAGGCATCATTGTCTGAGGATAACAAGCTTGAAAATGCGGGGTAGCCCATGGACCGATGCTCCTTCGCCGCATACGCGTCTTGATTCGCTGCCCCATTTGCTGACTGGATACTTGCACGTGACTGTTGGAGTGAGGGACTTGCCTCAGCTGTCGACTTTTGCTTCGCCGAGTGATCGCTATCGGTAGACATCTCAAACCACGTTGTGGATGAAGCTGGAGAAAACGATGCGTTCGATAAAAAGGGGCTAGAAATGGAAGAGAGAAGTCTTGAAGCAAACTCGCGGCTTAGTGGGAGTTTCGTAGTAACGAGCGGGATCCTCGGGGGGCCGAAAGTGCGAAGCGGCTCCACAGGACATGCGTTGCCTGCTGTGGAAGAAACTCTCGATTGACACTCAAGATCGAAATTAATGTGAGAATCAGAACCCATCGTTGTTCCCCATCAGACAGAGTTTCTTGTGCAGGGGTGAGGATTAAAGAGATGGATAATATATGAATGGGGATGGCCAACTTTCAGGAAAGCACAGAGAGCTCCATCCACAGCTGCGCCTCTATCAGCGTGAAACCAATGAAGGGAGTCGGCCGAGGCTGACATGCGTGAGGCCTCTGCAGCCTTGCGGTTCAGCTGTCGACCTATTGGGTGGCAGCCCCCAGAGGATCGAGATCCGTCAACAGGCAAAAGAAGGCAAAATGGATGGACCCAATGAAACGCTCGCTTACTGAGGAGTCAGCCGGTTTCTGCACTGTGGCGTGGACAGGTGATTGTTGGTGTAACATTAACGCGGCTCTGCTGGGGTGCATGGCATAGCCCATCCATAAAGTGAAGGGGGCGTGGTGGCCCAAGAAAACACTGCCCCATTCTCAAGGCTGACTGCCACGAATCATCGCCCCAACACGCACATACACTTTAACATATTTATTAGACAATGTATATCTCAGGGCTTCGGCAATCAAGACGAGGTTTATGTTGTGTGGCCTCTGAACAGAAACCAGCAGGCAAGTCCAGTCCCAGGGCGCTATAGACGCGGGCCGTCCCGCTGAGAATGGTTGCCCAAGAATGATCTTGGCTGATCTGATCCTTGTAGGCTCATCTGAGACATCATCGTAATGAGCGGAATAAGGAAAGTGGCAAATGTGGGAATTGCGATTTCGCGCATGGGCAGAGGAGCAAAAGACGACGACGAACGAAAAGAGGACTACGATGGCAATCTTGAAGGCGATCAGTTCAGGTCTGACCAAAGAGGCCTCCACATCAACAGGAAAAACAAGTCAAAAACCGAGGATTCAGGGAGGCCCCCGGACTTAATGAGTCCTCATATTCCCACGTCTCAACATCCGGAAAGATTCCAGAGTGTCCCGCCTGTCCTTGGAACGCAGGCTCCTAGTCAGGGGTCTTCAATGGGTCCGCCTCCATGGTCACCCATGCCATCACAAGACAGCAATTCGATGAACAGCCAAACCTATTGCGGCAGTGTATACCCCACGAGGCCAGTTCCAGGCCCAATGCGACAAAACTCAGCGCCGGTGCAGGGGTCTGGCCAGCAAGTTGGAAGCGGTTGGGCCCCAGAACCAGCTGGATACTATGACGAGCCAGCCACATACTCGAATCGGCCTGTTTCGTACCCCGACAGCCAGTATGCACAGCAAAATCCACACAGTATGAACGTGGACCCATATCAGGCACACCAACCTGCAGGGGTCGGAAACTACACGGTCGCACCCGGACATGGTGGCTACAGCGAGGCGACATATCAAACCAGAACCTGCATCCATGGCATAGCGTATGTTCCATCTTACCAACTCAGAGACTGCAGAATGCTATAAGCTAATCTGACTTGCAGCTTCGGCAAATGCGCATCGTGCAGCTACGGACAGCCCTGGTGGCCTAGTGGCTGAGTTCACGACGATTGCAGTCCAATGAATAGCTCATTAACGATTCCCGGGAAACTCGCAAGGCTTCATTGAAACAAGATCCAAATCTGTAAAAGGTGACGAGAAGAGAGCTATGTTGATAGCGAAGGAAACAGGGAATGAAGAACCTCCTTCGGCGTGCGCCTGTCGAACCAACTACATCGCTGGACGGGAGAAAACCTCGCACACTTGCTGCCAGTATCGCCCATGCCCTGATCAGGATGCCTGTCTGCGTCATGTACGCCTTTCCGACCATACTGTGTAATCGGTGGATATTTGGAAAAGTGGGGATAACCGGTCGCAGTACTACTCTTGTGCACTGAGTGAATGGCAGTGTGGGTTTTCAATATCTCGTCCAAAGCAGTTGATGAGATTACTGTCGGTGGGGACAAGCTGGAAAGACAAATGGTGATGCTGCGAACCATGGTTGGACGCTTAGCCACTTCTTGTTTACGAGCAAAGCGTATCAAGCCGAGCTGATAGGTAGAATCCACCCACCAGAGATTCCTGGTTCATTTATCTGTAGTGCCTTTTGCCTCTAAACTCACGCCATTTTCGCTTTTGTGCTCGGTAGTACAGAAACTACCTCGAAGTTGTAATGCCCGTGTTCCTGGCAAGCCGGCCGGACCGGTTTGGCGATACAAAAGGCATAAGAACCTCTGTTTCCCCATTGACGAATCGTGGCATGTGAACGCCGTTTTTTGAAAGGTGTAGATGCCCTTTTCTCCTTCTATCATGTCCCTCGTCCGAGTCCCGCAGGTGCAAAGGCCATGCGTCCAAGGACATCGACGCGGCAAGCGGGGCAGACTTGACCGTTACCGCTATTCAAGATCCTGGCTGAGCCTTGGACTCCTGCAGGTAAACATGAATACTCTCCTGCTGTTACTCGAGGTAGTAATTCTGTTGAATCCATGATTTAGCGATGAAGGGAGATGTTGATAGACAATGAGGAATCGTCAAAGGGGATGGGAAAATACGGAGTGATGCAACGTGCGCCCGGCCAACCGGGAGAATAGGCGGGTGAGAATAAACTTCCGCAGCCCTTCCGATGAGTAAATGATCCGAAAAGCTTTGACGTTCTACAAACGCCAACTCTCGGGCTATTTGCATATGCAGAAATCCAGATTTCTCCGTATTTAGCCTCCGACCCAAGATGGTGGTCTCGATGGATACAGCTCAGTGGCACCTAAGTCAATGACTGGCCAGTCATCATTCACACCGGCACGTCCTGCGCCAGGGCACGCGACCAGGTCTTCTCACTTGCATTTTTAGCTTTAATTAAGGCGTGCAACACTAAGTCATTAGCCAACTCTTTTTTGTCACAAGCCTACCTTCTCATCCCCTGCAAGCCACAGGATGGTGAGTACATGCATGTTCGAAACATGTCCCAGAAGCTTCCGACTTCGACCTGCTCAAGACTCCCCTCTAATGGGCACTCATTTTGCTCACATGCAGTCAAAACAAACACTCAGCCGCTCACAAGGTCCACCCTATTCCGAAAATGGTTAGTGATGTGGACGCTGACTTCGTGGTTCAGACATTAATTGAGTATGTCGATCATCAGACTTTCGCCGGTGCTTCCGCCAATATCTTGGCTCATATCAGGCATCGCTGCTCCTTTGGCACACGCTGGACCATAATGAACTCTCTCTTTCCTTCAAAACACGACACGTGCCCTCTGTTCAGTCCTGCTGAAGGAGCGACCTTTTGTCAGTCATGGGACAGAATTCTTCCTCTCCGGGCCTCCAGTCATGCCTCACCACAGCCGTGGGAGGTGCCGCCAACGTAGCCTTCCCATCGGATCTGCTTTATCAGATTAGCGACGTCAAGCCCTACAACTTGGACATCTCCGTCACGCCAGCCGCCGTGACGTATCCCGACAGTGCCGAGCAGGTTGCTGCAATCATCACCTGTGCCGCCCAGTACAACCACAAAGTCCAGGCCAGAAGCGGAGGCCACAGCTATGGAAACTACTGTAAACATCCCTCTCCACCTGGAGGAAGAAAGCCGAAAGCATGAAAATCACTGACTTCCACACACAGGCCTGGGCGGCGCCAACTCCTCAGCCATAGTCATCGACATGAAGAAATTCCAACACTTCTCTATGGACGAATCTACCTGGACCGCAACCATCGGCGCCGGCACCCTCCTCGGAGACGTCACCACCCGCCTGCACGCCGCAGGAAACCGCACAATCGCCCACGTACGTCCCTCCTTCCCTCCCCCCCCCACCACCCCAGCCCAGCTCCGCGCCATCCCCGCTGACAAGCCCCCCCACCCCCCCAACAGGGCACATCCCCCCAAATCGGCATCGGCGGACACGCCACCATCGGCGGGCTCGGCCCTCAATCCCGCACGCTCGGCACGACAGCCGACCAGATCCTCAGCGCCCAAGTCGTCCTCGCCAACGCGTCCATCATCCGCGCCTCACCCACCTCTTACCCAGACATCTTCTTCGCCATCCGCGGCGCCGGCGCCAGCTTCGGCGTCGTCACCGAGCTGTCGTTCCGCACCGCGCCGGAGCCGTCCGACGAGATGGTGACGTACACGTACAACGTCACCACCAGCGCCGGCGCCGGCGGCGCGGACGCGGCGACGCTGGCGGCCGCGTTCAAGGCGTGGAACGCGCTGGTGTCGCGGCCGGACCTGTCGTGGAAGTTCACGTCGGTGCTGACGGTCGCGGCGGGCGGGAATATGGTCGTGTCGGGGACGTATTTCGGGGGCCGCGCCGAGTTCGACGCGCTGGACGTGCGGGGCGCGCTGCCGGGCGGCGCGGGGGTGCTGCTGGATGTGGGCGTGACGGGGGATTTCGTTGGTGTCGTGGGCGAGTGGGCGGGCGAGGCGGCGCTGGCGCTGGGTGGGGGCGTGCCCGCTGCGTTTTATTCGAAGTCGTTGTCGTTTGGGGCGAAGGCGGGGACGCTGATGACGGACGAGGCGGTGGATGCGGTGTTTGAGTATCTGCGGGTGGCGGATAAGGGGGATGGGACGTTGGCGTGGTTTGTTATTTTCAACCTTGTTGGGGGGTTCGTGAATGAGGTGCCCCTTGCGGACGCGGCGTATGCGCTGCGCGACTCGCTGTATCAGCTGCAGAGCTATGCCATCAGCGTCGCGCCGCCCGTCTCGCCGGGGACGCGGGCTTTCTTGGATGGGCTGAACGATGTCATTGAGGAGCGGGTGCCTGGCGTGCGCGGGGCGTATCCGGGCTATGTGGATCCCAGGCTGCCGGATGGGCAGGAGCAGTATTGGGGGGAGAATCTGCCGAGGCTGGAGAGGATCAAGGCGGAGGTTGATCCGACGGACCTGTTTCACAATCCGCAGAGTGTGAGGCCGGCGGCTGTGTAGCAGAGGGAGCTAGTCGGTACATGCACTCTGGGTCTTGTGATTGAGCGGCTGGTCTTGTGAGTAAGTCGTGCCCAAAGCGTTGTCTGTTTGATCGCGCATGACGGGAGGAATAGGGTTTCCTGGAGGACGTTCAGTGTTTTCAGTGCCATGTAGGTAGATATTTGTACTGGTCAAATATGTGTGTGATGCTAAAGTACGCATTCGTATTGCGGATCGGGTTGGGGAGCCGACGGAAGCAGCTGATCCGTCTGATTCTGGCCAACTGCTGTCGTTGTACTTACTGCAGACCCTTTCCGATTGTTACTGTTCCTTGGAAGTGCTTTCGGTAATTTGGATAATTACCAGCAATATGCTTGCCTTGAAGCCAACTGATGTGGGAGAGTGGGAATAGTGTGTACTATAGCCAGGATGTGGAACAAGCGCTTACAGGCCAGACAAGCTGATAATAAGGTGGCAGAGCTGACGGTGTACCCACGGGTGCGGGGCTTATCAATGCAGGGATCCCATTTCACTGGCTTTGCCACAAGCACTGCCACTTCTCGCCAGTCGAATGCAGTTGGCCAATCGGACGACCCGACACAGCTTCGGGCTCGCCGCAGCTGCACCTGTGAGATCTGCAATAGCCCAAAACCATCTTCATCACTCTTTTGTGTCGTAGCCTTCAGACCCAGGAATCATCTCGGGAAGCATGCGCCGATCGATCTACAAGGGGGTTCCCCGCAATTAGAGTGTGCAACCAGGCAGTCATTGGCCCCCAAGTTCTATTCCTGAGCTCCGCTCGCGGTCCATATATGAATGTAGGTTGTGGACGCTATCAAAATTTCCTTGACTTGAAGTGCATTCCGAACGCAATTTTAATCAGCTCAGTATGTCCTTTCTTCAAACGCGGAATCCGCTGGAACCACGACAGACCGATCCGAATAACAGCCCTGTCCTTAATATCTCAGCCACATGGTCAGAATCTAGCAAAGAACCACGCGTTTCCAGTCGCGGAACGGAAGAGAGCAAGAATCCACTTCGTCACAACTCGCAAAAGCCGTGGGAACATCACTTCGAAGCTCCGCTCTTCATGGTAATGCTGCTTGTCGTCGGCATCGCAGTCTCAATTGGCCATCATTTCTTTTACCATTGGTTGAGCGGGCAGGAGGTCCAGAGCGCAGACAGACAGCAATGGGCACTTCGGTAGTTGGCTCCAGTACGCGCTTGGGAGCCATGGCTGATCGTCTTCAGAATTGGAAATGCATTCGCGTTCCTGGCCAAATGTTGCTTTTGCAGCGCTGCCAACTTTGCTTTTACCCAGTGGCTATGGAAAACTCTCAGGGCCAAGTTCATCACCATTCAAGGTATTGACGCTGCCTTCTCGGTAACCCAGACACTTTCTTCCTTTTCCAGTTGGGAGATGCTCTCAAGAGTCAAAGTTGGAACAGTGCTGGCAGTTGTTACATGGCAAGTTGACATCCGATCATGTGCATCGTAAGGCTACTTACACTGTTGTACGCAGGTGCATACCGTTGATAACGCTCGTCACACCTGCAACGCTTTCAGTGAAGGCGGATCTTGCCCAGAGTCCGGTCGTCACAGACGTCCCAGTCCCATTAGCACCACAAGACATCATTCCCCTCAAAGAACTTCTTTCGATATGGGTAAAGACGCAAGGGGTCATTGTCCACTCGGACATAACCATTGGGAACCACCGTGTTGCCGAGGAGTTTAAGAAATTGACCTTGTCAAGCGCCATTTTCGGCCAGCTGTTCTCCCTTCCTCAACCCTTCACAGATGCGGACTCAAGCTACACAGTGGACTTTGTTGCCCCGGGCATCAAATGCGACAATTCCTCCCATGCCTTGTTCCGGGATGTGACTGTCGCTGCGCTTCGTTCTCAGGGATACTCGACCAAAGTCGATAGCCACGACTCTCATTTTCTCAATGTTTCGAGGATCAACTTCGATGAGCTTGAGTACTCGCATGGACAGTCACGTACACAGATTGGATATTTCGCCAGGATCCCGGGTGCAAACGACGACGCCATGGATTTTGGGCTCGCAAATGGTACCAGAAACGAGATTCATATCGTTGTAGCAGGCCACACACCAACGACGCACGCCACTGTTCCAACCTTTCTTACCTGTCAACTCTGGAACGTATCGAGAACAGCCAACATCTCAACGACAAACGGCGTTCAAAGCGTACAAGTAACCGGCACGAAGCTTCTAAACAAATTCGACCGGGCGTTCCAGCCACTGTACCCAGAAGATGTGGAGAAGGATACATTTGCGACGGAAGAAGTCTTCTACACGGCATTCTTCCTTGGCATGGCGAAACGTTTACTTGGGTTCATTGGCACCACCAAGATCCAAGATAGCGTGGTGTCGGATCCTCCAGCAAGTATTCAGGAGACAGTGCTGACAAGCTCCACGGAGTATGTGGCCATGGCTCGAAACATCAGCACATACTACTCCAGCAGCTCCGCAATCGACAGCGACAGACCTCTGGCGATGATGATTGAGGAGCTGGCTCAGAACATATCGTTGAATCTGATGACCAGGGACTTCTTCAGGTACGTGCGTCTGCGGCGATGGGCGGAAATGCTTGGCCTCGACTGAAGTAGAAGATAGTAAACGAGTGCCTTGGAACGTCACTCGCGTGGACAGAATTACAGTCTACACCTACGATCCACGCAATCTCCTCCTGGCCTACGGAATCGCCACCGTCAGCACTTTCCTGATGGTTTGCGCCGGCTTCTTCGCCTATCGGAGCAATGGCGCGAGTTACAGCTCGGCAGTGTCTACTTTCATTTGCACCACGCAGAATCCCGACGTAAGTCTCAAGGGCTTCCAAAAAGGCACTCTTGGCAACTGACCATGCACAGATCAAAGACATAATCAGCGACCAAACTTCCGGGGCGCAGCCTCTCCCTGCTGACATTGCGAAAACCAAGCTACGCTTCGGGATTGTCAAGCGAAGAGAGACAGGCGGCGGTATGCTGAGCCAGAGAGGCTGGACCGAAACCATCGGGTTTGGCGTCGAGGGGACCGTCGGTGCTCTGTCGCCGTTGTAAGCACCAAGAAACAGAAGTGTATGTTTCTCTCACCAGCGCCGCCAGACGTAACAGACGCACGGTCCATCATGCCAGGCACGACTTCCAATATCGGCAGGTGGCGTTAGGCTACAACGCGCTACCCGGCGGCCAAAATCCTACACACTCGACTCGCAAACAACATAAATAGACCGCCATCATGCCTCTTCTCCTTTTCGTGTTTTTCTTGCCTCTCATCACCATTGGTGACAATCACCACCTGCCGTCCTCAAAACCGCACAACCAGCCATCTTCGCGGCTCCTTCGCGGTGCTGCACTGCTCTCCCTCTGCCTCTCTCCCGCTTGACATATAACAATCATCTCCTCTCTCTCCGGCTCTCACTCCCATCAGCCCTAACCCCCTCCGAAAAGAAAACAAAGGTCAAAGACCACAAGAAAGAGCGAGAAAAAAAAATGCCACCACCACCCCCACCGCCCCGCCCCCTCCCCCCCTACACGCCCTTCCGCCACCTCGCCGCCTCCACACGCGCCCACGCGCACCCAACCGTCTACGACTCGGCCGTCGGCTACGGAGCGCCGCGCGTCTACTGGAGCGCTGCCGCCGCCACGTCCACCACTTCCTCCACCACCACCGCCTCCGCCACCGCCACCACCCCCACCCCCGACCACCACCTGCTGGCCAAAGACCCCTTCTACCGCAGCAGCAACTACCGGCTCGACGCCGTGTTCGAGTACGAGAGCCTGATTGGGGGGTTCTTGCGGTTCGCGTGCGGGGAGGAGAAGAATAGTGCGGTGGCGGCCGCGAGCGCCGGGGATGACGATGACGATGACGACGGTGAGGGAGCGACGGAGAGGGTGTGGTTGAGGAGGGGGGAGGAGGTGGAGGCCGGGGAGGAGGGGAGGGAGCTGGTGAGAAGGTTGAGGGAGCTGTTTCGGTGGATGGAGCAGGGGGTTTGTTTTCGGGGGTCGGTTGGCGGAACGCTGGAAGCGGAGGAGGTCAGGGGGAGGGTGTGGTTGCATGGGGCGGTGAGGGGGTTGAAGGATAAGGTGGGTTTTGATGACTTTTTTTTTTTCCTTGCTGCCGTCTTGGAAGGACGCTTGGATTGTGGGCTGACATGGTGTAGATGTGGGCTGGAATGCCGCCCATGTCCGTCCAGCGCTGGGAGAGGCGCGGGCTCAGTTTGTTGGAATACGAGTACGAGGCGTTGGAGCTGCTGAGCAAGACGCTGGCCGTTTTCGAGTACCTGAACGACCCGTCGGTGCAGCAGGCCATGCGGTTGGCGCATAACCGCATCACCGAGCACATTGAACGCTTCGCCAAGGGGGTCAATGAGAAGCGGCGCCGGACCGGACAGCCGACGGTACCGGTTCTGGAGCTCTGGGACGAGTATACCAAGTGAGTAAAGCCGCGGAAGGGGCTTTCGGTCCTGCTGACCCCTGCGTAGGGCTTTCTTCGACGACGTCGCCGTTAGAGCACACGGTTGGATGATTGGCCGCATCAATGCCATGAGGGAGGCCCAGAAGAATGCCTTCGACATTATGAAGGCTCAGGAGCCCCAACTTGACGCTCAAAATACCAAGATCCTGGGCCGGCTGTCGAGACTCGTCGACCTCGAGCGCGACGTGGACTACAACTTCCGCATTTCGCGCTATGGCTTCACCAGAACCTCCTCCAACGCCTCATCTGGACAGACCTCGAGTCCTTCGCCAGAAAAATTCAAAGCGGAAAGGCTCAAGATGCATGATGCGGCCGAGGCAGGTTTGGGCATATTTGCGGACGGAATCACGAGCATGAGGCATGCCATGGGCGTCGGCCCGTTCCCTTTCCAGAGCGAGTACTACATGGTCCTCAACGACCAAGCGGATGCAAACAAAGCAGTGAGAGGCAAGGACCTGAAGAAGCGGACAAGACTGTATGGGCCGCCGTCTCAAGACCCGAAACCGGAACCATGGGTGCAGCAACTGACAAAGCGGCTTCAAAATCCTGATGATGAAATAGATGGGTTTGGATTCGTCGTTTATCGGTGGAAAGAGTATGACGGCGTTGCTTGGGAGAAGCTGGAAGCAGCCGTCACGGGAGACCTGATGAACTGGGGAGAGCAAATGGCCGGCGCCGACAACATCAAGCCCAAAGCGAAGCTGCAGTGGATTGAGATGGCCGGTCCCGACATGGACAACTATAGAACGTCCGTCGCACCCTTCTTACGTCTCATCTCAGACAATGCTAAGAACAATGCAGGCACTTCAAATCCCTCCGCGAAAGCGGTCAGCTGAAGCCCGGGATGCGCAGCGACGTCTTCCTGGTCATCGACCCGCGCGCCGCCAACGCCTGGTTCCCGCGGCACCCCTCGGCCGAAAGCGCTCTTGCGTATGCAGAGCGACATCTGTTCCGAGGCCACGTTGGCATCTCAACCATGTCCAGCACGCGCAGCACGGCGCTGGGCGCGATGCCGACCGACTTCGAGCCGTGGGTGCTGGCGGTAGACGCCGACTTCCCCCGGCCAACCGCTCTCTCCAGGCCGCCGCTGTATCTCGGCTGGGTGCGGGTGCAGTCGTCGCTGGTGTTCGAGGAGCTGTACGGGCTGGCGGCGAGCGGGATGCCGCAGCTGGAGGAGCTGTGGAAGATGGCGGCGTCGCATCCATGCGCGGTGTGCACTGGGGTCGCCGTCACCGAGGTCGAGATCAGGCGGTTCTGCGAGTGGACCGAGCTGCGCAACAAAACACTCAGCTGGGTGCTGCGCCGGCCGGACGCGCTGTTCTACGGCGGGAGATAGCGCAACCGTATCTCCGCCGTGAAGCTGTGCGCCTGATGACGAGCATGAACGGCCACTGCGCTCGCTCGGCGGCCCTCGGAGCGGCGAAGGGGCACCGGGACGGCAGTGTGAGAGCCATTGGGCGTGTGGTGAGGGGTTGGGTGGTGTTTAGTGATGGTTGTCGGATATCATAAGCGGGCGTGCGACTCGCGGGAAATACAGCGGGAATAAGCGCGAGTCATGGCCGAGATCGGAGAGCGCGGGGCTCTGGCGTCACCGACAGGCCATGGCTTCGACTCTCTCTCCCGCCCAACTCACACTATGGCTCCACCCGTCGAAGCCGCACGCTCCAACAAGCCAGCGAAACAGAAGATGTGAAAGCCTGTATATAATCTCAGGGAGAGCGCCGGCTCTAGCCCAGCTCCAGCGCCCGCAAAGATACCCCCTCAGTCGCCATGTCGTTCAACACTGCCGCCAACAAGCTCCGCCACGCCATTGAGCAAGCCAAGGACATCATCGTCGCTCCCGGCGTACACGATGGCTTCTCCGCTCGCATTGCCCAATCCGTGGGCTTCGACTGCCTATACATGGTACGGCTGGCCAGCCTCAAATTCAACCCTCCCTCCAGTGGCTAACAGCTTGCAACAGACGGGTGCCGGCACCACCGCATCGCGCCTAGGCCACGCCGACCTGGGAATCGCCACGCAAAACGACATGGTCGCACACAGCTCGATGATCGCGCAGCTGGACACGTCGGTGCCGCTCATCGCCGACGCCGACACGGGCTACGGCGGGCCCATCATGGTCGCCCGCACCGTCGAGCTGTACGCGCGCGGCGGCGTGGCCGGCATGCACATCGAAGACCAGGTGCAGACGAAGCGCTGCGGCCACCTGGCCGGCAAGGAGGTCGTCGACGTCGACGTCTACGCCTCGCGCATCCGCGCCGCCCACACGGCCCGCACCAAGCTCGGCAGCGACATCGTCATCGTCGCCCGCACCGACGCCCTGCAGGGCCAGGGCTACGACGGCGCCCTGGACCGCCTCAAGGCCGCTCGCGACGCCGGCGCCGACGTCGGCTTCCTCGAGGGCGTCACCGACAAGGACATGGCCCGCCGCGTCGTCAAGGACCTCGCCCCCTGGCCCATGGTGCTCAACATGGTCGAGCACGGCGCTACGCCTACCATTTCCGTCGACGAAGCCCGCGACATGGGCTACCGCATCGTCATCTTCCCCTTCGCCAGCATCGCTCCGGCCTATGTCGCTATGAAGGAGGGCTTTGAGAATCTGAAGAAGACGGGTGTTCTTGGCGCGCCCGAGTACTTTTCGCCCAAGTTCTGCTTTCAGGTGTGCGGCCTGGACGAGAGCATGGCTTTGGATGAGGCCGCCGGTGGTAAGGCGTTTGGCGCCAAGGGTGCTTGAGAGACGCTCTGGGATCGTCGACTGAGGGGTGCGAGAAATACCAAACCTGTACGGTGGCTATCTGGAGGACCAAGTGCCACTCCGCATGATTTCTTCCATTATACCGACGTTACGACCGCTTGCTTCACGAAGTTCTGAACAATAACCATTCATACAACAACGCGTTCTTCCCTTTTGGACAACTCCAAAGGTCACTTGATGCATGACCCGTCTACTCCGAGCTGATAGATTGCGTGGCGGCGACAGCTTTCTATAGCAAGGCGTTATTCAACTATAAGCCACGCAAGCTTGGTATTGGAGACCTTCCGACCTGCGACAACGAGCTGTATCTAATCATTCTGAAGCAAGTCAACTGAAGTAGGAACCATCTTCGTTCATCCCCTTTCCAAATAGAGCTAGCCCAACAATCGTCTCGAGTCCTATATGACTAGACTGCTTTCTCCTCCGCTTTATGTCTTGTCTAAGATAGCTGAAGCCAAGAGATCCCGTACTACCGCCCCATGGGTTGTAAAGCTAAAGGAAATCATGTCTTCATGACATACATGTTGCACTAAACTCCTTAGAACCCTCCAAGTATCGCTAAAAGCTCCCGCAGATTATCGTACCTGGCGCCGCCCGTCGTTAGAGATGGATGGTAGCTCTTGCCACGAGCCTGTGGAGGGCCCGGGCGTCCTCCAGCGATTCGGAGATCGGCACAGGTGATAAAGTATACGGGCGCTTGCACGGGAACTGCCAGCCACGTGGTAGCTAAAACAACGGCCAAGTGTCTGCCGTTATTTGTCTCCTGACTTCGCGCGTGGGGAAGAGTGTCCTCTAATCACGCTGACTCAAACGGAGATCTCCAGATTTTGCGATTCAGGAAGCAAGCACATATGGATATCTTTACGCGTTTCGGGTCTCTTCCATGGAGATTTGGGATTTTTGTTCATTTTCGCTGCCGAGACAAGTTTCTCTCTCCTACGCCGCGCGTGTGGTGTGGAGCCGCTCATTTGACAATCACTTTATAAAACGCGGAACTTGGCGGCCGGTACTCCCGACGAATACCACGGGTGACGACATGACCGAACGGAAAGGCGAGTCCATTCAAAGGAAGGATTGCTCTGTTTCTCAATCCTTCTTCCATTCGAAGTATCTTTGTTGACAGACGGGATCTCTCAATTTATGAGCTTGGGAAGCGCGGTTCATCGGTCCTTCTTCGGTGCGTTGTTCTTATGGTGACGGCGCTGTGCAACGCTGCGGCTTGTAGGGAGAAAGTAAATCACAAAAGCTGCGCCGCGTTTCAGATGTACAAGGGTGTCCTCACCCTTTGGTGTGGCTTGCCGGACGCCTCATGGCGTGAGCTTAAGTTCAAAGAGCCGTTTTGAACTACCGCCTCCCGTCTGCAAGCGCCTCTCCCGCGAGCTGCAAGGCTCAATACGAGGGCGGAATTGCACCCTTATTCATAGATAACATAGACTTCCGACTCAGGACATCAGGCAGCCCGACGCGTTGACGGCGGATCTTCCCCGTTTAGCCGGGTCAGCATCCGGCGGTCCCCCTGTCACTGATCCGGTGTCTGGGCTCTGACGGGTAGTGGAAGCACCTCCGCGCCTCCGCAATCCTTGTATATCATCTGAACATCATCCGCCCGGCTTCGTATAACTTATAACTCTCCTTTTCTTTATGCCCATCGTTTCCTACCCCATCTACCGGCCTTTTTCAGTCTCTGTCTCTATCGTGAGGCCTGTGCCCGCTTTTGGGCAAAGTCTTTCTTTGCGCTTCCCTTTCCTCCTCCGGCATTGCATCTCTGCGCTGGTTACGCTTCCGTCCTGGGTTCTTCCTTGATCCTTGTTCTTCCTTTGTGCTGGTCAACAATTCATTCCGACATGATTTCCCGGGTTTTCTCAGCGATTTCTCTTCTTGTATTGCTTCTGCTGTCATTCGGTGTTGAGCGGGTGGTCTCTTCGCCGGTGGTCAACGGGCGACCAAGACCACAGCGGTATGTCCTTCGTCCCTCTTTCTACATTTCAAGCTGGACCGTTTCTCATCTCGCGTTGCAGACACAATGGCCAAGCAGTATTGCAGCCCCCGCAAACAATGACTAGCCATTCCGTGGCCGAGTCATCCACCCCACCACAAGCGACGACAACAATCACCATCACGCCAACCGCCCGCCTCAAGCGAGCCGCCACCACCACCTCTCTCGACGAGTAAGCTCCCCCCACCAACAAGCACAGTCCCGACCCCACCCCCCCACACGCTCTCACCAAACCCGCGCCACCACCAAACTGACCCTTCCCCACCCTCCAGCGCCGCCGCCGCCGCCGCCGCCGCCGCCGCCGCCGCCTCCTCCGTCTCCTCCGTCCTCGCCACCGGCCTCCCCATGTCCATCCTCGCCATCGCCGCCACCGACCCCGCCCTCGCCTCCACCCTCCTCGCCTCCGAAATCCTCGCCCTCCTCTCCGCCCAAACCGCCACCGCCACGGAGGCCGCCGCCACCACCATCTCCACCCCCTCCTGGTACCGCGCCCTCCCCACCGACGTCCGCTCCTACCTCGCCTCCGCCGCCTCCTCCATCTCCGCCGCGCAAGCCGCGCAAGCCGCAACCGCAACCTCCACCGCAACCTCCGCTCCGTCATCCTCATCCTCAACAGAAGAAAACGACTCCCCCGCCTCCTCCTCCGGCAGCTCCACCACCCACAACTCGCCCGAATCCGCCGCCACCCGCGCCAAACACTACTCGACCTCGGCCGCCGCGTACGCCATGTCGGGCGGCGCCATCGCGGGCGTGCTGCTCAGCGGGCTGGGCTTCCTGCTGCTGATGGCGGGGCTGTTCGCGTGGCGCGCGCGGCTGGGCCCGTTTGCGTGGCGGTGTTGTCTGGGTGGCGGCAGGCGCGGGGCCCGCGGGTGCGAGGGGTACGAGAGGGCGGCGAGTGCGGCGGCGGCGGCGAATGCGAGTAGGGTGGCGGTGCTGAGGAGGGAGTTCAAGGGGAGTCGGTTGGATGTGGATGTTGTTGATGAGGGTGGTGGTGGTGGTGGTGGTGGTGGTGGGAGGACGGAGGGGGGCGTGATGGAGATGGGGGAGATGGGGGGTGCGGGGAAGAAGGGGGGGAGGGAGGGGAGGGGGGAAGGGGCAGGTGGTAGGGATGGAGATGGGCTGAGGGGGGATGGGGAGAGCGCGGTTACGGCGTTGCCGAGGTATCGGCCGTCGATTTTGGGGGATGCGGCGACCTGGACGACGGGTTGGCCGAGCGTGTGGCTTTCGAAGGGGTAGGTGATGTGGTTGCTGGCGTTCAAGGTATATGGAGGGGGGTTTTCTTCTTCTTCTTCTTTTTTCTTCTTTTTTTTTTGCGTGGCGTTGGAGGAAGAGGTTGGAGAGACGAAAAAAGTGGCATGATAGGTTGCGGCAATACCCGGTGCTTTCGCGGTTGGGGACATGTTGTGGGAGTCATGAAATGATCTCGAATGAACTCGGGGCGGTTGAAAGGAAGCTCAACGACGCCATTTGGTGGGAAGATTTGTCCACATCAGTCTCCATTATTGCTGGATTTGCCGACAGAGGTACTGATCTTCTAAAAAGCCCTTCAACTTCTACCCAATTAACACTTTTCCAAAGCTGGGCTGGACAGCAATGGCAGACCATGTGTAGAGCTGAGCGAGGCCAGATGACTAAAGACACAGGCGCATGAGTCCACGAAAGTATTGCCGGATGGTTACTAAAACGCGGAATCGCCGCGCACTGCGCCAATCTACAGGCTTCCCACCAGCACTTTCAGGCCACAATAAAGGAAGAAAGCACCTCTCTCCAAGTATTGGTGGATTATCCCATGGCCGACGCCTTCTGCCGCTCCCTGTGGATCACACAACCACGAAGATGGCACCATCTCCGTCTTCGTATACCTAGCATGTCTCGGAGCAGTGCCGGAAATGGGCCCGACTGCTGGCGGCGAAGGTTAGCATCGGGAGCATACCGGTCTATGAGCCTGGACAATAACGCAGAAGCCGGGTTCAACAACTTGAAACTGACGTGAGGGGACAAAGGGGGAACAATGGCAGGCCAATTCCCTGTATTTTCACGGGTTGAAGAGGCTGTGTCGTGGGTGAAAGCGGAGCCTGGTGGATTGAGGTCTGATTGGTGGATCTCAAAATGGGTCCAGGACGTTGAAACATCGGCCCTGAGTTTCGCACTCCTTCCAGGGGGAGCTCCGTTTCTCTCCTGTCATGCTTTCGTGGTCCCTTGAGCTACACGCTCCGCCCGGCAGAACAGTTCCTGGCCGAGCATGCTGCGCAGTGATCCTGAGAACGTTTGCAGTTGCGGTTCGGATGTCCCGATGCTGCGCCTCTCCTGTTGTCTCGGCTTCCAGCCTGTGGCTTGAGCTTTGACCTGGCGCTCAAGCAAGTCATGAGCACGGACTTGAGCGCGACGCATCGTGAAATGCAGGCGATGCAGCATGCGCGGTGATGGTCTGCTTGCAGGTGGATTGATTTGCTTCTGCTATGAACACGTCGAGAGCGAGCTGAACGGAATCCGATTTTCCTGGGCGAGGCGCTTCTGGATGCAAAGTGTTGCGGAAACAGTCTGGGTGTTCCAAGAAAAGAACAGGGCAGCGAAACGATTGGCACACAAGGCGTGTGCAGATAATACTGGGGCCAATCAACAATGTTTCAGGCCGTTACATAAGCGCCAGCTGGCGCCTAACAGCTGGCTGCTGCCTCTCCCTGCATGTGGGAAGCCGCGAGGAAACGGCGCCGTCACCAGTCGTTGTGCTCGATGCTGCTAAGCGCTCTGCTGGCTGCCAACCACGCCGCACATGGTCACACAGTCCAAGAAGGCCCTTCTCAATAAAGATGCGACCAAACGTCGAGCCCGCGCCGTTTCTCCAGAAACCTAGGCTGGCCCTTTTCTCTCCCCATACTACCGGTTAATATCTTTTCCTTGGCTTCGACAATGACGGCCGTGTCAGACTTCAGCACCAATGGCCGCCACCGCAATGGCGAAATGCTCAGCCCATTGGAGCGCATCGACGAATCCGACTATGAATCCGCATGGGAGAATTTCCCATCCCACGACAGACATTCACCTGTGGATTTCTCCGATGCCAACTCGACCTTTTCCTCAGATGCCGCCACCCTCAGGACTCAAAAATCCTCATTCGACCAGCCGAAGCTCCAGCCCGAAAGCATCAGCGATGATGACGTCACAACAGCCGTTCCTACACAAGCCCAATGGGGCATTCATTGGAAGTCTCCGACCTTGATGCTTTCACTGTTCTTTTTCGGCGTCGGGTGCTGCATTGGGCATCATTTCTTCTACCAATTCCTTGACGGAAAGCCTGTCGAGTCCTCCATCACCCAGCAATGGGCTATCCGCATCGGAACTGGCCTTGCCTTCCTTGCGAAAGCTTCCCTGGCAGCATCTGTCGGTGTGGCCTTCACCCAAAGACTCTGGGTGACTTTGAGAACAAAAGCGTTGTCCCTCCGTGCCATAGACAACGTCTTTTCTTTGGCAGTAGATCCTACCTCATTCTTCAACGGAGAGGCCTTGACACACGCGAAACTCCTGTGCTTGCTGGCCGCCGCTATGTGGTAAGTGAAAGCAGCACCAGCCCTCGACGACCATGGACGCTAATACTTTTGACCAGGTGCATTCCAATCATTGCCATCATCACGCCAGCGACACTGACAGTCCGTCTCGTGACGACAGTCAACACCACGAACACAAACGTGCCTTCGCTGAGCTACGAGAACGCTCGCAACTGGGGTGAATACCAGGGCGCGCAGCGTTTGATTGACGCAGCGATACCAGTGCACCGGATCCTCGCGGCTACCGCCACCACCGGCGACATCCTTCGCACCCAGCCTCCTTTCTCAAACTCTTCGTACACATTGGACTTCTTCGGCCCCTCTCTCAAATGCTACAACCTGAGTGCCGCCGACCTCGACCCAGAAGACGAAAGCGTCGTAGCCCCGGCCAGGAAGGTGTACGAGTCCGTCATCGAAGCCAACATGCAGCGCTCCAACGCACCGTGGGCGGCCCACCACATCTACCTCGGCGCCACGTCCAACGCCACCAACCTGACCGACACGCTCTTCGTCAACGTCCAGGGGCTGCAGGAGCAAAACATCACCTGCAACGTCTGGAACACGTCCTACACCGTCCTGTACGACTTCACCGCCTCCCCCGCGCAGCCCCCGACCATCACCCGCCTCGCCCGCACCAGCCCCATCCAAATCGCCCCAAACAACACCCTCCCCTCCTACACCCCCCACGAAATCGCCTTCTTCGCCTGGACCCGCGCCCTCCACGCCCTCCTCGCCTCCAGCATCGACCTCTCCTCCGCCTCCCCCTCCACCCTCTCCAACCCCTCCGCCTCCCTCCTCCAAACCAACCTCGCCTCCACCCGCGAAGTCCTCCAACGCCTCAACCAAACGACGTCCGACACCACCACCAGCACCGTCGCCCACACCCTCGAAGACCTCGCCCAAAACTTCACCCTCTCCCTCAGCGCCTCCGCCTGGACCGCCGGCACCGCCCCCACCACCATCACCACATTCCGCGCCACCACCGCATACACCTACCACGCGCTATACCTCCTCGTCGCGTACGCGGCAGGCGTCGCCGCGGCGCTGGCGGGGTTGTGCGTCGGCGCGGGCGCGTACCTCGCCAACGGCTTCGCGGCGGGCGGCGCGTCGTCGTCGTTCTCGAGCGTGCTGCTGGCGACGCGGAACCAGGACTTGGACAGGCTGGTCGAGGGGCGGTGCTTGCCGGCGCGGGGGGCGCTGCTGGATGGAGACGGGGAGTTGGGGAGGACGAGGTTGAGGTACGGCGTGTTGGCGGCGAAGGAGAAGAGCGTGGCGGGGCAGGAGCATGCGGCGTTTGGGTTTGTGGGGACGGTGAAGACGCTGAGGAAGGGGGATGTGGTGGCGTAGGTGGTGTGGGGCTGCCGTTTTTGATCGTTTGAGGAGGAGAAAATGGGGGGGAGGAGTGATGATACCACCTTTGGGACTTGTGACACTTGTCCTGCAGGCAGGCGAGGTTTGTCTCCAATGGGCTTAATTGTGTTTCTCTTTGACATCTGTGATTGTCGAAGGGGCTGTCTGTATAGAAGACTAGTATATCGAGCGAGTCCATGTTTCTCGATGGTAAACCACACATTTCATATCAGTTGTCCGTGCAAGTCATATCTAGTGTGCTTCTACCTCCTCGTTACACTATCCTGTACGTGTACCACCAACAGCTGTGTCAGCAGTTGCCTTAGTCACAACATCAACTTGGTGAGACCGATAACTTGCAAGTCAAACATGTGCGTGACATGACACTGGCTTATCGTTGCGATAAAGCTCTCATCCCTCACTCAGTCGAAGTTACTCATTAGCCACCAACGTAGCCAGCCAACTCAACTGCAGACGGTCCTATTCTAGCGGTTAGCACTGATCCAGCCATACAAGCCCCTTAACTCACCCTCAACACCATCCCCGACCCATCGTCCCACCGATGCGCAATGTCTTCGTCACTCCCGGGCCTGCCGAACGTAAACGCCAACGCTATACCCGCAATCTTCTCTCCCTCTCCCGCCTCCCTGTTCTCAAACCGCCAATAATCCTTAATGGGCGACTCGCCCCAGTACACCTGCCCTTCATTCGTCCGAATCTGCGTGTCGCGACAACTCCAGTCAGCACGCGGTCACCACCACGCAAACACTCCCAATTTTTTTTTAAAAAAAAAGAGAAAACTAAAAAGAAACCCACTCACCCTCACAGCGCGAATTCCCCCCTCACTCACCACATCCACGCCCACCACCTCCTCGCCCCCCGCCCCATCCACATCCAACCGCACCTCCCTCAACCCAGCCGCCCACTCCCTCCACCACATCGGTGTCCCCTTCGCCCCCGGCACCGCCCCGCCGCCATGATCCACGCCCTCACGATCCTTTTCTCCCTCTCCCTCTCCCTCTTCCCCCTTCCCCTCCCCCCTCATCCTCATATACATCCTCATCGCCCTCAGCACCCCCGCCGCCCCGATCTCCCGCGCCGGCACGCCCGACCCGCGCGCGTACTCTGCGCGCACGCAGCACACATGCTTCCCCTCGTACAGCCAGGCGGTGATGCGGCGGAGGGCGCGGCGCTCGTGCGGGGAGGCGGCGAAGACGAGGGCGTGGGTGGGGACGACGTCGGCGTGCCAGGGGGATTGGATCTGGTAGCGGTTGGGGGCGCGGGCGGTGGCGGGGAGGGCGCGGAGGGGGATGGGGATGGGGTCTGGGTTGGTGGAGTTGTAGGGCTGGCTGAGGGGGTCGGAGGGGTGGGTGGGGGTCCAGAGGGGTTGGTGAAGGAGGGGGAGGGGGGGAGGCGGCGGCGGCGTCGTCGTCGTCGTCGTCGTGGCGGGGGCGAAGGGGTGGAGGTGCTGGAGGAGGCCGAGGCGGGCGATGCGGATGCGGGTGTTGGATGGGTGGTTTGCGTAGCTGGTGATTTGGCCCGTGATGCCGATGAGGATGTGGTTGGGGGAGATGGGGAGCAGGCGCTGGCAGTGCGTGGGGTTGGTGTCACCGAGCTTGAAATCTCTGTGGGTGGTGCGGACCTGGGAGCCGTGTCGTAAGCATTTGTGTTTCGGTGAGAGTTGGGGGGAGCTTCGTATGTAATCGCTGGAACGTACCGTCATCCCCTTGATCGAAGTCTCGGTCTTCTCGCCGGAGAAAACATCGGGCAGGTGTAAAATGAGGCCTTGAACCCAGCAGTCTTGTTCGATCTCGACTGTTTCCTTCTTGAGCCTCGACTCGAACCTGCCGCCACCATCAGATCCAAACACCCTCCTCTCCCCGGCAACCACAAGCGTCAACCCCATCAACGTACGCTCCTCATCCCAAGTCACCTCCAACACCGATCTCCCCTTGACCTCGTCCCAATCACACACCCACTGCGCCGTCGACGTCCTCAACCCCTCCCCTTCCGGCACCGGCCACGCCACAACCGGCAGCCCCGTATTGACCGCACCGCGCCAAATGCCCGCCGCCTCTCCCTTGCCCGCCGCCACCGCCCTCTCGCGCTCCTTCGCCCTCAGCCTCGGCACATACAGCGCATCGTACTGCTCGCACACGCCCCAAACCCGCCTCCTGTTGGCGACGCCCATGAACGGGCCTTCCAGCCCGCGGCGCGGACGCGTGCACGCCTCGAGCCACAGGAACAGGCCCTTGAAATCCGTCTCGTCCGGATCGACGGTGCCGTGCCGCATCAGCACGTGCAGCTCCCAGAACCACGGCATGCAGCGCCGCAGCGCCTGCTTCCAGAACCCCGGGTTCTGCGACGACGAACGGACGGCGGCGTGGATCGTGTACGAGGCGGTGGCGAGGGCCGGGACCGACTCGGCGGGGACGAGCAGCGCGATCTGGTGGGTGATGTCGTAGGGGAGGCGGGCGAAGGGGTCGTGGCGAACGCGGGCGGAGAGGGAGGCCGAGGTGAGGGCGTCCGCCGTGCCGGGGGCGGGCAGGGCGAAGTCGTCGGTGGAGACGGTGTTGCGGAGGAGGACGGTGAAGGTCGGGTTGCTGAGGGGGTAGGTGACCATCATCTTTGATTTGAGCGCTTCTTAGCGGGTGTGTCCTGGGCGGGGATGGTGGAGGGGAAGTCGCACCTCTTCTCCCGGGTTGGACCACCAGCATTGGTCGTAGCGCTGTGATGGCTCGCCGTAGTTTAGCTCGGGTAAGCCCCAGCCCATCAAGCCGGAGATGATATGGTACAGAGCGTCTTTGTCGAGATTGTCGACGTTATCGTTGCCGCAAAGAACTCTGGTCAGCAGCTTGAGACATGGCTCGTGGATGGGGAAGCAAGCCGTCTGGGTGGCGTCGTACACGCGATAGCTGGTTGGTAGCTAAGTAAAGTATTCTTCGACATGTTTTGGTTCATTCATACCATTGAAATTCGTCCGAGTCTTGGGGAAAATTGGGATCTGGAGTCCCTCGGTCAACATGGCGACATAGAATGACAGAAACGACATACCGTCCGACTCTACACCTCTCATGCACCCCTGCATTAACGTCAGAATTGGCGGTGCTCGGATGTCACGAGTCTAGTACGTAGTCCTCATAGTTCGCTGGTCGAGAGATGTACATTCTTTCTCGATTAGAGTCAGTCCGCGCAGCCGGAACGGGTTCATTTACTTGGTAAGGCCAGTAGCGTTGGGGTTGAAGCCTAAAACTTGAGCTTTGTATGTCCATTGGACGTCTTCTTGGCTGACAATCTCCGGATCATAGCCACGGAACTCGTGTCTGTCGAAATCTGCAAACAATCGGTCCCGCGTCTTAGCAAAGCCCATAGAATAGATATATGACATCATGCAGCGGTGACAAACCTTTCTCAGTGAAGCTGGGATTCTCTTCGCGCTTCTCCCTGAGTGCAAGCTTGCGAGATTTGTCGCAGATATGGATATAAGCGCAGGCAGGGCCGGCACAAACGGCACAGAAAATGTCGAAACCCATAGCTTGGAGTGTGCAGGTCGAAGTTGTGAGGATTGGGAGAGGTGGCCGGTGATGGACAGCTATGAGCGCTCGGGGAACCTCCCGGCCGGCTGCCTAGGCTAGTCCACAATAGTTGGCGCTAAGGATTCCCGGTCGCACCTGGCTCATCAAGCGCCAGCTGTGAGCGCCTTTACTCTCGGCCTCATACAACAATGACAATCTGAGAATTGTACGCTCAAGACCATCATAGCTGTTTCCAGTCGCCTGGTAACGGCACTCGTGGTAGCTTTTTCACGCATAATCCATCTACATTGCCAGGAGCCAACCAAAACCTCGGCACACCGAAGGTGCCCGGCGACGACAAGTCGCCGTTATAGGCGCACCACTGGCGTGCGGTGAAAGTATCGGGCAAAGTAGGCACTACTGCTGACAACGGTTTTCGGACACCGACATGTTTAAAGTTAAAGGATTCGGCCCCATGCACACGACACTACTTACCCCGCCAGACAAGCTCGACTTATATAGCGAGGAAGCTCCGCAGCTTCGGGACACCGCCAGGTCAGGCACACACTCCGGTAATCCCTCAGGCAGACACGCTGTTGCTCATCTGTCAGCCGCGGTGTCTAAATACAGGTCGCAATCAGAGATATATAGCAGCGGCCGACCTGGACTGCTCAACATCACCTCTCCTCCAAGCCTTCTCACCAACAAAGCTCCACTGCCATACACCTCCAACCATGGCCCAAGCGCAGGGCACATGCGACGCCCGCTTCCAAGAAGTCAAAACCCTCTTCCAGTCCTACCTCGACTCAGGCGACGAGCTCGGCGCCTCCATCTGCGTCAACATCGACGGCGAAGACGTCGTCGACCTCTGGGGCGGCCACGCCGACCAAGCCCGCACCCGCCCCTGGACCGCCGACACAATCTGCACCATCTGGTCGACGACCAAAGCCATCACCTCGCTCGCCGCCCTCGTCCTCATCGACCGCGGCCTCCTCTCCCCGCACGAAAGAGTCTCCCACTACTGGCCCGAATTCGCGGCCAACGGCAAGCAGGACGTCCTCGTCCGCCACATCCTGTCGCACACGGCCGGCCTCCCCGCGTGGGACCCGCCCATCGCCAGCGCCGACATGTACGACCTGCCCAAGGCGAACGCGCTGCTCGCCCGGCAGGCCCCCCGCTGGCCGCCCGGCTCCGCCTCCGGCTACCACATGGTCACCATCGGCCACCTCGTCGGCGAGCTCGTCTTCCGCACCACGGGGAAGCGCCTCGCCGCCTTCGTCGCCGACGAGATCGCGGGGCCCCTCGGCGCGGATTTCCAGATCGGCGCCCGCGAGCGGGACTGGCCTCGCGTCGCCGACATGATCCCTCCGCCGACTCCGCCGTCTCCGCCGTCCCCGCCGCCGCCAGAAGATCAGGCTGGGGCTGAAGCCGGCCCCCCGCCGCCGCCGCCGAACGACTTGGTCGAGAAGACCAAGACGGCCGTGTGGCGGCGCGGCGAGCTGGGCGCGGCGAACGGGCACTCGAACGCCAAGGGCGTGGCGCGCATGCTGTCGGCGCTGGCGCTGGACGGGGAGGTTGGTGGGGTGCGGCTGCTGTCGCCCGCGACGATCGCGCTCGTCTTCGAGGAGCAGGCCAACGGGATCGACCTCGTGACGAAGCTGCCCATCCGGTTCGGCATGGGGTTTGGGCTGACGGGCAATGACACGTTCGCGGGGTGGTTCCCTGCCGAGGCGCAGGAGGAAGGGGCGCGCGTGTGCTTTTGGGGCGGGTGGGGCGGGTCGATTGTGATTATGGATTTGGAGAGGAGGATGACCGTCGCGTATGTGATGAATAAGATGGAGATGACGATTTTGGGGAACGATCGCACCAAGGCGTATGTTGAGGCTGTCTATAAGGGGCTTCGGGCAGCGTAGGTGGTTGGGTTGAGCTTCTACGCGGTTTTACAACACTTCAATAGTCACTTCACCACGATACTTTTGAGAGGGGATCTTGAACGACTTCAACGATTTGAACACTATGTAGCTACTCTCGTATTACCTCTTACAGTGAGCATTCCTACTTCGATACACTGAATCACTTTTTTTTTATAGTTTACTGAGAGCCATGCGTCGAGGGAACGGTGTCCCGGGGGTAGAGGAACAATAAAACACAATACGTGGAAGAATCAAGTAAGGTTGTGCGCCGTAGCGCGCATGGTTTTATTACTACAGCCCAGGAGGGTGGTATCTATCTTTGGTGCCACTGCACCGTACGAACAGCAAGATTAAACTCAATCTAGTGTGACTCCCGTCAAAAGACAATTTTGAAGTGGCAAAGGACCAGAAACTCCCAATGACACGAGAAGCAAGTCACCCCGAGCACCACCGGAGCCCATCTCTCGCGAAATGGCCAGGTAGCTGTGTCGGTGCCGTTTGACATCCCCTCCCCAAAAGTGTTCGCAAAAGTGGTATAAAAACTCATCGTTAGGTCATGTCGTGAAGACGCTTTTGGTCGTGACAGTTGCTAATTCGCAAGTTGGAAAACAAAAACTCCAACCTACAACGGATAGCGTTAGTGATGCGGTCAACCAAAAGAGTGAGCACTGCTGAGACATACCATCAATCATGAAGAAGCTGAACAAGCGCGTCGGCGCATTTACGAGTCCCAGATCGGACCGAAGGCGGGGACGCCGCGGCTCTCCATGGCGTAGACGAGCATCTTCGTGAGCTTCGGGTTGCTGATGACAAACACAGCCTCAGCACCGCTCTCGCGGAACATGTTGTACGTGAGCTGGACCATGTTCGGGCGGCCCATGGCTCTGGTGTCCCAGATGAGCGCATCCGGGTCGCACTTCTTGACCGAATCGCAGATGCCCTGGCCGTAGATGGCAGCCGGACGGGGCGAGCTCCAGATGACGCGGCAGGGGCGGCGGAGGCTCTCGGGAAGGTTGAGGAAGGCGAGGCAGGGGCCGATGCCGGATCCAGTAGTGACGATGACGACGCGGCGGAAGATCAAGCACATGCCAAGAACTCCCGTCTTGGGAACACCGCGCAGCCAGTAGTGGCGCTCATTGGTCTTGTCCTTGACTTGGGATGCCGTCCAATCTCCAGCCTTGGAAACGATGATCGACTGGCCGTGGGGCAAGTCGGACTCGGGGTTGGGGAAGGTGGCAAAAGAGTGGTATTGTCCAAGAGGCGACTCCGCAATGGCAACACCACGGAAAGGAGCGAGCTTCTCGTTGTAGTTGAGACGAAGCGCGTGGTCCGACAAGTTCTCGATCGTGAAGCGCACCTTGCGAAGCAGCAGCCAGGGCATGATGATCATGAGGGTGATGGCGATGAGGAACCAGAAGGCGGGCTCAGTGATGAGAGCGGAGCCAAAGGCGACATTGGTGGCAACGCGCTTGTTCTCGATGACGAGCATGATCAAGGCCCAAAGACAGCCGACCGCGAGCCAGCCGAGGAAACGGTGCGAGAACTCAAAGTGGTTGTGCCAGCGCATGCGCATATAGGGGAAGCAGAAGACCAGGATGACCACAAGGACCGCCAGGGTGACATAGGCCACAGCAACCAGTGCAATGGGGTTGGCAGTCAGATCGTTGTGGATGAAAAGGCGGGTGACAGTAGCGCAGAGCAAGGTGAACCAGGCTGTGCCGGCGTAGGCAGTACCACTGTGGAAGCCTCCATTCTCGTAAACCTTGGCCAGAAGACGGCGGACGCGGAGTGGGAAAGACAGCGGAGTCGAAAGGCAGATTCCATACAGAGAGTTGACAATCCACTCCTGACGAACAGCGATGGTGCCGAAGATGTTGACAGCGGTTGCCGTTGCAAGGTTGCTAGGGTTGACGTCCAGAGGGGATCCGGCGGTAGCGACGAGATGGACCAAAGCGATGAGGTTGCCGATAATGATGAGCGTGGAAATGCGACGGTAGACGCTCAAGATCTTGTGGCGGACGTTGCGGAAGACCTTGGGATAACGCTTGTCGGGGACAGTGATGGCGTTGTTGAGCTCGAGCGTGATTCCGGACTCCTTCAGCTCGCCAGCCTCCATCTCAGGCGCCTTCTCGCTGGAGAGGGCACTGAGGCGCTTCTCGTAGGCGGCGAAATCTTTGGACGCAAAGCCATCGTTGACGTAGCCGGGCATCGTGACCGGACGAGGCGGATCATCCTCTTGAGAACGGCGGGACAGGTAGACTCCGAGCGGCTTGACGATGCTGTCCTGAGAGAGGCGCTTCTCGTAGTCGGCGAATTGCTTGGCAGTGAAAGAGTTGACAGGGCCAGGAGCAGTGCTCGGCCTGCTGACACTCACACCGCTGTCGTTGCGGACATGGGCGGGCGGCTTCTCCTTGAGGTCCGACATGGCAAGGGCGATATCGGTGGAAGTGAAGAAGTACCAAAGAGCGAGCCAAAGAGGGTTGCGGGTTTGAAGAAGAACGACAGGCGGTGGAGGTCCAGAAGCTTTATAGCTGGGTGGACCGAGAGACTGCGGAGGTTGTCGGAAAACAACGTGCGATGTTAAGGGTGGTTGGCAGAGGTGTTAACTAGGTGTCTGCCGGCAAGCAGCCGTTGTTCGGCGGCGCAGTCCGCACGACAACAGGGTGTTTATGCGCGCCGCTAGTAACAGAACACAGTACAACGGAGGAAGGCACGAAGCAGCACAGCGGCAACATACAATGGCGGGCGGCGAGCGCAAAGGCGCGAGAAAGCGGGCTTAAGAGAAGGCGGCGCCCTGCATGCGTAGTGTGAGTAGCATATCGGCTATCACGCAGCTGCGGCCTCTCGGTCCAGGAGGCAGCTGGCGGCATGGATTCTGCCCCACCGTGGTCCACGGTCACTGCGCGTTGCTTCGGCAGGAGCAGCATGCAGTGCCGCGCTCCGGATGGTGGCGGGCTCCACCGCACTATAGCGCACCTGCATCACACGCGACCTGAAGAACTCGCGGCTGAGGACCTGATCGCCACGCCGTCACCCTTTCCGCGCCGGCGCCTCGCTCGCTCGACGCTCCGGCTCTCGACGCGCCGGGTAGCCGAGCAACAGCCGTGGCCCAGCTGGGGGCGGTCAGCAGCCGTCGAGGGAGGCTCGCAACCACACGGGCACACGCAGGACTCGAGGGGATCGAGATTCGCGTGGTGGACGTCCGGATGGGGGCATCGCATCTGACTCGAGACGACAGCTAGATCCGGACGCGAGAGTCAAGACAGCAGCTGAGGTCAGAGGGACCTGCGCATGTGGTGGGCATGAGACAGTGCGCCTTCTTCAGGCGCTAGCCGCATGGGCAACGGAGGCTCCAGAAGGGCGCTAGCGCGGGCGGCGTAGCATACTGTTCCTCTCTGGCCTGACTCGAGATAAGGCGATGGATTGGGCTGAGCGGCGTCGCGGGAATCGGGAGAAGGCCAAGATGCTCCCAGACGGGCGGCATGGGCTCCACTCTCCAGCCCGGCGGGAGGGGCCCAAGAAGCAGTGCGGGGCCCTTCCAATAGATCCGCATAAGGGCCGGGGTGCGAATGGCGCGCGCTGGAGAGCAGCGCAAGGAAGGTCAGCGAGAGCGCAGATCGCGGGGCTCACGCGCGCACGCGAAGCGCGGGATCGCCGTTGGCAAGCCAGCCCCTCGGGAGGCGGCGCGGCTCGACAGCCAGCCCCAAACTCCTGCTGACGCCGCGCCGGTGTGCAGGCTGCGGCGGCGTGGGGTGTGGGCGGGCGTGGGCGGGCGTGGGCGAGCTGCGGCGAGCTTGGGCGAGCTTCAGCGTGGGCGGCGCCGCTGACCTGGGTGCTGCAGGGTCGAGGAGCCGCGGGGCCGCAGGGCCGCGCGAGTGCGTCAGGCGGGCGGCGGCAGCGCAGCTCCAACTGCCGCCGCAGTCAGGAGTGTGCAGGCTGCTGCAGGAGGAAGGGAGCCGCGAACCTCCTGCCTCAGCGGTCGGCAGGCGGTGTGGGTGGTCGTCGAAAAGAGCAACGGCGAGGGAAGGACGGGCCAACGCTTAGCTCTTTTCGCCCGCTGTGCCGCCAATTCGGGCCGCGGCTGGTCGTCCGGGTCGTCCGTCAGGCTCCGGGGTGGGTGCCTGGCCGGCGCCTCAACACCACCGGCTACCACTATCTGTGCTCGGTTCGCCCACACCTCACCGACAACCCTGCGCGCCGCTCACCCCATCTCCACCCGGATTTTCCTCGCTGGGTGCTGCAGGCTCCACTTGCCGTGATTCTGCAGCTCGTCACGCCGCTAGCCTCGACTCGATGCTACAGCCTGTGAGCCTGGAGCCCACTCATTGCCTGGCCCTCGGCTCGATCTGACCAACACCACGCTGCTAGCGCACGATGCTAGCGCAGACGCCATGCTGCCACGTCCTCGCCGCGAGCGCGCATTAGTCGCTCGAGCATGGCCCAATACTGCGCGAACCGCAAGCGCCAGTCCTGCGCCGGCCTTCGACTGCCGAAAAAAATGACGCCTTCAAACGTTCAGCTCGCCGTTTCCTGTCACCATGGGTTTGCCTGCGCAGCTGTTAGCGAGCATTGCCTTGTTCAATATTCCATCACCGCGCTGCTTTGTCCCGCTTGATGGCCATAGCGCTTGCATTCACTCCCCACCCGCCTACCTTAAAGCCCGCGCGTGCAGCTGTCCTACTTCCACCTCTCTCCAGGCAGTCAACCCGTGCCACGCTTTCCACGACAACTGTACGACGCAGCAATATGGATCTCGTTTCCTGGACCTTCGGCGGTAACCTGCCTGATCCCGACAAGCCAGTACGCTTCACAACCCCAGCACTCCGCGTTACCTTCTCTTACCCGCCTTCTAGATCTTGATAGATGCCCTGTCGCCTTCCACCTCGTACTCTTACAACCAGATCGTCTCCAAAACCCGCCGACTGATAGCCGGCCTGCGTGCTCAGGGCATCCAGCCGGGCGACTGCGTCTGTGTAAACACCTTCAACGATGTAAGACCCCTCCTGCTCTCTTCACTTGGTGATTCTGACCCCAGCTCAGCTTGACTACTCCATCCTTTACCTTGGCATCATCGGCGCTGGCGCCGTCTTCACCGGTGTCAACCCGGGTTTCACTCCAAATGAAATCCGTCACCACTTGGACCTGACCAAGCCGAGTCTGATCATTGTTGAGCCTGCAATGCTGCAGAAGACCCTGACGGCTGTCGAGCAAGCTGGCATATCAACAGACCGGATCTACGCCTTCGACACCGAGACAGAGAACCCAAACCCATCGATACTCAGCTGGAACTCGTTGCTTGAACATGGCGAAGCCGACTGGGTCAGCGTCCAGAGCCCCCACGAGACTGTGGCTACGTACAACTCGACCAGCGGAACGTCTGGTCTGCCCAAGGCCGCCATGATCACTCACTCCTACCATGTATCCCAAGCCGCTGCTCAGTGTGGAGAGACTGGCTATGCTGTATGTCTTTTCCTGCCGTTCGCACATACTCGCACAAAGGCTGACATCCAGACTAGCGCTCTCGCCTCCTGACCCTGCCACCTTTCCACGCATTCGGGTCCCCCATCCTGCCTTCGAGCATCCGCCAAGGCATCCCCACATACATCATGCGCCGCTACGCAGAAGCCCCCTTCCTTAATGCCATCGCGCAATACCGGATCAGCGAGACCTTCGTTCCACCGCCAGTGCTTATGGCTCTGCCTAAGTCTGAGCTAGCAACGCGCGAAGGCCTCGACAGCCTGCGGTCCATCTGGATGGGCGGCGCGAGTGTCAAATTTGCGCAACAAAAACCCTTGTATGATCTGCTTCACGAGGACGCATGCATCCGAGGTGTGTGGGGGATGACCGAGTCTGGCTGGATCACGTGTGTCCAAGATCGCACAAGGCGTGAGGATGACAGCGTCGGCCAACCAGTCGAAGGCTTCGAAATCAGGTATGCAATCTCGACCTTCTTCGCAGTGTTTTCTTTTCCAAGCCACTTTCGTCCCCGTGTCCCGTGTAGCCGGATGCTGACTTGCATGGCACAGAATCGTCGACGACGATGGCGAGCCCATCACGGCGGACAATGTCTCGGGCGAATTACTTGTGCGGGTCCCGCATCCTCTTCTGTCCTACATATCGAATCCTGCCGCCACCGCCGAAGCCTTCACGCCCTGCGGCGCCTATCTCCGCACCGGCGACATCGGCCACCGCGTGACTGACCCCGTCACCGGCGTCCCTTCGCTGTTCATCGTCGACCGTGCGAAGGAGCTTATCAAGGTCCGTGGCTGGCAGGTGTCGCCGACGGAGATCGAGTCGGAGCTCATGCAGCACCCGGGCATCGCCGACGCAGCCGTCATCGGTGTCAAGGAGGCCGATGGTGTCGAAGAGTTCATCCGCGCGTACATTGTGCGAAAGGCTGTTTTCAGCACCGCCGACGAAGAGTTGATCGACGAAAAGGTCTTGCGTCTCTGGCTGCGCCAGCGCCTCGCGGGGTACAAAATGCCCGCCGAGACCGTCTTCGTGCCCTCGGTGCCGCGCAACGGCACTGGCAAGATCCTCCGCCGCGTCCTGCGCGAGGGCCAGCTCACCGCGCCTCCGAAGGCCCCCGTCCACAAGCGCGTCGACTCGGCCATGTCTTGCGTCGGCGCCAACCCGCTCGGGAGCAACCCGGTGGAGCCTCAGGACAACACCGCACCCATCGGCCACGCGCTCTCGACCGTCCGGTCGCAGGTCGAGATGGCTTCTGCTGCTGCTGCTGCGGAGCCTCCGATCGCCGTTGGGGAAGAAGACGTCGCGTCCAGTGGCCCTCCACCAAAGCCGGAGGCCCCTGTCGTCGCCATCGCAATGCCTGCGCAGTCCACGTTCTCTGTGGACACGAACGCGCAGAAGAAGCCGGCCTCGATCAGGAGGCAGCTGAAGAAGCTGGTCGCGAAGAAAGACAGGCTCGTTTCGCGCGTCATGGTCGGTTGGTCGCATTCGCTGCACCTTGTCAGGCACGAGTTTGGCAGGCACTGAGCTGCGTCGCCGGCGTCGTCGCTGCTTGTTCGTCCACTCTGCTTGATGCAGACCGCGTTCTTTGTTTTGGTGCTGTTGCTGCTGCTGCTGCTAATGTTGTTTGTTCTTTGTTGGCAGATGCAAAAGTGGTTCACGCGGGATGTTGATGAAAGCATTGTTCAAGCGTTTGTTGAGCGCATTTGAGAACGTCATTGGTTGTTTGGTCCTGCTTGTTGAAGGCATGATTTGAATGATGACGAGGATGCATGCGGTTACGCGCATGTCACCATTATGTTGATGGGTTGATGGATTGGGTCGGTCGGTCGGCGTTTGAAATTCGCTTATACCAATTGTTTATTCGGAGTTGGTTTTGGAATGGGAGATGGTTAGATTGCAATGGGGAAGGATTCTAATTCTTGTATATACTTTGTTTAATTTTATTGTTTCGTCCCCGAAAGCTTTCACATGATTTGTTGCGTGATTGTCCATGGTTTCCCGCGACCACACTCTCCCCTTGCATACGCAGTTTGAGCATTCATCTGCCGACGAGTGCACATATCTTTTAGCCAGCGGTGTTCCGATAATATTTGTATTTGGCTCGCCGCGTTGCAATACTGATGCCGGCGACCTGATTGTCTTACACGGTGGGCCGAGGCGACTTTATAGTACCTCCATCATTGTTGCTTATGGTTTTCGTATCTTCCGATGTGTTTCTAGAGTCGATGGCAGCCTTTCGGTACCCACGATGCTACTTGTTGGTTTGTGGTCCTCGGAACGTAGTTAATTTGACCCTGCTCGAAAAGGCCCCGGTCATTGGATCCAGTGCATGTACTGTACAGCATCTCGACGGATGGCCAGCCAGGACCGAAGCCAGCTGTGAAGCTATGTTGCTTTAACTTTGATTGGGCATAGGTATGCGACCGTGTCTGCGAGGAAAGGCATGCTCGTCTTTTGTGAGAAGTAAAACGCAGTACCGAGCTGAGCCAACGGATCCTGGACGCATGAAAGCATGCGCTTCAGCCCCATCGCGGCAATAATAGGAATTCGGAATGAGTTTTCATTTTTCGCAGACCGGGAAACCCTTAAACGAATTATTTCCGTCCGGCCCTATCGCACTGTTGTGATGGCTCGAGATTCTTGCGTTGGGGTTCATCAACATGTTTCTCCGGGCTTGGCCACAGACTCGTCTGGTGTCAATGAATGCAGGGCATCCTCGTACAGAAAGACCGTATCGTAGTTGGAAGCCGGCGAAGTCAAGAACAGGTCGACATCGAGAGAAGTGTTGTTTTCGGTAGAAAGGCCGGATTTGCGACAGTGCGGTCTTGTTGGATACTTGGTGCAGCACTGTGATAGCACAAGTAGCAGAGCTTCGGCAGTATATGATCAAGTAGAGTGATTATTTAGGGGCTGCAGCGACTCAGATATGAAATTAGAGGGGTGGGAGATCGCGCTCTCGTATTCCCAGACCCACCGTAGAGCTGTTGTTTTATGAACACGGGGTAAACGTTGCTCGGAAAAAGTGCCAGAAATAACGCCGATTGAGCTACTTGCGGAAGGTACTAGCCTTACCAAGCAAAACTATCGAAGATAACGTGATATTGCGAGCATACTTTACCCGACGCGGTCCACCGGCCTTGCAGATCGCAGCCGTCTTCAAGGTTGCCCCTAAACCCGCCAAGCACTCGTAGACCAATTAATCGCCAGCATGCTTTCATATCGACATTGCACGACCCCATACGGGACGATATTGTTTCACGCATTAGCATTTGTGGCGCAACCGAAGCCTTCGGGCTCTGGACTATAAGGCGCTCTTCCGCCCCCGCAGCCCTGGTTTGAGCCAACCACGTCCACAAGTCACTCTTTTTTTGTTGTTTTTCGTCACTCACTTGCTCAAACCAGTCTTTACAGATCCCTACACTCTTTTTTGCCACTTACCTAGTCATTCTCTGTCAAAATGAAGTTCGCTACGACTGTCGCCACCACGATCGGCCTGATCGGCGGTGCTGCGTTCGCAACCATGAGCCCTGCAAACCTCCAAGACACGGGTAATTCGCTGGCCCGTCAGGCGTTTGACATCAAGGATCTTGTCGTGGCGATCAACTCCACCATGAACAGCGGCCCGATGCAGGTGCGGACACAAGTCTTCCTTTACAATGGGCGTTGTTCAGGCTGACTAACAATTTCTGAGTAGGATGTCTTCGAGGAGATCGATGACATGTATGAGGCTGTTCTGTCGAACATCGCGCTCACCATCGGTAGCAAGACTCTCACTGAAGAGAGCCAAGATGTTCAGCTGGTCTACGAAGCTTACTCCTACGTATGTATTACTCTATGTTTCCAAAGTTTCACTTCAGGCGACGTGATCACAAACCCGAGGACATAAGCTAAATCTTGTATAAAACGAACAGCTTGCCCAGTCCATGTTCGAACTCATGGATGCGCTCGGCAGCTCCGCAACCAACTTCATTTCCATGGATACTCAGAACGAATTCCGTGTGCCCGCTTCCGTCCGCGAGGTCGGCGGCGTGGTGGATGCGTGGATGTTCAACATGATTGGCCTTTTCCCGGCCAACAGCTCCTACTCGGACCAGGCTGCCAACCAGAAGAACCAGGTCGACTCGCATTTCCGTCGTGCTATTGCCGCCTATCACCTGGCTACCGCGAAGACCGAGACACCCTACGGCAACATCACGAACATCGTCTCGACCGATGCTCTGACCTCGACCATCGCCAAAATTTTCAACGGTGATGATGAGACCTCAGACAGTGACGTTCGTACCACCAGCTTCTAGCGACAACACCTCTAACCATGAGGGCGCTTCCACCCACCGCTCTTCAACTAACAACGTTTCTAGAACTAGTAATACTGCCGACAACGACAAAAGCTGCAGCGATGAGGCAACCTCAAACAACACCGGTATCAATGGCGAGCCTCAGGAATCCGACTGCGCCGAAGAAGACCCTACTGCGTCTACCGGGAAGTAATTAGTTATCAGTGAAGACATTCGAGTCAAGGCCTCCAACGCTTCTTCATCCTCCTTGCAGAGACCAAGCATCGTTTATATTTCTCGCTTGACATGTCCACGTTCCCGTATTGCAGGTTACCAAGGAATCTTGAAGACTTCAAATGTATCAAGACATATTTTTTCCATCATACCGCATCATGCGCAAAATGTTGACATACTACGAGTGATGACATTGCATTGCAGTTGGCACAACAAAGCACGGTATTTTCGATATCCAAGTCCCACGCAAGCGATGCCTGAAGGGGCGATTTCTGTCGATCGCATTCCACGTCAGAGGCGTTTTGCGACCAAGGTCAAATACGACGTCACATCTCTCTCGGCTAATCTCCAATCACAGTGGCAGCAGACGGTCCACTGCACCTAATTATAGGTGTTATCGCCAGGCAGGGCCTGGCGCTTTCCCGCGCACGGTAGCGCGTCGAACAGAATCCGTTGCGATAAGACATAAAAGGGGTGTGCGGAACGCCACCGGGATGCCGTGTTGTTGGATTCTAGAGCTGGGCAGTGGATTCTTCACGAACTTATATACGAGAAGTGGCTCCAGCGAATCCTGCAGGATCCACAGCGGTTCTCAGGAGCGGTGCCCATCACCCTGCCGTTTTTGTTAAAACGGGCCCGCGGTGGCGTACGGAAGAAAGAGCCGTTCCCACAGTCTTTCTTGATTCTGCTTGGTTCCCACTCTAAATTCCGACGATGCGGTTAACCGCGTGCCTGCCCACCGCTATAGTCGGCCTTCTGTATGCCGGCAAGACGGCTGCCAGCGGTCCCAAAGGAGTATTCGCTCATTACATGGTCCGTTCAGGTCGAGGCCGCTGCCCGTAGCCAAAGCTCATCCAACACCAGGTCGGCACTATATTCGAAGACCACATAAGACAAGATGTCGACGACGCTGCCGCCATGGGCCTCGACGGCTTCGTCATCAACATGGGAAACCCCCTCGGCCCTGAGACTCGCCCGCTGCTCAGCACCATGTTCGACTACGCGGCCGCAACCCATCCCGATTTCAAGTGCTTCATCAGCATGGATCTCTGGTCGCCCAAGAACCTGTCCGACTTCGACTCAATACTGACGGATTTCCTGGGCCACGCCGCCTACTACCGAGGGTCTGATGGATATCCTGTCATAAGTACCTACGGCAGTGGTACTTTCGGCCAACACGACTGGAGCCAATGGCGCGATAAGTGGGCGCACAACATATATTTCATACCAGACTTCGCCGACCTGATGGCCCTCCAGGGGTCCGACGGCTGGTGGGACGAGTGGGGCTTCATGATTGCCGGTCTGTTCAGCTGGGAGTCGACATGGCCGATACGGGGCCAGCAAAGCACACCTGCCCTCGTCGCCGTCGACGAGAAGCCCGAATGGACGCAGGAAAGAAACAAGGCGTACATGATCGGTAGGCCCCAACACACACACCCCCCAAACCGCCGCTGTCCTTCCCCCCACCGAACGTGCGCGATACTAACCACCACACACCCAGGCCTAAGCATGCTCCAATACAAAAACTCCTACGGCGCCAACATCTACCGCGCCGGCGAGGAGAACCTCCCGCTGCGCATCCAAAACATCCTCAACATGCCCGACCAGCCCGAATTCACCCAGATCCTCACCTGGAACGACGGGCCCGAGTCCCACTACATCGGCAACATCTGGCCCGAGCAGGACAACACGACGCAGATGCGCGTCTACGCCAACGCCGACGCGCCGCACACGGGGATCCAGCCGCTCCTCAGCTCCTTCGCGACGGCCTTCAAAGCCAACGCCGCGGCGCACGCCATGGCGCCCGTCGCCGGCGCCGCCGTCACCGGCGCCCTGTGGTTCAAGCCCATCCTCGCGGCCGGCACCGCGTGCGCCGACGAAGACGATGGCGATTTGCATCACGAGAAGCCGGCGGGGTACGAGGTCGCGGCGGATGTGGCGACGTGGGCGGTGGTGGTGGGGGAGGGGGACGGCGGGGCGGGGTGGACGGTGCATGGGTTCAGTGCGGGGGAGGAGTTGGGGAGCGGGACGGGGCTGGGGGCGGGGTTGAATTTTGGGAATTTTACGGGGGTGAAGGTGGGGAGGCAGTGCGTGGAGGTGAGGAGGGCGGATGGCGGGCTGGTGGCTGTGGCGAAGGGCGGGAGGGAGGTGTCGGCGGATTGCCCGGATGGGATTTACAATCTCAATCCGCAGATTTTGGAGTTGAAGGAGGATGTGGACGATGGTGGGTGTGTGGAGGATGCGAAGAAGTCGTCGGATGGGGATGGGGATGGGGATGAGGGGGGGAATGACGATGACGATTCGTGGGGCGTCAGGGCTGTTGCGATTGATCGATTCGTCGTGCTTGCTGCGCTTTTGACTTTGTTGTTCTCCGCGACGGGTACTTGGGTTTTGTGCTGAGAGGGTTTTACGAGACATGACTATAAACTAGGACTACTAGACTGCATAATCACACCGACTTGTAATATTTACATGGGAATGACAGTGTAATGTCGATCCCTTTTGAACAGTTGCCGACGCCAAAGCGGAAGAGCAAGAGCTCCTCGCCTCCTCCACTTCACCACGATCACCAAAGAGAAAAGATAGCCAGACAAATCTACAAAAACGCCAACACCACACCAACAAACCCCAATCAAACCTCCACCCACCCACCCAAGCCCCGACCACCCCATCCACTCACCACCACCCACCCCCCTCCTTTCACACCCCCGCATCCAACTCCCCCACCACCCCCCTCCCATCCATTTCCGCCTTAACCCCATCATCACTCCGCAGAGGATGCCCATCGACGCCTCCAAGCCTCAACACCGGCCCATTCCCCGGAACCTCATAGTGCCGCTGCTCCTCCTCCCTCGGCGTCGACGCCTGCAACTCCCCCCACATCAGCCCCGTCCACTTCATGACGTCGATGCCGCGCCTTGGCAACATCATCAGCTCCGTCCCACCCCCCGGCGTCGTCCTTCCATCTGTCGTTGGACGACTTCCTCGCACGGTAGAAGAAGAAGGCGCCGGCGGCGAGGGCGATCGTGGCGATGGAGGCGGCTATGCTGGCGGCGATGGCGGTGGTGCGGGTGGAGGAGGAGGAGGAGGAGGAGGAGGAAGAGGAGGAGGAGGAAGAGGAGGAAGAGGAGGAGGAAGAGGAGGAGGAGGAGGACGATGACGCGGAAGCGGCGTGGGCTGGAACTGTCGAGCTGGCGGCTGGAGAGGCGGTGGTGGGTGTTAGCCACTGGAGAAAAAATGGTCGTGGCCACTGGCGGCTTGCCGAGAAGCGGTGGTGGCCGCTGGTGTCTGGAAAGGCGGTGGTGGATGCTGCTGCCGGCGTGCTCGCTGTTGTCTGAGGTCAGAGCTGATCGACTGGCTGCAGGGGGAATGCGTGGGCACGTAGCCCAGTTCGAGAGGGCGAGGAGTGAAAGATGAAAACAAGCAAATGGCGGGAAGTGAGTGGGCCGCTTACAAGTCGGCGACGCCGTCGCGTCGAGACCGAGCGCGCAGTATGCGGCGAAGACGGCTATTGCACTTGATACCTGCGCTGTGACGAAAGACGCATTGTTGCTGCTGCTGTTCTGGCATACGCTGGAGACGTCACGGGAGATGACGGAGCTCATCCTGCTTGACGTGGCGGTGCAAAAGCAGGTGTAGGATGTCAGACTTCCTCCATCGTCGCAGCCGCTTTTCATCCCGCGGACTATTGTGCTGAGCGGCTGCTCTGCACACGGAGTAAGTTGTGAATAGGCAGAGATAGTATTGATGTATATCTCAGTCGAGCCATCGGCAGCTGTGAAGGAAACAAAGAGAAGGGGTAGAAAGAAAGCAGCTTGTACAAAAGGATTTCGCGGCCTCCTCATTGTGCTGGCAAGCTTAAAGACCGTGTGTAACAGTAGTAGCACAAATGTTCGCGAAAGTAGGCCGAGAGGAAGGGGTGAAAGGAGAATGCATGGTTTCGATTTTATATAACGAAGAGTTTTCTCATAGTAAATCAATGAGGCTGAAAGGCTCGCAATATGGTGCTACGAATGTAGGCAATGGAATTGAGGGGGGTGCAGCGTGAGTAAACGCGGATGCTGAAGCGGAAAGATGGAAACGGAATGTGGTGTAAGTTTTGCGGGCCATGTGTGCAACCTCGTCAGATCCTTACCACAAATAGCCATGCTCCCTCGAAGCATCGACAGTTCCGGGTTGTCGGCCATTCAAGGTGAGATTCAAAGCCAAAGGTTGCTTGCGACTGGCACATGTTGCCGCGAACCATCTCCAAGTTTCGGACGACAATCTGACTATATCCTCAATGATCAACGAGGGACTTCAGCTGTACTATCGTCGGTAAACAGCTAGATTTGAGATGCGGTGCGTGAGCCTGGCAAGGTTGGGTAGTTTGGCCCCCACTTACGCCCTTGGTACACTTCAGGCATCCCCACCCCGAATTGTTCTTTGGATCGGCAGTTTTTGGACGAATCCGCCCCCAAGTGCACACCCTTGCTGAACGCCTTATCCGCCTACTTCCCAGCGTAGAGTGCATCTAAGCCAACGACAAGAGCTAAGCCTCCACAGACGTACCACGAGAACGCCGAGGAGACTTAGTCACAACGTCATTGAAATCCACGCTATCCTTGAAATTCAATGAAGTGCAACCCAAGAGCGCGTTGTTCTACACGTCGATACCCACCCTCTGCCTGCCACCACCTTCGACCCCTAGCTTTGGCGATCACTGATGCACGTCGCCATGTTCATCTCCTTGATTCTCACGGCGATCATTGCTGGAACCCTTGCCGATATACGCGCAGTAGCCACCAGCGCGCCTAGTGCGATTCACAGGCGTGACTCCCACTCCTGGGCCGGCAGCAACCCTTACTCCCTGCACGCTCTGCCCGCAGCGGAGCAATCACGCTACATCGACACGCTCGCCAGCTGGGGTGTCCAAGTCGTCCGCCTCTGGGGTAAGCCCTCTCCCCCGCCCGGCGCTTTCAACCCATGCCATGATTTCCAAACAAGCCACCCATCAACGGCTGATCGCCCTCCGGAGGATTGGGTGTGCGGGCGGGCGCGGGCGATGAAGGGGTTGATTGGCGCGTCGCGGGTGGAGGTCGCGACGGGCGGCGTTGGGGGGCAGCCGGTATTGCTGCGGTCATGAGTATAATGGGCTGGAGAAGGCGGTGCGGTGCGAGGCTGTTGATGTTGTCAGCGTGCATGGGTACATGGGCAAGGCGGCGGGTTGGGCGTATTTCGTGACGGGCGACGGCTCGATTCTGAAGGCGGTTGAAGCGGCGGATCCGGGGAAGAAGGTCATGTTGGAGGAGTGGGGCGTGGCGGAGGGGTCGGAAGACGGGTTCGAGGCGCAGGTCGCGGTCTTCAATGGTGCGGGTGTGCGTTGGATAGGTTCCAATGCTGGTGGCTACAGAGCGTTTGCTGATGGTGGAGCAGCTATACTGGCAGGTGGTTCCAGGGAAAGATCAGACGCAGGACGGAGCGCCATTGAGCTGTGGTTATGACGGGTTCGAAATTGGGCTGAATAGCACGAAAGGGAATGTGAGGGCTGCTGTCGATGAGGCAAATCCAGTCTCTGCTGCTCAGAACTGGGCAGAGTGGTTTGAGTAGTCCTGCGAGGCAATCGTGCCTGCCGCAGCGTAGTAACGTAACGTCAGATGATTTCGCGCCAGCGCGTGCCTGCCTTCTCCACAGCGCGTTCCCGTCGACGACCTCCCTCCGACTCTCCACCCGACCCCTCACCCGGCACAATGGCAGCGTCTGCAGGTCTCCTGTCCCAACCCATCAACCGAACGTCTTATGAGAGTTGACTCGGTAGTGGGTAGCCTGAGCAGCACAGACTGCGCGCCCGACGTGTTTCCGAGACAGAGAAATCTTCCCGTGGGTTTGCACCAGTCATGTTCATCTTGGATGGCGGCGACAATGATGGAGAAATTGACAGGAGGCATGATCGGCCTGAGCGAGAGCCGCAGAGATTTCTCGTGTTTCTGGTGCAGCCTTTATACGGTTCGGAAGGTGAGGTGGCTGGCTGCGATATCGGCGGATCCTCCGTGCGGGGTACCTATATCTATCTCCATCAAATTCTTTGATCAGCTCGCTGACGACTGGATCTTGCTTTGCTTGGTGTTCTGGCTCGACTTCTCCAGGCTTCGGCATTTCCAAACGTCGGCTAAGTACGCGAGAAGTCGCTTGAGTTCAGCGGATCCTCTCGTGACTCGGCCAGAAATTTTCCAATGGCGCAATTGTTGTTATGTACTAGTATCGTAAACCCCGACAAACTGACTTTTGACAAACACCATGTCAAGCCTGTCAAATTGCCCGTCGACGGCATACTACCGGCGAAACCAACTCAACACTGTCTTTTCCCGCGCGCCTATAGGTTTTCTTTTTTGCATCGGTTTGTTCGCCACAAGGAGGGGTATCATGCGTCGGCAAAACGGTCTGGACGTTCGAATGGGAAAGGCGGCCTTTTCCATGCCCACTATGATCTGCACACTATATTGGTGATGGGAACACAGCGATACGACCCAGGCCGATGACACCATTTGGGACTCTCATAGCGTGCTGTCGCTACAGCTGTCTCGCTGTTGTGTTAGACGGCATATTTAGCTTCTGGTAGCACAATACATCACCCCTCCCCTCCTGAGCTTCGCGCCGCTTTCTTTCACACTGCATCGTAACGCCGGCAGTGCTTTTGGACGATCCATTCGAGGTCCCTCATATGCCCGGGTCCCCAGAAACTTGCTCTGGCTTGATCAACTTGGCTCCTGCATCTCAATCGATACTCTCAATAGTTGGATGCAAATCACATGACCGGCCTGTCTCCGTCAACACCGCACGCCCAACCAGTGGACGCGACAATGGTTTGGCAACTCATCAATCGAGGACATTGCTTCTCTGGACTGACGCTTCAAATAGGAAAACCGCCCAAAGGAATCCAGGGAATCTGGCTCCCCCACACCCGCCACATCGGACCTCGAAAAGCCGCCGTTCGTCTTCACAACACAGACAAGCGACAATGACGAGGAAGCCATTGACGAGAACGATCCGCGGCTCAAGGACATCCCTGCCTACGTCCGCCGCGTCGTCAGTCTGCACGATGACCCGACCTTGCCGACCCTCACTTTCCGCTACTTCGTCCTGACCGTCGTCTTCGTCGTGCCCGGCGCCTTCCTCAGCATGATGAGCCACTTCCGTACCACCTACGCCCCGTACTCGGTCTTCTTTGTGCAGATTGCATCCAGCTACGCCGGCGACTGGATGGCCAAGGTCCTGCCCGCCTGGCAGGTGCGGGTGCCGTTTACGAAATGGGGCTTCAATCTCAACCCCGGCCCCTTCAGCGTCAAAGAGCATGTGCTCATCACCATCTCGGCCGCGTCGGGCGCCACGTACAACCTTGGCTACGCCCCCATCTCCATGGCAGAACTGTACTTTGATTCCAAGGTCAACCCCGCAGTCGCCATATTTTTCATGTGGGGCATCGTCTTCACTGGCTACTCCTTTGCCGCTATTGCTCGCCAGTTCCTCATCTACGACCCTCAGTTCCCTTGGTTTACCGCGTAAGTTTGCCTCGCCCTGGCTCGGTGCCTTCGAGACGGAACTGACGCCATGCACAGGCTATGCCAGACGGCGCTTTTCGAGACGCAGAAGAAGCAGCGCGAGAAGCCGACGGCGCTATCCCGGAAGCAATCAAGGGTCTTCTTCCTCGTGCTCTTGGCCGTCATCCTCTGGCAGTTCCTCCCGGAGTTTGTGTTCCCGATGCTGGGCTCGTTGGCCTTCCTGTGCTGGGTGGCGCCGAACAACTCGGTTGCCAATTTCGTCGGCGCCGGCTTCGGTGGAATGGGCTTCCTCAACCTGTCGCTGGACTGGAGCAACATCTCGACCCAATACAACCTGTTCCTGACGCCGTGGTGGACTCAGGTAGTCATGTTCTGCGCCTTTGTGTGCAGCTGCTGGATCCTGCTTCCGGCGGCCAAGTTCGGAGGCCTCGGGCAATGGCACCATCAGCTGATGTCGAATCGACTCTTCCTGGGTACGCCCTCCATGCGCTGAAAACCGGATACGTCAACTTACTGACCTCTTTGCAGAGAACGGGACATCCTATCCCACTACGAGCTTGCTCACCCCTCAAGTAACCTTCAACGAAACGGCTTATCAGCAGTACGGACCGCCGTTCGTCAGCACCCAGGTGTTGTGGGGAATGTTCTTCGACTACGCCGCCTACACATCCGCCGTCGTCTGGATGACGCTGTTCGGGTACAAGCAGATCCGCGACAGCCTCAACAAGCTCCGTGAACGCGCGACGCGGCGGGGGGCGCGGATCCAAGAGCAATACGACGACCAACTGAGCGTGCTGCAGCGCTCGTACGACGAGGTGCCCTTCTGGTGGTTCCTCGCCCTCTTCGGCGTGTCCTTCGTCTCGCTGGTGACCATCATCGCGTGCGGCAAGCTGTTCATCCCGACGTGGACCTACTTCGTCGCCATCGGCACCGGGGCCATCCTCGTGGTGCCGCTGGGCTGGCTGTACGCGCTGTCCAACTTCCAGCTGCCCATCGGAACCGTCAACGAGCTGCTGTACGGGCTGATGGTCAACTCCATCAGCGGCTTCAAGAACCCCACGGGCGCCTCCGTCTACGGCAGCATCGCGGGAAACGCGTGGTACCGCGCGCAGTACAACCTGCAGGACATGAAGATCGGCCACTACATGCACATTCCGCCCAAGACCGTCTTCTTCACCCAGGTCTTCGGCTCCGTCCTCGGCATCCCCGTCAACTATGCCGTCGTCCGGTGGGTGCTCGACACCAAGTTCGACTACCTGACGGGCGAGCGCGAGGACCCCTCGCACCAGTGGACCGCCCAGAGCCTGACGTCGAACCTGACCATGGGCGTGCAGTACGTCCTGATCGTAAGTACCCCCTATTCGTCGGGAAAATCCCGAGCGTTGCGCTGACAGGCCCGAACCAGGGCCCACTCCGTCTCTTCCAACAAGACATCTACCGCATCCTCCCCTACGGCTTCCTCGTCGGCGTCGCCGCGCCCTGCCTCGTCTTCGGGCTGCACCGCTGCTTCCCCAAGCTGAAGTTCAACCTGTGCAACACGACCATCTTCTTCTCTACCATGGCGCACTTCTACGGCAACATCAGCGCGGGCTACACCAGCTGCTTCCTCGGCGGCTTCGTCGTCATGTACTGGGCCTACCGCCACCGCTACGACGTCTGGGCCCGCTGGAATTACATTCTCGCGGCGGCGTTCGATGCGGGGTTCAATTTCAACATGTTGCTGATTTTCTTGTTTTTCGGCGCAGGCAAGATCGTGACGATGCCGAATTGGTGGGGGAACGAGGCGGCGAGCAGCGAGAGGTGTTTTGCGTTGGATTCTTGAGGGGAGAGTTGAGGAAGGGAACTAGAAATGGGTCCGGAGGAAAAAGAAAAGCCTCGTCACGCGCAGCAGCCAGCCCCGTCTTGAGCCCTCACTCGGCGCTTTTACTGCCTCATTGCCACCCAGCAGCTTCGTGGAAACAAACCATGTGCCTGGATTAAGCATGGATGCGCGTATCGCAGATGCAGCAGCGTCGCAACGGCACTTCACTTTCTCAAGCAAGCAACGAGTTACTCTGTCGGTCGATGGGTTGATGGGTTGATGGGTTGATGGATCGATGTGGTGAGCGGGAGGTGAGGAGATGCGAAGATGTCGGTCTCGGGCGACGAGGAAGAGAAGGGAAATGGGCCGCGCGCGAAGGAATGCTGCGCGCCCAAGGACTTTGCCGAAGGATCGCGACCCTCGCCCGCGCCGGACCAATCGATCGATTGATAAGATTGATAAACTGGGGCGTAGATCAGATAAAATCTTTGCCATGGCGCCTGCGTCTCCACCACATGAAGCCGCTCGCTCGCTCAGCCAACCAGCGCGTCAAATCAGCGCCATCGCTGCCCGCATCTGTCTATCGCACCCGGCTGGCCTCGCGCTCGAGAGCCGCCAAGAGCTCGCCGGTCGAACGATGCCGCTCAAGCTTTGTCCTACACCGGCCAGTCTGGCCCGGCATGCACGTATATATCTAGCTGCATGACTTCGGGAAGTGCGAACTGCCATCGCCCATCCGCCAATCTGCCTTGTTGACGCCTTTGTGGTGCCCTTGCCACCTCGCACGCCGCTGCAGCCATGGGTTTCTTCTCCAAAAAGACGGCCGAGTTGCCGACCGAGGAGCCCGCTCCCATTCAGCCGGCCGGCGACGAGAAGACGCTTGAGCCCCGGCAGGAGTCGCTCGATAAAGACAACATCAACGACTTGGTCGACAAGGATGCCCAGGCAGGTGTCCAGAAGGTCGAGGCCGTCACTGCCGTCTGGAGCAAGCTGCACATTGCCTTGTCCTACTTCTTGTGAGCCTTCCGCCAACAGTCAAGCTGTGTGTCCATGTGCTGACCACGCCCGCAGCATCTGGTTGTTCTACGTCGTCACCTCCATCCAAGAGGTCGCCCTCAGTGTCTTCACTCCCTACGTCACCAGTGCCTTCCAGGAGCATTCCCTGACCGCCGCAACCAGTATCGTGGCCACCCTGGTTGCTGGTCTGTTCAAGCTTCCTCTGGCCAAGATCCTCGATGCCTGGGGTCGCCCGCAGGGGCTGGGCTTGATGCTCTTGATCTGGATGCTCGGCTTCGTCATGATGGCCGCCTGCAACAGTGTTACCACCTATGCTGCCGCTCAAACATTCTATTCCGTTGGGTAAACGAACCCACCGCCATCTATTTCCGATATGCATCACTGACTGGCTTGCAGATCCCAAGGTGTTAGCTATGTCCTCACCATCTACGTCGCAGATACCTCGACGCTGAAGAGCCGTGCCCTCATGCTCTCCTTCGCCACTACTCCCTACATTTTCACCACTTGGGCCGCCGGCCCCATCACTGAAAGCGTCCTGGCTAGCGGCGGTATCGGTTGGCGCTGGGGTATCGGCCTGTGGGCCATCGTGGCGCCCTTTGTGCTCGGCCCACTCATTTTCCTCTTCCTGTGGAACCAGCACAAGGCCGAGAAGATGGGTCTGCTCGAGCCGCAGGGCAAGTTGCGCAACATCACGCTGAAGAACGCGTGGAAGTTCGTCGTCGACGTCGATCTCTTCGGCATCCTGCTCCTCGGCGCGGGCATCGCGCTGTTCCTGCTGCCCTTCTCGCTGTACTCGTACCAGCCCGACGGCTGGCGCTCGCCCATGATCATCGCCATGATCGTCATCGGCGCCGCCCTCGTCGCGGCCTTCGTGCTGTGGGAGCGCTTCCTCGCGCCCGTCACCTTCATCCCGTTCAAGCTGCTCGCCGACCGCACCGTCTTCTTCGGCGGCCTCATGTTCGTCTTCGTCTTCGCCAACTCGTCCGTGTGGGGCTCGTACTTCACCTCGATGCTCATGGTGGTGTGGCACACGGGCGTCGCGCAGACGACGTACATCAGCAACATCTACCGCACCGTGTCCTGCTTCTCGTCCGTCATCGTGTCCGCCCTCATCTACCGCACGGGCCGCTTCAAGCCCTTCGCCCTCTTCTTCCTCGTCCCGCTGATGATGCTCGGCGTCGGCCTGATGATCCACTTCCGCCAGCCGGACCAGAGCGTCGGCTTCGTCGTCATGACGCAGATCTTCGTCGCCTTCGCGGGCGGGCCCATCGTCATCTGCGGCGAGATGGCCATGCTGTCGCCGTCGGACCACCAGCACGTCGCCGTCATCATGGCCGTGCTCGACCTCTTCGGCAGCATCGGCTCGTCCATCGGCAGCACCGTCGCCGCCGCCATCTGGACCGGCACTTTCTATACGAACCTCGTCAGGTACACCCCCGCCGGTACCGACGTCGCCACCATCTACTCGAGCATCACCGTCCAGACCAGCTACGCCGTGGGCTCGCCCGAGCGCGATGGCATCAATGCCGCCTACGGCGCCTCGCAGCGTATTATGTGCATCACGTCCGTGTGCATTCTCGTCGGCGCGCTGGCGAGCGTGGCGTTGTGGCGGAACCTCAATGTGAAGCAGATCAAGCAGGTGCGCGGAAATGTTGTTTAGATGTCGATGCGTCTCGTGGCAGTGCCTTTTTATGTGCTCGAGTGTAGGTGGCGTCGAGCTCAATAGTCTAGTTGAGGCGTCATTGTTTGAAATACCCGCAACACTACCTTTCCGTCAATTGGATTTGGCTGTTACCTCTGAACTGCATGTACATCTGAAAGCAGTAGCAAGTCCCGTCTTTTGTCTGCTCCACAAACTTCCTGTCATGGCCCGACGACACTATGGAAGCAAAGTAAGCTGAGTGATGGTGACTCGGTCAAAACCTCTTGCTGTAACCATAGTGGTGTCTCACTGGCAGTATGAGCCAGAGGTCTCCCCCGCCCTTGCCCAACTTACCCGGCGAAAAGGAACCACCACACCCGTCTCAAGATTGTCTTCTGCAGAGCGCAAGAGGCTCCTGAGTGAACAATATTGGACAGGAAATCCCTTCAGGATATATACTACCCAGCCAAGCGCTTCTCGAAGGAACGATGAATCCTACGATAAGATAAACGTAGCATAGGTCTACGTTTCAAAGTAAGCTTACGCCAAGGGAAATGGACCAAGTCCATCGCCCAGCCCAAATATGCCTCGTTTTGATTCAGCAAAGTTTCCGAGTAACTTGACCTTACAATCCTGTTATTCACGAGTTGCACCGCCAACTAGTCCTGCCCAGGGATAATGTCACCAGGGCGGCAGCAAAAAGACAGGCAACCGTTCGGAACAGTTTCCGTGCTCCACAGTAAGCTTACAACGCCCCATGGACGCCCAAACTCCTCCAGGATCGCCGTCGACCTCACCAAGCATACGGTACCATGTACAACGCCCAAAGCGAAGCCGCTATGCAGCGAATAGGTTGGCAGTGAGAGTCAAGCCAAAGACGCTGCAGTAGCGAGGCGAAGTTGGCGCGTCGAGCGATACCACAGACGCTCAGCTCATCGCATTGATGACATGTACGTTTCAAAGCCGCGCCGCCGGATTGTTGGTATATATGTGGGGAACCGCGCGGAGGATTTTGAGTCACAGAGTCTACATATACCACCGCGACGACTCCGCATCTGACAACAGACAGCGCGCACCATTCCTCACTCCCCTCACCAAGTACAATCCAAACCACCGCCAACACCATGACCATCTCCCTGTACGACGTGACCATCCCGGTCCTGATCCGAGGCCTCAGGAACACGCACGCGCTCGTCCAAAAGGTAAGCCCCGATCAACGCCCATCTCCCCCTCACCACCAAACCCTCATCTCCTCCTTCCAACCGACTAACCAAACCACCCCTTCCTCCAAAACCGAACCACAGGCCTCGACCTGGTGCCAAGACAACAACCGCCCCGAGACCGACATCCTCGACGCGCGCCTCGCGCCCGACATGCGCACCTTCGCGTTCCAGATCCGCGCCTGCTGCGTGCTGTCGCGCAGCAGCACGCTGACGGACGCCTGGCGCTGGTGGCCGTCGACGACGGCGCTCGATGACGAGAGCAGCCTCGCGGGGTTGGCGGCGGCGCTGCGGGAGCACATCGGGTTGTTGGAGGGGGTGGGGCGCGAGGAGGTGGAGGGGAGGGAGGGGGTGGGGAGGCATCTGTGGACGGGAGGTGAGTGATTGAGTGCTTCTTGGTTGAGTGATTTTAGTGAGTGAGTGAGTGGGTGGGTGAGGATGGGGAGTGTGGGGTGTTGGGGATGTGGAAAAAAAAAGGGGGGAGGAGGGAGGTAGGGGAGAATGGGAGAGAGGAGTGAAGGAGAAGGAGAAAAAAAAAGATGTGATGAGAGATGCTGACGGCTGGCGTGACGGACAGGTGAAGAGGGCGTGGGCTTCGAGGCCAAGTTCGACGACAGCATCAAGTTCCTGAACCAGTTCGGGCTGCCCAACTTCTGGTTCCACAACACGACGGCGTACGCGCTCTGCCGGATGAAAGGGGTTCCGCTTGGCAAGTATGACTTCCTCGCTGGCGGTGGGGCTTTGGAGTGATCGAGTCAGTTTTTTTTTTTCATTTTTTATTCTCTCACTCTCTTTCGGCGCGCGCGCGTGCAATCATTCGCGGTGGCACCCTTGTTCGGACCGCCAACCCCAGTCGGCTGGATCCATGGCTCTGGGTTCGCCGGGGGGGGCTCATGGGCGAATGCAGGGAAGTAGAGTATCTCGTGGAATAGACTGCGTCAATTGATGAATCCGCAGCATGGAGAGAGGATTCCGTGTTGCTTGAAGTTTCGTGTCGTCGGGCTCTGTAGACATGAGGTGTAATCAACAACGGCGGTGTCAGAAAAATCCCAATGGGCCGGCTCTCCATTGTATGATTTCCAGCCGAGGTAGAGCCGTGCTTCGGTTCTCGTGGTTCTGCTAGCGATGCACGGAGCAACAGTTGCTCGGACGCTGTCGAGTTCAGCTGAAGTGAGACACGCGGCAAAGGCACAGTGCGGGGCATCAGCAGGCAGCAGACAGGGTAGGCGTGTTAGGCCAAGCAGCGGAGAATCGGAGATGTAGGAAATTTCTCACTTGGCAGCCTTGCTGACGAGCCCGAGCTCGACTCTCGACTCTCCAGTGCCGGCCCACATGGTGACATGATGCTGGTGCGAGTCTGGTGCAGATGTTGTAGATACGACGGATTAAACGCATGTCAACTAAAATGACGTACCTACCTAAAGGCCGTTTCAACGGCACAACGGGGCGCTGCAGTAGAGGGCTCTCGGGAAGTGGTTCCGTACTGGATGCTCCTTCCGGATTCGTCAAGCGATGCTCGGGTGGGGCTCTGCAGATCGTCTTGACGGGCGGCGCGAGACGGCGGATCCGTTCCACGTGGCCAACATTTGCTGGACGTAGCAGCGATCTGCCATTCAATATCCCGCTAAGCATGCCAATCAAAAAAAGAAACGGACGAGAGAAAGATGACGTCTCTCCCTGCGGCGTTGCCGTGAGCATTTCCTCCCTGGCCGGCGCGCATCCCGGCTATCCTGGCTGCTCCGGCAGGGCAGAGGGCAGAGGGCGGCGCGCAGGGCGCAGGGCGCAGGGCCGGACGGTGTGGCGCAGCTGCAGGGCCGAGTCTTGGAGGGTCCGAGTCTGGATTGCCACAACATCGGGAGCGACGGTGGCTGGCTCGGGCTCCGCATCGGCGCCACGGCGCCCATGGTCGCGTCAAATCAGCGGCCAACTGAGTCGTCAAGGTGCAGCCCAGTCCCCGACGCCGCCATGATTGGAGCCAAATCCTGGCCGCAAAATCTCGGTAAGGCGGGAGGCTTGTCGTGTCTCCTGTCCCTCCGCATTCAAATCCGCAACGTTGGACAGCCTTCCTCTCCCACGCTCCCCGCAGACCCAATGCGTGCGACGCTCTCATGGATGGCGCCTACTTGTCTGCGAGAAGTGACCCGGTGGTAAGGCCCGCCCGTTGCACCATCATAACTCCGCAAGCGTGCAAAGCTGACTGACGCTGTGAAGAACCAAAGCGATGATCCGCGAATCGGCAGCTCGCGCGACAACTCGTCGTCGGCGACGGTGACGGGCATCAGCTCAGGCTCCAACTCGGCCTCCGTCTCCGCCCTGTTCACCACCCTCATTCCCGTCGCCATCTACGTCGGCGTGTGTCTGCTCATTTTCCTGCTCCTGCGTCGGAAGTGTCCTCGCGTCTACGCCCCGCGTACCTTTCTTTCGAGTCTGCACCCGTAGTACGTCATCTTCCCTGTCCCAGCCCGTGCTCCTGGCTGACATTGTTGCTCCCGCCGCAGCGAGCGCTCTCCTCCGCTGCCCGGAACGTGGTTCACCTGGTTCAAGGCGTTCTGGTGCCTGCCCGACACCTACGTCCTGAACCACTCGTCCGTCGATGGATTTCTGTTCCTGCGCTTCCTCCGCGTTGTGCGCAACCTCTGTCTGGCCGGCTGCTGTCTGACCTGGCCCATTCTGCTGCCCTTGCACATCTGCGGCGGCGGCGGCGGCGAGCAGCTGGATCGTCTGACCTTTGGCAACGTTAGCGACGACCACAGGCGCTGGTTCTTCGCCCACGCCGTCGTCGCTTGGCTCTTTTTCGGTCCGTCATCCACCCCACACTTCCCACTCCTTTCCGCTGACCTTCCGCAGGCATCGTTCTGTACACTGTGTGCAGAGAGTGCATCTACGCCATCAATCTGCGCCAAGCCTACCTGCTCAGCCCCTTCTACGCCGATCGCCTCTCTTCCCGCACTGTTCTCTTCACCTGCGTGCCCGAGCAGCTGTTGGACGAAGCCAAGCTGCGCAAAGTCTTTGGGGACTCGGTGAAGAATGTGTGGATCCCAAAGACGTCATGGGAGTTGGAACGCCTCGTCCGCGAGAGAGACCAAACAGCCTCCCGCCTCCAGGACGCCGAACTCGAGCTCGTCCGAAAGGCAAACATTGCCTGGAAGAGAATAGCGAAGAATGGCCACCCCGACATCCGTCAGCCAGACGTCGACCTCGAGAACGGTCCCGTCGAGCACCAGCGGACACACACTGCCACAACCACCACCACCAGTACCGAAAGTGCCGACGAGAAGCTCGACTCCGCCGGTGCATTGGAGCCCGTCAAATTCGGACTCGAAGGCCCTCCGTTCGATATCCCCGGCTCCATCGCCGCCCAATGGATTCCCCAAGAAGACCGGCCCCGGCACCGGCCGTTGGCCAATTACCTGCGCCGCGTCGACACCATCAGGTGGACACGGAAGAGGCTGAAAAAGCTCGGCAAAGAGATAAACAAGGTGCGGAAGCGGGTCAACCGCGGAGACGTGGGACACCCCATGCCGGCAGCCTTCATCGAATTCACCTCGCAGAACGAGGCCCAGATTGCCTACCAGTCGCTTGCTCATCACCGGCCCTCGCACATGTCACAGCGCTACATCGGCGTCCGTCCGTACGAGATCGTCTGGTTTTCCCTTCGTATGCGCTGGTGGGAACGCATCGTCCGCCGGACCGGCATCATGACCGCGACTGCTCTGATGACTGTGTTTTGGTCCATCCCTTGTGCCTTTGTCGGAATGACGAGCAACATCTCCTTCCTGGCCGACAGTGTGCCCTTTCTGAGCTGGATCGAATTGCTTCCCGACACCATACTCGGCTTTCTGACCGGATTGCTCCCGGCCTTTGCCCTGTCCATGCTGATGGCAATTGTCCCTGGCATCCTGCGAGGTAAGACAGCGAGGGCATCCCCACTGTTCAAACAAAGCTAACCCACGATCCAGTCTTCGCAAGAGCAGCTGGTGTGCCTTCGCTTACCCATATCGAAATGTTCACTCAGCGCGCCTACTTTGGCTTCCAAGTCCTGCAAGTCTTTCTTGTCACAACCTTCACGTCCTCCGCATCCGCGTCCATTTCACAGATCATCAACGACCCAATGTCAGCTCGGAGCCTGTTGGCTACGTGCCTTCCAAAGGCGTCCAACTTCTATCTCTCCTACATGATCATCCAATGTCTCGGCAAAGGCGCGAGCGATATCGTCCATCTTTCCGCCATCTTCAAGTATTACGTCGCTCAGCGCTTTGGCAGAAATCCCAAGATCATGTACAGACGATGGCACAGGATGAGAAACGTCCATTGGGGAGGCATCATGCCGGTGTTCATCAACCTGGGCGTCATCGGTAAGCAATATATCAGCCGGAGCAATCCGAATTCAGGGTATACTAACAGTTTTGCAGCCATCAGCTACTCGGTCATTGCGCCGCTCATCTTGGGCTTTACAGCTCTCGGATGCTCCATCATGCACCTTGTGTTCAAGTACAACCTGCTTTATGTTTACTCTTCCGAAATCGATACCCGAGGGCTTTCGTATATCCTGGCCCTCAAGCAATTGCTCACCGGACTGTACCTGGCCGAGGTCTGCCTCCTAGGTCTCTTCGCTCTCCGGCTCTCTTTCGGACCGGTCGTGATGATGTTCATCAGCATAACCACCACCGCCGTCATCCACATCTCTCTCAACGAAGCCGTCGGCCCTCTGCTGGACAACCTTCCCCGCTCACTCTCGGGCGGCAAATCCGCCAATCAGCCACCCGGCGACGACAACGCAGCCGATTCCGATTCTCTCCTCCACCCTGGTTTTGGAGACTTGCCATTCGAGTACCCCACTTTCGAACCTCCCGACCTTGACCCAGACCCTCCCGCCGAAGAAACGATCCACGTCGAGAACGGCACTCGCTCGCTCGACACCGTCTCCCGAGCGCCGTCTTCCAACGCACCCAAAAAACCCTCCAAAGACGACTACGACGACTCGGACTCGGACTCCTCTTCCGACTCCGACACACCATCCATCCGCCGCCGCCGCCGCAACCACCATAACGACGCCAACCCCCGCGCCCTCGAAGGCGCCGAAGGCCTCGCGGCCACAACCTTCGACCTTCTCAAACTCCTCGCACGCGTGCACTTCAACCCGGACAAAGTCCCCGACACGAACCCAGACCAATCCAACTCATCGCCGCAGGACCAGCAGCGACAGCAACAGCAACAAAAACAGCCCGCCTCGCAAGCCTCCAAAACCGCGCGCGACGCCCTCGCCACCATCTCGGACGCCTCCTCCCTCCTCGCGACGCTCATCTCGCCGCCGCCGCCGCCGCCGCCCCCGTCGCACGGCGGCCCGCCGCTCGGCCTCGCCGACGCCCTCAAGCACCGCGCGCTCGCCTTTTTGCACCCGGAGGTGTACGACGACTTTGCGCGGCTGCAGGCGCTGCTGCTGGCGCCCGAGGCCGACGCCGTGCCCGACGTGTCGGGCGTGGCGGAGCTGGACGTACACGGCGCCGGCGGGGGCGGGGACGAGGGCGAGGGCGAGGGCGAGATGGGAGGAGAAGAAGGACAAGGAGAAAGAGAAAGACAAGGAGAAGCAGGGAAAAAGCAGCAACGGCAAAACCTCCTCCTCCTCCAACACTTCCTCCGCGACGCGTACGCCTCGCCCGCCATGATCAGCGGCGCCCCCCGCGTGTGGGTGCCCGACGACACGCTAGTTGCTGCCGGCGCGGGCTGCAGCGCGCAGGAGACGGCGCATTGCGGCAAGGTGACGGGGGTGGTGGGGCAGCCGGGCGCGGCGACGCTGACCACCACGGCGGTGAGGGGGAGGGAGAGGGGAGGAAGAAGTACCGGGGCCGGGTGTCGGGTGAGTGTGGATTTGGACGCCGAGTGGGAGGAGTTGATCGGGGAGACGGGGGACAAGGGGGGCGGGGGCGGCAAGGTGTGGATGAGGGATGGGGAGCTGGATTGGGGGAGGTGGCGGTGGTGGTGATCTCGTCGTGGTGCTGCTGCTCTCCTTGTTGTTGTTGTGTATATATTCCATGTCGTGGTGTTGTATGTATGTACATATCTTTTTCGTCCTATTGTGATGTCGGTCGGCTTCTGGTGACGGAGGCCAAGTAGAGCCACGGCTTCTTGGGTGCCTAGAGCTCGTGCGTGAGAGTGAATGGTCTCCTTTTTCCTTTTTTTTCCTCCGACAATCGGTAGTCGTCAAAGCATGCACCGAAGCGACTCGTGTGGACGGGAGGTCATAACCTATCCCCCGCCCGTCAGTGTGTCGGTGCGGGAGACGGTTAGTGCAGAGTGGTTGATGCAGGATTTGGCGGCGCCCTTGGCATGGCTCATGAGGCACAGCATTCATGCACGACGAATCTTCCATGGTATGCTCTGAACGGACATACATGCGATATCAGGCCAATCAAGGTCCTCAGTATCGCCTCGGTCGGTGCAATGTACATACATACCGACATTCCGGCCACCTGTACTTCCAACTGATACGCTTCTATTCGCTTGGAAAGGAGTGACTACTTGACGGGGAATCCGCTTGTACATACATGGCAATTGCCGCTATGAAGACCAGTATCTTTCAGGGAGCTGATCGTTTGCATGATGCTATCACGGAACTTTGTCCGATTACCTTTGGGATCGGGATGAGGGATGAGGGCATTCACGCTGCGAGGAAGGAAGAACTAACTCACTTTAGGGTTTGCGTTCCCCCCCGCAAGTCAGACGAACCCTTCCATCGACAGCTATCTAAAAAAAAAAGGTGATGGAGATTTGGGTTGAACCGCCAATGCTCGAAAGTAGGAGCTCATCAAGTACCATCGCACTTCATTAGCAATCTTCTGTAGCGTAGGCAGATGAATCACAGAGCACAATCCATCTTTTCATGCATTCATCAGAGCATATCAACATACACACAAAAACACGCGCCGCGCTTCCACTCCCCGATTCGCATTTCCACCCTCCCCTCCCGTCCCCCTACGCCGCGACCCCATTCTCCTGGCCCATCCCCCGCAGCAACGCCTCGTACCGCTCCGCCGCGACCTGCATGCAATCGTGCCCGTAGATCTTCTTCTGCACATCCGCATCCGCCCACTTATCCGGCACGGCGCCGCCCTTCTTCTCCTTCAGCGCCGCAAACTGCTTGTCGCGCTCCTCCTTTGCCGCGCCCTCGCCCAGATGCAACGCCCGCCCACTCGCAGCCGCCAGCTCCACCAGCGTCTCCGCGCGCTCCTTGCGCAGCTCCTGATAGACGCGCAACGTCTTGTCTATCGTGCCCGGCTCGCGATCGGGCACGCGACTCAGCACCTCCGCGAGGACCGCCGCGTCCTCGATCGCCTGCGCCGCGCCCTGCGCCAGGTGCGGCAGCGTCGGGTGGCAGGCGTCGCCGACGAGCGCGACTTGGCCGTGGACCCAGGTGGGCAGGGGGGCGTGGACGCGGAGCTTCCACTCGCAGACCTCGCCTTCGGGGACGAGGTCGAGCATGCGCACGATCTTGGGGCAGAAGTCGCCGAAGACGCGGAGCATCTCGGCCTTGGACCCTTTCGTCGTGTAGGTGATGGAGGGGGCGTCGGCGAAGTTCTTGTCCGGCTGGACGGTGGAGAGGTTGTAGATGTTTTTGCCGGACACGGGGTACGCGATGATGTGGCGTTTTTCGCCGATCCAGCGCGTGACGGCTTCCGTGTCGAGCAGCTGGAGGAGTTCGGGGTCGTGTTTCATGTCGTCGCGGGTGAGCATGATGCGGTACGCGGCTTGGCCCGTGTCGACGATGGAGGCGTCGATGCGGAGCTCGCGCAGCATCTGGTCGCGGATGACGCTCTTGACGCCGTCGCTGGCGAGGACGACGTCGGCTTCGATCTCGAAGGGGGCGCCGTCGCGCGGCTGGGCTTGGAGGCGCGGTTGTGGGCCCCACGACAGCACTTCCTTGACGACGGTGCCGAAGTGGAAGGTGATGGCGTCGCTCTCGCGCTTGCAGCCTTCGTACAGCGAGCCGGCGAGCGAGGCGCGGTGGCCGACCATGTGCGGGTAGCCGTACGTGTCGCGGATGTAGTTGAGGTCGACGTGGGCGAGCTCGGCGTCGGTGGAGCCCTGGCGGATGCTGGTCTCCTTCAGGTCGACGGCCTCGGCCTCGATGTCGGCCCACACGCCCAGGCGGTCGAGGATGCGGGCCAGGTTGGGGGCCAGCTGGATGCCGGCGCCGACGAAGCCCAGGTTCGAGGCGATTTCGTAGACGTCGATGCGCTTGAAGCCCTTGCGGGCGAGGGCGAGGGCGCAGGCCAGGCCGCCCATGCCTGCGGGAGAGCCGAGTGGCAGTCAGTAGGAGAGCAACGCGGCAGCAGGGGGCGGTTGGTGTGGGAGGAAGACGCACCGGAGCCGACGATGGCGATGCGCAGGTCCTTGTTGGAGTCCATGGTGGTTCGACAGAGGCCGTGTGTGGTCCAATGGCGGCGGCGTCCATGGGGGGCGGGCTGCGGGCCAGATATAGCGGTGCAGGAAGGTATTTTTGCTGCGATGGCGGAGCTGGTGCACGGCAAGCTGTGTCGGATAGAGGCTGTCTTGGACAGGCGTGGGGTAGCTCAGTAGGGTTACGGCGTGGCCCCGCCCCCGCCAGAAAGTGCGTCACTCGCAGCAGCTCGAAACGGGAGGAGCCGGTCTCGGCCTCCAACGGCTCGTCGAAACGCGCGCGGCTCTGGGTGCTGGGCGGGCAGATGCCGCTGGCCTATCCGGGGCGACCCAAAGCAGACGGCGTTGCTGGGCGGGCGTGCGATTCGCCAGCCGGGCGCAGGGAGAAAGCCCCCGCCTCTGGTGGTTGAGAGGGTCGGCGAGCGGGCGCGGCATTGTCGGGATTGCCTTGACGCGCCGACGTGCAGGCTGACTCGGAGATACTCTGCCATCTGCTCTCGGATCGCTTTACCCCCGAGCCTCACCAATGTCCGGCCCGAGCTGTGTGCTACGCTGGGGGAAAAATCCTCAGCCGTGATGCACTTGACCTGGTTGAGGCTGCGGTTTGGGGTGAGTGCGTAAAGCAAGTCGACAACTCGGAAAAGCCGCATGGACTCGATGCTCTAGAGCCCACGGTCCGTGCCTGTGTCTCGGTAGGTCGTTTGCAACTCCCCACATGGCTTGTATAATCATCATGCCAGGAATCCAGAACGGCCCACATGGCGAGTACTGAAAAGGCTTCGCCGTATAAATAGTGTGTTCGCGCCAGCCAGCCGTCCATCCAAGCTGATAGCTCCATCATTCTCCACCCGTTCTAATCGTCGGGTAAGTATATCCTATGCCGCTTGCAAGCCTAGACTACATGGCAAACCGCGTCACTTGAGACCTTCGCAAATGCCTGGTTGGTGTCAATGGATACTGCAACGTAGGATCCGTCTTTTTGGGTCGAAATATATTTCATTTTCTCCTGAAGCCCCACTCTCCTCGCTATGCCGAGTATCGGAGGGCTACTCATTTGCTGTGCAGGAGAGGATCGACTCTCGGGCGAACATGAGATATCGTGACAAGGAGTCCCTATCGCAAGGAGATAGGGAGTTGAAGTCAACATGGCTGCAGACGAGTCTCGACCATTGTTATCCATGCCATTAATAGTGCAGCTATACCTTTTCCGACCCCAAACAATGCTTATTGCTCCTCCAACTGTTTTGATCGACGCCCATCGTCAGGAGACACCTCTGTTGTTGCATCATGTCCCAGACTAAAACTTCATATGTCGCTCCCCATGTTTTTGGTTTCGACTGATGATGCGTGGGGTTCCCGCCAACGCCTCATCGTCTAACGTTGACGCTTCGGGCGTCTTTCTAGACTATCCCAATTTCTGCACAACAGCTAACTAGTGCGTCTGAAGTCGAGCGCCTGACTCGGCAGACGCCCCGCCAACAACTAAAATCAACCCTTAGATTGTCTTTTTATTCCACGAATCACGAGAGCTCTATTTGTAGAGATGGTCCATTCGTCACTCTTCGCCGTGGTTTCCAACCGTGTCTCGCGTCGAGAGTAGTGTTGGCCAAATCCCGACGTCAGTGCTCGGCCTATTTGCTCGTACGAAGAAGACGGCGTTATTCGGTCCGCGCCGCCGTTTCAATCCTTACTAAAAGACGACGTGCACCCACAGTCATGTCATCCATGAAGGATCGAATCCACTACGGCCGTATTTACACCCACTCAGAGAAGCCACGCCCGTCACCACTCTTTTTCTGCCTCTTCATCTCACCGATCGGGGTTCGAGAGACAAACGCCGGCTTCTTTCCTAGCACGTTATGAAGGATTTCTGTTCAACATCTCCTGGACCAGAAGCTGAAGCCGGTAGATGTGCCTGTATTTTGATAAGTGTGAAGTGACCGCTTAGTTTCGCTCGGCTTTTCCGAGATACGCTAGGCATGTACGTCCGTACTGTGTCAAAATGAAACTTCGTTATACGCTTCGTCCATCGTAAGTGACCGTGCCAGCGACTGCTTTTACAATTCCCGCTGGTATAGTTTAACGGCTCGATCTTCCTAGACGAATGGCATGCGAAATATAAAGATTTAGAGCCGGCAGGTTCGCGTATCGAGGCCTAGGCTTCCAAGCGCGGGAGTGAGTTAAGACAACATTAAAGTTGCGTATATCTACTAGGATGAAACCGAGGTTAAAAAACCGCTAGTCTCAATGACGACTGTCTTTCTTAAGAAATCATGATGATTTTGCGCTTAATCAGTTAAATGTCTGGTGAATGAGTGTATCGTTTCTTGTTTTAATCCGAGAATGATGTGATATAATATATGGGGTTGGATTGGATTGGATTGGTCTATTTAGGGTACGATGTCTTCTGTGGAGACATAAGAGCCGTCCATACTTTGCCGTGTCATTCATCCGTTGTTGCCTTGCCTCACTTCTCGGTTCACCTCCGTTTAGTGATCGTGCGGCGGCTGTATCGCCCCCCTCCCCCTAGCTCTATCCCGGTATGCTGCGCACCAGGATGAGTTACTACAAAACTCAACAGAGACGAAACTTTGCTGAATGAAAGCAAACCGGGCGCATGAAATCAAACCATTCTTGTACTTGGTCTACAGCCTAGTGCTGTCCGGTGGCCCAGTCCTTGTGGCTGAGGCCGTTGCTGTGTGCTGAGGAAAACATCGTGTGACGTTCCTAGGTATCCGTGGAGCGTGCATTCTCGATGGCCATTCCTCCCCTACCCTCGGCCGGCTGTCCGGGTTCAGCTTCCCCAGGATCCTCAGATGGATTGTCCGTGTATCGGCCCTCGCCGCGGAAGTCAATAGCCCGGGTAGATCGTTCGTTGCCATGTCCAACCTCGGCATCAGATTCACTCGCGTCGTCCCTCAAACCCCTCGCCTTGAACTGCTGGAACCAGGACGGCCTTGAGGAGTCTCGAGTCGTGACAATCATCTGCCCGCATCCCACATCAGCGCCCGCAAGCCCTCAAACCCAATACCCACCCACACCCCCCCCCATCCAACACACATCAACAAAGGAAAAAAAAAAAAAAAAAACTCACCTGACACGCCCAGCTCCCCAAACAAACCACAACCAACAATCCCGCAACCACCCGCTCCTGCCCCCTCCACCCAGCCAGACACGCCTCGCTCCGCCCAAACGTCTCTGCGCACGTGCTCCTCTGCATCCTCCCGCCGCGGTCCGGCTGCGGAAACGGCCACGCCATGTCGTAGACGCTGCGGAAGCCGCAGCACTCCAGCGCGTCCTGGATCGCCTGGATCCGCGGCCCATTCTTGGCGCGGAAGAGGGCCAGCCAGCGCGCGCGCAACGCGCACGAGTCGTCGTCTAGTGCCGGTGGCAGGTGCGTGCCGGCCAGTGTTGCGAGGACCGTGGTGAGGATGGTCAGGGCGGAGAGGAGGGGTGGAGCGAGGCGGGTGCGAGGGTCGGCGGCGGCATTACGGGTGTCGGACGGTGGGGGGGAGGTGGTGGTGGTTGTTGGGAGAGCGAGGAGGAGCCGGCGCCGGCGCCGGCCAGTGGTGGGAGGCGAGGCCAGGTACCAAGTGCTGAAGCCTTGGATCACGGGGAGGAGTGTGACGAGGACGCTGACGGCGGTGGGAATCGGGAGCGCCAGGTGCTGGATGGCGTACTGGGTGTAGCTGGATGGCGTTAGCGTTGGGCGGGCGGGTGACATGGGTGGATACGTGCCATGCAACGGCAAACAGGGCGAGGAAGAGCTAGATCAGGCTGTTAGCGTGCTGAGAGTAATATAGAAGTAGGAATTGTTGCATACAAGGCCGACGATGACCCCCGTGATGGTGCGCTTGTCGATTGCCATTGCTTGGAGGACGATGTGGATGGTGGCGAGTTGCGAGTGGGGTTGCGCTCAGGTGTGGTGTGGCATGATCTGGAGAAAGCCCTCCGCCGCTTATCCCACTACAGTAAACCTTGCGTTGAGCCATCACGTGGCATAACGATCATCTCCTTTTACCGATCGACGTCCCGCTCCAGTCAGTATTTAACATGAGCTGTCGATAGATTGGCGAAGGCATAATCTATCGACAGAGAGACCCCCGGCGAAGCTGGGGCTTTGTCACTCATGATAGATAGTGAGGTAGTAATTACCCATCGTAATTACTACCGTTATAGGTGCTTCTAAAGCTCCTCTTGGTTACGTTTAGTACTCGCTGCCGCCGCTGCTAGTAAACGCTCGCCGCCGCCGCTGCTATTAGTGAACTCTCGCCGCCGCCGCCGCTGCTGGTAAACGCTCGCCGCTGTTACTGCTGGTGAACTCTCGCCGCCGTTATTACTAGTGGTAATACTTACCGCCGCCGCAGCTACTGCTAATGCTCGCCGCCGCCGCCGTTACTGGTGGTGAACGCTCGCCGCCGCCGCTATTACCGCGCGCGGAAGGATAGGGCGGAACGATCGGAGAAATCGCGTCGCCGACCCGAAATCACCTAACGTCTTTTTTGATTCAGCCAATAAGAAGGTAGGATCTTTTAACGCTAAGCCTATCGTGGAGTCCGAGATTTCTCCGGCTCACAATAACGAACGTAACTCCTCGGCTTCGCTGGGGGACTAGTAATTTCTTTTTCTTCTTTTTGAACAAACGAAAGCCATTAGGGTATATTCCCGGCATTGTGAGATACAACACTACAAAACTCGTTTCACACCCGTCGGCGTGCGGGCAGACTGGATTTCATTAGCGCAGTCGGCCGCATCCGACGTGTGAATCGTGACCTGGACGCTGCGCTTGATGCGCGTGTTCTGCAGGTGTTCCTGGCTCCCGAAGCTCTGCCACCCGGACTCGGACGTGCCCGACTCGCGGCTGCTCCTGCGACCGCTGCCGCCGCCAAACGGGTCGCCCGCCCCGGTCGGGCTCCGGCGCGCCTCGATGTTGGTCCGCGTGGCCGACGCCTCGCCGCGCAGCTCGTCCAGGTCGACGTCCGGGTCGTAGCGCGCGGCGGTGCTGGTGTGCGTGCGCGAGCCCGACTTGGAGATGCCCGTCTTCTCGCACACGACGCGGACGAGCGGGCGCAGCGTGGCCATGGAGCCGGCGATGATGCCGCAGCCCGGCTCGACCCAGGACCAGACGATGATGTCCTTGAGGTTGTAGAGGTAGTCTGATGAGCTGGTCAGGTCGGTGATGGTGCGGATGCGGATGAGAGTGGTGATGGCGCCGCTGCGAGAGGCTACAAGTCAGTGGGATCTGGGGCGCGGTAGATGGCAGGGGGGGCATACAAGGAGCCCAGGGACATGATCAGGTAGATGGCAAGCCTCTTCTTCCACCCCAAATTCGAGTGTCGGAGCATGAAGTAGGGGATGCCGGCCAAGACGAAATCGACGCCGGCGCTGATGGCGGCGTGAAGATAGCCGGTCCAGACACCGCCGGACTTGTTGCTACACGACCCCTCGAGACTGGGGTTCCAGAACTTGGCGGGCGGGTTGCACTGGAACATGGAGCCCACAATCATGAATATACCATAGCCGGTCGACACGACCAGCGCGCCCCAGATGGTGTATTTCTGAACGGGGTGGGCGATGACGCGAAGCAAGAAGACGCCGACTGCGATCTTCACCACGGTCGTGGTGAACAAGTACAGGCCTCCACATGCGTAAAAGTACTGTGCCACAATAATTAGTCACGACTGGGGTTTTTCTCCCTGCGGGTCGCATGCTTACCTTCAACGCCAACACGGTCCGCTCCGGGCTGAGTGAGGCCATGTGGTGGCCCATCCCCGCGTGTGCTCCCAGAATCAGGCATGTGCCCCAGATGGTGTATATGATCTTCTGTCATCAGTGATATGGGCTGGGCCTGGTGTTTGGCGGGTGGGCTCACCTGGCAGCTGAGCATCAGCCAGTCGTCAACGCCGAAGGCCCTGACGAGGAACAGCCGCACGCCGCATCGCAGGCAGACAATGATCCATGATAGCACAAGGAGCGTGACGGCGCTACTTGTGATATCGTCTCCCATTTGCGGGTTGTCGTCGGAAACGACGTGGGAGAGGGGCTGGAGGCATCATGGGCCGGACGAGGTGATCAACGGTAGGAATAAGTACCAAGGTTGACTGCATAAGGGTCGGTCATTGCGATCGAATCTCGTCCGATTCTGCACCTGCCGCTCGGCTATCTGAATCCACATTAAGACCGATCTGTCGAGCAGGGATCGCCCCCCGGCGCTGGAAGATTTCGACCCTGGCCGGCAGGCGCCGGCGAAGTAGTTACGCGCCAGCTTCGTGAGACATTGGGCCCGAACAACGGACCGACGCGCGTTTAGGACAAGTAGCGCGCGGGAAACAGCACCCAAGCGCGCTCCTGGCTGAAGTGCCCGCCGTGTCCTGGATATAAGCCTCGGTCATAGGTAATCCTCACGACGATCTGGACGAGTGAACGGCCGAGCACAGAAGAGGCATCCATGTTCGGCGTCGGCTGGCGCGGTTATGCTCGGCAGTTGCCAGGAGAGAGCTCCGCTTCGTGAACATGGCGTGATGTTGTAACTTGAATCGGACAGTCCATGCAAAGGCGTTGAACTTCCTCCGGGTCGTCATGGTCAGTAAACTCTCGTCATGCGCGCAGGGTTCTTGACGTGTCTAGCCCTGTCTTCTCCACGGTCACGACGGCCCCGCTTGTTCGCAATCGTGTCTGGGGAGCAAGTCTTGGGTTTTTGATCTGCGTTTAGTTTTTGAAGGTCGGGCATGGTCCGCAGCGAGCACTGATTTGGCCATGGCGGATCATTTCCTCAGGGGGGCAGCCGTGCCTTGTCAAACGGCAACGATCAAACATCAGCAAGGCGTGCACTCGGAGCGAGGTCAGGGAGTCGGACTCGGGAAGTGTCTCGGGTGGAATTTGTGCGGTGGCGGATGGCGGGATAAGGCATAACTAGTGGCGAAGCGGGGCCCAGCCCAGCCCAACAGGGGGACCGCTGCTTGTCATCGGCTCGAAGCTTGCCATGCTTTTACCACTCAACCTTACATTGACTTGGCACAAAAGAAAGGCTTCTTACCTGGAGGATGGAGTGTGCTTCCCGACCGATGTCCGGATGCGGCCCACCCAGCACCGCCTTGGCCGATCCTTGTTACGAGCGTAGCGACCCGTAACGGGGACTTCTCGTTATTATTATTGCGAGGCTACGGTGTGTCGCAACTCTCGCTTGTTCCCTGTGGATCAGCCATTGACCCATTGGAGCACGAGTCGCCAAGGGACACCTTCACCTGTCCTGTGTGCGAAGATCCAGAACGCGACAGCCAAAAGACTCCCGTCCGCGCAATCGCCCGCGCCACGGAGATAGTACCGATCGTCCGTCCGGCTCCACAATCATGCTCGAACCCGATGCCCCGATACTAGTCCTTTTCCTCGTCTATCATTATTCCCTAATCATCCTCCTGCCCAACTTGCCGCCTAACAGACCGGAACACGAAAGTCTGATCTGAACAACCCGAGACTACAATTAACGAACCATCCATTACAGTGCTTGTTGATCCAGTCATCAACGATCCGTCCACCCGTCTTCTTGGAGTCAACAGTCACTGTACGCAGATGTTGTGTGGAAGCGGCATACTCGAAGAGTCTGGCTGGATATTGGTGTGCAAGATAGCCGAAACCCGGCGAACATCAACTGGCAGTGGAGGCGGTGGATGTATGCAAGCCAAGGCTTGACCAAGAGTACCTTTGAAGACAGTAGACTCGAGATTACTTCTTTCCCAAGCTTTCGGCAACCTGCTCTCCAGCGATCCGTCCGTAAACAACACACTCCAACAACGAGCTTCCTCCCAACCTGTTGGCTCCGTGAATGCCTCCGCTCACTTCGCCTGCTGCCCAGACGCCCTTGATCGGCCTGCCATCCTTATCCAGCACCTCGGCCTTCTCATTGATGACGACGCCGCCCATGGTAAAGTGCACCACGGGCGTCACTCTCCCAACATACACAACCGACTCGGGCGTCACGTCCTTGAGCTCCCAGTGCCCAAACGCCTTCCGCCCGAACGGATCCTCCGCCTTCCCCGCCGCCGCATCGGCAAATTCCTGCACCGCCTTGACAGCCTGCTCGCCGCCCAGCTCGGCCACCGTCATCTTCTGCATCAACCCCTTGAACAGATAAAACCCGACATGGCTCTTCGCCGCCTGATACGCGCCCTCATCCAGCACGACCTTGACATCCCACAGCTTCACCCCCTCCACCACCTCCGGCTCGGCCTCCATGATCCGATCCGTCACAAACTGCCGCGTCTGCAACTCATCCACAAACCGCCTCCCGCCCCTCAACATCAACCCGCCCTCGCCCCGCAGCACCTCGGCCGCGAGGAACTTGACCGGCTTCCCCTCCTCCTTGGGATCCACAAACCCCGTCGGATGCACCTGCACCATCTCCATGTCCACCAGCTGCGCGCCCACCTCCGTCAGCAGCGGCGCGCTCCCGGGCCACGCCTCGTTCGTCGACGGGAACCCCGCCAAGTCCGGCCGATACCGCTCCAGCATCCCGCGGCTATCCCCCGCAAACCCGCCCGTCGCAAACACGACCGCGCCCTCGAGCCGCTTCGTCGTCGTCCCGTTCGCGTCGCGGAACTCGACGCCGGTGACCCCGTCCCGCTCCTGCACCAGCACCTTCGTCACCGTCGCCTCCGTCAGCAGCTCGAAGCCCGGATGCGCATTCACGTCCTTCAGCAGCGCGGACACGATGGCGGCGCCGGGCGGAACGGGCCCGGCGCCGCGGTGCGTGCGGGCGCGCGTGTGCCCGCCCAGCTGCGCGACGACGCCGAGGTCGACGCCGTGAGCGTCGGCGAGCCAGTGCACGGCGCCGGCGCTGCGCTGGGTGAGGGTCGCGATGAGGCGTTCGCGGGCGGCGCGGGTGACGATGCTGGGTGAAGAGGAGTCCTCGAAGGCGGCGCCGGCGGAGCGCACCGTGTCGGCGTGGAAGGTGGTGTCGTAGGTGGGCGAGGGCTGGTAGCGGGTGGGGGCGCCGTTGATGCCCGAGGACGCTTTGATGCTGTTGCCGCCGGGCTTGGGGAGGCGCTCGAGGAGGGTGACGCGCGTGTGGCGGTGGAGGAGGGTGGAGGCGGCGGAGAGGCCGGCGAGGCCGGAGCCGATGACGATGGCGTGCGGGGTGGTGGCGGCGGTGGTGGTGGTGGTCATGGTGGCTGTGAGGCGGGTGTAGAGCATGGAAATTAGGGGGATGGAGAAGGTGAGTGCGAGAAGGAGGAGGAAGACCCTTCTGCCGGGCATCGAGAGGGGAGGGTTGTTGGTGGGGCTTGCATGGCGGGCTGGAAAAGGCTGTTATAGGGCGGGAGAGGGCGATGATGGAGTGATGGTTTGGATGATGTGACATGAGATGGGGTGCGAGTCGACATCACCCCACCACCCCACCAAACACCACTGCCCCACCACCGGGTAGCCTGCATCCCCCGCTGACATCCGAAAAAACAATCAGCACACCATTGTCGCAAGGGGTTTCTGTCGCGGATGCTGGCGGAGAGGCGGATGATGACCCCTGCTGGCTGTTACACTTTTTCGTGGGCGATATGTTCAGGACCTACCTGCCAATTGCGCTCGAGTCGTGCTTTGCGGGTGTTGCGCGAGACCGCGGCTCAAAAGTGTGCGAGAGGCAGGCGATGAGCATGCCGGTTTCCACGGGGAGATTAGGCCGGATTCGCGCGATTCAGGCTGGCGTGGAACCCGTAAGCTGACACAACTCAAAAATCCAGCAAGCAGTTGAACCATCATACAAGAAAGGCCGACAATCTTCAAAGTTCATAGTATGCAAAACCAAACGTTCAGTACAAGACTTTCCAATCTACCACACTGTTTCAGGAAATTGACGCGACTACTCCAGCAGTCCCAAACGAGAAGTGCAGCTGCAAGCGCCAGATGGCCACGAAACAATATACATCATCCCGAGCGGTATGCAGTTTCGCTGATCTCCCGACGATCATGGCCGCATACAAGACCTCAGGACATCAAGGTAAGTGGAGGTTATGGGAGAAAAGAAAAACTGCCGTAGACATTATTTATCCTACGCTATGCTTCGGCCGTCTACGTCGTGCTGCCTGGGCTCAAGACGGGTGCAACTGTTTGCCTCTGGCCGGCAACTCAAGTCTAACATCTGGCTTGCTTATTCTCTCGGCCATCGTGGCGAGATATCTTTTTGTCCTCTCTGAAAATGCCCAGATAGTATCATGTAACAAAGGGCCGAATTTTCCCAAACATAGAGTGATCGACAACCACACATAATGTCTTTCCTTGCAATCGTGATGGTGCCCATCAGGGTGCAAGTCTGAGTGTACACATAAAGAATGAGACTCGAACACCATCACTGCGCACTGGGTAAATCGCCATCAGAGATTTCGCTCTCCTGAAACTTTCAACGACCATGATTTCGCACTCAGTTCACTCTCAAAATTTCATGACGTCTTTTACGCTGGTGGTAGCTTGTTTCTTCACAGCTCTCGCAAATGCCGAACGACCCCTTCTACAAGACTTCGACGCCCTCGGCGCATGGTTCGACGATGTGGCAGCACTCCCGACCAACAGTACGCCCTCCACACAGCCAGAGAAGAACTCTTCCATCGCCATCGTCGGCGGAGGCATTTCCGGCTTGGCCACCGCTCTCATGCTTGACAGCGTTGGCCTCCACAACTGGGAGATCATCGAAGCCAGCGACCGTGTTGGAGGCAGATTCAGGACCCGCTACGTCGGCGGAACCGATGAGTGGGCTGAGATGGGCCCCATGAGGCTCCCGCACAGCGTCACGTACAAAGACGGCGAGACACTGGAATACACGGACCATCGGATGGTGTGGCAGCTGGCAGACACACTCAACGATATGAACCGCAACAGCTCCGAGTGGAAGGTCGATTTCATCCCCTGGATCCAGCATCATCCGAACGAGCTGCTTGCCCTCGGCACCGGAAGACACCCAGACGGCAGCATCCCGACGCGCGCCGACATCGAGGCCGACCCCAGTCTCGGCAAGCCGGCGCCGCCGGAGCCCCAAGAGTACGACGATACGAAGCAGCAAATGGACCGCATTCTGAAGCGGAAGGACTCACTGAAGGCGGTTCAACGAGATGTCTGGCGCGCTCACAAGCAGGCCATGGACCAGGGGCTGGATGACTGGAGCGAGCAAGCAATGATGCGGAACCTCTTCAAAGCCAGCGAGAATGTCACCGATGCAATCTGGACCGCAAGCGACTACGACGTGTTTTGGGACGAGCTGACCCACAACTCCAACCTCGGCCTGGATGGAAGCGAGAACGCCTTGGCAAAGACGGAGTGGAAATGCATCGATGGAGGCTTCAGCCGGCTCTCGGACGCTTTTATGCCCCATGTTCGTGACAGGCTCACACTGAACCGAAAGGTCAGAAAGCTCGAGACGGTCCAAGGCACCAACGACGGCCGGACGCGCACCCGTCTCTCATGGTACCCGAGCGTCACGAACAGGACGTTTGAGTCCAAGGACTATGACTACACAATCATGGCCGTCCCTTTCACCATGACCCGCTTCATGCACCTCCCAAAGTTCTCCTCCGTTCTCGGTCGAGCCATCAGCGAAGCTGGCTTGCGGTTCAAGTCTGCCTGCAAAGTCGCCCTCCTCTTTTCCGAGCGGTTCTGGGAAAAAGGCCATCGTCCCATCTTCGGCGGCTATTCAACCCCGCCCAGTGCCTCGGTCGGAGCACTCTATTACCCTGTGTATGGCCTTAACCAATCCCGACCCGGCCTGATAATGCACTATCGCGGTGGAGATTGGAGCGACAGATTCACCAGTTTCTCAGACGAGGAGCACGTACAAACAGTGTTGGACGCCATTGTGGATCTCCACGGAGAGCAGGCGAGGGATCTATATACCGGCGATTACGAGCGGCTATGCTGGTTGCAGGATGAGCATACAGCAACGGCATGGTGTCGGCCTGATGTCGGGCAGCATAAGCTGTACATCCCCGCGTATCACCGCACTGAGCACAACACGATTTTCATTGGGGAACACACCGCGCCAACCCATGCCTGGGTCAGTTCGTCGCTACACTCGTCTGTGAGGGGTTCTGTCCAGTTGCTGCTCGAGCTCGGGTTGATTGATGAGGCTAAGGAGCTTAACCAGCGGTGGATGGGAAGATGGATCAACGTGTAATTAGCCATGTGCTAAAGTGTCCTGTGTTCCCTCGTCGGCAAATTTCGCATACGGGCTACAGGCTAGCTGTGATGATTTCAGCCACCCCAAATGTTGTTGCTCATGGAGCCAGATGTTGACGTTCATAAGACCCCGCAAGAGTTCGACTTTAGCCAATAGTTTATAGTTCCCTGTGGCTATTTGTAGTTTACTCAAATCGAAACCCTGTGCTGATCATATTATGCCTTTTTGTATGCTTATTGGATACGTGAGAGGCACTGGCTTTAGCCTGATATGCACACAAGTAGCACCATCATATCAATTGGAAAACACAAGACTATCCGAATGGCCTGTGGGAAACGCGGGCCGAGTAGAGACATTAAAACGCAGCCACTGGAGCACTATGAGACCGCTTCGCAACTGAAAACAAACATCTCGACCGGCCACGTGGGACAGCCAAGTCGCTTAAAAGAGTCTCGGCTTGCATGGCTGCTACCAGATTTCTTATTACGGGCTGCCAAGCTTCGTTTAGCCGGCGGCAGAATCAACTTGTCACCCTCACTGTGTCAGGAGCGGTAGCCGTACACTTGGAAGGACCTTGGCTGTTTGAATCACCTAACTTACGAACATCCTCTTTCGACACCTTAATCCGACTGCGCTTGTATATAAAAAGGGAGGAGAGACCACCTCCCCCTGATGCCAGCCAACACTCAGCTCAGCCCAAACAGTCTCCACCACCATGGTTTCATTCAAGTCGCTGCTTCTCACCCTCACCGCTGCTGCCGGTGTCTTCTCGGCCCCGACCCCTGAGGCGGGCGAGCTGATCTCGAAGCGGTCGACGCCGAGCGGCACCGGCACGAACAACGGCTACTACTATTCGTTCTGGACTGACGGTGCCGCCGACGTGACCTACACCAACGGCGCTGCCGGCTCGTACAGCGTGGTGTGGTCCGGCAATGCCGGCAACTGGGTCGGCGGCAAGGGATGGCAGACGGGCAGCGCCAGGTAAGAAATAGAAAAAGAAAAAAGAAAAAAAGAAATCACGCGAAACCCTCTCTCCATCTCTCTTCTGTCCTCTCTCTCTCTCTCTCTCTCTCTCTCTCTCTCTCTCTCTCTCTCTCTCTCTCTCCCTCTCTCACCCGACCGAACATCACAACGCTAACCACCGCAATCAGAACGATCAACTACTCCGGCACGTATAGCCCCAACGGCAACTCGTACCTCGCCGTGTACGGGTGGTCGCGCAACCCGCTGGTCGAGTACTACATCGTCGAGTCGTACGGCACGTACAACCCGGGCTCGGGCGGCACCAAGAAGGGCACCGTCACCAGCGACGGCGGCACCTACGACATCTACGTCAGCACCCGCACCAACGCGCCCAGCATCGACGGCACCCAGACCTTCCAGCAGTACTGGTCCGTCCGCCAGTCCAAGCGCGTCGGCGGCACCGTCACCACCAAGAACCACTTCGACGCCTGGGCCGCCGTCGGCTTGAACCTCGGCTCGTTTGACTACCAGATCGTCGCTACCGAGGGCTATCAGAGCAGCGGGTCCGCGTCGATTACCGTGTCGTGAGGTGGGGAGAGGGAGAAGCCGTTGGATGGGGCCTTGTGGTTGCGGAGGGGGGCCGCCGGTGTAGGGTAGGGGGGATGAGGACGGGTGGTGGTGCGACTTCTCTTCTGGACGCTCTCTTGATGGGTCTTCGTGTATGTATTTTGAAAATTGAGCTGAATTGGGGCTGTGCTTTGGCCGCCCCTGTTCTCTCCCTTTCTCTGCCAAGGTGCCAAGCTCAGCGTCCAACCACGTATCTCCTGATCAATCTGAGTCTGTTATGCTCAGAGATGCTATTCCAAAGGTGTGGAAAAGTCGCATCATCTTCACCTTCCCTCAAACTACTGTGGCAGCCAGATAAAAAATGTAAAATTGATACCGTCTACTGCCAGCCTCGTCCGAGGCTCAAAACCCATTCTACCTACTCAATTTCAAGATTCTTTCCCAGTCAGACCTCCCTCATCAATCTTGTCAAGCCATCCCCCAGATCTACTTGTTAACATGCCTGCTACTTTCAGCGAAAGGAGTGTTTTCCCCCCTCTCTCTAATGGGAAGTCCCGGAGGACTTCGAACCGAGGGTAGGATGTTGTTGCCCTTTATCCACGACACAAAGTTGTAAGCGGATTGGTCGGCGGGAAGGCCATCCCAGACCTCAATCGGCATTGAAACGTGCCAAATGGTTGGGTTTCCGGTGTAGGCTGCTTCAAGAGTGATTTTCCCTATCATCGTTGGTAGGTTTGAGCACAGCCATTCCTTCCACATGGCCACATCCGTACTTGGGACTTCACCCCTAAGGTGGACCTGAATCAAGGCCTTGAACCTGCTGTCTCCAAGCTCCTGCAGAGATGCTCGCCTCTGTTTTTCGTTGGCAGTCCCATAGGACGTTGAGGCGGCAGGACACCTCTCGAGGACAACGCTGTCCAGGTTTTTCTCCAAGATGTGTACTGGTGTGACTTCCAGCTGCGATCGCATCGCGTTCCGGCAGATCTCGGAGTATATTTGCCCGACGCTTTTGGGCTTCCCTTGCAGACTTTCAAGAGCGTTCTTGAGGGTGGTCGTGAAGTTGTATGTCGCGTGAGCCGCCGCCTGATTATTGATTGCGGAAGCTGAGATTAGTTCCGGGCCGGCAGAGTCCTGCGTTCCCGCCGTAGCCGCATAGCATGAGTCGAAGATAAGAAGCTTTCGACCTGAAGTGGTTTTAACTATGGCAGATGCGCAGCCCCACTCGGCCTCTGGGGGATGCGGGGTGGCGGTCGTTCCGAACAGCTGCAAATTGTCGTTGTGGTCTCTGCGGGAATGTCCAGAATAGATGAAGATGAGGAGTGTGTCGGAACCTTGATGCTTTTCTCTGAATTTGATGAAAGCTCTCTGTAGATTAGCGTTGATGGTTTGGGAGGTCGCGTCAATGATGTAGCTTTCCGTAATAAAGTTGTAGTACTTTCGGAGCACTTTGAACAGTTCTCCTTCGGCTTGCGCGCACTTCATGTCATCGTTTGACCAGGTGTATCCGAGGACAGCGACCTTGCCATACCTTGTCGCGCCGGTTGGAAGGATCGTGTTCACAGATTTTTCGACATCCTTAGCAAAGTCTTGGAGCCTGTCGAGGGTCCTTTGCACCCTGTACGCATGAGCAGGCTTTGTTGAGGCTTGAGCACTAGACATGGTCGCTGCTTGGAATGAGTTGTTATGGAGAGAGAGCTGAGGATGAAGAAGAGCGGTTTAAATAGCCCGTAAAAAAGTAGATTTTCCACGTCACCGGGTCATAGGGCTGACGTTGGGCTCCCAACAAGCGCAACGTCACCGGGACTCCGACTCCCAGCCATCACTACATGAATCCTTCATGGGTAGCTGAAGCAGACATCCGGATGTTGATGCGAGTATTAAAACTGCACAAATGCATCTATATCACACGAGTTCGCATCGCTACAGCTTCTCATCCACCCGACTCAACTCCATACTCCAACGAATTGAGAGTAGCTGCATACCGCTCTACAGCCGACGGAAACGTCACAACCATGGCCGAATCTACGTTTTCGAGCCATTGTAATGCACTCACAGCACCATCGTAAGCGGCGACGAGCCGAACGGAATCCATGACCGACTCGGAGCATACGCACAAACCACCTCCTTCAACGCCAGTCGATAGATGAGGTTACCATCTGCGACGTATTATTCCTGTATCGTATATCCTGGCCGCCGCTAAGGGTCTTAGCTACATTGTATGTCTCGTAGGGACCCGCCAAGCGATGGGCATGCAAATTATAGAACGAATAGATAAGGTGCTGCGCACTAGACGCTTCCCCGCATCATGCTTGTCTCATGTTAGGCTATCAACGGTCTGCCTTTCCTCCTTACAGCCTGGTGCGACGACTGCAGACTGACTTGGGGTCTGATGCAGCTAAAAATAGTGTCGAAGCGGCGATCTGCTAAGTTTTATCCTTGTCATCGACTGCGATTGTGGCTAGCGACTGCAAGTGACTGTCACATGCGGTAAGCTGATTTGTGGGTCTTTGTTTGTCGACAGCCTCATTGGTGCCAGACACAAGACGTCAGTAAAGGGCCCGGCGAAATCTACGCGAACCGCAGGATGCCGTGGTACCTAAGCACAGCTCTCCTTGGTTATTTTTCTCCGCAGTTTGGTGATGTCTTACTACCCCGCACGTTCCCTCCTCACGTCAGCAGCAAGGTTCAACCCACGACGCCGCCGTTTGCAGGATGGTGGTATGTTTAGGGGGAATGACTTATAAATATGGGTTGAGAAAAGCCCCGAGTCCCAAGCTCATCTCAAATTCCTACTTTCACGATGCACACGCTTCCGCAAAAGGCCAGAGACGCAATTGCGAACATTCTTCCGTCCGACGAGATCTTGGAACCTTCGTCGGAGCTCTATGCCAAAGAGTCAAAGACGTGGGCAGCCCAGAAACAAAAACATCCTGCTGTCGTTGTCCGGCCTGGAAACACAGAGAGGCTGCAGAAACTCGTGCCTTATCTGTATGACTCGGGCCTTGACTTCGCTATCCGCTGCGGCGGCATCGGATCCAGCTCCGCCGAAGATGTTGTCTTGAGCATGAAGCAGTTCGACTCGTTCAAGTACAATCAAGAGGACCGGACTGTCGTCGTTGGCGCTGGCCAGACATGGGGCGACATTGAGCGGAAGCTGGAAGAGGCGGCCCCGGGCCGCATTGGTATCATCGACCGTCTTCTTTTCCCCCTTGGGAAGCATTACTGATGTCAGTGCGTAGTTGTCTCAACCCGTGTGCCGTGGGTCGGAGTCGGCGGGTCCACTCTCAGCGGAGGCCTTTCCTGGGTGGGCACGCAGTTCGGTCTGGCTGCAGACCCCCAGAACATGCTCGACGTGGAGATTGTGCTCCGCGATGGGCGAAAGCTATGGGCTTCAAGCGAGCCTGACCTGCTGTGGGCGCTGCGTGGGGGCGGCGGGAATTTTGGAGGCTCGTTCCCCTGCTGACCGTGGCCGACGCACGTCATACTGATGGAATTCTTCCAGTCGTCACTGCCTTCCATTTCCGCACGTATCCGTACTCGACTTCCATCCTCTCTGGCTACATCTCGTTCCCCCCAAGCTCTCTTGAAGCCGTGTCCCACGGCGTTTCAGCGCACGCGGCTCGACCGGTCGACCCGCTCGTTTCATTCCACTGCCTGATCGCAATCGTGGATGAGAAACTCCCTAGCCAAAGCTCTTGGACCGAGTCGGCGGATCAAAGCGACTCGAGCGGCATCAACGTCGGCATCTTCATTTTCGATGCCAGGGGCGAAGAGCATGGTCGCAGCGAACAAGGCTTCAAGTGGGCGTTTGACATTGCCGGGGCGGTGGACAAGACCACTGTCGTCAACAGTCTCCGAGAGGTGAATGAACTTCAAGGTGAGTGCGCCATTGCCCACATCGAATCCAACTAATGAAGCATCAAGGGGGGAATCAACATCTGGTCGGGGTCATGAACAGCTACGGGAACGCCTGCCTTGCCTCTGAAATCGATCCCGAGTTTGTCCTGCGCGGCAAAAACTGGGTGGAAAGCATGGCCAAGATGGACTCCAGACTGGGCCCAGGAACGTTGTTCCTTCTCGAGGTGATGCCTGGGGATTCGTTCCACGCCACCTCAGGGCCCGAGGAGACGGCATGGCCGCACTCTTCCGTCTGCCACGTCCTGCAGCTCCTGACTGGGAGCCACCCGGATTCAAGCTGCCCGGAAGAGCTGGCAACGCACGCCATGGCCATGGCGCCCTACGTTATAAAGAAGTCACACTCCAAGGCAGACTTCTTCCCCAACTTTCTCGAGTCGCTCAATGATCGCAGTGCAGTACGTGCTTCGTCTGTCTTTTGCGTGCCAAAGCTGATACACTCCAGATTTTTGGCGTCAACTATCCCAAACTGCAGCAGATCAAGAAGAAGTACGACCCGAAGGCCAGGTTCAACAAGGGCTCGTGGATTCCTCTTCCTGGGGAAGCTCCACGATCTCACATTTGAGCAGATTAGGTGTTGTGCACTTCCGCCTCCGCACCAGTCCAACCTATTCTTTCCAAAACAAGGTCCTGAGAAAATGCTACAGCGGGCAGAGTTCAATAAATGCAAATGTGTTCTGCTGTCCCCCATTCTTGTGGTGCACCGAGCAGTGTGTTCGATTACGTAAGGCAGAGGGGCAGGCTCTGCGGGGTTGCACCTCAGGTTTAATCCAAAGTCAATCTCAATATCATCACCATCATGATCATCTCCATGCTTTACCATGAAGGTTGCAAAAGCGTGCAGACAGTGCCGCGAAAGCAAGCGCAAGTGCACCAGCGCTTCCGACGCACATTGCTGCACCCCTTGCCAGCGCAAGCAGCTACCCTGCAGTCTTGCAGGAAACCGCAGCCGCCAGCGTGCACCCATCCTACCGCAGCCCCCATTGCCAGCATCGCCATCTCCGGCAGAACCGCTTGATGGTCATGTTTCCCCGTCCCAAACCGCCATCTGCGAGCTGGTGGACCTCTACATCACGCTCATCCATGACAAGCCCCACTCGCTTTTCCACGAGCCGACAATTCGACAAGCCGCCAGTGCTGGATCCATCTCTAACCAAGTCCTTTGCGGCATTTCTGCTTTGTCTGCCAGGCACGCATCTCATCAGCCCTTCTCAGCATCCATCGCTGATGCTTTCCACGGCGTAAAGATTCCATGAAAACCCCGCAATCCGAGCCCAGGGTACGGCATTTGCTCAGGAGGCCAAGCGATTGCTGAAGGAAGACGTCGAGAACATCTGCATCGCCAATGTTCAAGCGTGCATCCTTGTGGCCAATGTCTGCGGCGCCAACAATGAAGCGACCTCAGAGGCGCTGTTCTTTGGTTCGTGCAACCCTTTGTTGAATACGCTGGCGACGAGTTTGACCTGCGTGCAGGCATCGCCATTCGAATGGCTCAGATCTTGTCCCTTCCCCAATCAAGTGCCGCAGAGACTGCCATAGACCAGGAAGTCAAACGCCGCGTGTATTGGACCCTTTACATGGTAGACCGCTGGAACTCTGCCGGCCTGGGACTGAACAGACAGCTCCCAGATGCGCTGAAATACCCCATGCCGGTGCATGAGCTGCAGTTTCACCAACCGCACTTCTGCTACCGTGCAGATGCGAAGCCCGGATTATGGGCATACTTCATCAACCTGGCCAGCATCTTCGGCGAGATCCAGGATCTGCACAGCCGACACGTCAGCGGCGAGCTGGAAGACTCCCACTTTGAAGAGCAAGCCCAAGCCCTGGCCGCCCGACTCGAGCAGTTCGCTGAGGGGCTGCCCACCGAGCTACGCTTGAACGTCGACAACCTTCGCTGGCACGCCGACCGGGGCATCGGCCGCACTTTTGTGGCTCTACACTTGGGCTTCCACCACTACTCGACCCTCATCCACTTCCAGTACCTCGACATACAGCTTCCCCGCTCCCCGACACAGCGGCTCTTCGCAAGCCGCTGCAAACACCATGCCAATACCTACAGCGATCTCCTCAAACTCTCGACCGAGATGCCCAACTGCGATGCCGTTTACAACATCGTCGGCCACATGACGGTTGTGTCGTCGAGCGTGCTGTTGCACATCCTCTTCTTCGGCGACGAGGAAGAGTTGGCCATGACTCGGCAGCGGCTCGAGCAAAACTTTCAGCTTCTCATCAAGCTCCGGGGCTACTGGCCCAGCGTCCACGGCATGGTAAGCTGCGAGTATTTGAATCAAACCACTTTACTGAGCCGTGGTAGATGGATCGCCTCTTCACCTTCCAAAAGGCCTGCATGTGGACCGCCGACCCGAACACGCACAAAATCGACAAGTGGATGCTGAAGTTCCTCCTGCAGCACGCCCTCCCAATCGAAGACAAGGTGGACGAATCCCCCGCAGCGTCCAGACCATCCGCCTCTGCCGTTACACCCGTCGTTTCCGACATCTCCTCCGAGCGCGGCCAGTATGCCACGAACGCGCTGTCCATGCTTCGGCAGTGACACGGGCAAGACAGTGACAGGGGAAAAGTTGGCACTCACGTACCGACGTATCGTGGTCTTTTCATCAGTGGCTCTGCATACACGCGCCCACACATACCCTCACTCACTTACTGTCCCCCCTCCACCTTCCCCTCCACCGCCTCCTCCACATGCTCCACCCCACCCCTCCCCTCTTTCCCCTCCTCCCGCTTCCCCTCCCGCTCCTCCCGCTTCCCCGCCCCCTTACCCCCCGCCTCCACCCCATCAAACAACCCCGCCACCCCCTCCAGCGTCCTCGACCCCCCCGTCTCGACATACAAGCCCCACACGGCGACGCACTCAAACAACAGGACAACAACATAAACGAGGTAGAAGCGCCAGCGCCAGGCGGCGAGGCCGACGGGGTTGACGTACTGATTCAAGACGGACGAGGCGGCGGTGGCGGCCATGGCGAGGGCGAGGCCCCGGGCGCGGATGGGGAAGGGCAGGATCTCGGCGCAGTAGGCGACGGTGAGGCCGGGCCAGGCGAAGCCGGCGGCGGTGTAGAAGAGGAACTGTTTGTTTTGGGGGTGTGAATTTTTTGGGTTTTTTTCTCGTTGGTTTGGGTTGGGAGGGTTCTGGGGGAAGGGAGGGAGGGAAGGGACGACTGACGATCATGGCGATGACGGCGCGGCCGGCCGAGGTGTTGGTGCCGGACGTTTCGGCGTAGACGGCGGAGCAGCTGCGTGGGCGGGAGAAGGAGAAACAGGATGTCAGCGGACGGTGGTTCCTTTTTTTTTTTTTTTCCCTCCCCTTTTCTCGACACGAGCGGCCACGGTATGTATGTACTCACGCGGTCCAGACGGAAAACGTCACCAGCATGCCCACGGCTGCGGTCATGAACAGCGTGCGGCGGCCGAGGCGGTCGACCAGCAGCACGGAGAAGCCGACGGCGACGAGGAAGGACCAGACCTGCAGGCCGCCGTTGATGACGGACTGGTCGCCGGCGTCGCGCACGCCGACGCTGGTGAGGATGTCGTGGATGTAGTACGACACGAGCCCGTTGCCCGAGCACTGCGAGAAGAAGGCGGTGAGGAGGATGAGCAGCACCCGCTTGCGGTTGCCCGGCGTGCGCACCAGGTCCGCCCAGCCGTTTTGGGCGCTTTGCTGCTCGAGCCGGATCGTTTCTTGGATCTCGGAGAGCTCTTGCTCGATGAAGACGGAGTGCGTGTCGCCGTTGGCGTGGTACTGGTGGTTGTTGAGTCGAGGTCAGCATGCGGGACCTTTTTTGGTTGGAAAGTGGTGCGCGTGCGGGTGAGGCTTGCCTTCGACAACACCTCGAATGCCTCGCTGGTCCTGTCCTTGGCGCATAGCCAACGCGGACTTTCGGGCAGGAACCATATCCCAATGAGCTGCATGACAGGCATGGCGGCCTGTACGCCGACGGGGATCCTCCACGCAGCATCGCTGGTGTATTTGACCGTGCCGTACACAGTCCAAGCTGCCACAATCGAGCCGACATACCATAGAGTGTTGTACATTGTGGTGAGCTTGCCGCGGTGGGTGGGGTAAGCGAGCTCCATGACAAGCAGAGGGGCAGACCCTTGTGAAAGGTTCGAGCTATTGCATTTCCCTACTTGTGAGCAGATGTTGAGGACAGACAGGGAAAAGGGGGTTGGACGGACCCGAAGCCGACCAGAAAACGGCCACCGATGAACATGCCAGAGTTGACAGAGGGTACGACTATCCACGTCTGTCAGCGTGGTCCATGATCAAAACATGCAATCAATCAGGAAGGCTACGTACCCTGAATGACGGTGCCGACCAGGAGGACGATCAAGCCGATGACGACGCCGATCTTGCGGCCCAGCATGTCTGCCGCATACGAAGCTGATGACGAAATGAGACTTCAGTGCTGCATCGGACGGAAACGTGATTCACTGACAGAAGAAAAGGGCAACGAATGAACCGATGTTCTGGATAGCGGTGAATAGACCCAGCCTGGCCGATGTCGGATGATCAAAGTCTGTGGTTTGATCTGTCTTCAGTGCGATGAACGAAATGAAGTGGCTTGCATTACGGAACCTACATTCTTGCCATGGATCCATAGTCTGCAACCCGTTCAAGAGACTACCGTCATAGCCGTTGATGGTCGATCCGAGGAACAAGATGGGCATCATGCAGTAGAGTTTTCGCAGGCCCGGATCTCTCCACCATGTCAGCTCTGGTATCTCGATTTTGGGCGCCCTCTCCTCATCGGGCAGCTTCTCTTCATCAACCGTTACTCGCTTCGAGTCGGCCATCGGTACAGCTGGCAGTGAACAGCAAGGAGCTGGCGAAAAGAGAACAGGATGGGGATATGTGCTACTACCGCTCGGTCGGGGATCGGCGTATTATATAGGCGCATGCGAGGGTAGACGCAGACGCGGACGCATCCCGTTTCTACTCCAACAGCCACACCGAGTGGTTCGCCGCGGCTAATACCAAAGCACCTTGGCGAAAGCTGAACCACGTTCCCCCGCGAGCTGAACCCCAGATCTACAACGTACTTCCCCAGATGATCCCGCACATGGTGGGCGGAGGCTCGGTCAATAGAAGGCGCTCATTCCCGCTGGCTTGCGAGTGGCACAGCTTTGGGTTGATTGACCCGGCCACATCAAGGCCAGTGGGCCACCTGGGATCATGCGTTTTGATCTCCCCATCCACCGGAGGTTGCGTATGCTGCAATACGGCGCCGATTGCTAGGGAAGGGTGGTTCGTACCTGGGCGGAAGGGTGCGGCGGGATTGAAGGGTCCTGATTGGGTGATATGCCGCAACCCCAGAGCGGGTGCTCTTCAGGTGCGGGGTCCGCCGATTGCATTCCCCGCTCTGCCCTGTTCGGTCAGTCCATGTCCAGCGCAGGCTCAGCAGCATATCACGGCACAGCCAGACTCGGTCCAATGGCAACGGTCGCGGCCCACAACTACCACTGCCGGATCCACGATGGTGCAGCAGCTGATGCCCGTCTTCCGGAGTCTGGGATGGGCCTCTGCAGCAGCGCCGGTGTTTGGGAAGAGGCCAGCAGTGCTCCCAATGAAACGACATGAAGCCCAGACGACGGCGGGGCCAGCGTCATGTCTCTCCGCGAACTCTATAAAGCTCAGCTTGCGCAAAGGCTGGTGCCGCTTCTGTCAAACACACATCTTCCTCGTCCCCAGGCCGAGTCACAATGGCTTCGATTCCGCACCTTCGGAAAAATGACGTCTCTCACCAGCTCATCGTCAATGGCAAGCCGCTGCTCATGCTCGCGGGCGAGCTGCAGAACTCGTCCCTCACGTCGGCCGAGTACATGAAGGAGGTGTGGCCGAAGATGGTGGCGACGCACGTCAACACGGTCCTGGGCTGCGTGACGTGGGAGGACATTGAGCCCGAGGAGGGCCGGTTCGACTTCGCCAACCTGGACCAGGTCGTGCTGGACGCGCGCGCGCACGGCATCCACCTCGTGCTGCTGTGGTTCGGCTCCTTCAAGAACGGTGAGCGCACTGGGCCGGGCAGGAAGGGTCGGGCCAGGACGCTGACGGACAACCAGGCCTCTCGACGTACGTGCCCGGCTGGGTCAAGACCAACCCCAAGAGATTTCCGCGCGCGAAGCTGCGCAAGGCCGGCGGCGAGCTGGCCACGGCCGACGTGCTGTCCATCTTCCACGACGAGGCGCCCAAGGCCGATGCCAAGGCGTTTGCGACGCTGCTGGAGCACGTCAAGCAGATTGACGAGGCGCACTCGACCGTCGTCATGGTGCAGGTCGAGAACGAAACGGGGCTCCTGGGCGACTCGCGCGACGGCAGCAAGCATGCCAACGACCGCTTCGCCCAGCCCGTGCCCCAGGACCTCATCGACTTCATCGACGGCCACTGGGACACGCTCACCGACGCCTTCCGCGCCAACTTCAAACCGTTCAAGACGGCAGCCACGAAGCGCGGCACGTGGGAGGACGTGTTCGGCAGGAGCAAGAAGACGGACGAGCTGTTCATGGCATACCACTACGCCCTCTACCTCAACCGCGTGGCCTCGGCCGGCAAGGCCAAATACCCCCTCCCGCTCTACACCAACGTGTGGCAGAACTACGCCGCCGCCGACGCCGACAACGACTTCCCCACCGTCGTCGGCGGCGGCCACGAGCCGGGCGACTACCCGTCGGGCGGCGCCGTGGTCGACGTGCTGGACGTGTGGCAGCGCTTCGCCCCCGCCCTCGACCTCATCGCGCCCGACGTCTACCTCAACGACTACGCCAGCTCGTGCGCCAAGTACCGCCACCGCAACCAGCCGCTCTTCATCCCCGAGCAGCGCCGCGACGAGTACGGCGCCCGCCGCGTGTGGCAAGCCTTCGGCTCCCACCAGTGCCTCGGCACCTCGCCCTTCGGCGTCGACACCCAGGACCCCGCCACCAACCCCTTCACCCGCCACTACCGCCTCCTCGACAGCGTCTCCCAGATCGTCCTCGCCGCCCAGCGCCGCCCGCACGCCTCCTACGGCTTCTTCTTCGACGACCTGCCCGCCGGCGCCAATGCCAACACCGCCTCCTCCCCCTCCCAGGACCACCACCACACCGTCGTCTTCGACGACTGGCAGCTCACCATCCACCGCTGCTTCGTCTTCGGCCAGCCCGGCCCGGGCGCCGGCATGGTCGTGCGCCTCGGCCCCGCGCGCTTCCTGCTCGTCGGCTGGGGCTTCCACGTCGCCGTCCGCTCGCTGCGCCCGCGCGCCGCCTTCACCGGCTTCTTGCGCTTCGAGGAAAAGTGCGTCGCGAACAAGGCGACGGGCGAGCTGCGCACCCTGCGCAAGCTGAACGGCGACGAGACGAGGAGCGGGAGCTATGCGATGATGCCGAATGAGGAGCCGGATTATGGCGGGTTTCCGATTTGCGTGACGGTGCCGGCGCGGACGATGGTTGCGGAGTTGGAGGTTTATGCGTTTGGGGAGGAGGATGAGTAGGGATGATGAGAAGACACGTCCCGGGTGTTGTTTGGGTTGCTGGTGGGGGTGGCTACTGGCGTATGGCTAGGAACTGGAGGAGGGCATCGAAGCACAGGTCTGAGCAGGGGAAGTATGCAATCTTGGTAGTACCCAAAGCCTTACCATTCTTGGGAATGCTTTGGGGCCGGGCAACCAGATAAATATGCAGAAGCATACCCAAGCTTTCTCGATACGAAGGGGTGAAGGCACCCTGTGTGACCGATTCCCGAAATGGCAAGACACGACGAGACGAGATTGAGACGAGTCGCTGAGGTCCTCACACTGATCATCTCGAAGAACTAGACTAACAATCCTTGCCGTGACAAGGTTTTATTTTCTTATGTCAGTGTCTGTCAAGATGTTCTCTCCATGCACGTAGGATGATCTTGTATTGAGCTTCCTTTTCCATTACACCGACAACAATGGCGCCAATGTATGGGTTGATCAGGGCAGCTGCCAGAAGACTACCTATGGCTTCGTCAGTCGCTTCCTATCGGGTTCACTTGAAGAGAATGCTAATGTAGTACAGAATCCGCTGACTGATCAATATCAGTGCGACTACGACTGCTGAAATGGTGAGCGGGGAAAGCGGAGGAGCCATCAAATTGAAATGGTCTTTTTTCAGCAACTGGAAACAATCGGACCGTCTGGGAGCGATGGCCATACATAAAACAATAAAGGTTCTGTTGGGGATGCAGGCAAAGATTCTGCTGGACGCAACTGTCCGCAACAGTATTTGGATTCGTCACTCAGTTCAGCAAATCTATTCACTTGGTTTCAACTGAGAATCACTGAAGTAACTTCCAGAAGGGGTTTTGTGCATACTATTAATAGGACTTGAGGGTACAATTTCTCAAACAGCAGCGAGGGCGTCATACTGCTCCTGAGTCAAAGCGAGAACAGAGCCGTGCCGCATGTACGTCATATCCACAGCCGTGTCCTGCACCCATACACCAGTCGTCGGGTCGGAGGGTCCGTAAAGTCTGATTCCTGCATCGCTACCGACCTTGTCCGCAATCATGTACGCCACGCCATCGGCAGTATTGTCCCAGATGGCATAAGCGCCCTCGTAGTCGGTGACGACGTCTCCGACCTCCTCGAACGACCCAAACAGACCATCGTAGCCGACTTCTGTGTGAATGCCGTCGTGGGCCCAGAAACGCACGTAGGCGGTGTCGTTGATCTTCAGGAAGCTGAGGTCGATTGTGCTGTTCGGGTTCCTGTCGATGTATGTCTGCGGTGCGGTGAATGTCTGGAAGTCGCTTGTGTGCGCGTATCGCATGACTGCCTCTCCGATTGCGCCGTCGTTGTGCGCCGTGTCGTTTTCGGCAAACTATAGTCCGACTGGTCAGCAGGCGCGGATCGAATGACGCGGGTTGAACCAATGCGGATCTCGTACAAATTTGGCCGCCCAATGCACCATGTAGTTGCCTGCGTCCGGATCGTAGATGGCATCAGGCGCCCAAGCCATTCCGGCAGTGTCGTCCTCGACCGTGATCAGCCTTTCGTTGGTCCAGTTTACCAGGTCTGTGCTGTCCCAGATCAACAGGGCCTTGGAGCCATTGGCGGACGCCGCGTCCCATGACGAATACTACTGATGGTCAATGAAAAAGGTGAGACAAAGTGGGGCTTGGAAATGGTTACATCGTCAATGTTTAGATCGGTTGCGAGAAGATACCACTTTGTAGCTTCTTCCTCTCCGCTTCCAGGCACAATCGAAAGGTCGCGCACAGTCTTCTGCCCGAGGGTGGGAACAAAGAGAGCTTCTCCGCCATTGATGGGAGTGAATGACAGTGGGTCGTCGTTTGTGCTTATGGCGAAGAATATGCCCGTCTCATTCGTCTTCCAGAAGGCTGCCAAAAAACCCACCTTACTTGAGTCGGCCCTCCTGCTCAAGATGCTGCTGTCGCCTGCAAAGGGCGCCGCCAGAGCAACAGCTGAGGCGTAGGCGCAAACGAGGCCGGCGGAAAAATAATTGGAGCGCATGGTTTCGAGCTGCCAAACAAATCGAGACCGCGGCGCGATAACAATCCAAGCCGCACTCTTTTATAAGGCCTCTTTTATCCGAAAATCTTTTTTATTCCGGCGCCGCCGAGGCGAGCCTCTTGTTCCTGGTCATGATGCCGGTGGACCTGTCGATCTTTTCCGGGAGAGCACTTACCGCTGCATTGGCGGTGGAAGCGTTGCGGGGTATCGCTCTAAAACATGACCGATCACGACAGGTGGGGTATTTATAGGCGGAGGCCGCCGGTGCATTACGCGGGACGCTTTCTGGAAACAAGGTCTTCCCCGCATCTCCCACCGGACCTCTGCGGGGACGTTACGCATGCCTCGCAATGGCCTTCATGATGCTAGCAGGCTTTTGCGAGCATCGACACTTAATTCACGAATCACGAACGGCAACCTGACTAGCGCATCCATTACTACTTCAAACCCGCATCGGATTCCCTAAGATCATCACCGTTGTCCAGACAACTGGCTCTGCCCCACATCAGCCTCTTTAACGCTCACTGTTGCCATTCCATTGACAGACACTTACATTGACTAGTAACCTGCCGCATATACCTCGACGAGGTAGTGGGCGAGAGACAAAGTCCTGAATAATTCGACGTTCGGATTCAGGTGTCGTTGATGTTTTGACCGACGCCGAGGTGCGCGCGGCATGAAGCTGTCGGACTGTGAGCTGCGGCGGTTATCCATCACGCCCATCTTCCTGAAGAACCCAAAATATCTAATCTCAACCGCCAAAGGGGACGACGGTGCATCTACCAGCAAGAAACATCTTCTCACACCACCGAGCATTGAGCATGTGGCCGCCACAAAAAGAAAAGAAAGAATTATGGGGAAGATGCGGAGCCAATGAAACAGAGTCTGAGCCGCAATGATTCCGGACAACCGAAAAAGAAAGAATCCATCTTGACCGCTCACACCACCTGTGTCGTCGAAGCTGTGGCCTCCGAAAACGAAAATAACAAAGCTTTGGTCCACATGATCAAGGAAACATCAATTGAGGCTGAGGAGATCACCCGGTCAGGTATTCCGTAGCCTTGCAAGGTGGCTCCCAGGTCGGCCCCGCCTCAAATGATGTAAGTCTGGGCCAGATTGGCGTGGAGAATGCAAGTGCCGATTGTGTTCATGTTTGGTGCGGTGGAGCTACGGTTGAGTATGCTCATGAAGCTTCTTAGTGCTGAAGATGCGTCGCAGATGTTGCTGACGTGCATGTAATGTGTGACGTGCAAGTCTGCCGGAATGCGCATCATCGAGAAGAAGCGCTGCTGCGGTTGGATGTGGACGGTTCGCGATCGCTAAAGATTGGGCATGTGGATGTGAGAGAATTTGTTGAGAGCATGAGGGTAAGACGTGAAATGATGCGTCCCTTTTTCAAGCTGGTATGAAATACTAAAGCACCGGAGGAAGCACACTCATACACTTGTAAAATGAAGCGTAGATTAGGAAGTGGGGATAGTGGGGAAGGGGAGAGGCCGTGCGCGTTAAAAGAAAATAAGAGGCTCTACGTGAGCAGTCGCATAACAACGGAAATCTGGATCGAGGAAAAATTAAAATACGCAATTTGTATTGTAGCAAGGCCCCATACACAGTGTTAGGCACAATAAGTTGGAACATTGAACTGAGAGATGATTGATCACTAGCGCAGATCTTCGGAAGGGCCGGATCGTGCGTCACATCCTTCGGTAAAAGTATCCTGGATTGGGAAGGACGGGGTACCCTGACGCTCTCGAATTTTCCCTGCTACGCGTGAAGGTATGATGTGATCTTCAATAAATCTATGATGAGCCTCAGACACAGAGGGTAGTAGAGTCGACTCTTGCACTTTGGTTGCCGGAATGGAGTGGATCAACACTTACATTGCTTGTATATCGATGCAACACCTGAACTTGTCGCATGGAACGGAACTAGAGATGAGGTAGGCACGAAACCAGAGAAGAGAACCCGACCGTTTGAGTATCGCCGCTCAAGAGTTTCTTTCTTTTTTTTTTTTCTCAAGTTATGCTGCTCTCTTGATTCTCATCCATCTCCAGGCCTCCTACCTCTCTTATGGCAGGGATTCACGTGAGCTGGAGCGCCAACGTGGCCACATTCACATTGCTGTGTGGTAGGCTCGGGGGCCAGAGTGGGTTCTTTGGGGAGGAGGCGTCGGCACGGTTGCGGAACCAGTACGCAGAGATCGGGGTGCATTGGAAGGCAAGTGGGACAGAGAATCTGATACCGACCGGCGTTACAAAGAAGAGATCCAGAACTATGGTCTAGCGTCGTAGCGTAATTGTGGAGCGCAATTGGGCAAGGATTGCAAGGCCAGCTCTTACGCGAACAGCAGTGGTGGTCGCTATATGGAGGAGTGTGGCGACAAACCGGAACTATGAATGATGTCAGGTACTGGAGCATGAACCGCAGCAACGGGGTGGTAGTGGGAACTGGAGATGTTGCGGGATCGCCGCACGCACCTCGTATCGGAGGCAGGCGACCGCACACAGCCGGAGATCGGAAACTTTGTCGGCTTGACGTGCTTGACTCCTTGAGGAATGATACATCGCACAGTTACGCAGACAGAGCCGGAAAAGTGTTGCGCGATGGCACCGATGACTGCGAGAGATGGAAAGCTCATGAAGTTTCCCATGCTGGTACATATGAGGATGTAAGCATTGGAAGAAGCAGCGAAAAAGTGGTTCTGGTCCTGGTCCGTCGTAGCGAGAAGAGTTCCAAGTGCGGTGGTTGTGGCCGCATGGAGCGAGGATTACGAGCTGTCATTCGCTACTGGGGGGGTGCTGCAGGGTGTCGCACTACAGCGCCACCATCTGCAGGGTGAAGGAGCCGGGGTCCGTCGGTAATGTCAGAGGGTGCACGGTATGTAGCTGCGTGCGTGCAAAGACGGAGGTTGGAGTCGACGTGGCCCGAGTCGCAACGAAAATGCGGGAGAGACGCGAGTGGGGAAAGCGCGGAGCGGGTGGAATCAAGGAAGCGACGGGGACATCGTTCCCCTAGGTACGCAGTCACGTGTGGACTCATCTTTTCATCCGCTCACCGGAGATCTACTTGATATCATGGTCTAAGAGAAGCCGCCTTTTAGTGTTACGTTTGCACCTAGTTTCCCTGAATAATCGGCGGTTGACGATCTTGCAGCCCCTGCCCAGCTACCCGCTTCCCCGATGTTGCATTGCAGTAACCACACCAACCCATTTCTACCCAATATCTACGAGCTGCTGACCGGGGAGTAATGGACATGTGAAACGGTTCATGGATTAAGACCATCACGCCAGTCTTGCAGATGATCGCCACGTTGCTATCCCAAACAGGTTTCATGTGTTATCATTAATTCATTGACTCCCGTTTGGTACATACATGGATCTGCTGGAAAGGAGGATTGCCATCCTTATACTAAGGTGGCTTTCCCGTACTGATAGTGAGTTGCATATAGCCTCTTAATCTCTTTCTCTTACTTCAACCACGATTTCTCTTGCGTTCTCCACGAATGGTAAGATGACTGTATATGCGACTGCACCTCAACCCGACCCCCGCTCCGACATGTCGTGCGAACCGGCCAAGCCATCCGCCACATGTGGGTCAGGATCCTTCGTAGCTAGCCGAGTCGGGGAATTTTTCGGTTGTGTTGCGCGGCGGCTGCTTAGCGGCCTTTCCCTCACCCGAGGCTAACCTAACGACGAGTCATCGACATCATCACGATCAATCGAAGTGGGGGTATTGCTTCATTGAGGCAAAATGAACATCATCACCTGACTCGACAGTGGTCGGAGTATCGCGGATGGAATGACTCGAAGAGTGCAGACGTGATTAGGGCTGCGCTGGGAAATAAGGCTGCTGAGCCTCGGCGATAACCCCAGCCGAGCCTGAGAGGAGACCTCATATCAGGAGGGCTGACATATTATCTCGAAACTCCACTCAGTTGACGTGTGGATAGTACAGAGGCACAGTAGGTTATAAAAAAATCGACGTGCAGCAATCCGTAGGAAGGCAGTTGAAGCAAGTATGCTGACGTCGATGGACAATTGAAAGAATTTCCTCCACGGGTAATGGAAGCAAACGTCCTGATGTGAGCCTACTTTTAAGGTATGACTACTTCAGTCCCAGACGACGAAGATATCCGGATGTAAGCGCGAGCATTGGATTTTGAGAAATGCATCTGAGATACAAAGTTTCACTGTGGAGAGGTGATTAAAGCGCTGATCAGCGCGAAAACAACAACAGCATCGAAAGCACGAAACATTGTTTGGACAGTTGCTTTATATCTGCCAAACTATATGAGGATCCTGAATGAATCAGAGGCAGATGAACCAGAAGAGACACGTGTATCTCGACTACAAGAGTGTGATGTTAATAAGACTCTTGATAAGGAACCACACTGCCCAGTCTAACCCTCGTTCGTGGAGACGTCAAAGGATCGGCAGAACTCTTCCATACCGTTCATGAGCGTCCTCTTGACCTCCTCCGCCTCCCTCAGTTTCTCTTTCAGCTCCGCGACCTGTCCCAGCGCCTCATCGCGCTGCTCCTTGAGAGCATCCTCGCGATCAACCATCTCCCCGACGAGCACCTCCACCTCACTCTTCCTGCAGTACCTGGTACCAATGTCCTGGGCGCGGACGATCATGTTGCCGGCCTCGAGCTCCTCCAGTACGCGGAGGACGATCTGGCAGACCTCGCTGGTCAATTCGTCAATGCTGATACTTTGCTGCAATCCACCCATTGTCTGGGCGACAGCCTGCTGGACGGCATCCGTGGTCGCGCTTGTGCTGGCGCTGGCGGCGGTGTCGCTGTTCGACGGCCGAGCCTCATCGACTTCGACGGAATCCTCAACGGCGTTGACGCCATTGTTGTTGCCAGGAGCTGCCTCAGTGATGTTGTCATTGGCGGGATGCTGGACGGGAGCACCGCTGCTCTCGTGGATGGAGTTGGAACCGCTGGGGTGAGATGGATGAACCGAAGTGGACGGACTCTCGTTGTCGATGGTCATGCGATCGGCTTCAACAGTGACGTCGTTCGGTTCCTCGAAGAGCTCATCAATCTCGGAGTCGGCCAGGGCACGCTTGCTCATTTTTCGGACGCCGTGAGTGCGAATCCACTCACTCTGCCTGCGGGTAGTTGAAGTGCGCGCAGGAACATTCGTCGTGTCCAAAGTGCGGTCAAGAGCGGAGTCATGAGTAGGAACTCTCGTGGTTGGACCCTTCTGGGCCATTTTCTCAAGGACAGCTGCAGGGCCAGGAGCGCGGCGGCCAGATGCCGGGGCCTTCATCATCGCATTCTTGTTAGGGATGTGGTTGATGACGTAAGACTCTCGGAAAGCCGTGGTCGAGCCTGATGCTCCAGGTTTGGCCTTTTTGGCGGTGGCCTGCTCACTATTGCCCTTAGACGACATGTCGCGGCTAGGGCGGAAGACCTGCGTGGGAGTTGGATCTTCGAGGGGCGTGGCAGGTCCTGCGGCCTCGCCACCCAATGAAGGCCATCCTTTGTATCTCACACCCCCGGAGTCTGGGCCTTTAGCTGCATTCAGTGCGCTGCTGAGCTTCCTGACACCTGCAGAGGTCAGGCTCTGTGCCTTTTCCGAGACCGGATACTTCGTGAAAAAGTCAGCGCACACATTGCGGAGCTTCTCAACGTCGGTAATGCCGTGGATACGCGTGATCCCGTCCAGGGTGGTCAGAACTCCCTCTGCCATCCGGAGAGCCTGGTCTGCTTGGATATCCGCGCAATCGAAGATCTCGAAAAAAGGCTTGCCGAAGCGATTCTCCAAGTGGACGATCGCACGCCAGTTTGGCCACCAGTTCGCGTACGACCATTTCCTCCTATCGTGCTTGAGAAATGTTCCAAGCTCGTTCGAGCCCCTGTTGTCATGGTACATTCCTTTGCATGCCATCTCATACGATATGATCGTAGGCGCGACTTTGAATAGAACATCATGTCTCTTCCCTTTGTAGTAGATCTGGCCGATGCTTTTGAGGATCTCGAGAGGAGGGAGGGTCGGCTCGAAGATGCTTGCAGATCCGGTGGTGTAGAGATCTTCGGTGGCGTTGGTGTTCTCCAAGTCTGTACTGTAAACCTCATCTCCAGTGTTGGGTGCAACGAGATCTTCTTGGGTAGACGCTTCCTCCAAGCTGTTGATAGCCTCCCTGACGTCAGACTCGAGAATCGTTCTGAACTCATCACCATCCTTCTGGAGTCTCGTTTTGTAGTGCTGGGTAAGGTAGTAGCCTGCTTCATGTGCACGCTCGTAACGCTGGCCTGTCTTCTTGACGAGTTCCCCAAGAACCATCACAACATTCGGGGGCCACTCGATCGGATCATCTGAGTTGAAGCCGTGCTCGCACAAGAATGCGGCACTCTTGCGACGCGCCTTGAGGATGTTGCTTACAGCAGTGAGCAGTTGGGGCATGGCCTCCAGAGCTTTCAACAGATCTTGTGCCTGGATAACGGGAGTATTGACGTCACTTTGCTGAATACGTGTGGCGACCATGGATTTCATGATACTTTGGGTTGCGAGCAGGCCTTTGTCGCCCGGGGCGATGACGGAAAGCAAGGACAAGTTCTTGGTGACGTCTTTGGGAAGTGGTCCATTGGGACGGTGCGCCTTTGGGATACACTTGCGAGAAGTCTTGTTCCAGCTGCACTTGATATGGTCTAAATACAGGACATGCATCTGTCAGGAATGAGTGGTTAGTAAAGTGCCATGGCGACATGCGAAAGAAATTTGGAGCACAGTACCTCGTCGGTTGAAGATCCGGACATGGACCCGGTCGGGTCCGAGTCAGCCATAACCGCAGCGTCGCTGTGGATAACGTGCGCAGTCGCTGCGGTGTTGGCGCTCTCTTCTGGATCAAGATGCGCTGCAATCGCGGTGAAGAGTGATGGTGACACCAGCAGGCTCTTGGTCAGCGATCAAGGCTGAGGTCGAGGCTGTGGGGTGAAGAAGGTTGGATGAAGAGCGAAGAGTGAGGCGGATATAGACGCGGGCGCGCAGTGACGCGACAGCGGCAGCTGACAAAACCAGGAAACGCGTCGAAAGGTGACTCACGCGCCTGGATGGGCAGCGCAATCCTACATCTCGATGCATACCCGCATCTACCTGGGCGCGCATAGGCTTGGGTGGGCAGAAATGGTTAATTTATAAGGGTACCCAGCGGTTCTAACTGCCAGAAGATGCCACTCGCATGTAAACATGTGCTGCGTAGTACCTCTGGGCTAGTGGCATTAGTTAGGATCATGAGGCTTAGGACTCTGGAGACGACGGATGTTCGAATCCCACCCTGGTCCTTGATACTTAACTTTTTGACTTTTTGCAACCCGCGAATCCAGAAACGACTTCCGGTGATCTCCCAGCCAGTCATCTGTAGGTATTGGTAGATTTTTTGGAAGGCCAATTCGTCAATTCAGTGGCAGGTGCGGTACGGATCGAGAAGAGTCACACGGGAGGCACATGATTGCATCAGAAATGTACAGAACCTACCCAGCATTGTTTTCTTTTTGGACCTTGCACATTGATTGCTACTTCATGAACACACCTCACTCAGAGTTGCTCGGAAATATTGGCGGCGAGTCCACCCCAGATGCCATTTTCCTTGTCCAGCTTCCTCGCCCTCTCCTCCACGCTGATCCCACCCACAATCATGACGGCTCATCCGGCCATGTTCTCAGCCACCTTGAGTCTGCGCTTCAGCGCTTCTGCCTCGGCGGCAGCATCAGCATGCTGCCTCTCCATGCCCGACCGGTTTTCACCGTGCGACGCCGCATCGGCGGCCTGCAGGACCTTGTGGAAGTTCTGCATTGTTCAGGTTGAATGCAAACTGTGTGTACAATACATTGCAAAAGCATAAATGTGCCTGTGTCAATCTCCTTCAAACCAAAGCTCACGCGCCGCCACCAGCAGCAAAGCCATTCCACCCACTTCACTCACTCCGTGCGCTCCATCCTCGCTTCCTCCTCCTCTTCCGCAGCCTCGAACCTCGTGTGCAGGTCAGCGCCCCATACCATCAACGCGGCGCGACGTATGCCCAGCATCCTGAGGCCTCTGTTCGTACGATGGATGACTTGCAAGATACGCTCAAGATCGGCTTCCACAAGCGGGTTGATCCTCCAATCATCCAGGTCCTCCTCACTGTATTGTCCGCTGTGCTCCATGCGCGCGGCAAACTGAACGGACAAGGACTGTATGCGCCAAAGATTGAGCACCTCATACTCGTTCTGATCGACTGCAGCCTCAAAGCCGGCACGATCATCATCACACCTGGCTTGGGCCGCCATGTAGGCCGCCATCTCGGCATGGAGCTCAGGGTAGCGAGTGGCCATGTCATCTTCGGGGACAACGGTGTTGTTGCTGGTCTTGAGTTGTAGTCAATGGAGCGCTTCATAAGCAAAGATCGACGACATACCTCAGCGTTGGGAGCGGAAGACTCTTCCATGCCGGATCCATCACTAGCAGCAGCGCTGGCCTTGAGTGGTAGTAAATGCGGTTCTTAACTGGGGATGCGAGTGATGGCGTACCTCAGGGCCAGGATCAGCCGACTGTTCCTCATCGATGCGATCGTGGGTGATGCCGTTGGTCTGGACTTGTGGTAAGCATGTGTCTTGCCAGGCACGAGAGCGAGCCCAGGCTGACCCTGGTTTCCTGACGCGACGCGTCGGGGTTGGCATGCTCCATCTCCTCGTCAAGCTCGGAAGCTTCGGTGTTCTGGCCGTTGGACGTCATTCTGGAGCTTCGTATGCCTCGGTGATAATGACTGCGGGCAGAGCGATATGCGATCAAAGACCGCGGGGTGTGTGTTGGAAGATCTGCGCGAGGAAACTCGGCGAAGGTTTGCGCGGACGGTACATAAACAAGCAACGCGCTTTCCTTTTACGGAACAGCCACAAACAAGGAAGCCACTAACAGGCACAGGTGAGGCGAGGAAGGAGCGAACCGGGTAGCAGCCACCAGGGAAGTAAAGATGACTCTTTCGCTAGGCTCCATTATGCATCGCGCGTCGTCCCGCAGCCAGGTCTCGAAATAATGTGAGACGACTGCTACGATCGAAACATTGGGCCCTCTAGCCATCACCTCACCACTATCAGCCCCAGATACCTCAAATCCGTCATATCCTCCAGCCTGCATCCCCACGGCTTCTCTCTCATCTGTAACTACTACAAGTTGGAGACGCCCGCCCAGCCCTCTTCCTCGACCTCTCTTCTTCCCTCTCCTCAACACTCCGCACCAAGAGCGCCAAGTCCTCCTCCGTCGGCATACCTTCCCGGAACTGATCCGCCGTCGGCTCCCACTTCCACCCCTCCCTCTCTCCCTCCGGCAGCACGCTCAACAACATCTCCTCCCTCTGCCTCAACACCACGCTCCGTTCTTGATACTCCCTCATCATGTCCTCAATCTCAGCCTTGTCGTTGCCGAACTGGGGACGCATGTTCCTCATCTCAATCTCACGCAGCATCGCCGCAAGATTCTCCCTCTGCGGCCCGCACTCCGCGTCGACGAGCGTGCGGAACTGCGCCGGCGGCAGGCCGCGCGCGCGGTACGCGGCCCACGCCTGGCGCAGGAGCGCGGCGTACAGGATCTCGGGGTCTTTGACGTGACGCAGGTTGCAGAGCAGGGTGAGGATGTTGGAGATGTCGCCGACGTCTTCTTCGTCTTCGGGTCGAGATGCGTATGGGGGTGTGCGAGCGGCTGGCGCAGATACGACGCGCGGGTGGAAATGAGTGCCGGCGGCCGGGGCGGTTGGGGGCGGTGGCACGGTGGGAGACCCGATGGTGCAGATTTGCAGGCGGGTGTCGAGATCGTCGAGCTGGTGAGGCTAATTAGTAAGGTTAAGTGAGGGCAGGCGGTGGGGAGTGAGAATACCTGGGATGGGTCCATTGTGTAGTGATGTGGAGTGAAGCAGGGATCTGGGAGGTAGTTGATCCGGGTTGGGCTGTGAGACGGAGGACAAGTTTTTTTGTAAGCGACAGTTGTGTCACTGAGCCTAAGGAATTGTTTCGCATCTTCAGGAGCCCGAAGAGGTCCACTGGAGTTGGAATCAGCGCAATGGCAGGTTCATGACGAAGCCATTTTGACCATCGAGAAAGTTGGGTATCCCACGGTGCCCTTGAATTCAACTCTCACTATCACTGTAGCGGTGTTTGCTGCAACAAGATATTATCCATATTCCTGCTTATCGAGCGATACGAATCTTTGAAAAGCCGTAGATGTAGATGACGCAACATTGGTGTCCGCCACGGAAGTTCACTGAGAAGAAGATATTTCCGAATATTTGCTCAGATATCACGAAGACATGTTCAAGCGGATAAGCAATCTATTTGTGAAGAGCACGCCATCTTACCTTTAATGGCTACTCTATCGAGAAAGAATATGGATCATGAGCCTTTCTGTTGTTTCTACAGGCTGAAATTCCCACGTAACTTCGTGGGTAAAGAAATTCGAACCATCCAACTTTTCGCCAGCCTACACCAACCCGTTGCACCCACTACCTGTTTCCAAGCACCGGTTCTTCCTGAACTTTATACACCATACTTCTCAAACTTCATCCTCAGCTCCTCATTCTCCCGCCTCAACACGGCATTGATCATCCTCAACTCTTCATCACCCTTCACAACCTTCACCTTCTCCACATCCACATCACACGCCTGATACCGCGTCTCCGCCTCCTCGTACATCTTCTGCGCAACCTTCATGCCCACCCTACACTGAGCGGCCTCCCTCTCAACCTTCTGCACATACATCTCCACCTTCGCCAGCCTCTTGTGGTCCTTCATGACGGCCCGCAAGCCCTTGCCGTAGGCTCTCCAACTGGCCGCATCCTTCTCGCTCGCGGCGCGCGCGCTCTCCGAGAGGTCGAGATCGAGCTTGATCGTTTCCATCTGCGTGGACATGTGTGCCTTGGCGGCACGTTCTTCTGCCAGCTGCTCTGCCTGCGCCTTGACCTGCGCCCGGAGGGAGGCGAGCTCGTCGTCGAGGTTTGTGGCGGGCTGTTCTTCATTCTGGTTCTCTACACCATCGACCTTGCTGGTCGTCTCGATAGGTCTGGCCACAGGAGAGGGAATGGTGGGTTCCGTCTCGTTGGCATTGGAAACGGGAGTGTCTGTGTCTGTGACGCTGGTGGTGGCAGGGACGGGAACATCGGGTTTCGTGCTGACGTTGCTGTCGCCATCGAACTTGGTTTTATCGGACTGCATCGCTTCCGCCGGATCCGAGACAGTCGAAGATGATTGCGGCGAGCGGCTCTGGCGAGATTTGATGGCTTTCTTGGGAAGAGGGATACTGTTCGCACTGGTTAGCTTGATCTTCTTGCGTGCCCCTTCGTCCTCGGAGTTGTCGTCCTCGAGCAGACGCTTCGCGCGCTGGGGGTGGAGCTGGGAAGACTCCTCGACGACAGTGGCTGCGGTCTCGGCGTTGACAGTCTGGGGCGGCTTGGAGACGGCATGTTCTTCATGCTTCGGCTGCGGCTTGGATGCGGTGGGTTGCTCCTTCTTGCGCGGCTGCTCGCGAGGGCTCGAGGACGGCTTCGAGCTACGAGGCTCACGCGGCTTCGTGGCAGCCGTGACCGATGCCGTGGCCGATGCCTTGGCCCGCTTGACCGGACGGCCTCCGTAGTCTTCCTCATTTTCCTTCTCACTCTCCGTGATTGCCCTTGTTGTGTCCAACTTCCGTTTCTTAGCTGGCGATGTGGGGTCAGCGGGAGCGGACGAGGCATCGGTGTCTCCAAAATGACGAGTTGTGGCTTTCTCTAGCTGATGGTCCTTGGTAGTCTTTCCAGTAAGTGTGTTAGCAGTGTTGGAGGTGACGATCGGCTTCGGCTTGGGTGCGACACGCTGTTCGTGCTTCGCCGATGGCTCACGAGAACCCGGACCAGGCTTCGTGTTGCGAGGCTCATACGGCCTCGTGGATTCGACTTTCCTCATCTCGCTGCTCTTCGTCGCTCGATCATAGCCGCGATCGACGCCGCGGTGGCGGACATCGTCTGCCTGTCCCGCAGGCGCAGCGCCACAAAGCCGGACCACTTCGCCGCCGCGATGCTGCATCTCGCCCTCGACACGGTGCAGTTTCAGGTCGTCGTCACCGTATTCCGTCTCCTCATCTACCCTCTTCCTCTTCCTATCATTGTCCTTCACAGCGGTGGTGCGCTGACCACTCTCATCCTCTCCGTCACCCCTCGTCTTCCTACTCCTCTCTGCTACGTCCCTCTTCTCCATCAGCTCTGCTGCTTTATTCAAATGCTCCGGCGTCGCCTTGCTGCTCAGCCTTCCCTCCTTGCGCTGCTCGTCCTTGACCATCTTCTCGACGAGTCCGAGGGCGGCATCCCTCTGCTTCTCGCCCGCGCCCGCGGCGCGCGCCAGGCCGGCGATTGCGGTCAGCATGCGCGGCGGCCATGTGCGCGGGATGGGGCCGAAGTGGCAGTCGGCGGGGCGCCAGGCGGCGGAGTCGGCGCCCCAGAGCTCGGTGAGGGTGGAGATGGCCTGGTGGGATGTGTCTTTTGCGTTAGCGGGTGATGCGGAAATGCTGGGGGCGGGGTGAAGACTTGCCTGTTCGGAGCTCATGCCTGGTGGCGGGCTGGACTGGCGCTCGCGGTCGCGCGTGCGCGTGGGACGGTAGTGCTCGTGTCTGCGGTGGCTGTGGTAGTACGGCATGGTGAATGGTCGCGGTCGCGGGTCGTAGGTTTTGGTGGTTCTGATTGGGATCGTTCGTAGAAGCGAACGCTGTATATATGATTTGCTTCAATCTGTGCTGCGGTAGCGGAGCGGTTTGTGTTGGTGTGCAGGCAAATCGCGGTGTGAATGGAGGAAGAAGTAAAGTGGTAGTCTCAGAGGGGCCGGCAAAATCAAGTCCTGATAAGCGAAAAGCGCTTTCACTTGCATTGACGAAGAACAATAGAAGACGATGGAACAATAGCATAGAATAGAATTTGTCCTCCAGTCATCGGATTATGGCAATCACTGATTGTTTCAGGAAAACAACACAGGACCAGACAGCCACTCAGTTGCGGGCGCGCGCTCAGAAAATGACCAACTAGTCAAGTATCCCCGACCCAAGCACTCTATCCCGCAGCAGCACTGTCTACTTTAAAGCTCTTCTACGCTCCTATGATCGGTTAAACTACTCTTAAAGCTTCGGGGGGTTGATTGCTTTCCAGTACCAATTGTACTCATCTCACATGTCGTGAAGTGTTTGCTACCGGACCGCTTGACGCTGACGCAGTCTTGTATCCAAGCTCCACCTCTAGTCCTGCAGGCCACTTCTGGATCTTTTCTTTGGCATTTCAGAAGCCCGGAGCAGCCTCGTCGTCCGACTCAGGCTCCCGCTTCATCATGAAATCCCTGAGACTGGGCGTCGGCGTGTACGTAGCAGTTGACGGGCGCAGCTGATTGAACGCGTACCTCACCTTCTTTCTAGCTGGTTCTTCGTCCTCCTGGTCATCCCCATTGTCGTCGTACTCAGACAACGGATCGTCCGCTTCCTGGATGAGATTTTCCAGCTCGTCATCCTCCAGTTCACCATTTTCCGATTCACCAATCTGCATCCCATCCTCCTCCGTTATCTCCTCGCCTTCCTGGTCGATGTTGGTGTCGTGATCAAGTAACGGACCATCCGCTTCCTTGATGAGATTCTCCAGCTCATCGTCCTCCATTTCACCATCATCCAACGTGTCATCCCCCATCTTGACAGCCATCATCGCATCATCTTGCTCCTCCGTGTGGCCATCGCTCTCCGTGTCATCGTCGTTGTCCGTGTAATCATCGCCCTCTTCGTCATCGTCATCCTCCATGTCGTCTCCCTCGTCACTACCAACATCCTCGTCTTCCACGAAGTCCTCCTCATCAGCCTCACTGTGCGACCAAAGAACCCTCTCAAACGTCAACCCCATAGAAACCTTCGGCCTCCTCCACATCCCCAGCAGAGGCGACGAAGACGACCCCTCTTCGCCATCATCATCACAATCCTCATCCTCATCCTCATCCTCATCCTCATCCTCATCACCCTCAACACCCCCCTCAAGGCCCCCCACAACCGGCCTCTCAAACGCACACCCCCCAAACCCCCTCACCCGCTCCAACCTCCTCGCCGCCGCAGCCGCAGCCGCAGCCGCAGCCGCAGTCGCCACGCCTCCCGCATCAAACATGTTGAGCATCGCCCCCACCTCCTCCATGCGCACCGTGCGCGCCGCCACGCGCGCGTACTCGCGCTCGCCCCACTGCGCGCGGTGCCGCCGCCGCACCGCCTCCCGGTGGGCTTCGGCGCGCACGGCGACGGCCCAGCGGGAGAGGCTGAGGGCGCGGAGCTGGTCGAGGGAAGGCGGACGGGACGGGTCGGTGGTTGGGAGGAAAGCGAGGACGGCGGCGGTAAAGGTTTGGTGGGCGGTGGTGGTGGCGGGGTTGACGGTGGTGGTGGTGGTGGTGAAGGTTGTGTTGGCGGGGAGGTGGGAGGATTGGGGGAAGAGGGTGGGGGTGTCGTTGTCGTTGTTGTTGTTGTCGTTGTCGTTGTCATTGTCGGAGGAGGAGGAGGAGGAGTAGATGGAGTTGGAGTCGAGGTCGTCATCGTCGTCGTTGGTTTCGTCGCTGATGTCGCTGCCATCGCTGTCTTCTTGTTCTTTACTTGCATCGTCAGCGTTGACATGACCGGCGGCGCCGGGTGTGCATGACTGACCATTACCGCTCTCAGGACCACCACTGTCCTCTTCGCTGTCATGGTCATCGCCGCGGCTGCCGTCCAACTCGTCCTCCTTGATCATGTTGGCCGCCTTCATATGCGTCTCTAGATCCTCGCGAATGAACGCCATCTGCTCTAGCGGGTCCAGCCCTTCCGGCATGTCCAAGAAGTCCGGATACATGTTCGCGCAGCCAGCGCGAGTGGCCGGACTGAGCGGGTCGACGCGCTTGTCGACGTCGGAGTCTTGAAAATCGGAGTCGCTGGAGCTGTCACTATCTGTGGTCAGGCTGCCGGTGGTGAGACGGCGGGCAGATGCGACAGCGGGATTGACAAGTGCTATCCGGTAGCTGGCATCTGAGTCGGAGGTTTGGACGCCATCATCATCCGAGGACAAGGTAGAGCTGGAAGCGGGTGAAGAAGTGTCGCTGCTCGTTTCTTGGTCGCACGGGCTTGAAGACTTGCTTGCGGTGCGCGGCGCGCGGCCGGGTCGCATGCCATGAACAGAGCGGTTTCTGGGTGTGACAGGCATTTCTGTGTCGTCCAGGGTGGTTGAGTCTGTGTCCGACATGGCTGTGCTGTCTGTAAGCTCTGCGTTGTTTGCGGGTGGAAGTCAAAGCGGGCGGATGTTGAAGAAAGGTTGAGGAGAGCGAGAGGTTTCTGCGCATGTAAACCAGTGCCCGCCTGTCACTGTCCGCAAGTGCAGGCTCTAACAGATGGCAGCTGACTTAACACGCCCCGAAAGACTCGTGACAAGGCGCGTAACATGACGACATCACTTTTGCCCATACAACACAATACGTATTGTCTGAATCTGGAGCTGACAGCAGATCTTCAATGTTGTCGCACGGTCAGAAAAATTGATACACTCGCCGTGGAAGTCTCTATTTGGACAATAGCCTATTCAGAGAGGCCCCACTATAGGCCATCGATGGCATGAAGCCGGATAACTGTGTCATTCGAAACATTGTCGAATCCACCAGTGAAAGCCAATATCAACATCTGATATCCGGACCGCCAACTGCCTCCGCCAAGAGTGTGTACCAAGCTTATTCTCCAACTCAGCGGCCTTAGCAACAGCCTGGTCGTACTCAAAGCAAGGTCGTTAGCGAGCTAGTCCTTCATGTGAAGATCCTGGTCTCTCTGAACGGTGAGTGTCTTGATGTACTCATCCTTCTCAGCCAGCTTCTTCTTCAACCCAATATTCTCCTTCTCGAGGCGCTTCTTCTCCATCTCAGCAGTATCCCAGTACATTTCGAACATGTCGCGGTCGGAAGAGATGACGGAGATGTTGGCATCCATGTCGAACCACTTCATCTCCGCCTCGTCGACACGCCGGCTCTTCTCCTCGAGCTGCTTGTTCTTCTCTTGAATCTCCTTGTCTTTCTTCTCAAGCGTCGCCTCCATAATCTTAAGCTTCGCCTCCATCACCTTGAGCTTCGTCTCCGTCTCCTTGACCTTCACATCCGTCTCCGTCTTCAGCTTCTCAATTGTTGCACGCAATCCCGCAACATCCTCCTCATGCTGCCTGCGTTCCTCCTTAAGCTTCCCCTCAACAACAGCAACGCGAGCGACCTGCTCAGCCAAAGCCGCACCACCAGCCGAACGCGTCGGAACAGCCTCATCCTGAGCAAACGCCGCCTCACGAGCCGCATCACCCTGACGGTGATCACCGCCGCCGTGCTGGCCGCGTCCATGAGGCTCGGTGCGGCGCCTGGACTCGCGGGCCGACTGCTCCTCGCGGGCCCTGGTCTTCAACAGCTCTGTCGCCCTCGCAACGTGCTCGGGCGTCGGCGCCGTGTACGCCAAGGAGCCCATGGCGGCGGAGATGGCCTGCATGGCGCGGACGCGGCCGGCGGGCCCGGCCGTCTGCGCGAGCACGGCGAGCGCGCAGATGAGGCGCGGCGGCCACTGGCGCGGGTTGTCGCCCAGCTGGCTGCCGTGGTACTTCCACATGCGCACGTCGGGCGTCCAGATGGCGGACAGGATGCCGATGGCCTGCTCGAATATCATTTCCTGCCGCGTTAGCATATAAGTGGCGCGGCGGTTGAGAGTTGGGAAAGTGAAAGAGCGGGGAGGGGGAGGGTTGGCAAGGTGCTGCGGGCACGCGCGCGTGCGCGCATCCCGTTGATGGGGGTGGCGGCGCGACGCGGTGCTGCTGCTGTTACGTACCTCGTCGGTGGACATGTACGGTCCCGGGGCATGGGAAGCGTTGGCGGGCATGGCGCCGGGCTTGCTCGGCGGGTAGTGCATGCAGGCTGCGCGGCGGGTGTTGTAGGTCTTTTTGAACGATCAGTTCAGAGCAGATTGGCCAAGTGTGACCGGGAGCGCCTTTAGAAGCGCTTAGATGATGGACGGTGAAGAGTGGAACGTGGTGGAAGAGGCGCAGAGACAGTAATATGGCTGTTGGCCGTCAAGATCACGCTAACCAAAACGGGTGGAACAGGAGGCGGGCGAACTTCCACTCTCAAGCATCAGGCCTTGTTTCCGGGAGCTGGCAGCTGATTTGTCTTTTTTCTTTCACCACACATATAGTTGCGCTCACCTGGCAACTCCGGCGACCCTCTATGCTGACTGATCTACCTTCATTCAATGCGCGATCATGTTGCAACCCGTGGGAATTCTCAAGGCTTGGTATCCTCCACAGCCAAACATGGACTCTTTGTAGCCCCCTTCGGATCAATTTCCAATCAGTCGAATGTGATGCTGGTACTGCAACAGAATCCAATATGACTTGATTGGACAGAATCGCTCAACTGTTCTATATCAAATATTGGAGCTGTGCATTCTCGATCTCAAGTCGAAAATACCAGATCCGTTGTCGCTTTTACTACTGCGAGCTGAAAATATAATTGCGAGTAAGTAAATACTCAAGGCGATGGATTTATACTTACTGTGCTGTCTCCGACTGTATTCTGAATGACTCAAAATAAATCGTGGGATATATGAAGAATGCAACCACGCAAATAGACAGCAAACAAGTTCCAGAAGCTCACGCCGAAAACGCCTTCTACGTTACGCAACGAGCTATCCAATGCCCACCAAGCCGTTATGGAAACCGATCCGCGTCACTAAAAGCCGAGCCAAGAGCGATATATACAACCATCAACCCAGCCGTTGCGACGGCGGCGGTCCCCGTATTCAATACGACGCGGTCTTGACCGAGCCCATTGAGGAAGCTCATAATTTGCAATAGAAAGATCCAGGTTGCGGCCAACATGACGCGGAAGCGTGAGCCATACCATAGTGCGGAAGAAGCGGGAGGTGTAAAGAAGTTCGTTGTGGGCATCGCGCAGGTTCCTTCTGCCCCGAGCCATTGCCACCCGCAACGATCCGCTTCCCGCGGTCGAACGGCCTCCTCATCACCTCCAGCAACGCCCAAACAACTTCATCCACCCCTCCCCTTTGCGACGCCCCCAACAGCCCCTTCATCAGCTCCACCCCCCTTCATTGGCGCCCCCACCCATCCGCCAACATCAGCCCCACCGTCTGCATCATCGGGCGCGCACAGACGCGGCGTCTCGAGTCCGAAAAACGAATTCACAAGGACTAAAAAACCGCAACCGATCGTACCCCAGCGGGCGGTCGCTCACGACGGCGCCGGCGCTGGCCCTCCCTCCTCCTCCTCAACGCCCGCGGGCGTCCACCGCTCCTGCGCCCACAGCAGTACAGCCTAGTTCTCCGCAGCCATTCCCGCACATGCCCAGATGCTTCTAACGTCGCCGCGCTGCGGCGAAAACTTATTGGCAGATGAGCCGGAAGTACATACTTTTCGCAAGGTCGAGCTGGCATATGGTAGTTTTCGATCATCTAAAGAGTATTTGTAAGCCTGGGCAGGCTTGGGATAAAACTTGGGAGTGTTGGCTGATGGCAACAACGGTAGTAGGTGTGGTGACTGAGGGATTCTAAAACGGTAATTTGTTGACGGCAAATGAATTTTTGGTCCTGTTCTTCAATCTTCCCTATTTTTCCTATCTTCTGAGGCAAGCACACATGCTCTCGTTCATGCCGTCATCGCATTGTTCTCTAATGCTTTCTCCTATCGCACATTTTATGTTCGATCATTTCACATGACACGCAGGCTTGTCCTGACATCGATTTTAGAGCATCTTGAGCCTGTGCCGTCAAAAACCGCAGTTGGTCTAGAGCTCATCCCGCTTGGCCTCATCTTTGGCTGTTGCAGACCGAGACCTGGAAGAAGCCTCCGCTCCCACATCGCCGGCAGGAACCTCGACCTACACGCACAGTCAGACACGTTGCCAGTCCCCACCAAGGACAAAATAGGAGACAAAGCAGCAAGACACCACACAACACAACTTACCTTGGAAATCTTGAACCCGCCAGGAACCATGGTCTGGAAGACGCCTTCGGGGTCGTACTTCTGCGCCATGGCGCGGATGCGCTCGATGTTGACGAGCGGGTAGCTCTCGAGCGGCTTCTGATCCGAGTAGGCGTAGGGCAGGTAAACGTACGGGTGGTCCTTGCCCTTGCTCTTCGAGAAGGCCTTCAGCTCGGTCATGAGCTCGCGCTCCGCATCCTCGAACATGGCATCCTTCTCGGCGCCCTTCCAGCCGCAGTAGCTCATGAAAACTTGGGGAATGACGTCAGTCGCAGTCGGCCTCGGTACGAAAAGAGAAGGTGGTGGGGGAGAAGACGGGGGGCGTCGTACGGATGTTGTTCTCGGAAGACTGGTCCAGGCCCAGCATGTTGCCGCCGCGCTCGACGCCGAGGTCGGCGAAGACAGCGGGAAGCGGCTGGAACATGGTTAGGGTGAGCCAGTCGCCGCCGTCCTTCTTCAGCTTCTTCACCATGGCGTCGAAGAGCTCGGCAGCTTTCTTCATGACTTGGGCGTCGTTTTGGAAAGTGATGGTCATGAAGGCGTCGCTCCAGGGGAGTCAGCAGCGGTGAGGTATAACTTGGGGGCGGTCGGACTTACCGGTAGCCGGCGGGTTGCTCAAGTTCGTCGATGAGGTCAGAGATGTTGGTGATCCTCATCGAGTCGGAAATATTGCCGGGAATGGAGAGGAAGTCCTGGAAGATGGCAGGCGGCGGCGAAGGGTCGATGGTCTTGGTGTACTCGTAGGCATTCGCTACAACCACTTGGCCAATGGACGACGCGTAGTTCAGAATGACGATGATGGATGCGTAGGGGTCATCGGCAACCTTGTTGGTAAAGGCCTCGAGATACTCCATCTGCTGGGGCGCCGTGTCGAAGGGGTACGCAACCACACCGCCCCAAATGTTGTCACTCTCAAACGTGGTGAGGTCGAAACGAGTGACGATGCCAAAATTGTTGGTGGAGCCCTTCATGGCTGGGAACAGGTCCGGATAGCTGTCCTTGTTGACATAGACAATCTCGCCGCTGCCCAGGACAAGCTATTTCGTGCTTAGAACTCAACGGACGCAGCAGTGCTGGCATTCAAAACTCACCTCGTACTGTGCAACATTATCACAAGCCATACCCTTGCGGGCTGAGAAGAACGAGTTGCCGCCACCAAGCAAGAACCCGCCAACACCGACAGAGCTGGCGCGACCGCCAACAATGTGAAGATTATCCTTCAAAAGGGTAGAAAAGACAGAGCCCCACCTTGAACCAGCACCAACACCGGCAGTGCCGTTTTTGAAGTTGGTTGTCGTGTTCATGAGGCCCAGGTCAATCGTCACACCGTTCTCAATGTTGTTGGCGCCGGGCCAAACAGTGTGGCCGCCGCTGCGGATGGCGAACTGGCATGTCTGGGTCGTGTTGGCCTGCTTCAAGGCGACGACGGCCTTGGAGACGTCGGCAGCGTTTCGCGGCTGGATCAGGCACCATGGGCGCAGCTGGGCAGCAACAGACCAGTACGAGTCTATCCTCTCTTCGTACGGTTCATCGCCCGGATACTGGATGCTTAGGCCGGCGTCTTGCAGAGCACCGCACTGGATGCTACAGGTCAGCTTGCTTGCGCGGGCGCAGACGTCACTTGTAGGTGCTTACGTACGCAATGTGATGCGCCGGGACCGCTAGCCGATGCCGCGACAGCGCTTGATGTTTCAGACTCGGCAGCGAGAGCCGAGAGCGAAAAGAGGGTCGCGGCCGCTTGGAGTCGCATTGTGGCCGTCTCCTGCACACGAAACGAGAAAAAGAAAGTCGGGCTCACCAACAACACGATCAGCTAGCGGCGGAGGAACGGAAGATGGGGGTCCTGGTTGGGGGCTGGCGAGCAGGACACTCTTTTGATCTGGCTCTCACTTTACTTACCCCACCGCCACATGATGGCCGGACGGGTGAGAACGACGACCCAGCCGGCCGTTCGGTGATGAAACGGCGATCGCCAACCAAATCAGCCATCGCCTAGTGCGGGGCCGACTGCTGTGCCACGCGCGGTTTTCCCTGAAGCGAACTGGCTTGTCTGCCTTTGGGATAGTGATGTGTACATGACTGCGTTATGCCATTGCATTGCGGGGACGTCGGCCTTGGCGGCTACGACACCCAGTCTTCAGCGTAACAACCAGATACCTCGGAGAAAGCCTTTGGAAAAAGAAATGTGTTCACGTACCTAGGTACCCTCGCCGCAGGATCGTCCGGAAGCCCGCTTCCACTTCCGCGAAGCCGTCGAGGTCCAGTGTTTTCCCTGCCTCACCAATCCCAAAGCGTCGCGAGGAACAAGCGGTGGAGAGGAGTGGCAAGGTGCGTCCCGAATCCCGGGACGCCTAGCATCCTTGAATGGGTCGTGCTTCGGAAAGATGGGCCATCCTCGGTTCCTGCATCAGCTGCGTTGCCTATTCTTGGAGTTCTTACAGAAGCCAGGATCTACAGCGACAGTTGATTGCTGACCTTATCGTCTTGGCCAGAGGCAGCGTCGACAGAATCTGCATGAACCGATGGGGTCTGCATTGATCTTGGCGGTTCCGGTGGACAGTTTGAGCTTAAACACATCACTGGGTGTGGATCTCGCTATTACATAACAGGCAGCTCAGGGGATCTGCTCGGCTATGCTTCTCCAGTCAAGGCTCGCCTCAGCAGATCCAAAAGAACGTGGTGCCTGCGGGTCGGAGGAGGCAGGAGGTCCGATCACGATCCTTCAGTGCTCCTTTGCACAGGGTGGTTCCCTCGACATTTTGCCTTCTTCAAACCAACTTTGAAGGCAACGAGTGGGAATCCTTCATCCCTACCTATAGCAACGGAAAGATCGGCGTCGGTCTTATCTGGTGTCTAACGCACGCTTCTCGGCCCCAAAATCTTGAGCCTGCATCCTGCAGGAAGCCCAGACCGGGCCGCGCCGCACAAAACACACGCACGTTTGCCTCGTGCCAATCGGTGCATGGCCTGTTCCTTGTATGGACTGGTAGCAACCTCGCTTACACCGGCTGCAACCGTCTATTCCTTCTGGCTCTTGCTTTCTTGGCAGACTGCAGGAGACAAAGGTCAACGACGGTATACACGCGTCCCGACTACGAAGGCGATCCCTTTGGTGACAATGAGACGCGATGGACCCCACGACAATGATTTGTACTAGGTTCCTCGGACGATTCCCTGGTACGCGGGAATGAAGAACGACAGCCATACGGTCGGCGATGAAATTACGTCGAGGGTGGCCTATGTGGACCGGGTAAGGCGGATCACATTCCAGACCTGTTTCCACCGAGACGTCCAACAGGAGTTCGCCGTAGCCTACCTAACTTTCCCTGGGAGTACAAGGCTGTGTTATAAGCATTGAGCGGTGACCTGCGCTCGTATTGCTCCCAATGTGGACCGGTGCCGATGAAGATCATACCAGGGAGTGAAACCCATGCCATGTGCGGAGAGCAGGCAACCGCCCGTCCGGAAACGCCTGGTTAGTTCCTTGAATCATGCTCATCTGCCACCGCGATACTTGTCAGGTCGCTTCCCGTCGCCGGCTGGTCAGCGCCACTCCTCTTCGACTTCACCCAGCCAGGCGCTGGAGGGCGTGAGCCGCAGTCATGGCCGCCACGTACATCACGACACACCTCACCACAACGAGCAACTCGGTCGCGACCGCCACCTCGACGATTATCGCAGCCTTGGCGCCACCCGCGGGCTATAACGTCGATTTCGACAATCCCGGCCGAAAAGGCGATACCACAGGCTACTGGGTATTTACCTTTGGCGTCGTATTTGCTCTTCTGTTCTTGATGATGCGGCTATACACCAAAATAGTTGTTGCACGATCCTTTGTCGTTGATGATGGTGCGTTGCATGCTCGTGATTGCCGTGGCTTTTTCGCTGATCGTGTTCGTAGTTTTCATTGTTGCTTCGTTTGTCAGTAAATCAGCATCCTGCCATCTCGACTTACTCTAACGCCGACCAGGTTTCTGGACTGGCCTGTCAGGGGCTTCTAGTCTGTATGTGTTGCTCAAGTGCACTTGTCAGGCTGTCCAACTGACCATGCGCAGACATGTGGAAGAATGAGATCCAAGGTGTGCACGCCTGGGAGATCCCATTAGAACACTATAACCTCTACAACCTGGTCAGCCACTCCAAAGCTCCACATTGCAGTCATACACGTGCTGAACACAGCTCCAACAGCTCATCATGTGCGCCTCTGTCATCTACGCGCCAACTCAAGGCTTCGCCAAGCTCTCCCTCCTCCTCTTCTACCGGCGGCTGGCGCCGTTCGCCTGGTTCCGGGCGGCCATCTACGTCGTCATGTTCGTCGTCATCGCGTACACGTTGGGCATCATGTTCTCGCTCATCTTCCCGTGCAAGCCGATCGCGTCCAACTGGGACATCACGATCGAGGAGGGCGAGTGCATCAACAAAACAGGCATCTACATCGCCACCGCCGTCATCAACATCGCGACCGACATCGCGCTCCTCCTCCTCCCCGTCCCCGTGCTCGCGCGGCTGCAGATCCCGCGCCTCGAAAAGGCCGCCCTGATCGCCATGTTCGGCGTCGGATCGATGTACGTAGCACTTCTCATACTACCTTTTCACAAATCGAACCCCCCTTCCCCTCCCTGATTCCCGCCGGCTTGCTCTGACGAAAAAAAAAAAATCCAGGACGTGCGTCACCAGCGTGGTGCGGCTCGTCATCCTGATCCCGATGCTCACGGACCTCGACCAGACGTGGGCCGTGTCCGTCCCGTGCGTGTGGATCCTCGTCGAAGCCAACCTCGTCGTCATCTGCGGCTGCCTGCCCATCGTGCGCAAGTTCGCGCGGCACGTCGCGCCCAAACTGTTCTTCCACTCGCACGTCGCCGGCGCGTCTGGCCCGTCCGACGATCCGTCCGCGGCGTCGTCCGGCGGGACTAGTGGTAAGAAGAGGAAAAGCAAGGGCAGGAGCAGCAGGAGCAGGACGGCGGAGTTTACGTTCCAGACGATTGGGAGTAAGAGGAGTAGGCCGCTGGTGGGGGGCGCGAGGAAGGGGAGGAGAGGTGGTCGGGGTGGGTTGGGGGAGGATCATAGCAATATCGAGCTGAACACGACGTGGGTGGGCGACGACACGGTTGTTGGGGCGGGAGATGACAAGGCGGAGAGCTCGGTGGGGGATGATGATGGGAGGGGGGTGAGGAGGACGTGGAGCGATGGGGGGAGCGAGACGTGTATAGTGGAGACGAAGACGACGGTGGTGGAGTATGGAGATGCGAGCGAGAGTATGAAGGATGGATTCGCAAGGCCGAGGGGGGTATGATTGCGGACTATGGAACAAATTCGTGGTCGAGAATGATGCGCTATGCTCTAATGGAAAAAGAAATTCACTAAAAGGTTCTAGAAGGAAGTTTGTCTTTGGCTTTGCTGTTGCAGGACTTGTTGGCTTGGTGCTTTTCTCGATTTGGACTGGGTTAAGAAGTCGAGAGCGACAGCTGAAACCTTGAAGGGCGAGATGACGGTGTGTGAAAGGAAAGTGGGCGGTTATTGAGACAGATGGCTTAGAAGGAGCAACGGCGCGAGTTGTGACTCTGCAGGACAAAGCTCCCCCTGGCTACACAAGCGTGCGGAATCAACGGCGGGCTTGCAGGTGAGGAAAGATGGATCATGTGGCTTGTAGGGCATCGTACCAACTGCGCCTCTCCGTGGGAGCTTAGAAAAGCAAAGCCACAGTCGTTGCAGTTGTATGTGGCTGTGGCGGATCCAGAATAGATGGGTCCTCAGACTCGGCCCCACGGCTTCGGGGGCGGCCCGTCCCGCAACGAACCATCCACTCTCCGGGCTGACTGCAAACCCGCGGAACTGGATAACAGAAATTAATCTTGATAGGACTGGAGTCCTGAAATCGACGAGGTGGCATTGAAATAAACTACATGCAGGGGAGTCCAGCAGCTGCCAAAGTAGTGGATCCCATGCTTACTGTGGCGTACTTAGTGACACTTAAGCGTCGGAGATGGTGCCAAAGCCACGCTAGGCTAGCTTAGCGGTGCGACCGATGATCTTTGTATAGCAAGACAGCCCCTCGAACCTGGCAGCCGGGACGACGTTGAGCTTTGCCGTGGGGTCTGGACCGATAGGCTCCTGCTACAAGACGCAATTCAGCCCTTATGCCTGGCTGGTCATCAATCCCACAGCCGTGAACGGATGCTCTGCCCTCACCATCAGCAGCCACCAACCCGCACCTCTCTTCCAACGCCCGCTCTGCATGCGGCTCCTTGTCCGGCCATGTCGAACGTGCTCCTTCTAGAACTTGCTTGTGTTATTTTCCAGTCTGGCCAAAGTTTCGGTTTATCGATGCCCCACAGCTGGTCGACTGCGGGTCAACATCTGCTGAACAAGACACCTATGAACTCACGACCAATACAGACGTCGCTTCGCAGAAAGACCACGTACTGTTCCCCGGAATGACTATGACAGGAGAGAGCGGCCTCACTCCGCCTCGCAACACCTAAACACGTGGATTCGGGCATCCGAGCCAGTGTGGCGTCAGCTATGGGATCAGTTCTCGCTCAGCAGATGGGTGTTGTAAGTGATACAGCAAGGATCCCCGGGCGTCGACCAAAAAAGTCTTTATCTGTCTCTGACACATGCTCGTGGCCAGTCTTGCCGGTACGGTTGCTCGAGGCTTTGCAGAAGAATAGGCAGTATCTCCGGTTGAGACATGCTCTCAGGCGTCCGAGATGCTACCGTGGGGTCGCAGGAAGCTGAGCGCTGAGCCCGCCGAAGGAGCGGCCGGTGCATCACATCTGGGAAGGCGCAACACAGCCGCGACTGCCTTCTTGGCCCGCACAAAGCAGCGCTTCAAATTTGCGCGACCGGCCGAGTCCAACCCACTACCATCCCTAACAATCCTACACGTTCGCTGCCCGAGGCTCTCGCCGTGCCACTCCTTTACCTGCCATCATCCTCCGTTGCTCATTGAGGAGCATATATAAACCAGACAGTCCAGCGCTCCAAGTTCGGCATCAAACGCACACAGCTTCGCTCAGCACACTACACAGCACCCCATCCTTTCTTTGGTCAATATGGTCTCCTCCCGTGCTCTGGCTCTCGTAGCCCTCTTTTCATGCCTTACGTACGCCGTTCCTTACCCTTCTGATGGCAACGCTCCGCGTGCTCTCGCTGAGCATCTCAAACTTGACGAAACCCCCACAGACTCCGCCGACAGTCCTGCCATGCTCGTCCGCCGTACTACCGGCGGTGTCGTGACGGGCCCCGTCGCCGTCTTCAGCATCAACAACAAGGACGGCGTTGGCGCCGGCGCCGACTCCTACACCTTCTACCGCGGTGACGGATCTGCTGGCGCTGGCTGGCCGTCCAAGGACAAGTGGGTCTCGTTCGAGAACATGTGGAACACCAACAAGGACCAAATCCTGGCCAAGTCTTGCGGCTACAACGGATGGGGTGCAGATGACTCGTCTGCTGAGATCCAAGCCATTTACGACTCCATCCAGACTGTCGCCACCGAGACCAAGGTTGACCATCGCTTCATCTTGGCAATCATTGTCCAGGAGTCCAAGGGCTGCGTTCGCGTTCCCACTACAGGGTCAGTCAAGTGTGCTGGGTCCTTTGATCAAGCCCACAAATGCTCACTAGAACAGCAACCCTGATCCCAACATCTTCAACCCCGGTCTGATGCAGTGCCACAGTGGCGATGGCACCTGCGCTAACAAGAACCCGTGCCCCAACTCTGCCGTAAGTTAACAAAGAGCATCCAGTTGAGCATGTACTCGGCACTGACACCCAATCCAGATTTTGCAGATGATCCGCGAAGGCTCTGCCGGCACGAACAAGGGAGATGGCCTTGCACAGGTCCTCAACAGTGAGCATACCCAAGAACATTCCTACCCCAGGGGATACGCACAACGCTGACACCAAGAGCAGAGGCCCAGAGCACTCTCCATGACAGCGGCGCCCGCACCTTCTACGCTGCAGCCAAGTATTATAACGGCGGCTCCATTCCCCCCAGCAACAACCTTGAGGACGGCTGCTGCACGCGTTGCTACGCTAGTGATGTGGCTAATCGTCTCACCGGCTGGACTTCCGCTGCCACCAAGTGCAACCTTTGAGAGACACGGCATGTTTGCATGGTCGCTACGTTCAACCGCATTTTGGGACATAGGATTGTTTCTAGGGTTGGCTTCTCCATCTTGTCGAAATCTGCGAGTTGTACACCACTTGTCGGTTTGAACCTCTCTCGTTTTGTTCTAGTCTGTCTTGTTGGTATCTTATTCGTCGATATGATATCCTCTCGCATAGCAATTGCGATTTCTCATTTGCCATACTGTTTACTCTTCTTCTTCAACAGCGTTTGCTTGCTTGGAACCGGTGATACGTGCTTGTACATCATTACTCAAGTAGTTTGGAGTTGGGCAAACTACAGGGTACAATGTTTACGTTCGTTAATGAAGCATTCAAAGCCGGCTCTTTCTTCATTATCTCAAGCCTACAAGTCTTGCGTCCCGCAACCGCGCGAGCAGCGTCTGCATCCCAAAACGTAAGCGCGGCGCGTGAGATTTAGTTTACCCCGGCCCCCGAATGCAAGAATAAGATATGAGCTCAATTTTAAGAATCAAGACATATACCGATCATGGCCGCAGCGATTACATTCGATAGTCATTTCCGAGGAACCGCTTTTCTTATTATTGCCAGCTTTCGTGGAACAGTTGAAGACCGCCTTATGAATTGGACATTGGTGGATGGTAGTTGGATATGTTGCGGTTGGTACCCGAGTGAGTGATTAATTTGAGAAAGATGCGGTTTCGTGGAGTGGCTCGCTGGAAGGCTCAAAAGAAGCTCAGTCGAGTGAGACTACCTGAAAGACTCGTTTTCGGGATAGGGAGGGTCGGTATGGCATACTTGCTTCATTGCGAATGTCACAATCTGATGCTCTGTTGTTCTATGGGTCATCCTTCTTACTGCATTCTTTAAATTACATCAACAAAATCTTGAGAAGCGTATGGATGCAGTGGTAGTCATACAGTATCCGCTCGTCGATAGATCAGAAGACTATGCCATGGACTTAACTTAGGTTGAGCTCGCATATATGCTTATTCTCTATACTTTGGCATAGATTCTACCCGGCAGAAGGTTGAGGGACACTGACACGGTCAGATGATCGGCAACGCAGCCAGCTCCTCCTCCGCCACCCACTGAGGGTGGATAAGCTCCCTGCGGCTATCAATCACTGAGCCAAGGCCCAGCTTTCAAGGCAACCTCTGACGAGGTTCCTCGGAGCACCTTATATCCTCCACGAGCTCAGCACCCTGGCGGTTTGGTTTCCTTCACCCTACTCCGGATCAAGATCTCATTCTGTCGTCTTTTTCCTCTTTTGAATTCTATCACTACCATGTCCTCCGACGCCATTCCTTTGAATTTTGCATGCGAGGCGGACGAGAAGGTACGTTCAATCATCCACCCTCTACTCTCCCTACTACCACCCGCACAACTCCCCCAACCACCTCCAAACTACAGCTAACGTTTCCACACAGGCCTACGCAACACTCGTGGAGGAATTCATGGACAACGCACGCCATCTGGCCGTCCCAGGCTTCTCTTTTGCCGAACCTGGGGCGCATGCTTTCCCCGTCGGCGTCTTCCCCGCCCTGCTCAAGCTCTTCGAGATATCTCCAAGCTACAAAGCCTTCAGGGCTGCAAAGCTGCTGGTAGCTGATGCTGGCATCGCTCGCGTCTCCCAAACTGGCGCCAAGGACAAAGTAGTCCACAGGGAGGATATCTTGCAGGCCATTGTACAAGTCATTACCGGCGACAAGCACTTCTTCGGCAAGCCTCAGGAGTCCGGCTGCGCCAAACCACACTCGTTGGTCAAGATCCACCAGCAGCTTGCTGTTACCAGCGCCAATATGACCAAGACCATGGAAGAGCCCGCGGTCACCGTGGAAATCACTAGTTCCCATGTGGACGACCTGGAGCTCGACCACTTGGCCGTCGCGGTCAAAGGCAGCCGCCTCGATGCAACTCTCGCGTCCGTCGTCGAGCGGGAGATCCGCCGCATGCGCGACGACTGCCGCGACAAGATCCGTCAGAGCAACGACGAGCGCGACCACGTCTTGTCGATACAGGCGATCACGGCGTCCATGGTGCACGATCTAGACAGAGAGAAGAAGGCATCAGACGACTTGATCTACGATTTACAGCAGGAGCGGAATGAGTGCTGGGACATCATCAAAGCACAGAGGAAGCTGCTTAGGGACACTGTCAAGCGGCTTGAAGACATGGCCAAGCAGCTCGGCGAGACGGAGAAGCACTGCGCTTGCTGGCGAGACGTTGCCAACAACATGAAGAGGCAGCGCGACGACTGGCAGGACAGAGCCGGCACCATGAAGGCGGAACGCGATGAGTGGCAAGAATACGCCAGCGACGTGAAGGCACAGCGCGACTGCCTGCGCACCAAGGCCAGCCTCCGCAGATCCGTGCAGGATTGCAACCACCGGCTCGATCTGTTTGCAAAAGAGGCTCGGGATCGAAGGAAGACGGCGAATGGAGCCAGCGTCCGCTTCGCGAGTGCCCCAGCTTCACTGACTGACGGTCACGTCTCCAACCATCGTGGCGCATTAACCTCACGGTCTTGGTAATCTTCAACGTGTATCAATGACTATAGTAGTTTTTTCTGCTCTCTTTCGGGCTTGTTCACCGAGCAGTTACTGGGAAGTAGATGTGGTGTTAAAGAGGTTCATAATTCCGGAAATCCATACGAGGCTCTTTTGCGGAGTGGGTAGCCGATTCAAAGAACTACTAGAAGCGAATGGCATCGAAAAACCATGCCATCTATAGCATATGTGATTTTGGCATGCTTTCTCGTCACAAACGATATTCCTCGTGATGCTCAAGCCAGGCTGAGAATTGCCTCTTGTGGCTAGGTCTTCCGTCGCCCTGGCACGGCCTCCACACCCTCCCCAGACCAAAAAAATTCAACCATCATAAACTTACAACATATCTAGAGGCGCTAGAAACTCCGGTATGGTTACCTGACAAAAACCCAACGACGGCACTCCAGCGTGTGAAGACGTAGTTGAACCCACGCGGGGGTTTGACCCGGCGATCCCGCCCGTTTCCATCACCTCAAAGGACTACCACTTCGTCGCGTCATACTCGCACATCCGGGAAACGTACTCGGGTCCTCCCCGCGCCCAGCCTTTGATGCCTCCGTCCAGAACAACGCTCTGCATCTCCGAGTCTCCCTGGCTCTTGATGTGGTCCGCGAACCAGCCAGCGGAGCGCGGCCCTCTGCCGCTGGACGAACCTGGTAGAGATGAGAAACCCCGACACTCTTCCGACAAAAAGTAACGTGCTCACTCACCACACCAGAAGATGACCTCGGCAATGCCGGCCGCTTTGAAGATGGCGTAGTGCGTCGGGATGGTGACGTACAAGCTGTGCGCCGGGAGGTTTATCGCGCCCTCTATCGTGCCGCCCTACGTCACGCAGATCAGACAGTTCGTTCAGCATCGGGAAACCGAGCTTCATCGAGGGAGGACAACCACACCTCAAAGTCTGTTCGGCGCACGTCGACCAACACGAAGTTTCGTCCAGACTTTTCGTTGTTTTTCATCCGGTCAAGCAGTGCTTCTTTCGTGATGCGTTTGAGGTCCGTCGTGCGGGGCTCTGGATACGCCGCGTGCCACGGCGCCTGATCTGCCGCGGTGCTGTCGGCTGCTTTTTGATCCTCTGATGCCATGATGGTGGTCTCGGTGATGCCGGGGAGATTTGGTTGGATGATCTATGCTGCAAAGCTCGGTAGGCAGAGGGGCGTGCCCAGGTTGGAGCTAGGATGAGGGGTAGCTCGCTGCTTACTCAGAAAAGGTGGGGTGTTGCTCACTGCCGCTCATTGGCTAAGGCAATTATTTGTAAATATAGGCAAAGCCGAGTAGACTGGCTTTACGATAGCAACTTGCCATTCGGAATTGGGCTATTCAACTGTAGTAACTGACTACTCATTAATGTAAGTTTATGGAATTTCAACTAGGTTTTACCGTGAGATAATTGCATCCCGCGGCGGCGACCCATGAGAAATCACACTACTCCGATACCCCTACAGTTCACTAGTAACGAACACCCAATGGCCTGCCAAACATGCTTCGTCAACTACCTCCTCTCTGTTTTACAGCTGGTTTGAGCCACCCCCAAGTGCTGCGGTGAGCGACATCAGTGAATCGACCCCAGCCACCTGAATTGAAGCACCAGGTGAGCGGTCACTTCATCACCTACACAAAAGCAGCCAACAAGAATAGCCCACATTGACACCAGCCCAGAACAATACCCAGACTAACTTAATATTCGCTGCATATTGCAGCTTATTCCTCCAGCTCCACCTCAATCCACATCAGAACCAGTCCGCCCCAAAGCCAATCCTAACCGACCCGACATCTCCTGCCGCCACCTGGGCCCGCCGTACGCCCCGACCCCCTTCAACAGGGTAGCCGAGCATCAGGCACCCCTTCCCGGACGCTGCCGAAAGAGAGTGAGGGTCTGAGCGGTGAAGAAAGAGACGAAGGATGCAGCAGTGGTGTCTGAGTGGTGTTTCTTTCGGAGGTGTTTAGTCTAGAAGACTGTTGCAGGCAATGCTTAATCAGAAGGGAAGCATTGTTATCGGTGACCAGGGATCGGTGACAGAACAACTCTATCAGAAACGTCAGACAAACGAAGCCAAACAGACATCGTGAAGGAAAGGAAAGTTTCATGTCATTTTGCCATATAAACCGTCTTGGCAGCTCGAGTGACCGAGCCAACACCGCTCGCAAGGCCCAGTGTATATCCCACCCACCAGTCTCACGCCTACTCCCACGCAAATGCAACTCCACCAAGGGCCAGAGGTATGTACACACCATGCCCGCAGAGCCCGAACGCCAGAAATGTCCATCCACGAATGCAAGCCCGCCCATCATTCCGCCTAGCCTTACCTCCAAGGACTACTCGCGCTCGCACCCCCCATGTCCACGCTCTCAAACTCCATCTCCCAATCATCCACTTCTTTGAACTTCCTAGCCGCCGCCTCGAGCTCCTTGCTCCGCTTCATGTCCCTCATCTCACTCGTCTCGACCACATCGTCATCGTCATCACTATGACCCTCACCGCCGCTCCCGACGTGCATCGACGCATCCGCCACATCCTGGTTGTTCTCCTTGTCGCTGGAGCGTCGGCCGTACGTCCGGCTCAGCCGTTTCCTGGACGCCGCGGCCTTCTTTCCCTTCGCCGTCGCGGCGGCGGCGGCGGCGGCGGCCCGGACGGTGCTGTCCGACGTCTTCGCGACGACGCCGCCGCCGTTCTTTCTTCCCCTGCCTCTGCCCGCCGCGACGGGACGCTGCAGCTCGTCTTCGCCGGCGCTCTCTTCCTCGTCGTCTTCTTCCTCGGCGTCCGAAGAACTCGGAATCTCGAACGTGCCCGCAGCCGCCGTCTTCGCGGAGCGTGTGGCGGGGAGCTTCTTGCGGCGACGGGGTAGGAGAGATTGCAACGTCGCTGTGGAGAGGGCCAAGGCCTTTTGTTTCCTCGTGTTTGTCTTCTTGCGCGACGTCGTCCGGGTGGAAACCGGTGTCTCGGTGGCGGTGTCTGACTCCGATTCGGATGACGAAAGCGGATCGGCGCCGTGGTCTTCTGCATCATAGTTGGAGACCTGCCGCGAAACACGGGTGCGTGATGTTGTAGGTTGAGCAACGGCACGACGAGGCCGCTTTGCTGGTGCCTCTTCTGACTCGGGTTCGGCAGGGAGGGACGAGAGGGGAGACGTGGAGCGAGGCGGTGCCATAGACTCCGCAATGGTCATGTTTGCCGCTGTTTCTTCACCTTCGGGCTGCGTGTCCGCAACTACATCAGGCAGATCAGAAGCCTCTGAGTACAGGTGCTCCGACGATGTCTCTTCTCCATCCGCAACCGCCTGATTATCCACGGCCGCCGGCGGCGAAGACCGCGGCACCTGCACCGCGGACCGTTCCGCCGTCTCATCCCGCTCCGCCAGCTTCCTCTTCCTCGAACTGCTCGTCCTCGGATCAGATCCAGGCAACGCCGCCGCCATCGAACCCCTCCTCCTCATATTCAACGGCGTGCTCTCATGGTCCGGCTCGAAGTCGCCCAAGCTGTAATCCAGCGTCGCCGCGCTGTCGTCCACGTCGCCATCGCCATCCGTGTTGTTGTCCTCCGCATCGCTCTGCTGCATCATCCGCAGCAAGCTGCCCTGCCTCCTCCTCTTCTTGAACTTCGTCAACGCAAGCACGCTCCTCTCCGCCGCCGGCGTCCCCTGCGCCTTCACCGCGCTACCGGGCACCGCATTGCTCCAGTGGCTGCTCGAGGCCCTCCGCACCCTGCTCGCCGTCCCAGGGGCTTCCCTCATCCTCCCTCTCCCCCCATCCTCTCGGTCTTCGTCTTCGTCTTCGTCCCTCCTCCCCACCACCTCACCAGCACCACCAGCACCACCACCCCCACCCATAACCTCCTCCCTCCTCCGCCTCAGCGCCTCCAACGCCCTCGCCTGCTCCGGATCCTTCGCCGCCGTCCGCTGCTGCTTCTTCACCACCCCGCCCCTCATCCGGCCCTTCGTCATCGTCATCGTCGTCGTCCTGACGTTCCTGTTCTTCTGCTGCTGCTGCTGCACCTGCCCCCGCCGCGGTCGCGCCGCCGCCGCCGCCGCCGCGACGTGCGCGCCCGCGACGTCGCCCTCGCCCAGCGCGCCCGTCATGACGTATTCTTCTTCTTCTTCCGCCGCGGCCGGAGCGTTGGCGCGGCGAAACAGGCGCGCGGGCCGGTTCGAGATGGCGAGGGTGTCGCTGTCGGCGCCGTTGTCGTCGTTGCCGTTGCTACTAGTTTCGGCATCGGTGATGCTGTCGTCGTCGTTGTCATTCGCGTCGGCGGCGCCGTCGACTTGCTGCGGCGGCGGCGCCGCCTTTTTGGTGGTGCGCGAGGAGGAGGCGGCGGCGGTCTTCGAGGCGGGCTTTGCGGCGGGCAATGGCATGGCGGTGGAGGCGCCTGCGCGGCTCGTGCGTGTTTTCGTCGTCGTCGGCGGTTTTGTCGATGCGGCGGTGGTGGCGGCCGCCGCGCGCGTGCTGCGCTTTGGTGCCGGCATGGTGGGCGTGCGCGCGGGCGCGTTTGAGCGAAGGGAGTGAGAGCGCGGTTTGAGGTGGAGCGAGCTTGTCGTGCGCGATTGGTGGCTTTCGGTTGGGCGTACAGAGCGCGGCGAGTGGTGTGCGCGTCGCGCGAGTGTCGCCCTGTGAAGATTGGTGTGCGCGGGCGCGGGGCCGAGGTAGACGAGGCGGTCGGATTATGTGGTGTTGACGTGTTGGACGCGTTCCGCCCCCGCGGCGCAAACCTGGCTTGGCGACGCGACGCACGTGATGGAGACCAACCCATGCTTTGGCCCGCCGTTCATATATCTCCCTTGACGAATTCAATAGGTTGAATTGCTACATAGCTTTTTGACTACTGCACTAGCCGCGGCTTACTGATCACCATACAGATCCTTCTCCACCATCGCCCTGCAGATGGGATGGTAGAAGTCCTTGTTCCGCTCAAACGTCTGTTTCGCCAGCGCGGAATCTGCCTCATTGAGCGCCCTGTACAGCGGCCGCACAAACTTCATCCGGCCCACCACTGCCAGCAGCTCGACCGTCGGCTGGTATGTGCTGATCGTCTTGCTCTTCAGACCAAGGGTCAGGAATCTCGACACGATCTCCACGTTGGAGCTGGACTGGAAGCGGTAGTTCTGACCCATGACCTCGACGAAGTCGGGCTTGAGCAGCTCGTCCCATGTCTGGATCTTCTCAAGGAACACGACGACCTGGTTGCCGGTCCAGCTTGCGATATCGTCAGACGTGGGTTTGAAGACAGAGACATCGCCCGCTTTGTTGGCCGCCTCCCAGCGGTCGGCCAGCTCGTAGCAGACCTTGACAAGAGAGTCGTCGAAGTTAGGCTTGGGAGGGTAGCCGGGGGCGTAGAACCAAGTGTCCCAGTCGAGGGACTCGAGCTTGGCATTGGCGTCCTTGTCGGACGCGAAAAAGTCGATGAGAGTGGCTTTGAAGTCGTACGAGTCGAGGGACTTGTACTTGTACTTGTTGAAGTAATGCGGGATGAACTTGTCCCACTTTTCTCTGCCAATCAACTTCTCGAGGTAATAGAGGAAGTTGAAGCCCTTCTCGTACGGGACAGACGAGAAGGAGTCATCGGGGTCCTTGCCCTTGAGGTCCATGACCAACTTGGTGTATTCATGATCACGACCGAATCTTTCAACGGAATCCTGCAGAGCCTTCCAGCCGATGATGGCAGAGAAGTCCCTGTGAGGCTCTCCATGGATAGCAGCAATAATTCTGCGCTCGAGGTAAACGGTCCAGCCTTCGTTGAGCCAGAAGTGCTCCCAGCTAGCGTTGCTGACAAGGTTTCCGCTCCAGCTGTGGGCAAGCTCGTGGGCGATGACATCGATGTTCTGCTTGTCTCCGCTGATGATGGTCGGTGTCGCGAATGTAAAGATGGGGTTTTCCATTCCTCCATAAGGGAAGCTGTTGGGGAGAACAAGGACGTTGTAGGTGGTCCAGGCATATTCGTACACGATCTTCTCCGCAGCCTCGAGGAACTTCTCCATGTCATTCTCAAGCTCCCATTTGCACGCAATCAGCTCCTCGGGGCCGGTCCAGACAGTGCTACGGGGTCCAATGGAGGCGCTGGCAAGATCGCCAGAAGCAAGAGCAAAGAGGTAGGCGGGAATTGGTACTTCTTGCTTGAACGTGTAAAGCAAGGTGCCGGGGGCTCCATCCTTGCCCGGCTGGAAGTCCTTGGCACCAGTGGGGAGGCCGCTGGCCAGCACCGGAAGAGGAGAACGGATGTTGAAATCAACCGTGGACTTGACGTCAGGTGTATCCTGGCAAGGAAGAACAGACCTAGCGTGAATGGCCTGGCATTGCGAGAACATGTAGGGCTGCTTCTTGTTCGAAGTCTGCTCAGGCGTCATCCACTGAAGGGCAGTGCACTGCTCGGTAGTGCTAAGGGAAATGTCGATAGCAATGTGCTCATCCTTCTCGACTCCTTTGCCGAGCTTGATGAACAGAGGGCTGCCGTAAGGCTCTGCCCTAGCGGCGAGATCCCACTTCGCGGATTTGCCGTCGACCTTGACATCCTTGATGTCAAGAAAGCTACGAGCCATACAAGTTAGCATTACAAGAATCAAAGAAATAAGTGCTACGGTTAGCAAACCTTGTATCCAACACCACCTCATCGGCTTCCTTGTCCGTCAAGCTCTTCAATCGCAATACGACGTTTCCCAGAAGCCTCTTCTTGGCGAAATCAAGCTCAAAGTTGGCCGTCGTGTGCGTGGTCAGGAAGCTTCGGCCTCGGTCAGCATGCCACGTGACATCGCGCAGTACGTCTGCCGCAAGCTTATCGGGCTTACTTGTGGTAATTGCTCAGGGTATTGGGATCTCTGGGCGCATTGACTGCGACGGCAGCAGCGGCGGAATAGCGCGTCACCATGGTTGTGGTGAAGCCACGGAACTGCTGGCTAGAGCGATAAGAGAACGAAGACAGCAACTGCGGGGCCTTTGTACGGTATGACCCCAGACGGTTCATGAACGATCGCGGGGGTTGAGGATGGAAACCGGAATGGAGTGAGGTGGTGGTGGTAACCGGGAGTGTGGGACAGCATGCGTGCTGTCATTGGGCGACACGGGACCGAGTTCCATTGGACGATGCGGGCGGGCGGTGGAAGCGACCGTGGCACGCTAATCCGCTTCAGGAATGTGGGATGATTTGTTGTGTCTGTGAGCCTCGGAGACCCGCCTTCTGATGTAACATCGCGTGCAGCAGATTGATGATGCAGACTCGTTCGAGAACACAAACGGAACAAGCACATACTGTGGGGAGCATTGACCCCGGCACTGACGGCAAACGTGCAACGAGCCTCGTCCACTGTCATGCTCACATGCCCGTGAAGTTACAAGAAAAGCTGCTCATCCTGCGATAAGAGTCTCATTCCATCGTTGCACTCAGGTAACCTCCCCTATGCTACAAGCTCATCACGCCGAAGCTCCGAGTTCTCGCCAACCAAAAACAGTCACAACAAGCATCAATCCCAAGAAACCCTTTTCATGTCTACCACCCATTTTCCACGCAATGCTACCTTATAATGGAGAGTGAAGAAGCAAAGATCCCAACCCCACCAACGTTTTTCGTCACTTTCGTTCAACCGCCACCTCGTGCGTTGATTAGAGCTCCCGTCATTGAGATATGTGCTTGAAGGTGATTTTGAAGGCGCATCTCCCCAGAGAAACACCATTAATAAAATGAGAGTAACGAGAAGGCCGGCTAATACTGGCAGGCCGTCGAGAGCTGAGCGGTTCCGTGGAGATGGCGATTGTGAATTGTTCGTGTTGCTCCGGCAGGCTGACAATTTGCGGACACAGCCAACCATGTGCGAAGATAGGTTGGGCTATTTACATTTCCTGCTGAAGCGCAGAGACCTTGTCCCACAGGCCCTCGGCGTTTTGTTGCTTCATCTAAACATTCGTCAGTACCGCCCTTCGCAAACACATGGAGGCTAAACCATGTATTATGCTCACCTTCAGCTGAAGCGTTTCGAGATCTTCGCCATCCATAGTGCCCATGAATAGGATAAGACCGTTCGTAGGCTTGTCACCCTTGACGTCGCCAACCTTAAGCTCCTTCTGGATGGGAGAGTTAAGGACTACACGGTGGGACCCATCCGCGCGCATGACGAAGCGTGCCTTCTTCGGGGCCTTCTTTTCAGCATCCTCTGGCGACTGCTTCTTGACATTGACCTTCAGGTTGCCAAGGCCACGTTCCTTCCACTCCTTTTTGGTGTCTGTAACCTTGACGAAATTGTAGAGCTTGGCACGGCAGACGAAGATGGTCTCCTCATTCTCTTCGCCAGTTTCGACTGCAGTTGCTGTGTTAGACCCGCCGTGAAGTCGTGCTGCCGCTGACATACCATCTTGCTCGAAGAATCTTTCATCTTTCTTGTCCTCCTCATTGGTGGGGCTCAACACCTTTTCCTTTTCTTCATCACCAGCCTCGTCGCCAGATCCTTCCTCGTCTTCCTTCTCATCCTTCGGTGCGCCAAAAGGCCGCGCCGGCTTCTCACTCAGACCAGTGATCTTGGGGCCACTGCCACCGCCAAACCCTGTGATCTTTCCGCCTCCACCAAAACCGCCTCCGCCAAAGCCGCCTCCCAAACCACTACCACCAAAGTTTCCAAAACTGGAAGTTGTGGCAGCGGCGGCGAAAGGAGACTTGTTTTCCGAGGAAGAAGTCAGCCCGCCGAACGAAGAGGGAGTGCTGCTACCGGAGAGACCGGTGATTGTAGGCTTTGCAGCTGCAGTAGCAGAACCGAAAGGACTTGACGCGGGCTTTGACGTGCCGGCGAGGGCGCCGAAGGGTGAGGTCGAGGCACTGGCCAGGGCACCGAAACCGGAAGCCTTGAAAGCAGTGTCTGATGTTTGAGGCTGGGAACCGGTGGGCGTAGGGGACTTGCTGGCGGCTAACACAGCGAATGGCGAGGTAGCGGAGGTGTTGGCGAAGCCGCTTCCCTGTGGTACCTTGCAATTAGTCAATATCAGCGGTGCAGCAAAGACATCGTAATTGGACGCACCTTGGATTCCTCAGCCTTGGTCTCTACCGTGCTCTTTTCCTCGCCTGGCTCAGGGCTGTTGCTATCTCTGTGGCGCTTCACCTTCGGCTCATCGCTGGAAGTTTTCTCCGTGGAGACCTTTTCAGTAGGATCTGTGTCCTTCACCTCGGCAGATGCCTTGTCGCCCTTCTCTTCAAACTCCTCCCTGTTCCGCTTACCCTTGGGGCTAAGCATACCCCTTCGTGTCCGTTCCGCAGAGCTCGGGGGCGATTCGGAGCCCTCCTTGATTGTACCATTTTCACCAGCGGGCTTTCGCTTCGTAAGCTCGGGCTGGTCGCGGACGGTGACATCCCTCGAGCGTTTCCTGCCTTGCTTCTCAGCCCTTACTCCTCCCATATCCTCGAAGCTTCTCTTCTTCCGCACACGACCCCTCGCCTCTCCGTTGTTGTTGGAGTTCCCCGCAGCGTCTTCGGTCGCAGCTTCCTTGTCGGAAGCACCGGACATCTCGTGGTCGTCGTCAGAGAAGATGTCCCTCGGCAGGCCGGCGATGGAGGTTTTCTTCAGCTTCTCGCGCACAGGACGCTCGGCGCCTTCGGTATCACTGCCTTGACCGAGGCTCTTGAGCGAGCTGGTCGAAGCAACCCTGTCAGCGGCAGTGATCCCTTTGGCAACTTGATCAACGGCAGACGTGAACCCAGGATCCTGAGTCTGCTCGTCGCGTGCCATTGTGCGGTATGGGTGTTTGTTCGGGTGCGAATCGCACGTGTTGCAAAGGAGAGTGCTGCTCTTAAGCTGTCTGTCTTATCCAAAATGACGGCGTGGCCGTGCGCGCGCGCGAGCCGCCAGGCAGGACGTGGGTGAGGTGGTCTGTCGGGTCTTCCGTGCGCCGGGCGATGCGGCGGGAGAGGCTCAGACAGCGGGCGGCCCTAGCTACGCGTGCGAAGCCCGTGTCAGCCAACAGCGCGTGGTGGTGAACCGGTGAGAGGAAAGACAACTGACCTGGCCAGCAACGGCGATCGAGGCGATGGGATCTGCAAGCTACGTGGGGATGGCGGTGCGAGTGCTGCGCGATGGAGGTGGCCCCAGCGAAAGGCCAAAGGCGGCGCAGGTTTCTCAGACGCTTGGTACTAATGAGGATGGTTGTCGAATGCAGGTCTTCGGGGTTATATTGAGCTGACACAGTTTCTGGGCGAGAACGAAAGTCGCGCTCGACGAATCGAATCGGCTCGGCGTAATTTCAATAGGCTGCCTGCAAGATGAGGTTGTACAAGCTGCGACTCGGGCACGCCAGCACGGCTGCGGGCAGATGCGGCCGTGAGGGGGTGGTGGGCTCGTCGAGGGCTTGTTATGGGCTTGGAGTGGGCGGCGGGGTGGTGTGCTAGCCGCTGTGCTGTGGATGGAACGCGCCCGACGGGAGCCAGCACCAGCCGATGACGGCGTCGATCTAGCGCAGCCGAGTCTTATACCATTTGCCGGCTCATGCTGGCTGGGTGCGACACGCACTCTCAACACGCATCTTACACGTACATTGCCTATCTGAATGCCTGCAGGTATCCCCCTTCCGATTGGCGCCACGCAGCACACGGCGCGAATGGAGAGACGAAGGCTCTGCCCTGCCACGAATCCTACACGTTGCCACTAATAAAACAAGGGCCCATTTGCGAATGGTATCCAAACCTCCCACCACCCAGAGCCTGCTCCAGTTTCGCCAATGGGTATTCATGAAACACGGCGATGAATAAATGTGCCAAACCAATCTGGACTCTTCCCTAGCTAATGAAGCACAGGCAACCCAAGCTCACGTAGAAAACGAACAGCGGGTAAACCGCAATGCCAACCCGGTTGCGCACCACTCCGGATCCACCAAGAATACTGATGCCTGCGGCGAGTGACCAGGCAACCAAGGCGATGTAGACTGGTACACGGATTATCGTGTGGATACCGACAGCGCTGAGAATAGACGCAATGACAAGTGGAAAGAGGGTGTAGCCAATGATGCAGACGGACTGGAGGAACGATCTGTATAGCGTCAGCAGCCGATTCCGGCCAGGGATAGCTTGAAACTCACATGCTGCCACCCAAGAGCTTGATTTGCAACGTGACCATGGCCTCGCCGATCCAGACCATAGCAAAGACACCCGAGAAGACAAGCGACTTCTGCTCGTCGCGGGCCGGTCGCGAGAGGAAGAAGCTCAAGAGAAGGCAGAAGATCAACGGGCCCCAGAGATCCCAGTTGCGCAGTCCCTCACTCATGCTTCCGTGGAGGACCGCATCCGCGTCCGGCCAGCGACCCACGAGGTTCCTGATACCTGCCTGGTCGGCCTCGCCGCGCTCTTCGGCACCCATGCCACCCCCGCGTTGAAGCATGCCGCCCAGCAGGTATTTGGGCCACAGAACCTGGCGCATTTTCTCCCATATAGCAAACAAGTCTCTCGACAGCGTCTCCCACACGGTCTCGTCAATTGTGTTTGTTGGCGCACGGCGATCCTCGCCGGGGATGGAGGAGGTCAGATAGTTCTGGGTGTCGCGGCCGCCCGACCCTTGCGATTGGATATTGCCGGTGAGCGGGGCGCGGTCGGAGGTGGACTGAAGGGGGTCATCGAGGTCGTCGAGAGTAGCTGTCTCCCAGTTCAGAGCAGTTTCCAGGGCATGTTCAACTGTAGCTGCCTACCATCATCGGGATCAATCATGTGGTCGCGCTCCATGGCGTCGTCGTCGTAAGGGTTGCTCGACTGAGTGCTAGGCATCATTCCGGCCATGGTGAGGTGCTTTTGTTCGCTTGACGAAGAGATGTGGAGGCAGGAAGCGCAACGCGTCACCAGAAGCTACGTTTCGACAACATGGAGCTCACGGCGACCAAGGGAAGCGCACGGGCCACCTTCCGGATCAAAGTAGCAGCGGCGTCCCGGCCTCGGCCTGTGATACGCCGGAGGACGACAAGCGCCAGGCGAGCGGCCCCTCCATGCATCGGCACGTCATTCCCCTCGACAGCTCCCCCAACCCGCTAGCCCCGCAATCCTCAAACATTTTGCTCCAGATGTAAGTTGTTTTCTGTTATCTTCCAACTCGATTCGCATTTCTCCGCCGAAATGTTTGGCCACATCCGGCACCCATTTCTCCGCATAAGCATTCGTCCCACCCCGCAATGCTCACCGGGGTTCGCCGATCACGCGGTGAATGCGGCGGCTCCAATGCTACCGTAGCGAACCTTCCCGCGCCTCACCCCCATCCATCTCCGGCGCTATAAAAAACAAGTTGCTCAGCTGTCCGCTCTTCGTTTATATTTTGGGGCCGTTCTCCGAGATCCTTCGCTTGCCTTCTTCTCCTTCCTCGTTCAAATACTTGCACCCCTCAGCACCGCTGCTTCTGATCCTATTTCTCAGCCCCGTCACTTTTACACATTGCTAGCCCACCATGCCCGAAGAAATTCTCAACGACATCTCACACCGCCGATTCAACCCGCTTCGTGGTTCCTGGATCCTTGTCTCGCCGCACCGTACCAAGCGTCCTTGGCAGGGCCAGCAGGAGGCCTCAAAGGAGACGACACTCCCCGCTTACGAGCCTTCCTGCTACTTGTGCCCGGGCAACAAGCGCGCGGCGGGCGACTCGAACCCCAAGTACGAAAGCACCTATGTCTTCGTGAACGACTACTCGGCCGTCAAGGAGGCCCAAGCCGAGTACACTCCGACGGCGCAAGACAGCGACAGCCTCGAGTCGCGCCTCCTCCAGGTGGAGCCGGTCACGGGCAAGTGCTATGTGATCACGTTCTCGCCGGCGCACAACATGACGTTGGCGGACATGGTCCCCGCGGACATCGTGCCGGTGATCGAGACGTGGACGCGCATCTACACGGCGCACCTGTCGCCAAACTCGCCCCTCGCCGCTGTTGCGAGCGCCACGACCCTGGCGCCGCTTGGCCATGACAGCGCCGTCACGGCGCCGGCGCAGCAGCTGCGGTACATGCAGATCTTCGAAAACAAGGGTGCGGCCATGGGCTGCTCGAACCCCCATCCGCACGGCCAGATCTGGACCTCAACGGGCCTCCCCGAGGAGCCGGCCCTGGAGCTTGAGCAGCTGCAAAAGTACCGCCGCGACCACAGCGGCAAGAACATGCTAGAGGACTACGCGCAGCTAGAGGCTAGCAAGAAGGAGCGCATTGTTTTCGAGAACGAGACGTTCCTAGCGCTGTGCCCCTGGTGGGCGGTGTGGCCGTTTGAGGTGATGATCGTGAGCAAGAAGCACAAGCGGGCGCTGGTGGACTTGAATGAGACGGAGAGAGAAAATCTGGCGGAGGCGATTTCGGAGGTGACGAGGCGGTATGATAACTTGTTCGAGTGCCATTTTCCGTACAGTAAGTCTTTGAGAAATTTCCTGATTCATGGATGGCGTGTTGCTAATTTTCTGCTCTAGGCATGGGTCTTCACCAAGCTCCTCTGGAGGGCACGGATGAGGAGATTGAGGCCAGCCATTTCCACATCCACTTCTACCCACCTCTGCTCCGAAGTGCGACTGTGCGCAAATTCCTTGTTGGGTACGTAGAGCATTGCGGACAGGGTTCAAGCATTATACTAACATACCGTGTAGTTATGAGATGATGGCTGAGCCGCAGCGTGACATCACCCCAGAACAGGCCGCCGCTCGTCTGCGCGACTGTGGAGGCGAGCTCTACAGGAAGAAGGCCCAGTCTTAGGTGCAGATGCAAATATTCAGCCACATAGAGCGTAACGATGCTGTTATGACCATTCGTCTCGAGAGGGGCCCGGTTCCTCATGATTACCTGGGCTATCTCATAGCAGCAAGATCTGCCTTCGTTGAACAAGCCGCATTTGTACTCCGACCAGCGGTCAACCACCCAGGCGGCCTCAAGAATCGGATTTGCCCCAGCATAGTCGTCACCCGCATGTGCTCGCGAGTCTGGTATCTGGCTGGCCCTGGCCTGACCCTGGCCCATCTCTCTCGGTTCTTCCCTTCCATAGACAAATATCCGTATCTTTTTATTTCACATAGAATCCATACTGCAGCGTCATCCACAGGGTTGTCCCAATGCTCACAATCACCGGGCCCGCCAAGCCCTTGTTCCATTTCGTAGTCCCAAAGACGAACCACTCGGTGCCGAAGTGCCACATGGCGACCACATTGGTCAGCATGGCCAGCTGGTAGAGGCCAGCAACGTCGACATTGTAAGCAGCGTACAGGCGTACGAGGCCCTGCAGCAGGGTCCAGGTGCCAAAGGTACGGCTGTGCAGCGGCGTGGTCTCGCTCGGGTACTGGTAGCCGGGCGGCGGCTTGACGCGGTCCGGACGCGGCGACAGGTAGACTTGCGAGGTGAAGTGCAGTGTGCGGTAGGCTTGGACGAGGTTACCGACGGCGGTGACGCCGACCTATGGTCCGTATTAGCGCATCCAACTAGGGATCTCTTGGGTGGTGAGAGAAATGTTGAGGGGGCGGTGCGTACGAAAAATAGCCATTTGGGGAGAAGACCCTCGTGCTGGGGCAGGTATGCAAGGAGAGAGGACATGGCGGCGGTGCTGCGTGTTCGTCGGCCCGTAGGCAAGAGAGATTGGCTTGCTGTGGACAGGGAGAGACCTCGGTGAAGGGTGTCAGGAATCGTTGGTCAGGTTAGTTCCACGCCGCGCCGTGCTGGAGAGCTTGGGCCAAGCACCGGTAGTACGATGGCGGCAGCAGCCTCTCCTCTGCCATTGAGTGACGAGGATTCGCAATTCTTCTCGTACGGACAGCTTGGCCCGAAAACAGCGCCCAAGCTGAGCAGCCCGATATAGTTTTGTTGCTTTGGGGGCGTTCAGCTGATGGTAAGCTGAGCTGCGGTTGTTCCTGCATCCCCGGCGCTGCGCAGCTGGCCCCTGCCCTACGCCAAAAAGTTCCCCAACCATAAGCTCCGCATCCCCGCCGCCGTTCCTTCCACCAAACACCACAACGAGCCCACCATGGACGCCCTCTCTAACGTTCCCCAACCCGTCGTTCTTGGCCTCGCCGCCGTCGGCGCCGCTTGGGCTGCCGTCAAGGTTGGCAGCTTCGTCCGCGTGCTTCTCAGCCTGTTCGTCCTGCCGGGTATCTCGGTGCGTGCCTCACGCCTCGACACTTCTTCCCAGCATCCCGTCAAGCACCCAATTGCTAACGAAACCCCTACCCCACAGCTCTCCAAGTTCGGCCCCAAGGGCTCCTGGGCCATCGTCACCGGCGCCAGCGACGGAATCGGCAAAGAATATGCGCTCGCGCTGGCCAAGCGCGGCTTCAACGTGGTGCTGGTGTCGCGCACCCTGAGCAAGCTCGAGGCGCTCGCCTCGGACATCAGCAGCGCCAATGCGGGCGTGCAGACGCGGGTGCTGGCGATGGACTTTGCGGCCAACAAGGACTCGGACTTCGCCGCGCTGGCCGCGCTGATTGCCGACCTGGACGTCTCGATCCTGATCAACAACGTCGGCCTCTCGCACAGCATCCCGGTGCCCTTCGTGCTGACGCCCGCCGAGGAGATGCGCGACATCATCACCATCAACTGCACCGGCACGCTGCGCGTCACCCAGCTCGTCGCGCCCAAGCTCGTCGCCCGCAAGAAGGGTCTCATTCTGACCATGGCTTCGTTCGGCGGCGTCATGCCCACGCCGCTGCTGGCGACCTACAGCGGTAGCAAGGCTTTTCTGCAACACTGGAGCGCCGCGCTGGCTGGCGAGCTGGCTCCCTCGGGCGTCCACGTCCAGCTGGTTCAGAGCTACCTTGTCACGTCGGCCATGAGCAAGATCAAACGCGCCTCGGCTATGATCCCTACCCCCAAGGCCTTCGTCGCCGCCGCACTGGGCAAGATTGGCAGGTCTGGTGGCGCTCAGGGTGTTGCGTATACGTCCACGCCGTTCTGGAGCCATGGTCTGATGCACTGGGCGATTGCAACGTTCGCAGGAACCACAAGCACGACGGTTCTGAAGATCAACAAGGACATGCACGAGGGCATCAGAAAGAGGGCTTTGAAGAAGGCCGAGAGGGAAGGTAAGAAGGTTGCCTAAGCGGTCTAAGGCACGGTATGCTTCAAAGATTTAGCCTGGTGTGGCTTTCACACTGGTTGGATTTAGGAGACGACAATGCGGTGGTCTGGCCTCTTGTATATTTGTCAAAAGCAAACATACAACCCAGATTTTTGAAGAAGGAGTTACGTTGTACATGAATTTTAAGATGAGAACGACGTGTTGAGTGAACGTCCATCATATTCCAGTATCCAAAGAAATAATATCGAAATGAAAAACATGCAAGATCTATGCGCTCATGTAATTGTACCATTAAACTGGTGATATAAATTGAAATCACTGATGTCTGAACGACTCATGATCTTCATACTGCTTCTCTGTCTGCTTTACTTCTGCTCTCTTTTCTGCTATCGCTCGCCATCTACGGTCCGCGGCTTCTTTGGACTTTTTCTCATCCGCTTTCGCCAATACTACATGGTGTAAAAAAAAAAAAAAAGAAACCATCTCCCCAGTAAATTCAGTTTACCCATGAAATCAAGATGAGCAAATAGAGAGCCAGATGAGATACAACCTTATTAAATAAACATCGGCGCAGTCATCACGTCACTGTCGATCCTCGAAAAAGCTGAAACGAGCAAACCTACATCAGTGTCTGATAGAAACAAAGCAGGCTCCTTAGCGTCAGATAGGTCACGCTTGTATGTCAGAGTCGGTTCAAAGTATCGAAAATAGCCCCGCACCAGCAGCATCTGTAGGTGGCCAGCCAGCCTTGCGCCACCACTACTCAGGAGCACTCGCATCGGCTCGACCTCTACGTGAAGGTCAAATGTCCTGGACGTTGCCGGTCTACCTTGGTAGAAGCAAAACATTGGCTTGCGTCTGACGTTCCTCGTTATCTGATTCTGCATGACCGCTTGTCATATCGCGTCTATCTCCGCCTTTAATCCCAAGCTGTGCACAGGGACTGAAGTTGCAGGATAAACGCAGATGTGCGAAGGGAGGGGGAAATAGAAAACCCTACATCTATCTTGCCACTCTAGCTGTGTACGAGCATGAGCGGGCTGGGAAGTGTAACGATGGGTGTGATTCCACGGTGTCAGTCGAATCGACGAATTGGAGAATTATCCAGGAAGGGAGTAATAGGAAGACAAAAACAACATCGTCGGCGATGATATAAGGTCGACATGTTGCACGTCACGGTCGGTAGTCGAGGTTCTTGATGGGACGTTGTTGTCCATTCCATCATGCATTAATGCTCGTATAGACGCTTCGACTGTTCTGGTCAAAAAAAAAAAAGAAAAGGGGACGGAAAGAGAAGCAAAAGGCAGCAGCGACAGATAGAAATTTGAGTATCCAACGCCATCCAACACCCCGCTTAGCGAGACGTATAGCCAAATCAGTGTTCAGGCTAGAGATCAAGTCTGAAAATACCCCTGCTTCCGAGGGAGAGGACGAGAGAAACAAGAACGTCATAAGAGCAATTTTCCCACCCAAACGCAAGTATCAAACCACAAGCGGAAAGTCGTCTTTCCGCTCATCAACTCTCGCACTTCACACCCCTTCTCCTACCTGCCACCACGTTCTCCTCCTCCGCGGCGGTTGTCTTCCTCGTTCCAAACCGGTCACTCGATTGTGATGATGGCGGCGGCGACGGGTGCGGCGGCGGCGCGTGCAAGATCTCGACCAATCGCCTCACCACCTCCTTTTGGCCGTTATCCCCCAACCACTCGCCTCTCCTCCTCAAACCCCTGGCCAGAGCCTCCACGTCAACCATCTCGCCGCCACCAGCAGCGTTCAGCATCAACCCCTCGACTTCGAACTCTCCATCGGCGTCAGCATCCGACGAAGCCGGTGGCGAAAGCTCCGACGAGCAAGAAGGCGAGGACGGCGACGTCGGTGCCGTCAGGAGCTCCAACGTCCGTCGCAGCCGTTCGTATGCCGTGTTGAGCTCGGCGTGCGACTGCTCGAGTCTGCCGTAGCGGTCGCTCAGGACGGCCAGCTGGGCCTCGAGGTCCTTGGCGTGTTTCTCCTTGCGCTCGCGGAAGGCGCGCTGGGCGGCGCGATTCTGTGCTCGGCGGCGCTGAACGTTTTCCATCTGTGGTCAGCGATCACGTCCTTCACGGTTCCACGGCAGCGCATGAAGGAATTGCTTATTCGCGGAACATCCCTTCCCCCATGTTGACCGGTAATCTTTTACCGTCGCACAGTACAAGGTTCTGGCCAAGGCATGATTGATAGGAAATAAGGAAATAAACAGCAAAACAGGGAATGAGCTCGGAAGTGGGAGGGCTTAAACTTACTCCACTCGTCACATGCGTCCGCTCAACGTTCGCCGTTGCAGCTCCGCCGCCGCCACCGCCGATGCTTCCGTTGCCGCTTCCAACGCTCCACGTGCTCCCGTTACTAGCGCTCCTGTCTGGCGGCATGCGTCCGTGTCCGTGTCCAAAGCCTTGCTCGTTGACGATCTGCAAAGGAAACGTCGTTGTTGACGTCGTACTCACGCCGGTCTCGAGCGTTTCGAGCCCGCCGGTTGCATATGCTCCCAGATCTGCGTGGTTTTGCTGTGGGGAACATACGTAAGGTGGGCTGGGCAAACCTCCTGCGGCCGCTCCTGCAGCAACGGCGGCGGCGGCGGCGGCCTCTTCGGCCGAGCTGAATTCGGTCGGGGTGGCAGGGACGCCAGTGGTGGCATATGCAAACTGGCTATGATAGGATGGTGCGTGGCGAGGCTGGGACTGAGTGTTGCGCTGGTGATAGGAGAGAGGCTGCTGGTGCTGTTGTGGGTGCTGCATCTGCTGGGGCTGCTGCGGGGCAGGGGTGGGTGTGCCCGCCGCGTCAAACGTTGCGGTTGAGGTCTGGATTTGTGCCAAGTCAGTGGCTGAGAAGGACGCGTTGTGATGTGCTGCGACTGTCTCCTTGCAGGAACACCCAAGCCACGATCATACCATACGAGAACGCAGGATATGCATGCGGGAAATCTGAGCGACGGGAGTGGTTGCGGGGCTGAGCGGGCCGTGAAGATATGACCAGGGTCGGGGCGATACGAAGTGGGGATTAATAAACAAGGTTGTTGCACGTACTGGTGAGGCGCTGAGGCTCGGTAGGCTGGTGAGGTCCGGCGGGGCGTACTCGTAGTAAGAAGCCTGTGGGTGTTGCGAGTAGCTGTCTTGTTGCGGCTGCCAGTATTCGTATTGTTGTGAAGCCATGGTCATAGACGAGAAGAGGAGAGAGAGGGATGAAGGAGGAGGAGGAGGAGAGAGGGAGAGAGGGCGCAAAGGTCGCGACCAGCACAGGACTGATCAGGCTGGGAGGCGAACGAGACCAGTAGCTGTATGTAAATAAGCTCGTAGGGCTGAAAGCTGGTGCGGAAATGCGGGGGGCTGCGCAAGTGCTCGGCGCCAGCCTTGACGGAACCGCACGGCAGGTGAGAAGTCCAGGGTCGTTAAGAGGGCCGGCGATGAAAAGGGGTGTGCGGAAACGCTCGAGGAGTGGAAGATGACTTATAGATCGCTGATGCCGCTCGCGCGGACGCGGCCGGGTGCCCTTCAAGCGTGATGCACATCGTAGGGCAGCGGCTCCACACTCGCGTGCTATTTGTTGCAGAGCATGCGCCGTACGGACGACATGGGCAGGTTTACTGGACAAGGTCTCCCTAACTGAGCAAGGAGAAGGCGGGTAAGCACCAAAGCCACGCATTTGGGATTTTCGCGTCATTTCCGGGGGTGGTGTTGCTCTGAGCTGGCGAGGCAGAGAAGGCAAGTCGCACTGAGCGGACGTCCGATGACCGAGCTGCGGCAGCCATTGGGTCCAGCGGTCCAGGGCGGCTGCGGGCCGCTCATCGAGAACAGAGAGGTGGGATTGAGGGCTGGACGCCGCCTTCGGCTCCAGTTGGAATGCTGCGAAGGCGCGGGCGTCAGCCTTGCAGCAAGATCAGCATGTCCAAGGCTGGCCGGACATAGCGGCTTGCCGTTTGACTCCTCGTCCGGGCCAGGGCTCTGCTCATGGGCGCATGAGGGCCATTAGTCAATGTCAGCATCAATGACTAAATGCCGTGTGCCTGACGTAGGGCAGCCGGGAGGAAGTAACGCCTGCAGGACGTCTGGCCCAGCGCGAGCCTTATCTGGTAGGGCTGAAGGTGAGATTTGCCTTTCGGGGCGAACAGTGCCGCCAATGCACGGCACCTGCTGCGCCGCCGGCGCGGAACTGCTTTGGCTGGCCATGCCGAAGCACCTTCAAACGGCTGCAGCGCAGCGGCTTGATACGAAGACCGGTCGGCCTCGTCGTCCTGCGCTCCGCAATGCACGTCGCTGGAGCTAGCCGTACGCCCGCGCCACCAGCCCTAAAGCACGTCTCTTCTCTGCGCCTCCCAGATTGGGCCCGTTCAAATGCCGCTTTGGGAACCGCTGGGGGAGCTGGAGAAAGCCCTGACATCTGATTGAAACACCAGGCAACCACACTGTGCTTCACAGACGCGCGCGACTGCTACGGCCATATTGGCCACCGCCCGAGAGGGGACGGAGACGATCATACCCTGGGTGGAGAGGGTGATGTAGGCGCGGCACGCGCTTTGATTGTACCTATTTCCTTGATTAGTATCCGCAGCCGTCGCTCCGAGCTCTGATTGGAAGCGCGGCTGCATAGCTGCAGTGAGCGCGGAAAGCAGACCCCGGTAACGGCGAGGGTAGCTGTCATGTGGCGGGAGCGAGTGGGAACTCCGTTGCCAGCCATGCATCATGCAGCTTAAGCGATGCGGGACGTGACCAAACAAGCCGCCCATCGCTCAACACGGCCGCGCTAATTTGCCAAGCAGGCTCTCCTTCCGGCACTTCGATTTGGCCTCGACCTCTACCCGGCTTCGAATGTATGATCGCCGCCCTGCGGGAATACCTTGTAAAGCCACCGCCGCAAGCTTGCAATATGGGATGGCACGAACTCACCGCTCCACACCCTTGAAGGCTCTAATATCAGACGTGTCGCGGGCATGTACTCGTTTTGGCAAGTGCTGACCTCCGCACTCCCTTGTCATATGGCGTTCCGCGTAGCACACAGGGCGTGAACACCGGCCGCGACGGCCGAAAAGGGCTACACATTGCACCAGCCGCCCTCAAAGAGCGCACAAGGCTGAAAGGGTGGGCTGCCGTTATTACTCCACCGTCAAACGCCCACTCGTAAGCCCTGCCACGACGCGCAGCAATCGTAGTTGCCACTGGCGCACTCCAGTCTTGTCACCCACCCAGCACCGAACTTTCCACAGGGAAGCTTTGTGTGGAAACTGTGTGATGAGGCTCCAGTTGTTCAATATGGACCAGTGCAACCGCGTCGTACATTCCGCCGTTATCCGCAACAACGTCTACGAAGGAACTGACGGAATTGCACAAAGTTCCTGGGAGGTAGTGGGACATCTGGCTGCCGGCGGGTCCGAGAAGGAGAACCTGTTGGAAACGCTGGGATAGTGATATGTCACAAGGCTGAATGCAACTGTAACAGGATGAGGAAAACGAACTCAAGACCCAGCGCAATGGGTAGGAAACGCTGCAGAAGCATATCAGTCATTTTCATGTTGCTGGAATTGTCGAGCTTGCCGCCAAAATTCCGTTCTCAGTACAGCTGCTTGACGAGGCTCGCCACCTTGTCGTAGACCTCTCCTTGATCTTGTTTCGTTGCCCTTTTGACGATAACAGTAACCTGGTCTTCCCCAACGCCGTACTCCTTTAGAGTCTTGTAAAGACCGAGAGATTTGACCAGCATCAAGATGGCGTCACCGACTTTGGTGGCGTCTTGTTGGTCATCACCAGTCTTCGTCAGGCCAAGGAAAGGAGCCAATCTGGCGATTTGCGAGGCAGCTTGGGGATCTTGGGCCTTGAGCTTAACGACGTGTCCGAGAGTGAGGCAGGAGGTGATCCCATGTGGTATGGAATACGGAGAGCCCAGGGCGTATCCGAGAGTGTGGCTTAGGCCCAAGGGACCCTTGACGTTGAGGCCGAGAAAAGCCAGGGATGCAAAAGAAGCGAGCTGCAATTGGGTAATGTGTTCCTCATTCTTGGGGTCATCTTGATATTTTGGGAGGCCGCTGAACAATCTGGACGCAGCTGACAAACAGCTGTCCTTGGCCGGAACCTCGGTAGCCGTCGGATGATAGAGCAGCTCCACGGCATGATCAAAGGCGCGAAGCCCCGTCGACAACCACAGCTGCGGAGGGGTTTCCAGAGCGAATTTGCTGTCGAGTCATTAGCATCTCCGCGGGATTCGATTCGATTCGCAGCCACTTACGAATCGTAGATGATGACGTGAGGTGCCAGCTCAGCGTGGGCCACACCAGTCTTCATTCCATCTTCCTGGGTGAAGCCTGCATTGAATGTGCACTCGGCAGCGCTAAGGGTGGTTGGGACGGTGATGTGAAAGAGAAACTTGCCAGCCTTCTCGTTGAAGCGATAAGAGATGGCTTTGGATGAGTCTATCGGGCTTCCGCCTCCGATGGAGATGATGGTATCGATGCTCGGATCCTTGATGACCGCCTCGGTTGCCTCGTCCAGCTGAGCGACAGGAGCGTGTTGCTTGATGTTCGAAAAGGTCCCTGCGTGATGCTTCGACCCTAGTAGCTGCTCCACCTGTTTAATCAGGGGAGTCTTGGTCGCCAGAGAAGAGCCAGTGACGATGAAAGCCTTGGAGGATTCTGTGGGTAGAGATTCCACGAGATGGTTCTTGACGCTGTTGGGACCGTACCACAACGCTTTGAGGTGGGTGGGCTTCCACAAACCAGCCAGCGGACTACTCGTGGCATCTGTCATGGTGCTGTTGTAGCGACGTGCCGGATAAGCTCTACTTATAAAGTTGGTCAGTTTCGAGCCTTCGTGTTCGGAAACTTGTGGAGATGCAGGCGGTCGCCAGCGCCGAGCTTGCGAAGTCAAGGCCCGGGAGGGAAACGACAGCAGCTTGACATCGATCCAGATGAATTGAATAACCCGGCTGTCAATCCTGCCCCCGAGCGAGGCTCTCAACGCGGCACGGGATACGGTGAGGCTTCATGTACAGCACCTCGAGGGCGACAACATTCCAAGCGCACGGCGGAAGGCTTACCGTTGCAGTTGGAAAGATGTCTGGGCAAGCCTCTCGATGGCGCGAATCGGCATAGTCACGTACCTCAGTTTGTTGGTGTTGGTTGCGGTGGTTTTCCACGGGAGTGCACCTGGGGCGTGGTAGACGTAGCAAGTATGTGATGACGTAACGACTCTCCAGCTCGGGCGGCAGGAACGACTGCAGGCCAACGTCGAAACTCGCCGCAACATGTCGGCTTGGGAGCCCAAGGCCTTATGAGGGACTGCAAATGACCAGTGACTACCGAGTCGGCCTGCGTTCAAGCGCGCCATTGGTGTGCTCGCTGCTGATAAACGGCCGAAACAGCTTCCCCGCGCGATGAATAACACCATTCGAGACAAAGTCGGGACATGTCCGTGATCCGTCATGATTCATCTGCCGAACATCCCCACCTCAACCATGCGGCAACATTGCAGATGACCTGTCTCACTTGTGTATTGCTGCACAGAGCCCCACTAGTAGTCTCACAACTGCCCGACTTCAACGATGACTTGGCTGAGGTTTGCCAGCTCGTGCGCAAACCGGCCCAGGAACAGCCCATCCACCCCATCAACAAGCCTTGCGAACGTGCCAGACCCGGCGCTCCCGCCGTACAGTATCCTGGTCGTGCCCTTCCTCCCGCTGACCATGCTCCGGAGCTCCTTCGTCACGTTCACCACATGGTCCGGATCGGCAGGCTCCTTTGCACCGATGGCCCACACCGGCTCGTAAGCCAGAATCACCTCAGCGTCATCGGGCACGGCTGCTAGCACCGACGTGACCTGGGGGCGGCACTCGTCGACAGCCAAACCGACCGCCTGTGACGCAACCGAGCCGTGCGTCTTCTCGCCGATGCAGACGAGAGGAATGTGCCCGTGCTTCACTGCCGCCGCAGCCTTCTTCGCTACCTGGCCGTCATTCTCGCCGAATATGCTTCTGCGCTCGGCGTGTCCCATCTCGATCAGCCTGACGCCTGCTTGCTGCAACGTCAAGGGCGAGACCTCGCCCGTGTATGCGCCGCTTGTTTCCCAGAACGCGTCTTGTGCTCCGAGCAGGACTGGCGTGTCTTGCAGTATGCGCCGGGCCTCGAGAATGGTGACGAAGTCGGGGATGACGAAGAGATCGACGTTGTTTGCTTGGGCGTGCGACGAGAGCTCCGCAACTCCCTTGATGTAGGAGAGGGTGCGGTCCAGGTCGAAATACATCTTGAGACTGGTCCCGACGATGCGGCGCGGGCGTGGTGCGGCCATGATGTGAGGAACGAGTGATGGTCTCAGCTATGGAGGTGGGCTGTGAGGGGGCTGCAACACATGCACAGCGTCATTCTTGTAGTGTGAGGGGCCCCGCGGGCGCGGTGGAATGCTACATTGGGTAACCCGAATTCCAGGGCACGGTGGCCCTTTTAGACCCCGTGTGAGCAGCGCAGGCTTGGGGACGCGGCGTGCGGAGGGGGAGAAAAAATTGTGCAAACGTCCATGCCGCCGGCGACTTTCGGCTGGGGCTGCGTCACGATGCGCCAACGGCCGGACCACCTGCAACCTCGCGACATTGGACGACGGAATAAACCTCCGCCCGACATCCATCACCGTGGACGCCAACCACAACCCTCATCGACCGACCGACCGGCCCGAAACGTCGACCCCGATTTCCCCAGACACGCACACGCATTCCTGGCCCGGATGATGTCAGAAGACCTATATGCGCGACCTTCTCTGGTTCTGCCTTGGCCTCGTTGTGCGTGCCTAGAACAGTCGTCTTGTTGCCAAACGGGCCTGGAGTTTATTGGATTTGTGTCATCGTCGGGTCTGGCTTTGGGGTAATCACGACAAGGCCAGAAGCGTTGCATCCGTTTGGTGCTGCAACCTGGAAGTATCAGTGACAGTCGAAACGCTGTTTGCCACTTGGTGCACTGCACTTTCTGCTTCTCACTCGGTGTGACCTTGAGCCCTTCTTAGAAGATCGCATTCTCTTGTTTATCCTATTGTTCGCTAACACTCAATGACTGCCAAAGCTTTAAGAAAAGTCAAGCCCAAATTTTTTGAAAAGAGAAAACCCGACGTGGTTCCAACAGTTTGATTTCTTTTTGGACCCCGATGCTCTTGCCAAGTCCCTTGCACCTCTATTGGATCTCTTTGGGTTTTGTGCGGTTGCGTTGATCTGAAGAACCAGGTGCCTGTTCCCGACGACGGTTGAGAAGTGCCTCTAACATGACGAGAGCTTCACCAAGGTCGGTCTTGTCTCGCCAGAACGTGTCTGAATCAGGGTCGAGGGTGTTGATGCGTATCTGGATGAAATCGATTCCATCCTGAATTTCTTGCACCGAAGCGTTGGGGGTTATACCATACGAAAGCAACTGCTGCTCACACTTGATGCATTGCCCAGCATCCATTGAATATCCATCAAAGCAACACCAAGGGTGTGGAGATGCTCCGTGAAATTCGGTTAGGTGACTCCAGAAATCTACCATGTTGCAGAATACGGGCTGGTGGCAATCCCGGAACTTGTGCCGTTCTGCATGCTTTCTCATGGTTATATCGGCAACTGCCCTGTCTTCACCCTGTATGGGCTGCTCGTAGTCGCAGAGTGTACATGCGAGGCATACTCCTCCGGAAACTGTAGACTGAGTGAATAGAGAGCGTGGACCACACAAAAAGCGGCAAGACCATAGTGTGCAGTGACACGTTTGGGCATCTCGAGTATTTCCAGTCTCTCCGCTCGACACACAGCTGAAGAACGTATATTAGCTTCTATCGCTTCCATGATGGGACTTCGCATACTTATGTTTCGCCGAGTCCGACCAGTCGGCTTTTGAGTCGTAACCCTGTCTCTCTGGCCACCACTCATCGGGTGTGGCATCCGTCCGGAAATGCTCATCCAAGTGCGCGATCCGCTCTCGCCAGTCTTTGCAGTCATTGCCACAGAACCCGCAGTGAAGGGCTACATCTCCCAGTTGGCGTTCGTTAATGCGGCGCTCGGCTGCACGGATGTGCCTGGATACATCGTCCTTTTCGATGGACTCTTTCATGTGCACCTGTAGAATGTGTTGTTTCAACCCATCCTTGCGGTAAAATGTACGCTCCTCCTCTGGTACGCTGATGCAACTGTGACAATTGTGCTGAGACCAGTCTTCTGGGACTTCCTGGCAGTAAACACATGTGACTTTTGGGCCTTCTCGTGGACTGCACACCCAAATTGTTTGTGGATAGTGAACAGACTCTTCGTGCCGCTTCCACGCGTACTTCTTTGTAAAATAGTCCCCGCATACTGTGCAGAAGTATGATGGTTTCTTCACATGAGATGACTCATGTAGCAAGCTGACAGCGGACCAGGATGAGCCGTCCGGGACGTGTGAGTGGGTTGATGCACGCGGGGATCCTTCAAACGTATGGGCGGTTTTTCGAAACATGCGGCTGTAGTTGTTAGATGATGCGCCGCGCCAATCATCCACGAGGTACGGCGCCACCCGGTGGTGCGGGTACAACCGCCTGCCTTTCCGCCGCGGTCGTAGTTGAGACGATGCATCGCTATAGTCGGATCGAGCGGAGAAGGAGCTTCCGACAGAGGAGCAGCTGTGGCTATCCAAGCTCGAATATCCGGCTTCAGACCCGTTCGCCGAGCCGGCGAAGAGAAAATTTCGGTCAGGTTCCGTCCTTCGAACTGGCGTCAACACATGGGGCCGACGTCGGTGTTCTGTTCTGTGATGGAGGTCATATGCATCTCCTCCCAGTATGATTGGAGTTGAACCACTTTGCATGGATGCTTTCTTGATAGCCTGTAATGAGGCTGCCTCTTCTGGAGACTGCAAGAACCGCTCAAGTGAAGACCTGCTTGATGTTTTCGAGGCCTTTGCCACGGTCTCAACATTTGAGATGCTCAGTTGTGATCCCCCGGAGGAAGTGGAGGTTGCAGATAATGAGACGCTGCTTTTTTGTCGACATTTTGGGTCCTCCGGGGGGTTCTGTCGGGTGGCTGGCGGTCTGAAATTTGGCCCGGTTCCTTTCGTCAAGTTCACATGGGATTCACCATCTGTAGTAAAGATCAGTACCAATATTGAAACATAAACGTAGAACCTTAGCACTCACCTGGTACGTTGTACGATCTTCGCGACCTCGCATTGTTGAACCACGTCCTGATGATCTTCACGTCGCACCCAGTGGACTTGGCCAGTTGAGAAATGTCTTCATGAGTTGGGTACGGGTTTTTTTGGAATTGCTGGTCCAGGACTCTCCGAGCATTTGGAGAAAGGCGGTTTCGCTTCGGTTTGCTCGACCTGGCAAGAGCGCTTTCGTCGCTGAGGGACATGGCAACAGGCGGCTCGGAAGTCTGGTTGCCTAGATCGTCCTCGCTGATTTCGAGAGACGGCCAGTGAGGGCCCGGCGAGTTACCGCAATAATTGAGAGGAGTGTGCATCAGGTCGAGGTCCATCGTTTCCAGAGGCATGATGTTTGGATTATCGCTATCCTGGGGCTCGGTATCAGGCTCAATGCTGTTCTCATGAGGTCCAAACAGAGCTTGTGAGCAATTATGCGGGTATTCGTTGATGTGGGCGACAGGTTCTGAGGAGCGATCAGGGAAGTCCATCAGCTCATCAAAAAGATTCGTGTGTAGAGGATGGTTCTCCGGGATGCCACCGGAGGGAAGAGGCGAGCAGATGCTGCCGGTGTGTGCAACGGCCGGGCTTGTGCAGCCGAAATTGGTGTTACTGATCTCAGCTTCAAACGAAGCAGAGTTTTCGAAGTAATTGTCCATCAGCGCGAGGTCAGAAATGTTGTCAGGAAAGTCGAGTGCCACCTGTGAGTCCGACTTCGCTGTATGATGTGGATCGAGAGCCTCGCCAAATCTTGGCAATTCGAGTTGGTCATTTTCGGCGTCAGGCTGAAGCCAGAAGGCTGCTTGTTGATCCATGACTGAGCCAGCAGATGCGATGATGCGAAATACTATACGGAAAGAGATGAGAAATGTTGACTGTGAGAACGATCATGACATTGAGCCGCCTACTTATAGGACGACAGGCTCAGCAGTGACAATGAAGGTGCGCAGCTGCAAGTTCATCAACACCCAGGTAATCAAGCGAACAGCCTCAACACGTGATTGAACCGCAACCTCCAAGGCCATGAGTCTACCTGCAAAGACCTTCTTGAAATAAAGACAGCGTCTCTCTGCTTGGGCCAATGCAAAAAGTCATCACCACGATGATGTGGATATAGAGCAGCTCACACTGTGTTGTGCAGGCACGTGCGTTTCACAACCCTCAGATGAGGCTGTGCTATTCCCGTCGTGTTTTAATTGAGCTTTCTCTACTTTAAAAGTGAGGGGTCGGTCTTCCGGAGAAGCTCGTTCCAAGGTGACACTTGAACCTTTCTAGACTGTTCATTGCCAATAGCTGTCGCCTCCAGTTCGCATCAAGGCTCCCTGAACTGGGTCGCGCTCTAGGATTTTCCCTTCAGTGCATCTATTGCTATGCTAAATCGCTTGTCAGCAGTCGGATTAGAGCCACTCACTGCAGTAAGTTTCCATCGTTCCCCAAAAGAAGTTAGATGCCGAAGCCATGGTTGCGGGCAGCACTCTGGAGACGAGGTTGAGCAGCGGAGCGGCGACGACATTCACTAGCGGCAGGCCGCAATTCCGGGAGAGGCACTGCAGGTAGGGTGGTACGACTTTGAAGGGTTCTGGCGGGGTTCTTGTGGCACATTGGAAAACCCGGCGGGCCTGGACGAAGAGAGTCGCGAGCAACGGATGGAACTGAAAGCCATCCACTGGTTTTGATTCGGACACACAGCTCGCATTGGTATGTCGTTGCTTCGGTCCGATACCTATATCGAATCCAGGTCGTTGATAACGGGGTACATTGGTAGCGCATGCGGGGTCAAGGCAACCGACTGCATGGAGATTCCGACCTTCACCATCCCTGCGTGACATGAAGGTCAATGGCTTGAACTTTTCTCCGCCGCCGGTGTTGGCTCGGGTTTCGGACATGAATGTGCTCTGAACCTGATGCCCATTGTGGTGAATCTGCGAGAGTGAAGTTGTCAGCTGAAGTAGGATGTAGCCGTCCTCGTCCAGTGACGGGTTGATTGGAGACTTTCGACGGGTCCCCTAAGCGTGGGTTTCTGTGTTTTGCTACGTTGCAGAAGTCTAAAAAGTGGGCTCAGCGCAGGCCAGTCGTGTGTGAGCGCAATTGGCCGGTGGGAGCAGAGGTGCGACGCAGGCTTTCGCGCGGCAGAAGGTCAGACAGCGTCAGCTTCAAGTATCCAGGCTGGCCACACACAGCACCGGCAAGCACCGTGGGCGGCGAGGGGGTGGTCAGCCCGGGCCGCAGGGAACCGATAAGGCTGCATCCATGGCGCGCGCGGCGACAGCAAAACTTGTTGCCGTCCAGCACGCGCCCTTCCCCGCTCCCCAGCCAACGTCACCCGCTACCTGGTCTCCACTTCGCCCACCTCCATCAGCCGTGACCGCCTCCCTCTGCTCCGTCTTGTGAACTGCGCAGGTGGGACCTGCCCGCGCCGCTCAGCAACAAAGCCGCCGCCGCCGTGCCTGGCACTCGGCCAATAAATACCAAGCCTCCGCGCTGCCGTGTGACAGAAGAGGGGGGTCAGCCGCCCGCCAATGGCGCCATGCCGCCTTCACTGCCTCCCTCCTCGTGATTCACATCACAAACCCATAATTCTTTTTAGTCAGGGGAGACTCGGAGCCCCGGCCGACGCATGCGCGATAAAAATGGCAGAGCTTGTCGAAATGCGGAATTTATTGGCACAGCGATCTCTGATCCCCTTGCCTTGCAACCACGTTTCCTCTTCCCCTCCTCTGACTTCTCCCTCTCGCGCTCTGCTGCCCGTTGCTCTTTGCTCGGTCCCGAACCCCGCGCCCGAGCTTGAAATATAAACTCTACCTCCCGCCTCTGTCCCGCCCAACCACCACCCAAGCCCTCTGCTCAATGCCGTCCATCCACGTCATCAAATCCTCTGCCGCTACCATGCCCAAAGACAAGTTGAGTCAGCCCAAGGAGACCTTTTCCGTCTTCAACGACGGCGACTCGGACGACCTCCTCGAGGATATAAAGAGGGAGAAGAAACCAAAGCGAGCCAATCTCACCCCGGCCCCGCCATCCTCGGCCTCGTCGACAACCAAGCGCTTCGAGAGCGCGACCAAGTGCAACTAGTCGACATCGTAGGCGAAAGAAGCCAACCTGCCACCCGTGACAGGATCCGAGTAGCCACAACGCAAAGCCCTTGAGACGGACGCGCTTTTTCCGCACTATGTTTATCTCTCAACCTTACCCGCCCTTCGACGTCTCGGGAGCTGGTTCTCTCGTATTCTTCCGTATACAGGGCCGAAGTGGCGGGCCGACGTGCCAATGTGGGCTGGGCTGGTGGACGCTTTGAGAGATTTCGTCGACTTCTTTCAAACTATGGGAGAAGTAATCATATGTAAGCCCTAGCTCCCATAGAAGTGTCATTCGTGCTTTGCTAAACCAAGTTCAGAATACCCGGTTCTCTTCGTCCTTTTTGTACTGATATACCCCATTGAACCGTCCTGGCCGACCATCGACTCGCGCCAATGGATCGTATAATACTGGGCGTCCTGTACTGGTCGAGATAGATCTCCTTTTGGCAATTTGCTCGCCAAATGCATTCCTTCATCTAATCACATCTTCCTCGCGTGTGTAGTGGAATCCTATGTCTGGATGTCTGCTCCAGCTGCTCATGAAGAAAAGCCATCCAAACCAACGTTTACGTCAGGATATATCCTTCAACTACACGTTCGGAAATTTGTCTAAATCTGCACTTACGTTCCAACAGCTGCTTCTTCTACTACTCACAAAGGAAGCTCGTTAAACCCTATATTTGCGTCCAGATATTTACTTCCACCCTATGAAGAAAGATTGTCTAAACTTACTTTTAAGTCGGCATATTTGCTTCATCTATGTATGAAGGCAGGCTACCTAAACCTACTTTTGCGTCGGGATCAATAGGTCGTTTTTACAGACAATGGCTCCCAACCAACACTGGCCATTCACCCTTACCTGGCTAGTCAGTCAATTCTAACATCCTGAAGCTTCGTCTGTATTCAGGACAGTTTGAGTCGGAAATATATATAAATCCGTCGTAAGTAGCCCTTTCTTAATACAAGCGATGAACAGGTAGACTTCCCAACATATTAGTGCAACTCAAGTTCATTTTGAAGGGTTGGACCACTCCGTGTATTGATATTTGCCGTGGAATAACGTATTTTCGACGAGTAAACTACGCGTACATAGTAGCACTTACAAGTAGTTGCTTCCAAAATGACACGTGAAAAGCTAGAAAAGAAGGGCTTCCTCAAACCATCCCCTTCACACTGCTCGAACAACTGAGCTAGGAAATGCTTCTGTCGTTCGCCTCTGCACATAAATAGAAAAGGGGGGAATTTGAGAGTTCGAACATCCACCGCAAGAAGAGAGCAAGCAAGTAAACATCATAGAGTGAACAGAAGCAAAATGGGAATTAAATGCACCTCCCTCCGCTAACCCAGTCTAATCCCGATCCGACCCAAGCTCCACTTTACGCGACGGTTCCTCCGAACCTCACCTACAACCCTCGCTCTAGCCACTGCTGGAGTAAGCCTTGTCGACCTCCTTCTTATACTTATCCAAAATGCCCTTGCGGTTCAGCTTCTGGGCGGCGGTAGTGAGACCCTGGTGCAGCCATGACGTCAGTAATCGGTCCGTTTTCTCCCAGACAACAGCATAAGAAACAAATAAACAACCAGTTGAAAACTTACATTTTGCGGGTTCCACTCCTCATCCGCGAGGACTACACCGTCGAGAATCTCAAACGAAGCGAGACCGCCCTTGCGACCAGCATCCTGTAGCTGCTTGAGCACATTGCTGTTGATTTTGGGGTCGTGGACAAGCTCCTCCAGGTGCTCGCCCTTCAGACCGAGATCCCCCGCAAGCTTCTTGAGAGCGGGCTCGGCGGGAACGATGATGGCAATGGGCTTGTGCTTGTCCTGGGCGGCGTAGATACAGATGTTGGCGACAACGGGAACGGAGCGGTAGATGGACTCGAGCTGTTGGATGTGAGCGGCTCTGCATCATTCAAACGGGATCAGAGCTTAACTGTACCTTCTCAAGTGCAATGTACTCTCCTGCCAGAGTCTTGACGAGGTTCTTCTTGCGGTCAATGATGCGGAGCTGACCCTTTGCGTCAAACTCGCCAATGTCACCAGTCTTGAACCAGCCATCCTCAGTGAAGTTCTCCTTCGTCTCCGACTCCAGGTCGAGGTAGCCCTCCGTGACACCACCACCACGGATCCAGATCTCACCCTGCGGCGGGACGTTCTTGGCGAAGTAACCGGCATCCGCGAAATCCACCAACTTGACTTCAATGCAGCCGGGGATTTCGCCCAGCGCCGAATCAGTATACGCCAGAGGATCCATGAGCGCTCCCATACTGTTTCCTGTCAGCGATGATCACGTCGGAATAAATTGAGTTGGCTTACGCAGCAGTTTCAGTCAAGCCGTATCCGCTGATCATGGGCGTGATGGCCATGGAAATGAAGTGTTGCGTGTCCCTCGCGATCGGACCGCCACCGTTCATGGTAATCCTCAGCCTGCCACCAGTAGCATCCTTGATCTTGTTGAAGACCAGTGCGTCCAGGAGACCCGCGCCGGGAAGACCAGTGCTCATCAAGAAGTTCTTGGCAGCCAATGCTCCCCAGAACAGGTTCTTCACAACGAAGTTGCCATTGTTAACCTTGCCCATGATACCCTTCTTCACGGACTCCCAAACAGCGGGCACACCGACGAGAATGGTAGGCTTGAATTCGCGAATATCACCCTTGCAGTTGCGCACAGACACATCCGAGAGAGTGCGGGGGTTACCGTAACCCATGGTGCCACCCCAGAAGAGGACCGCGTTCTCAAAGACGAACTCCAGAATGTGCGCGAGAGGGAGGTAGGTAAGCAGGCCGTCGCCAGGGCCAATGTAGGGACCAACGATAACGTCAACACCGGTAACTGTACTTTGTCAGTTTTTTTCCTCATGCTCAAAGTCTACCGTTGTTCCTTACTTGCTGCAACCACGTTCCTGTGCTTCAGCAGAACTCCCTTCGGTGTGCCGGTAGAGCCACTGGTATACATGATGCAGCACAGGTCCTCAGGGCTCGGTGGCGTAGGGTCAATTGGCGAATCCGCTCCCAGTTTCCTGAGCTCGCTAAAGGCTCTAATTGTGAGGTGAGGGTGCTCGCCCTTTAGCTTCTCAATGTCCGACTGCTTGACCTCCTTGTCCACGTCATTGTAAATGACATGCTGAATGTCCTTAGCAGTCTGCAGCGGCTTGATGAGCTTGGTGAGGAGCTGGGGGTCGAGGAAGATGGCCTTCGCGTTGGTTTGCTCGAGGGAATGCCTGAGACCCTCCTCCCCGAGCGTGTCGTAGGCGGTGACGATGGGCATCGATTGCGAACCGGCACCTAGAAATGGTTAGCGCTTTCCCAACCGGCGGTTGCGAGCATGTGACCTACCATGTGCTATTGCGAGCCATTGAGGGCTTCGACGAGGTCAGCGCCGGTCAGACGATTAGGGGAAACGGAGCCTACCTGGTGGAAGCAAAGATGTGCACACGGTCGGGAGAGGTGAGTCCGATTGCGCGGAATCCGGCGCCAAGGTCTATCGCGAGCTTCTCAAACTCGACGAAGCTCATGTACTCGTAGGGGCTCAGCTCGAAGTAAGTCCACTTCTTGTCGACCTGCTCCTCCTTGCCATCGACCATCTTCTTGATCTTTTTGGTCTCGGTGTGTTCCTGGACGAGCTTGCGGTGACCGAGCGCCTTCGCGTTGCCGAACTTGGCCGACGCATACTTGAGGATGTCGAAAATGGTGGCGATGTCGTCATGGGGGCGCATCTTCAGGGCATCCTTGGTGCGGTAATTGCGACGCGGGATGGTCTCGCCCTCGACTGCCTCGTAGCCGGGGGCCTCGACAGTGAACGGTCCCTTCTTGTAGGGCCGCGGCTGCGGCACCATGGTCTTGTAGTTTTGCGGCATGATGGGCGGGAGTGCAGAGCTCGTTCGCGCTCAAAGGCTGGTGACGAAGAGTCGGCGGGAAAGGGGCGCTGGGTGGGGCGCGGGAGCTCGCGGTGGATGAGGGCGAGCGGTGCAGCAGAGAGAGAGAGAGAGATGGAGAGGGAGAAGTGTGTTTGGGAAGGAGCTTGCGGGCCAGGTTCAGGATGAAGGCGCGGGAGCCGGAGTGACGTCTAGCGGGCCGTCGCCAGGAGCTACCAGCCACGAACGAATCCTGGCCCGCCAGACCCTGCCAGGTGGCCTGCGCTCAACAAAATTCCCACCATCGACAACCTGCACCTGCTGCGCGACCAGATAACAGGCTGCGCCCGCCTGACCCTGTTAGCATCCGCCCGCAGCCGCCGTCGCAGGACACCGCCCCGGCCAAGGCAGCCGCAGGAACCTGGCGCACGCGGGAATTGCTGGGCGCGTCGCCATTTTCCCGGGGCCCCGGGCCCAAGCCATGGACGCGCTGAACGCGTTGTTGTGTGCCCTGCCTGACGAGGTGGTCGATCCAGAAGAAGGTGATTCGCGCGCCAGACGTGACGCCCACCACAGCAACTCGTCCGCTAAACCCCCCGTTTGGCAGACGCCTTTCTGGTCTTCTCGCAGCCAGTGCCCTCGCACGAGCTTGGCATTCTCGACCCCAAATCCGCGTCGTTGGATGTGACCGTTGCCGGCCGCGACCTGACCATCGCGCAGTCCCCCAGCCTGCTCACCTCCAACCGCGCACTGGGCAGCACCGGCGCCGTCGTGTGGAAAGTCACGCCGCTCTTTGCCGAATGGTTGGCGTCAGACGCCAACATCCTGTTCAGAAGCCACGCCCTCACCCCGCACTCGACCGTTCTGGAGCTGGGCTGCGGCGTGGCTGGCATCGTTCCATTGGTCCTAGCACCGCGCATAGGCAGATACGTAGCCACCGATCAGGACTACGTGTTAAGACTGCTGAAACAAAACATCGCCCAGAATACCACCCTACCGTCCGCACGCCGCGCAAAGCCTCAGAAGTTACGCGCCAGGGCAGAGGGGGCCTCGGCTGGCAACATCGAGACGCTGACGTTAGACTGGGAGCGTGATTCGGTGGCCGCTCTTCCCCAACAACTAAAACAGCAGCCTGATGCATCAGATGATGTCGGAGTCGACGCCGTCATCGCCTGCGACTGCATCTACAACGAGGCCCTAATCGAGCCTTTCAACAATACCTGCGCGGACATATGCGCCTTACGTGCGAAAGACAACCGCCCTACCTTCTGCATCATTGCACAGCAGAGGAGAACGTATGAGGTCTTCGAGCAGTGGCTGATCTCTTTCCACGAGCGGTTTCGGGTATGGAAGCTGTCAGACGAGCATTTGCCCGATGGCTTGCAGGAAGATTCGGGCTTCATGGTGCACATCGGTGTTCTGCGGTAGCGGCATGCTCGCCACTCATCGCACTGAAGTTTCCTTTTTCGGCTTCCAACCTTGATATTGCTGCGCCGCGCAAGGGGCCGGCGGAGGCTCGGACTCCGGCGCCCTCTACCGACCGATTTTACTACGGCCGATATGTTGGTAGGATTGCTGCCGAGCCGTGCGAAACGCATCTCATGTGAGAAAAGGAGAAACAACGAAATTCTGGAAATTCGTACTCGAAAATATTCATCAAACGCCTTTGGGTGAAGATCATCAGGGACCGATGTGGATCACTTGATCGCTAAATGCGCATATGATGCGAAGAGCACGCGATGTGAGCGCCGGCGATCACACAACAGGAAATGCTTGGCCGTCTTCGCCCACATCCAACTGCCCTATCTACCTAGGCCCTCCGTGCCGAATGCTTATAACAATCTAAGGCATACCCGCTCCTATAGTCTGTCTGTGGATCCATTTAGCGATGGGCCATTTCGCTTCTTATTACAGTTCCGCAATAAGCGTCTTCAAGCGAGACAGATTTGAGCCATTTTCGCCCTGTCGCGGGACAGCAGGCCCACTGACAGCAAAGCAATCTCATGATACTGCGACCAGCCAACCGAATAGACCTGCTCGCTACTGCGACCGCAACCAAAATGTCAAGACTCAGTCTTCGTTATCGCATCTCGAATTTAGCAACTGAGCATACGACATCGCAGAGAGGGAGAAATTATGGTGGTGAAATTAGATCATCAACACGAACTGAAATGCTTGATAAATCGAAAAGGACATTCATATCCAGAATTTAATTCCATCGTACGGCAATACCGAGCGAACCTGTCTGATATTGGCCTTTGCTAGGTTTGATAGCGAGTACATGGTATCAGCAGGTCCATCACGCAAGAACAGCGTCGGTATTTACTCGGGAAAGTAGGTTTGCATGGATGAACGGGACTGGTAGACCTACTGCATTATTGATCAGACACATCATAGTGGTCTGCTTCCGACTGGTAGGTAAGTGCGGCTTCATGCGTTAAAGGGCTTATTGTATATGCATTTATCGGTCGAGCAATATTGTAACGCCTAAGGACCACATTAATGGTAATAGTACTTAATTATATACGATAATGAAAATTCATTTGGCTGCCTACTTTAATACAGGCCACTTGCGATTTTGATGGCAATTGCCCACTGATACTTATTATAACGAATGGAATCTAGTATCTGTAGCTTTTGGGTCTTGCGTGACTAGTAAGAACCGACTATGACGGTAAGCTACTACACGCTCCGGTGTCCTGTCTCTGCACCACGGATCTCACTAACGGAAGATCTATGAGGAAACTCTGAATACCTTAGATATATGAATACTAGCCTTGCGCTGAGACACCTTAAGGTTCTCGCGTGGGGTCACCGCGTGCCGAATCATTAACCAGACTTTTTGACTTATATGCGCACCCTCAGTAAAGAGGGAAGGCGGTCTTGCTCAGGCAGGTTTTTATGGGGAAAATGGCTTTTCCAGGTCCGCAAAAGAAACTTTCCAGTCGATATAAAGATGGACAAACCCATCAGTAATTAGCTTACGGGTCGAGCTCTCGGCCTGCCATGATCCTAAATGAGAATCTGTGATGTCATCAGTAGTAAGACAAGAAAGAGAAAGGAGTAGTGGTTGCAAAAGTGGTTGCCGGACCGGATTTCGGGGACGAATAATCGTGTGGGGAAAAGACCTCGGCCCCAGGTACAGCTCCACGCTTCCCCGCCGGCTGATGCGCATCGCCCGCTGTCGCACCCAATCGAACACGATGCCTCTGCCGAAACTCAGAGCTTTTGTCTCCCGTTTCCTCGTTAGCTGAGCCTTCGTCTCTCGGATACACCCCAATTGATCCCCACAATGGCTTCCACACCAAGCTTCAGCACACCCCCACCAAAGACGCAATACTGCATCCTCTCGTTCCCAGCCCCCTATGTCTTACTCGTCACCCTCAACCGGCCCAAGGAGCTCAACTGCATCAACACGGCCGGTCACGCCGAGCTCGACGAAGTCTGGACCTGGCTAGACCGCGAGCCCGCCCTTCGTGTCGGCATCATCACCGGCGCCGGGCGCGCCTTCTGCGCGGGCGCAGACCTCAAAGGTACGCATAGCACACGCGCGCTCCGCCCTCCCTTCCCACATTCCCAGAGCTAACCGCCGCCCTCCGCACTACAGAATGGAACCAATCCAACTCATCCAACACGCCACGCCAGCAACCCAGCGCCTCAGGCTTTGGCGCGCTGTCGCGGCGCTCGGGGCTGAAGCCCGTCATCGCGGCCCTCAACGGGCTGGCGTACGGCGGCGGGTGCGAGATGGTCATCAACGCGGACATCGTCGTCGCGGCGCCCTCGGCGACGCTCGCCCTGCCCGAAGTCAAACGTGGCGTCGTCGCGCTGGCCGGCGCGCTGCCCCGCCTCGTGCGCACGGTCGGGAAGCAGCGCGCCATGGAGATGTCGCTGACGGGACGCACCGTGTCCGCGCAGGAGGCGAGGGAGTGGGGGCTGGTGAACAATGTCGTAGGGGAGGGGGAGGGGGAGGTTGTGAAGGAGGCGGTGCGGCTGGCGGAGATGATTGTGGGAAATAGCCCGGATGCGGTGATTGTGACTAGGGAGGGCGTGAAGATTGGGTGGGATGGCTTGGGCGCGGAGGATGCGACGAGGATTTGGGGGGAGAGTTGGTATCCGAGACTGCTGGGTGGTGAGAACATGAAGGAGGGTGTGAGGGCGTTTGTGGAGAAGAGAAAGCCAGAGTGGAAGGCCCCCAAGCTGTGAGGCACGGAACTGTTATTGAAAAGTATAAGAAGAGAACGGGCTGAAATTGAGATCCATTAGCCAATATCATGAGATTTACAAATACTGTCAAAGAGGTGCATACAATGCGTACTTTGGCTGCATAGGCATGTAGTCACAGCAGGATTCGATGACGTATGACATCCCGGAAGTGCATATGTACGCGCCCGTGCTATGGCCTGCCATGAGTGATCACAAGAACTGTCTGAGCCAGCAGCCCCGTCGTACGAAGCCATGGCGTTTGGGATTACCTCTTACAGAACGACACTGAGCCTCTTACGGGATTAAAGACTACTAAACCTCGCGCACGAAGTGTCCCAAATAGGCAATCCGACGGTATTTCCATTTTCGAGAGCTCCAGCTCCTCTCCCCTCCTCCAGACTGCCCGCATCCCGCTGCAGCGATTGACCCCGCATATAAGCCTATGACCCTCTGTTGCGTAAGATGGCGGCGTTTGTTCGACAGTACGTAGGTAATACTGAAGTTCATTCCAGCTCTCCTGCACTTCGAATTTTGTCATTCACATTCTTCCTCCCCATCCCTCCCAAATTTACTCATACTCAGTTTTTGCTGTTCCGAGCCGTGACACAACTGCGCAATGTCGGTTGTCGTCGAGCAAACAATCCCCTGGTCGCCTGAGACCCTCGATCTCACCAACCCACAACGCTGGACGACACTGTTCCCTCTTCTCCGGCCTTCTGTTGTCCCAGTCACTACCAGCAAGGGCCAGACCATCCTCCTGAATCGTGCTCTAAGCAACAGTCCGCACATTCAGATCGCAGCGATTGGACGTTCTGGGAACTTCTCCAGCAAGTTTCTGTCGGATTCTCACATTACCGCAATTGTCACTGAGACATCTGGCGCTGGTATACTTACAGCACAAGATATCCGGCATGCACTGGAGCGGAACGGCATCAATGTTGGACAGGGGCTTGCTGTGCTGCGCGCTGGGAGAGAACGACGAGTGACTGGGCCGGACAACGATGTTGTCGAAGTTGTGACGGATGGAGAGCTGGAGTTTGATCATCTGCTGAGTCTGCTTGAGCATGCGACCGAAGCCGCGAGGTCTATAGCCTGTCTCTTCTTTTGCTGCCGCGAATCTCTACTCACTGTGCGAATAGGACATCTATCCATCAGACGGCCGAGCTCCTGAAATTGTTCATGAAGACGGCTGCCACAACGAAGTCTGAGTTCCACCCAGCAAAACAGGGAGAGAATGCTTCGATCGTGCACGAAGTAGGACGCGAAGAGTTCGAAACAGCTACCAAGGCACTCGAGAAAGACCTCACACACGTTCTCCGATCACAAGCTTCGCAAACAGGCTCAGTGACGTACTCAGTCCACTACTCCGACATCAACGGCCTGTCGCAGTTGGAGAATTACATCGTCGCGTACGAAATATCGAATTACCTTGGTTCGTTCAACTAATCCAGTCTTTAGCAGCTTCAACACAAGAGCATAGCTTACGAAGCAGTCAGACGCCCAAAGCACCCCCTACCGACTCTCATCCTCCCCCCTCATCGCCCCCGACCCCCTTTCAGCACGCGGCTGGGCCATCTCAGTCTGCGCCATACCCACCCGCTTCCTCTCCGCCCAATCCAAGCCACCAAACCCGCTTTCCGCACCCTCCAGTCCCACCAGCACCGCGGCCAAGCCCGCCCACACCGCCGCCGCCACCACCACCACAACAGCACCCGCGCTCCCCGACGCCCTCGTCCGCTCGCGCGTCGCCCTCGGCTGCGCCGCCCTCATCGCCGCCGAGCCGACCATCACGCACTACGACACGATCGTCGGCGACGGCGACTGCGGCCTGACGCTGCGCGACGGCGCGCAGAAGGTGCTTTCCTTCATCGACAACGACGACGACGACGGTGGCGCCGGCGTCGTCGATCTCTCCAGCCGCAGCCTGCCGCGCGTGCTGGCGGCGCTGGTCGACGACCTCGAAGTCACCATGGGCGGGACCAGCGGGGCGCTGTATTGCATTTTCCTGTCGGCGTTCGGCAGCGCGCTGGCGGCTGACGATAACGACGGCGACGACGATGTGCCGCGGGCGTTGGAGGGGGCGCTGGAGCAGCTGATGCGGTACACGAGGGCGCGGAGGGGGGATCGGACGTGCTTGGATGCGCTGATTCCGTTTGTCGAGACGCTGGCGGGTGGGGGTGGGGCGGAGGAGGCGCTGAGGGCCGCGGAGAGCGGCGTGGAGGAGACGAAGGAGATGGAGGCGAGGCTGGGGAGGAGCACGTATTTGGATGAGAGCGCGACGAGGGGCGTGCCGGATCCGGGGGCGTATGGGTTGTTCGTGCTGTTGGAGGGGTTGTGCGGGGTGAAGAGGACGTCGAGTTAGGTGGTGTTTGGGTCGTGGTCTCTTATTCATGTCATTTGCTTCAGTAACGGTTGACATTCCTACGGCCCTGTAGGTGAGAAGGTTTTCTGAGTTTTGATCATCCAGAGTACGTGCTTTCGATGGGTCATCGTTATCTGTCAACTGAGTAAGCATTCCAGATGCCTTAGTATGTGGGGAAGCCACGCACATTCCTGTGTCGTATCACGTACTTTCCTGGGAACTGTTTCTTCTAAGCCCGACAGCAAGAGATTTGTACGCAGCTCCGCCGTTAGCTCAGGCTCGAATCTGACTTCCTTTGTTTTTCACTACACCATCCTCGTGGTATTTCAGTCGTACGGTATAGTCGGATCTCAGCCTCCCTTGAGAGTCATGATGTTCCGGCTGTCTGTCTATCCTACAGGAACTGCTGCTGAGCTACAACTAGAACAGAGCGGGGAGTAATCGGTTTGGGACAAGGATACCAAGGTGAGTGTACGGGAAGCTGAGAGCATCGGGCACCTGCCGGGTGGTAATAGCGCGTAGCTAGCGCGCAAATGGGACAAACTCCCGAGGTTCAGCCGGCGGAACCAGCTGTTTATCGCGGCGTGTTTACCAACGTCTGACGCGAGTGCGCGAACGCCGACCGACACCGACGACGACGACGACGACGTACCGCCACAGCCATGAGGATTGTGGAGGTAGTCATAGACGTTCGTGCGCCGCCCCATGCGCGCGTTGCCCTCTCGCTGACCCCGCACGCAGGGCTTCAAGTCGTACGCCGTCCGTACTGTCATCTCCGGATGGTGAGTTGCGCCAACATGTCTTCCGACATTGCTCGCAAACGCGCTGACACTGGTCGCAGGGATGAGAGCTTCAATTCCATCACCGGTCTCAATGGTTCCGGAAAATCAAACATCCTTGACTCAATATGCTTCGTCCTCGGTATCACGAACATGACGACCGTCCGCGCGCAGAATCTGCAGGTACGCTCTGCTGGAGGATACATAATTGGGGTACGGCAGCAGCTGATTTGGTGGAAAATGTAGGACCTAATCTACAAGCGTGGTCAAGCCGGTGTCACGAAGGCTTCTGTCACCATAGTCTTCGACAACTCGAACAAAAGCAAATCCCCGATCGGGTTTGAAGAGTACGCGCAGATATCCGTGACGCGTCAGATTGTCCTCGGCGGCACCAGCAAGTACCTCATCAACGGTCACCGTGCCCAGCAGCAGACCGTCCAGAACCTCTTCCAGTCCGTCCAGCTGAACATCAACAACCCGAACTTCCTGATTATGCAGGGCCGCATCACTAAGGTCCTGAATATGAAGGCTGTCGAAATTCTGGCCATGATCGAGGAAGCCGCCGGCACGCGCATGTTCGAGGACAGGAGGGACAAGGCATTCAAGACGATGGCGAAGAAGGACATGAAGCTGCAGGAAATTTCCGAGTTGCTGAAGGAAGAAATTGACCCCAAGCTGGAAAAGCTCCGAGCCGAAAAGCGCGCCTTCCTCGATTTCCAACAGACCCAGAACGATGTCGAGCGGCTGACGAGGCTGGTCGTGGCGCACGACTATCTCAAATACCGAAGCAAGCTGGACAAGTCGGTGGAAGATCTGGAGAGCAAGAAGCAGCGCGAAAAGGACCTCGAAGAGTCCGTGGAACGGATGAAAAACGAGATCGAACTGCTCAAAGAGGACATCAAGAAGGTCAAGGGCGACAGAGAAAAGGAGTTGCGTAAGGGCGGCAAATTCCAGGGCTTGGAAGAGGTAGTCAAGAAGCATTCACACGAGGTGGTTCGATTGACGACTGTCATTGACTTGAAGAAATCCGGCTTGGCCGAAGAAACGGACAAACGCAAGAAGCTTCAGAAAACCGTCGCGGAGCTCGAATCCCAGCTCAAAGAAAAAAGCAAGATTTACGAGCAGCTACAGCAGAAGTACAATACCTCGCATGCAGAACTGGCCAAGCAGACTGAGGAAGTTGAGAAGAAGGAAGAACTCATCTCCACTCTCCAAACCGGTGTTGCATCCAAGGAAGGACAGGAAACCGGTTACCAGGGTCAGCTTCAGGACGCACGAAATCGCGCAAGTTCTGCGCAAACCGAACAGGAGCAGGCCAAACTCAAAATTTCCCACTTGGAGAAACAGATCAAAGAGGCGGAGCCGCGAGCGAAAAAGGCCAAAGAGCAGAATTCGGGACTCCTCACCGAGCTGGAAGGCTTACGAAAGCAAGCCCAAAAGCTTGAGGGTGACCTTGGCAAGCTGGGCTTTGAACCCGGTAAGGAGGAGGACATGTACAAGGAACAGGCACAACGGCAACAACGCATTCGCGAGCTCAGGGAACAGTCCGAGGCCCTGAAACGAAAAGTTGCCAACATCGACTTCAGCTACAGTGACCCTTCACCCAACTTTGATAGGTCCAGGGTAAAGGGTCTCGTCGCTCAGCTCTTCTCTCTAGAGAAAGAGCACACCCGAGCCGGCACCGCTTTGGAGATTTGTGCAGGTGGCCGTCTGTACAATGTCGTCGTTGACACTTCTGAGACCGGTACTCAGCTTCTGCAAAACGGCAGATTGAAGAAACGCGTCACTATTATTCCTTTGAACAAGATTTCTGCTTTCAAAGCATCAGCACAGGTAAAGAACCTGGAACTCGGTTTTTGCAGATATTCTGACTGAATTACAGAAAATCGGCGCCGCTCAACGGATTGCTCCCGGAAAGGTTGACCTTGCGCTATCCCTCATCGGCTACGACGACGAGGTTACAGCAGCGATGGAGTACGTCTTCGGCTCCACGCTTGTCTGCGAGGATGCTGAGACGGCAAAGCGTGTCACCTTCGATCCCTCGGTCCGGATGAAGAGCGTTACTCTTGAAGGTGATGTCTATGATCCATCGGGTACGCTTTCCGGAGGTAGCTCTCCTCAGACTAGTGGGGTTCTCGTCACACTTCAGAAGTTGAATGAACTTGCGAGGGAGCTCAAGGCTCAAGAACAGGCTCTAGCTACGCTCTCGTCAACTATGGCGAGGGAGAAGAAGAAGCTTGACGCTGCCAAGAAGATCAAGCAAGAGCTTGACCTGAAGACACACGAAATCAAGCTTGCGGAGGAGCAGATCAGTAGCAATTCGTCGGCTTCGGTAAGAAGACTCCTCCAAAAGGCTTAGAAATTACCACTAATTCGCTTCAGATCATCCAAGCTCTCGAGGAGATGAAGTTAACAGTCACCCAACTGAAGCAAGGCATCATTGACGCGAAAGTGCGACATGATGAAGCATCCAAGGAAGTCAAGCGCATCGAGCGTGACATGAACGAGTTCAGCAAAAACAAGGACAGCAAGCTCGCCGAGCTTCAAAAGTCACTTGATCAGCTCAAGAAGGCATTGACCAAGAACAATGCTTCCATCAAACCCCTTCAGCAGGAGATGAGGGACGCAATGCTCGAGTCTGAGCAGTGTGGCAGTGATCTTGCTGCTGCCCAGGAACAGTTGCAAGATTCCATCACGACCTTATCCGCGCAACAAGAGGAGATTGATGGGCTTATTCGAGAGCAAGCGACGGCAAAGGACGCACATGAGATGGCAGCCGCCCAGCTGGAGGACGAGCAGGCGAAGCTCACCGGGTTCGATGAGGAGCTGCGTGCCCTCGATGATGCCATAAGCTCCAAATCCAAGTTGATCACAGAGGACAGCCTCGAGCTACAAAAACTTGGCCACCAGATCGAGAAGTTCGATAAGGAACTTCAAGGCGCCAAGCAGGCTGTGTCGACGCTGGAACAGGATCATGACTGGATCGTCGACGAGCAGGAGCAGTTTGGCCGACCCGGCACGGCGTATGACTTCAAGGGCCAGAACATGTCGGAATGCAAAGCCACATTGAAGAACCTCACGGAGCGCTTTGAAGGCATGAAGAAGAAGATCAACCCGAAGGTCATGAACATGATCGACAGCGTCGAGAAGAAGGAGGTCTCGCTAAAGAACATGATGCGCACCGTCATCCGCGACAAGCGCAAGATCGAAGAAACCATTCAGTCGCTCGACGCATACAAACGCGACGCGCTTCAGAGGACGTGGGAAAAGGTCAACTCCGACTTCGGCAACATCTTCAACGAGCTGCTTCCTGGCTCGTTCGCCAAGCTCGACCCGCCCGAGGGCAAGACGATCGCCGACGGCCTCGAGGTCAAGGTCTCGCTGGGCAAGGTGTGGAAGCAGAGCCTGACCGAGTTGTCGGGTGGTCAGCGTTCGCTCGTCGCCCTGTCCCTCATCATGGCCCTCCTGCAGTTCAAGCCCGCCCCGATGTACATCCTTGACGAGGTCGACGCCGCGCTGGATCTGAGCCACACGCAGAATATTGGACGACTGATCAAGACGAGGTTCAAGGGTAGCCAGTTCATCGTCGTCTCGTTGAAGGATGGGATGTTCCAGAACGCCAACCGTATCTTCCGGACCAGGTTCAGCGATGGTACCAGTATTGTGCAGGCGCTGACGCCGGCGGACTTGAAGTAAGGGCGCCGACAGAAGCTGGGAGGGCGAGATGATTAAGACTTGAATGATGCTGGCGGCATTTGTGCGGATTCGCATGGCGTTTGGGAAATTGAACTTAGGGTAACATGGCCGTGACAAGGCTGGCCGCGACTGCGTTGGCGCTTTGGGGGTTTCTCACTGGGTAGACTGTTAGGGTCTAGCGGTGTCTTCTGTCGATTGATGGTGATACCAGGCGTTCCTCGTTATTGTATGGAAAATTCAAGGCGCTTAAGACAACTTAAGATATACTAAGTCGGTGCTGTAGAATGTACTGGTCTTTCGTGGGTGTTTGCTCCGCTACAATATGCGACTACCTACTTCTCAATGAAGTGACTTGATTCGGATTCGCAGAATTGCTTGCTTTTCTCATCCTACGGTGAAGCAGCTCGTTTCTAAGCGGGTTGCAGAAAATCTGAGCCCTCTTATATGGGCAGTGGAAGCAACTATCCGGATGTAACTATGGCATTTCCAAGCCGTCTTGCGTAAGCAGTCGAAGCAAACTTCCCGACGTGGACATGAGTTCTGTAACTGAACATATATGCATCCGGACACTAGGTCGAGCTGCCCTCAGCTCTTTTGCAAGTCTGCAGCACGGTCTGCGGCCATGAACTGTGCTGAAAGCGTGGAGCCGGACTGTAAGACTTGTAGCCAACAGATTACTAAATTGGTAGAACATGTATGCAATTAAAGTCTATAGGCATCTCTGACTGATCATAAAAAATGTTCCCATCAGTCACGTGTTTTTGCCGACCATCCAGGAGACCATATGCAAACAGGAATTCTTCCTCTGCTCAATCAATGAAGTCGTGATATCAACCCAACGCCCCGCTTTTTCCCAGCATTCACGTAATCCTGTCTGTCCGTCATGCCGATGCCACGGACTTGCGGTCGCCTCCCCAGCTGGGCTCCTTGCCAATCTTCGCCCAGAACTGCTTCCGCTCCTCAAAGACCAGCTCGGCCCAGGCCTGGATCTCAGGCAGGACGATCTTGGTGGCGACCCAGGTGAACTCGCCGACGTCGAGACGGCCTTCCTGGGCGCGCTCGTACTCCATCATCTGCAGCAGCAGCTCCATCTTGTCGATGTCGTGCACGTACTTGGCCTCGAGCGTCTCGCTGTCCTCGTACTCCTGCCACACGGCGCGGATGTCGGCGCCGGTGAGCCCGCCCCCGAACTTGCCCAGCAGGCGCGTGCATATGTAGTCCATGGTCTCGGACTCGCGGCGCGACTTCTCCTCCTTCGAGATGGGGTCCACGGGCGTGATGTCGCCGACCAGCGCCTCGGCCATGTCGTGCACGAGCGCCATCTTGGTGCAGTGCGGGATGTTGAGCTTCGCCGAGAGCGACGCTGGCGCTAGCATGGTGAGTATGGACATGCGGTACATGTGGTCCGAGATCGACTCGCCGTGCAGGATGCCGAAGCGGCGCCAGCCCTCGCGCTTGGTGGTCTTTAGGCGCTCCAGCAGGTGGAAGAAGGGAAGTGGCGAGTCGGTGTCAGGTACGGGCGGCGAGGAAAGCTCGGCGAGGGCTGTTTCGTTTCGCGGTGTGCATGTCAGCGAGGCGGTTGTTCTGGGGCTGGGGGAGAAGGGCGCTGGGGAGGCGAAGTAGAGCGTGCCTACACGGTTGACTTTACCGCAACCGACATACCGGATTCGGGGGTCCATTTGGCGCTCGGGACATCCTTCTCGGAGATTATGCCGGAGGTAGGCTCTGGAGTGAGGTTTAGCGACTGGCTCTCGAGGTGGTTCGGCAGCGGTGAAGCTCACTGGGAGAATCATTTGTTTCTGGCGCATTGGGAGGAGCCATGGTAGCGGATCGCGGGGCAGCAGTACGGGTTGCTGGTGCTAGAGTGATGCAGATGCAATTTGCAGCTCGTAGAAGGCAGAAGCGAGTGGCTTTAAGGGTGGCAAGAGCGACAGGAAAGTTTGCAGGCGGAAGTTTGCAGTGGTTGTTGCTATGTCCTGGGGGGGGCGTGAAAGAAGCGGCGGGAGGGTTTGACAGGGATGGTGTCCCAGCGTCATAGTGCCAGGGCCCCTGTCATTGGCCGCTGCTCCTACCCGCTGCTCAGGCACAGACAGGCAGCTGACAGGACCCCCCCCCCCAGTGCCGTTGCCGGGCCTGCGTCGCGGCCGAACAAAGACAACAACGCGCCTTCACGCCCCTCTGCGAGCGACGCTTCCGGCTGCCCGCCGCACCGAAGTATGTCGCGCCCGCTATCCAGCCACGGCTCCCAGGCGCAAACGAATCCCTCTGCCGCCGCGAAAGCGCTGTCCCTGAAAGGCTGCTCGCATCAGCTGTCCAGCGCCGCCCTCTTTGTGACCAACCTGCGCCTGCTCGACTTTGACCTTTGCGACGATTGGCCCGATATTACTGTTCACACCTTCACGGCCAAGGACGCCCAGCAGAATCAAAAGAAGCGCATCCAATGCACCGAGTGGGCTCTGTTCCGCCTGTTTGAGCTGTGGGATAGAGAAGAGACGCGCGAGGTATCACTTGCCGGACAAGCTTCGCCGTGCCTCAAGCGCTCATGATTCTGATAGAAATTATCGCCCTTTTTTCCGCCTCTCGAGCCCCTCCAGTCGCTGAACCTGCGTGGCGCTCTCTACCGTTGCCTCAATGACCTCAAGAAAAATGGCGTGCTGGGTCGGGAGACGGTGCTACGGAAGACCATGCTGGACGAGTGCAAAGGGGACAAGCTCATGGAAACACTCGTCCTGTTCTCCACCGCTGTGCTGAAGAAGAAAATGTCGAGCCGCAAATCCAAGCGCAAGAACTTAACGGTCGCTCGCCAATATGCGACGGCCGCAAACCTAAGTCCCGACCAGCAAGCCTCGCTACTGCCACTCGTTATCGCCCACAAAGCCGCACTCACCAATACATTGAGGGGGAGGGACGATATGCGGGAGAGGTACATGGACTTTGGGGACTTGTTGGTTCAAAGTAGCCATGAAGCTGTTCAGCGGAACGAGAAGTGTGGGGAAATCCTTGAGACTCTCGAAGAATCTGGGAAGGATTTGCCGGACGCCACTTCTATTAAGCGGATTCTACATGACAACTGGTTGGGAAACCCCGAATGGCTTGAACTCATGGTGCAAGGAGAGCAGGCGGAAGCCGACGACGGCCTTTTCCAAAGGCCGTTTGAGGATATCTGGGGACGAGTACAGCTTGGCCAGGAAGTTGAGGAAGAGACTCGTCATCATCAAAGTCTCTTACAAGATTTGGAGGCGCGAGTGAAAGGTCAGGAGGACAGGCTGTCTCGTTGGAAGGCCTTTCATGAGAAGATTCAAGCCTCACGGCCCGAGGAACCTGCACCAAAAGTCTCAAATACCAGGAGTGCATCGTTGGACTTCAACTTCGACCGTCATCAAGATCTACGACTTGGTAAGACTGCCCCCCATGGGCTTGAAGACGAAGAGTATGCCGCTGTGTCCAAGCTGTCGGAAAGCTATGGTTCCATCCTGGCCAACATGCGCGAAGACTTGGAGGTAGCTTCCAGGGTCAAATCGAATCGACCTGAACCAAATTTCGTGCACAAACCCAAGCCGTCCAGCATCCCGATGCAGCCGGCAGGTCAGAGACGGTCTTTGGTATCGCGACCGCGAGCCAGGCCGGAACATACAGAACCGCCCTCGCCCGAACCCAAAATACCGGCGAAGCCATCATTCAACAGACCAAACTCCCCGGACTGGTTTTCTCCGCTCAAGAATTCGCAAGTCACGGCAACACAATCAGAATACGAAACGGAAGAACCGGTCAGAAGCCCCTCGCCCACACCAACTCGATCCACCTTCGACAATCGCAGCATCCTCGAGCAGTACGCCTCAGATCATGAGGGTTCCGAGCCAAGGGCCGCAGACTCACCCCCGCCGCCTGAGGAGCTCGCCGATGAGGGCCCAATCCACGAGCCAGCATCGCCCATACACCACCGCCGCTCCCCCTCCCCACCCGCGCCCTCGCCATCTCCACCACCAAACCACGAGGACCTTCTCGCCGAGCAGATCCTCGCCGGCATCGACGCCGCCAGCCCCTCTCCCGTCAAGCAGCAGCAGCAGCAGCAGCAATCGTCGTACCTCACCCTCATGGAGCGCACCCGCCTCACGATGGAAGGCCACACCAGCTCACCCGCCAAACCCACGCCCGCACCCCGCGCCCTCGCGCCCGAAGAGCAGGCCAAGGCCGACGCCACGGCCGCCCTCATCGAGCGCACGCGCCAGACCATGCTGGCCATGGCGCCGCAGCAGCCGCCCGCCAGCAGCAACCCGAAGAAGAACGCAAAGGGCCGCAACCGGTCGGGCAGCAGCAGCGCGAAGAACGGTAACGGGGGGAACGTCCGCGCGCGCAGGCGCGCCAGCCTCTTCCCGCCGAACCCGTGGGAGGACAAGCGCAAGTTCAACCCGCTGTTCGAGGAGTGGGCGGAGAAGGCGACGGCCATGGAGCTGGAGGAGAAGGGGTTGGCGGTGCCCGCCGCCGCCGGCAGGGCGACGCCCAAGGATAAGCTGTTCGAGGAGGATGTGGACGAGTCGAGTGTGTTTAAGAGCAGGCCGAAGATTGCGGCGAGTCCGTTGTTGGAGCCCGAGGAGGGCGGGGATGGTGTGAGTGAGTTGGGTGGTGGCGGGAGTGAGTTGGAGTATGATGATGCGATGGAGGAAGAGGAGGAGGTGGACGAGGAGGACGAGGAGGATGAGACGGTGGGGGCGTGGGAGAGTAGTCCGTTGAAAGGGAGGGAGAGGTAGAAGGTGGGGTTGGAGAGGAAGTCGGTATTAACCAATTGTATGTTACAATGGGCATGTGGGCGATTAAGCTCTGGCGGTGTTGGTTCTAATTGATTGTCGGTCGTGATCTTCGATTCTGCCATGAAGAGAGGGAGTGCTGCTGTTGGTTAATTGGAAACCTATGAAGTCTTGATTCGTCACACGGCGTTATCCATGGAACCTAAACAGCAAACTCATATGGACCTTCTGTCGTATAACCTCAGATTCTTCTATCATAGGTAAAACTCTCCTACAGCGTGCAACGAATATCCCCGCGCACGCACAGTCACAACATAAGTTGGTGAAATCACACTCCTTGCAAATAATTGGGTATTGAATAACTCATGTTGCTCTCTTTGCATCCACAGCGCCCCGATTAGGCCGGAAGCGGGTAAGGTCGCTGACTCCCATATCATTACCTCCTCCAACTCTCATAGCAGCGGAACCCCTCTTCGAACGCTTGAATACATATCCTCAAAATCATGCTAGGCGCTTTATCCCGCCGTGAATCATGCAGAGAGCCGTTTACCACTTGTCAATGACGTCCGTGCCCGTCAAGTTGGGCTTGACGACCTTGCCCTCCAGCCAATCCTTGCACTTCTTGTACAAGATATCACGCTCAGGTCCATGGCTGTTAAGGTCTAACTTTGGCGGAGTATCTATACAGTCCTCAAGCCAGGCCAGGTACCGATATCCGCTGTTTGAATACGCCGCAATAGTCAGCGAGATGATGGTGGAGATGGTGAGAGACTTAGCCACGCAACTGGAACGTGCAAGCGCAGGGCGCTCTGCACAGTCCAATGCTTCGTGGAGTTGAAAAGAAGATGCCGTGACCGAAGAGTGCACTTACGAAGGATACTTCATGACCTCCTTCTCGGGAATGTCAAAGGTCCTGCCGGGGTGGACCGGGATCATCTTGTCCTTGTCGAACAGCAGCGTGTAGAAGCAGATACCCCAACGACCCTCACGCTTCTCCAGCATGAAGAAAAAGCGGCATTCGGCCTCGTTGTCCACTTCGATGTTGTTGAAGGTGAAGCGGCAGGTGATGGTCACTTTCATCTTGGCGACGGCTCGGTTGCCCTGAACGTCGACAGTTTGGCCGATGATGCGGTGCATGATGTACATGAACTCCTTGCCGCGCGAGAAACCCTGGGAAAGTGTGAGTTACGGGTTGAGGGGAGAGAGAGAGAGAGAGAGAGAGAGAGAGAGAGAGAGAAGAGGGTACGACGTACGTCCTTGGAGGCTTTGATGAATTCGTCGATGGAGCCCTGCTTCCAGCTCGTTGCGATATAGGCGTCATCCCAGAACTGATCAATGTACAGTCAGTTTATGCCCTTATCATCTCTATGGATCATCTCTTCCCGCAGGTCGTCATGGCGAGTTGGCTGGCTGGAGAGCAATGGATCACCTCACCATTGACCGGTAGTTCTCCCATTCAGCGGCATCGCGGTAGCAGCCCCAGCCTTCGCAGATCTCACGGATCTTGAATCGGTCTAGCACCTCGGCGTCGGTGCCAGTGGCGTTGTTGCGCGAGGCCTCGGACGGCCAGTGTGGAGGTTGGGTGACGGGATAGAGTTCTGGACCAAGGAAAACCCACGTTTATCAGAATTGGATCGGAAGTAGAGCTTGAGAGCCATTGTAACACTTACCGCCACCTCCGGCTTGGTGGCGGAGGGAGGTCGAGAAAGCGCGCGCAGCCTCACGACGTACGGGGGTACGAAGGGCGCCGCGGGAGACGGCGGGTCTGATCGCGTTGAAGACGGGACGGAACATGGTGGAATTCAATTGGTGGCGAGGAAAGAGGGAGGAGGAGGGCGAGGAAGACGGCCAAGCAGAAGACGCTTGACGTGGACACGACACAGCTTTTATTTATTCGTTGAAGCTATCGGCAATCACGCATAGCACTACAGCTACAACGCCGCAATTGAATAGCTTCTGGGCAGCATAAGGACATAGCTTCCTCGAGGTACCCGCAACAGCTTCGCATCAGGAACACCGGTCCCGCCGATTCCGGTCAACTCCCAATATCAGCACACCGCAACGAAGGGGAATTAACGCGAGACATAATGACGGGGTAACGCCGAACCCCGGCCGCGTTGTCACAAGTACGGAAAGCTTAAGGGGGCAGATCTTTCAGGAACAAGGTTAGCATGACGTCTGCATAACGAGAGTAACGCGACACCTTCCTAGACAGGACGAGGTATATACGTACATAGAACGCCTTACGAGTACTACACCAACTGTCTGTATTTTCCAGAGTTGTACATTAAACCCAGTTTGTCTGTTACTCTACGTAATAGAGAGCCATGACACAATCGGGTGAAAGCTGGACAGACGCGATGAAAAGCTGTGATAGCACGAGGGAGGAGAATTGTGGAGGTTTGTTTACTCGGGGAATCGCGATGGCTTCGCTCATAGTTTCTGAAAAGGGAGTGGAATAATACAGGGCATGTTTGTGAAGAAAGTGGGTACTGTTGGTGGAGTTCATTCCGGATGATCAGGCCGGGGAAGCGAGGGGGGCAAGCCTGGATTGTAACGAACAAAGCGCGCCTTATCGCGACAGCCGCGCGGTGAACAGGGTTATGCGCGCGAGCATACTGGGGTCTGAGCGGTCATGGGGGCAGGGTCCAGGCTTCCAGTTATGTCGGTCTTGGGGCATTTCCAGGTCAACCTACTTCAAGATTGATGATGCAACTTTCCGAGAAGGAAAGAACGACCTAAGATACAGATGGCCTGCTTGCTTCCTCGGGCTCAGCATTAATGACAGCGAGGAGTTCGAGGGGCGGGATAGGCGACGTTGTTGTCACGAAGGGCGGGAGCGGGCCGAAGAGGCTCCAGTTTTGCGTGGCGCGTTGTCTGTGCTCTCTTCGAAGTGGCTTGATCTGATGAGGACTTCGGCAATGGGCATCGGCTTCTGCGGGCAGATGAGGACAGATGAGGACAGATTCGCATTCAATAATTGTCGACTGATCGATCTCGAGTCGAGGCGTGAGCCAGTTGGTGTCCTAACGTCCAGCTTCACGACTCTCGGCAGCGAGGCTCGGGACAGCGCTTGCACATGCTAACGGAGAGTTCGGATGGCCGAAGGAAACCGGATCCGGATGCAAAGAGGTCCCGAACTGGTTTGCTTGTGGTGTTGTGGATCGAGGAGGGAAGCACCGGGAAGCACCGGGAAGCACGTGATCACCGGAGAGCATCGGACGACACGGCAGACGATCTGGAAGGATGCGTCTGCAGCAGTTCCGAGAGAATGGTCCAAGGCCAACGGGCGCGCGGGTTGGGTGTGGAAGCTTTGCCGGCAACCCCAAGTCGCGAGGGTTCACGTGCCCGGCTCGGTGCGCGAATGGAAGGAGCGGCCACTTTTTTCTGCGGCCAGGCGGGGCAGGTGGCCCGATCAACGAGGGGATGCGAACCTTACTTCCGCAACTTCTGTCAACTATATCAGTCACTGTCTCCCCGGATGCTGATGTTGCACTGTCTGAGAAGAGCCGTCCGTTCTCACCAGTTAACCATGACCTTTCGTACCACTCCCATCGGACGCTGCCTCGGCAGGACCTGCAACCCGATGACTGATCAGATGTCATATATGAGCTGCTTTCCCATCCACGCCGCCTCGCTCGTTCCGTACAATTCATCGTCTGCTCATGCGAAGCATCTCTGAAAGCGGCTCCAGACGATGTACTCCCCGCCTGTTGGGGAACGAAATAGCTCGGAATAGTAATAGAAATTGTCATTAAATGGTAGCACTTCGAGACACATTAAGAAGTCATGGTACGTATTACACATCAACACACCTTTCCCCGGTTTGCACCTCTCGAATTTCATCTCCTGATATCATTCCAGCTCTCGCTTCATCACGTCCGTGGCTCATGCAATCCATCCTACACCTGACTCTCCGCCGACTTCCTCTTCTGGCTTGCACCCTTGATCATGGTCGACAGATCGCCAACTGCATTCCGTTAGTATTGAGCTGAAGTGCGCTGCATGCCAGAGTACTCACCTGGAAGCTGGAAGGGGAAGTCCAAGGCCGCGAGCATGATGGCGAAGAAGATCCACCACCCGCCGGCACACGTCACAAAGAGGAAGGCACCACCCGCAACAATCAGGTCCGTGGCCAGGCCCGCGTTTCCGTTGGACGTCTGCCAATAGGCGCCTGCGAGCAGAGCAAACCCGAATGTGAGGGTAATGAAGATCAGAACGAAGACAACGTTGGTTCGGAGAGCCAGGATGAAGAAGAGGAAGCTCAGGAGACTCATCGCCAACAGGAAGAAAGCTGGTACGCACCACGGTTAGCGTGAAAACGTCCGCGATGAAGAGCAGGGGAACAAGCTTACCGAAGCTCGAATTGAATCCAACCGTCTGCAGTCCAGCAGCCGCATTGTTCGGATCGGGCGAGTAAGCGCCGTAAGCGTTGAAGAAGGGCTGCAGCGTTCCGCCGAAGGACAGCCAGAAGGCGCCGAAGGATCCGAAGACGACGAAGGGGAACGTGTTTCCGAGGATCCATTCACCGATGGCGCCCATGAGCATGAGAACTCCACCGAAGAAGAAGTATGTCGCAGTTCCGGAAGCTCCGCTACCACCCGATCCTCGCCAGCCCATGAGGATGCAGCTAAGTGGTGAAAGCGACAACAGAAATCCTACCAACGCACTGCATTCCGATCAGCCAAGGAGCACAAAGGCACTTTCGAGCCAACTTACAGTGGAGTCGGGTTGCCAACCATCTTGCGCAGATCTCCTTTGACCTGGTTCTGAGGCGACAGGTACATCTTCTCGAAGAGCTCGGGCGAGATGGAGATGCTGCCCGCCGTCCTGACCCGTCTCAGAGCCTCGTCGGATCCCATATGCGGATCGAGCTGCTCGCTGTGAAGGCCATTTTGGCTTTGGCTGAAGTCCTTCTCGAGGGGGCCATCGGGCGCCGAGGCAGCGACGGCGTAAGGGTTTTCGGAAGTCATTGTGAGCTGGGGGGGTATCAAGAGGAGATTGGTGGATGGGTAGGAGCCGACGAGATGGAAAGGTCCGATCTGTGGAGGCAGGTTGTCAAGGTGGGAGGCGGCTCGCTCATATACGGGTGGGCTTCTTGTCGGGAGGGCTCCGGCTCCGCACGTCGGCCTCCTTTGTTGACCGGCAGCTAAGGTGGAGAGGCCAGCGTCGGCGTCTTCGCACGCCGCTGATCATGCAGCAAGCCTAGTCTCGCTCAAACCAATGGGGTGTGGCGCAGCAGAGGCATTGGGCGATCCGGACCAGCCGGCGCTCCGCAGGCCAGTCCAAAGGCAGCAGCACACGAAGCTCTCTGGCGGACGATGGCATCGTCGGTTTCCCCAGACGCCAAACGGCCGGCTTATTTCCACGCGGGGAAGGCGGGCTAGACCAGTAATGGCCAGGGGCGGAAGGGCTGGAGCACGAGGGTAGCGAATCCTTGACAGCGGGTAGTCGGAGTGACTGGTGAATGGTACGAGTCAAGGGGCGACGGTTGGTGAGGAGATGCGAGACTAGGGCCGGGTAGGCGGAGAGCGCGCGCTGGGGAAGTCTGGGGCCAAACCGCCGCCACTGCACTGGCCCGCTAAGACCACTAACTAGCAGAATGCGGGGGAGGGTGCATCCCCGACTTGCATCACCGCCGCCTGTCCGCTCCACCAGCTGCTGTCGCTGAAGACTCGCCCCACGCCGCCCTCCAAGGGCATTGCGCGGCACTGGGCCCGCTCACACTCCATGGATTCACCGCCACGCGTTGGAGCATCGCCCAACAGCGCCATTGGAGCGTTAGCTCGACCGCAAGCGCGACACGCCGGCCGACGCCATCCCGCATGCCAAGCTTTGCAGCAGCGCTGTGATATGCTCGGGCTAAGGGCAACGCAGCGGCCGCGACACGCGCCGGCCGCGCTGAGCTGGACCGGACAAACCCTCCGCCATGCAGGAACCCAATCCCTCCCTCCCTCGAGCCTCATCAAACGCCGGCAGCTGTACCGCATTTCCACCGAGTCGACCTGTGCTCAAGAGCCTCCATCAGGATCGCCGTGAGCGTTGGTGCGCTCTTCTTCGGCTGGGGTTTGACGCCACGCCCCTCGAGACTACCGCACTGCCGAGCCCGTCCGTCTCCGCATGCGCATGGGCTAGGTACCTCCACCTGTCCCGTCGCGCGGGGTGGTCTCGATGCTTCGATGCTTCGGTGACGACGGCTGACAGCTGGCTCTCCTCACCAGCTGGTACGCACCAGAGCTCATTTCGATCAGCCACGCCACTGTAGTCGCCATTCAGTCTCGATCAAGTATCCATGGCATTTTCATCATTTGCAACTTGTGCGGAACTCACCATTCCAGGAAGCCCCTACTAAAGTAGCCCTGGATCGATTCCCATCCTGTTTCTGAACGGCCCTTTTCGCACGTTTTTGTCGGCATGACACTTGCCACATCCTAAGCTTAGATCGCCGGTCGCTACCGCTTCGTGGCCAATCGTCTAGCCCTCCTCTGGACCGACCTTGGCGCTCGGCGGTACCAGACCCTGCGAGCTGGGGTACTACGGCCCGTTTGTTGTCAAGAGCTTCCTTCGTGCCTACATTCGGACAGCTTCTTCCTAAAGGCGCCGCACTGAGCCAGGTCGCACACGCACCATCAACATCCCCAACAGCTCTGACTTTTGACTTCTCAGAGGGCTAATGCAGCCTTTAAACAAGTTCGAACACAGGGTAATTTTGCCACTAAGCCACGTGCATGCGGAGCCTAACGCATCTCCCGAACTCGCTTGTTCCTGATAAACGATGCCAATCCAGATCAGTATCTCCACTTCAGCCTTCGCTTCCGAGGGCACCTGACCACCAAATACCATGACTTCACAGCTTCACATCGTCCTCAAGCACTATTCCATCCAGCCGAAGCACGGTGCCTCTGTCTTGGCACGGAAGCCGCAGGCCTCTCCAATTCTAAACACTCAGCCAAAGAAAAATAAATACCTAAGTGTTCCTTGACCTTCATCATCCTGATGTGCAACCGGCATAGGACGCACACAATTGTTTGAAATCCTCAACAATTCCGTCGTGCTAGTCTTGACCTATCCGGCCACGCGTAGCACGTAGCAAAGCCGCCCCATTCCTTCGTCCGGACGTCCGGATGCGGCTCCGCACCACACTTACGATTTCCGGGGTATCCACACCCCAACCTTCCAATGGCTGGCTGAGGAGCTCTTTGGAGGCGGTCAGCCCTCTGTTTCATCCGAGCTCACAGATAAATTGTCGGGCACTTGTCCCTCTTTCGTGTCCGTGCCAGCTTGCTTTCACTCCGGTCCCGGCGCGCGCGCGCGCGCGTATCGATGTCAATGCATGTACGGTGATGACGGAGATTGCGCTTCTGCATGCAACTGCGTCAGTCCTTGTCACCGAGCGTCTGGAAGTCGATGGGCATGACGATATCTCAGATGGTTTCGGGGTGTGCAATGATCGCCGTGACGCGTGCGGTTCCTGTCTTCGGTAGATCTGCTTGGAGTGCTCTGTCGCTTGTCCGAGGTCTCAGAGACAGCCCGGTCACGGACACATTTTAACACGCAAGAACCAGCCACATCATTCGCCGTGATGTTCTCCGCCAAAACCGCTGAGAAGACCGCAAGTGGCAAGGTACTGAGCCTCAGCCCGGACCGACGGGAGACCAATCCCATTTGCACCTCCAGCTAAAGACCCTTGTCAACTTCGTCGGGGTGGTCTATAGAAATTGCCTTATAGGCTGTCAATCAAGTCAAAACTGACAAGCAGAAGTGGATCAATTATCCGCTGAGCAATGCTGCGTACCTGGACATAAAGTGCTAATGCGAACTTGGAAGCAATCACAGACCTCTTCTGTGAGGATGGCTGCTTCGGTGCCTGACTGAATCATCAAACGGGTAAAGAGTTCAGGGCGGCGACCATGCGGACCGTTCAAGTCCTAGTCATCTATCCTACTTCTATCACACCAACAAGCGAATCACGCGTTCTCCAAACGCGTTGTTACTGTATTATTGTGCACCATGACAATCTACCAGAGTTTCTTTCACGAAGACAGTCTATCGGATTGCGCGATCATTACCAGATCTGCACTGGGATAGAAACAGAATCGCCACAGATGACTGCGCCTCAATGTCAAGGATGCTGGTTTTCCTTGAGATCGATGAGTCCCTCAGGTTTCCGGGGCACTCTCCAAAGTGTGGGGCTCCGACCGAGCTCCACAGGAAAGGAGCAATCATTCGTACAGCCATCTCAAATCGCCATGGCCCGATCCCAGAAGAATACTGGGAAGTACACCGACACAGGACGGAAGTGGGCTCCGCTCGTCCCAACAGCCTACACGACTAATACACATCGACCATGATCCGTCAATTAACAACGTCGCTCGGCGTCTTGGTGGCTGCCGTATCCATGCATGCGAGTCGATGGACCCAGCACTGGTGTTGGGTCGCTCGCATCCAGGACGGCTTTGCTTCCATCAGCCCGGCTCTAGTTGCTCCGTTCGTCCCCTTGAGCGGTACCCCGCCACGAACGAGACTGTCCCAACGACTTCCTTCGTGCAAACAGACTCCGCCACATGAGGAAAGAAGTATAGCTGTCCTTCAAGGTCATATCGACACGGTGTACCGACGAGTGGGCTCCTTGGGCTCGGCCGTCTCCTGTTGACCGCTCTGCGGCTTTGAGCGGTTTGCCACCACCGGCGTTCGAGACGGACTTCACATCGGTGAGAAAGGAAGGACGGTGGCATCGGCGAGAAGACGCCACTTGCCCTGACCTACCAGGGATATCGCTGCAGTGACATGACATCAAGTACTAGTTCACCACGCCGAAAGAAGAAGGACCTCCTTTTACGGAGCGCCCATGGAGGCTCTCCGGCCAACTTCAAGCTGCGGCGGCTTATTTGGGATAGGCGAGATGGCTCCGGCAATTCCTGGCATCGGAGAGGTGGAGAGACGGAGAAACTTGATAAGTCGGCCTTTGAATGACCGGTTTCATCGTGAACTATTTCGTCCGTCCGTCCCTTTCAACACGATGGCGCCTTGCAACGGAGATTTCTTCTACCACACCACCGTCTTTGCACCGGAACTGCCATGACACTACAACAGACTAATGCATAGCCAATAAACCTTGGAGCTCCGGTGTCGCAACTTCCAAAGGTTCGCCAGATGACGTGTTCAGGAGCACCCACGATCACTTCCATGCCGGAAACTTTTGGTACAGCCTACCTGATCGTGTTTGACGGGACTTGTTGCCAAAATCTTGCCATACAAGCAGCATGTGGTACGGAAGAGTAAACGGGAACTTCCCCTCAATAGGTTATTTCTAACTCATTCACCCTCCACCATGGCTCCTCCTTTCCGTAGCAGCTTCACTATTCAACATCCTGGCATACTAAGACAACGAGCATTCCAAGCATTAACGGACGGTATCAGATCTTTATAGCTGCAAGTTGCTTGTTCTACGGAGTCTGGCAAGTCGGTATGACTCAAGTTCTCGATGGTGTTTGCCATCGCGTCCGTGGTACCGCAAGACCCTCGCCACCAAAATCAACACAACCCACAGAGAGCCTGCTGTAAAAACTGAGGAACAAACAGTTCCAAAACAGAGAAAAGCAAGCAAAGAAGCGATACAACAGGAGTAAAAAGAGAGAGAAGAGAAAAAGGCGTCGCCCCAGGGAGCAAAACTACGGCCTCCGCCCGCAGGTGGAGGACGCAGAAACCCCGTCCTCAGGTCCTTTCCGTTGAACCCTCGGGGATTTTTTGCGAATGCAATGCTCTCGGCAGCGCGATTGAACTCGAGGACTTCGGGAAGTGCTGCGAGTGCATCGCCGACGCCCAAACCTAGACCAACCAGGCCCCAAAGTGTGGGCGTCGGCGATAATAGTGGAGTTGCGGAAACGAATTATATATGTACACAACACAACCAATTCACAGAGCATTTGCTAATGCTTACTTTGATACACCGGGGCGTATGTCGTACTGGCTCAAAGAAATTCTGTCACAGCGAGAATCGGAACAGTTTTCCAAAAGTTTGCATGTCCTCTGGGAATACTATCATGATCTCCATGATCTACCACTAATACATATATGCAATATGCACACTCTGTCATGTCATGGTGAGCAACAGCATGGCGACGTGAGCTCTGTATTTGTGTAGAATCTGACAGAAATACTTTTCGACAGGTGCATTTTCTTTTCTGCCTTCTGCCTCTTCTGCGTTGTCGAAGCATCAAACACACTTCACGACTAAGTCTTTACTCACTCCACATGCATCAATGGATGTGTTTGGTGCCTGGTTGTTCGTGTCAATTTTCTTGACATGCACATTTTTGCTGCGATAAATACCATGAGTCGATGAACTAGAGCGTGCAAATTCTAATTAACGACTTTCTGCATAGAAGGAAGACTCGTCGGACCCAAAGCTTTGTTCGATGAGAAGATAATCAACTTCGGGCCATGTCAAAAGACTCTTTTCAGGCCCTTTCCAATGTGAGGGGGACATTGAGTACGTTTGGTGCTACACCTCGACCAAGGCCGCCCAACCGCCATCACTGTACATGCCGATTAAGCATATTATTGCATGTTGTCTGACGTATGAAAATTTATGCTGACACACTTGACGAGGTGATGCATCTTACATCTATGTACGGCCCACCGCATCTGTCGCTTCAATTTGACTTTGCGAGGTTTCTCTGATGCCCACAATAAGCTCTCCAAGGAGTATACGTCATAATAATCCAGGTACAGTCATCTCACATTCATTTTGAGTCACGCGACATATTATATGAAGTGGTAAGCCCACATGAAACTCAGCTGACCATCAATACATCTGGTTTGCTGTCGAGAAGGAATGTTTGGCTTGCATGAGCTGCTGCCCAAAGCTCACCAGGCGATGGGCTGTCAGATTTTTGATTGGTCATCTCGTGTTGACGTGCGCTCGTGGAAGCGCGTCCGTGCTATTCTAGGTGTCTTTGGATCCATCAAGGGTTGAACAGTTGAACTGGATAACCGAGCGGATATCCAGAATCAAGAAGGCGTCTTTGTGTTAGCATACCTCCCCACTGGTATCTATACATGCTTTTCAAGCTTCACCCGCTGCAAGACACTGGTATCAAACTCGGCTTCCACCAAAAATCGCAGCCCCCACTTAATGCAATCTACACACGCATCCACGAGATAAGAACGGGAGGCATCCTCTGCACAATTCCCAAGAAATGCTCGGTTTCCAAGAGTCGGGCATCACGCGAGCAAAATTGTACACGAAATCCCGCAGCTGCAAGGCATCTGCACTAGAGTCATACGCTGGTGCCGCCGTGCACGTGGATACTTGCATGCAGAGTGCGGCGCGCAGGCGCGCGTCTGCGCTTGTCAGTGACTATTGACAACCAGCATCTCGGACCCCTCTCCATCGATTAAGCAGCTTCGGACAATCAGATTGTCACGATCCCTATCCGCTTTCTGCAATGCAGGTTTAGGTTTCACCACTCAAGCTTGTGGACATGCAATGTTTGCTCGAGCATTTCCCGTCATAGCCGTCTCGCCTTAGGTGCTTAGTGCACGCACTACGTTGCATCGCACGTCTTGGATAAACGAAGCGGAAAAAAGCAGACAGTGACCAAGTAGGAACAAAGTAGAGAAACGCTCGGGGTCGTGTTCTAAAGGAAGAAGCACTGAGAACGGGTTCTTGCATTCATGAAGCCCTGCATTTAGTAGCCAATCAGCGCCACACATTGGGATGGAATAAGGCGAACGGGCATGCATGGGCGGCACAACAATCTTGATAGGTCAAAATCTGTCGCCTTACGTGGCTATTTCTGGTTGCCTCGTGTTTCATCCCGGCCATCGCTTGCATTTTAATCGCTACAGTGGTCCGCAGCTCCCGTGGCTCTCGGCCGAATTTTCCACTTCTTTTGTTCACGGTGGCTACCTCCCTCGTAGAAGTCTCGGTGAAGTCCGAGGCTGACGAAGGCGAAAAGAAGGCAACGTGGCAGTGCTATGAAGGCCATTGGATGATAAGTCGGTATCATGTCAATCTTTGCCACCATTATGCAGGCAAAGGGAGCTGATAGGAATCTTGGCCTGTTGTAAGAATGAGCAAGCCACGGCGAGGCGAGACCCGGGGAACCGGATGGGAGGTAGCGATCTACATAGAAGTATAGGTGCAACCACAGAGAAAAGGCAGTAGAGCAGCTATAGCGTCCGGCATGTGGCTGTTGGTCCAATACAAGCTCAGCCCGAGCACACTAGCGTAGTCAGGGGCCACCCATCGAGAATATAGCTGCATGCACGAACGCCCCGCCAAAAAAAGGGGACGTAATAGGTGGGCATCGGTTGGCGTTCGGGGCGGACCGCTGCAGCCTTCGCCTCGTGCAACTATGCCAACTTCAGCCCTTGCGGGTCCAAGTAAGGGGACCTCGTTTCGCTCGCGAAGCCGTAAGCTCTGTCTTGTGGCAGACCCCGCTTCAGCACTTCTATGGTTGATACTGCTTATAATTTTTTTTTTAGAGTTACTAAAACTAAAATAAAGGAGTGGAGTGACCCGGCGTTCCTACTTACGCGATCGGCAAAGGAGTGATGCCCGATTCGCCTCAAGTACCCAACGAACACTTCTCTATGATGCCAGAAAAAGAAAAGACAACCGAAATAGAAATAGGCCACAGGATAACAATGTCAGCCCGCAACAACACCGCAAAGTCCGTCTTTCTCTTCGGAGAGATTGCAAAGCATGGAAGTCATCCCTCTTTCGGCTCCGTCCACATTCGGCGATACCGAGCTTCGCCTCACACTTCTCAGCTCGCGTCAGCTCCGCCTCCGAGGGCTCACCGAAAGGGGAACATGACACGAGTCTTTCGGCAGAAGACTCCCCCTAGAGTACCGTCCCTGAAGCCCTCGTGTCGGAGCCTCCCTCCTCATGCAGGGCCTGAGACATGCTTTTGTTGACCGGCGGGAAGCTGATACTCCACCACCCGAGCAGCCAAGGGCAAAGATCAGTAGAAGATCTTCACCACACGCCCCGGCCGCCGTCCCTCACCGTCCTCGCCTCGCTCATCATCATCGTCATCATCATCCGCCACCAATCCGGCCAGCCCGCCCACCCTCTCAAACCCCTCCAACCCAGCCCTCGCCTCACCCATCTCGACGCCCCCTCCCTCCTTCACCACGCACACAAACGCCGTCCCCCACCCCCGCAACGCAGCGTTGTGATACGCCCGCACCAAGCACGCCTCCCTACTCCCCACCTTCTCAACCATGTACACCCTCCCCTGCTCCGATGATCCCAGCCCGCCACGCCCATTGCCATACCCATACCCATACTCATACCCATACCCATACCTATCCCCCGCCGCCACCGCCCCCGCATCCCCCTCCGCCATCGGCGCCTCCGTGACCATGTAATACGCCAGACAAGCCGCGGCGATGCGGCGCTTGTGCCGGACGTCGCAGGCGGGGGCGCCGGCGCGGGCGCACTGCGCGTCCGCGGGGCCTTCGCCGAGCGGGAAGCACCAGCACGGGACGCCATCGTCTTCGTTGTCGTCGTCTTCGTTGCCTGGCGTCGCCGGTGGCGGGTACTGCTGCCTCGCGCCCTGCATGACGGCGCCGGCCCAGATGCGCACCGCGTCCGCTTCTGCGGCGGCGGTGGCGGCAGCGATGGAGGCTGCGACACGGCTGCTACCACCACCACCACCGCCCGTCAGCCGCGGGACCGGCGGCCCGGCGCGCGGCGAGGGCGATGACAGCGACGACAGTGGATGAGGGGGAGGAAGAAGATGAGGAACAGGAACAGGACAAGGCGGATGCGGCGGCGTCGGCGTGCCGCGGCAGCGCTCGAGGATGCCCGCAGCGACGGCGGCGATGTCGTCGACGGCGGCGGCGGCGGCGGCACAGCTTGCAGATGAGCTGCCTCCGGCACCTCCGGCGCCTGCGGCCAACGCTTCCTCCAGGCGCCGCAGCCGCCTCAGCTCGTGGCGGGGCGGGCGCGCGTACCAGCGGCCGGGCTCGCCGTGGCGCAGCAGCCAGAGGTGCGTGGCGAGGTCGAGCGGGGTGGCGGCGTGGTGGGCCAGCGCGGCGATGCGGCCGCCGTTGCTGGTGCTGCTGCTGCCGAGGCGGACGATGCGCTCGAGGGGGTGGGGGGGTTGTTGTTGCTGGTGGTTGTGGTGGTGCGGGTTGGGGAGGAGGGCGCTGGCGGAGTTGATGACTTCGATGTTGGAGGTGCAGTTGCAGTATTGGACTTCGGGGATGCCGGGGGGTGATGGTGGTGGCGGTGGCGGTGGTGGAGGCGGCGGTGGAGGGGGAGGGGGAGGTGGTGGTGGTGGTGGTGGCGGATAGTAGCGTGATGAGGGTTGGCCGTAGTAAGGAACCCCGAGAGGCGGAGGCGGCGGCGGTGGTGGCGGCGGCGGAGGAGGAGGAGGTGGCGGTGGATAGCTCTGTACAAGGTGATATGGAAGGCGATTGCTGGACTCAAGTTGTGAGGCTGATTGGCGATCAGCTTGGTACACGGTCAGGGGAAGGGTGGCGGGTGGCGGCGGTCCAGAGGATTGGAAGCCGCGATCAGATGAGCAAGTCGAATCGAGCTCGGTTTCGGTATGATCGGTGGGCGGCGATGAGTGGTCAGATTGTAGGAGAGGTTTCTCCGTTGAGCCCTCGATTGGAGACTCATTCTCCTTCCCTCGATCCGTCACGGGCACCATGGCATCCTGTGCATCTTTTTCTCTGGCTGACGGCAGCTCGTTCACCGGCTCGGCCTGACCGATGGATGATGGTGGTCCAACGCCGCTTTGTGGAGCTGGATCTGCGGGGTTGCTTCTGACAGGCAGCATGTTGGCATAACGTGGGTGGGTGGACTGTAATTCTGCGGGAGAATCGATGATGACAAGATCCTCGTCCGACTCTTCCATGAGGAGCCGAGATCAGTGAGGATGAGACGTGTGGTCGATATTGGGACAAGCACAGAGGGCGACGGAGTCTTATTATACCCAATTTTCAGGCAACGGAGCAGGCAGACTACAGCAGTCAGACTATTTCTGCAGAAGGGAAAGTCAGTCGTGGCCAATGGGTAGTTCGGAATAGAGTAGGCGCCGCGGCCGATGTCCGTAGGACCCGGCAGAGTGCTGTATGCAGCTAGCTGTGGAAAGCGGGAGCACAGAATGGCCGCAAACCTCATCGTGCCGCAAGTGCGGTCAGTGCACTGGACTGCCTAGCCGCCCTCGGATCACGCCTGCAGACGAGGCGGTGTAAATGTGACAGCCAACCCGTGCCTCATTCCTGCGTTTACTTTGTTTTTCCCGTGCAAGTGGATGCAGACATGGCCTCTCAAGCATGGGGTCGTCGCGGTAATGCATGCGGGTTTGCTGTCGAAGTGGGTCCTTACAAAGCTTCTGAAACGTTTCCGCTGTTTTACGGCTCTGCACCGGATCAGTCCGTCCTATCTCCCCGGTCTCTATCGCGCCCACAATGAGGTGGCAATACCCTACCCGTCACGTTAGACTTGCAGCCTCTCCGTGGGGGCCTTGCCCATGCGCTTAGTAAATGCGAGTTAGCCGACCTGCATGAAGGGAAGTGTTCGCCTCGAGAATGACTCTGGCTCAAGCACAAGGGTTAGCGCCAATTCAGGACTAGAACTTGGAGAACTCTCGGCTGGATTGGCGGCCCTACATCAGCTCTTGCAAACTGCTCCGGATGCCCTACATCAGCTCTACATACAGGCTTCGGAACTAAGCCAGGGCGTAGGTGCCTTTTCCCTCAGCAGGCTGCCCAAGACCAGGCGGGATGCTGCATCGTAGGTTGCCCAAGCCCGCCCTGGAAATCAAACATGTTGAGCTGGCAGCTTGCTTGCACAATTCGAGAAATGTGAGGCTGAAGCTCGCCTTATGTTGCTGAGTGGTGAGCCTGGCAAACCGTCATCACCGTCAGGAGTGACGCGGCCATGATGACGAACGAGTTGCCTCGCTCTCATCGCGGTGATTACCGCTCTAAAATGAGTATATCTTGTAGGGCCGGGAGTCTCGCAATCTGCTCACCGGAACATATCCTGGCACTGACCGGAACGGACCCCAGCTCGAACGTGTCCTCGGGATCTTGCAAAAGTGAGGCTTCAATGACCACAGGTGTTCCGATCAAGTGAGCAGGGCGAACTGAGAGACACGTGTCTCATGTGCCCCTGGCAGCCTTTTAGAGTCCAGAGACCACCGATCGACGAGTCGATGAGGCTTTTGTTGTGCTGAAGCCTCTTGGAGCGCGAGAACCCGAAGGCAGCTGAATACCAGCAGCCATGGAGCATGGGTTTTCATTGGTAAAATGGGGTTTCAGCTGGGGAGGGTTCTTCGTGGATGCCAGCTCTTGACCGGTTGCTTCTTCCTTCCGATTGGAGCTAGCAAAAGCGGTGTCAACTCCCCGGTTCTGTCGGTCTACTCTCCGGTCCCAATTTTTTGAGCTGGCTCCTGGTGAGCTGGTACATTTCGGAACAAATCGCGTAGGTGACCACGAGCTCTTCGGAATAAACAAACCAGAAGTGAGTTAGCGAAGATTGAACACAATGATTCGCTTCAGGCATCTTGCATACACATGGATGGGATGAGAAGCTGGAGCCATCGTAGATCGAAGAGCCGCATATAGTACTTACCCTACGCACGTATATTTGAACTTAACAGCCACCGCTCTTCTCGTTCAAGTAGGCCGGTAAGACACTGCATCCAGTGTCCATTCCCCCACCGGCTAGATTGTAGGCCTGGTGCTGTCGAGGGTGAAGCTACGGGTTGGGTAAGTTTGAATGAGCTCAGTGTTATCACACTGATTCTCTGAAAGAGGTACCACAGTAAGTCACAAACGACGACCCAGTTCCGCAAACGGTTCAAGCGAATTCCTGGATTCTCCCTTGTAGACCAGTGTTATCCACACCGTTGCCACAAACACTTCCAGGGCAATGCGCAACATATATATCGAATAGAACATCCAGACAATACCTTCAACCACCTCGACACTGACCTCGTAGCCGTCGTTTATCGTCAACTATATCACACATCTGCATTACACGGCCCGAATCCTGTCCATCCTTTGCAAAGTCTATGATAACGAACAAAACCTTTAGCCACCACCAGAATCACTAACGCGTACGGGCTCGACCCAGCAGTCCCGATCAAATAGTGAAAGAAAAAAAAGAAAAAAATGCTCCCTGCCCCATGAGAAAGAATCCACGGTAAAGCGGACAGGGAAACTGCGAATTGAAAAAGGGGTGTTCCTCGGAAGATGAAAGATATGATTCCCACAAAAAGTTGACCATCAATGCGACACAATTCCCCTCTCTCAATTGTTGCTGAGCGATCCCCAGCTGCCGGGACAAAACCAACCCGGCATTTCAACCGCCGTCCTGCCAAACACCGTTTATTTTGGCCACCCAATTTTTGCTGAAACACATGTCGGGAACCGAACTTCGAGGTGAAACGTAAAGAGGCTTGCACGCGTCCTGATCAAGGATGTGTGGGTAATCTAGCTGTTGAGGTAGTTGCGGATGGCGCCTGTTGAAGTCCATGTATGTTAGTAAACTACACCTTTGATCGACAGCGCTCTATAATAGAGCATAGCTCAAGCCGCTGGAAAGACTCACCCTGCAACCTTGTTGCGCCCTCTCCCAACAGGTTCGATAGGTTGTCCAGATCATCGCCAGCTGTGATTCCAAACTTCCGCACGAAATCCTTAGCCGCGTTTTCGAGATCGCCGTAGTCATCACCAGCAGGACCGTCCTCCTCAGGCCGTCCGAAATATGCGTTGCTGCTGATGGAGGTCGCTCCCTCGAAACCTTGCAGGCGCGTCTTGGCCTCGTTCTGTGCAGAAGGGTCGAAGCTGCCGCGACCGAAGAATTCGTCGGATGAGATGCCCTTTTGCGTGCCAAACTTTTGGCGAGCGAAGCGTTCGGAATCTAAGGTTGAAGGGCAATGTTAGCACCCCGTCTTCGCAGCTCGCATCATATCAGCTAGTATTTCTTGCCACATACCATCATCAACCGCCCGGCTCGTAGAGCCAAAACCGCCCATTTTCTTGGGCGCAGCAGCAGGCTTGCTGGACCCGACCTGGCCGAAACCCAGCCTTGCGACACCCATGCCCAGGCGCTCGACGTCGCCGCTGTTGCGCTCCTTGCTGGTGGAGCCAAACCCGCCGCGCGGGCTCACGGGCGTCGGGCTGACGATGTTGGCGCGGCTCTCAGCCTCCTTGGCCTTTGCGGCCTCCTCCGCGGCCGCGCGCTCGGCTTCAGCATCGTATCCCAGCTTCTCAATGCGTTCGGCCTCTTCCTTTGCCTTGCGCTCCATCTCCTCGAAATCGAGACCATCTCCGCCGCTCGCCACGACCTTCTTTGCGCCCAGACCTTTCTTCTTTGCGCCGAGGATGTTGGCCTTTGGCTTCGCTGTGGTGGTGGTCTTGCTGCGGATGGCAGATGCGGGAACGGCGCGGGGAGCGGCAGGGGTGGAGTCGGCGCCGGCGGAGAGCGGCGACTTGGAGCGGGCGGTGCCGTTGCCGTTGGAGGAAGCGTTGAGGAAAGGCGAGGCGGTACGGCTGCCGGAGGCTGGGGTGCCGGTGCGCGAGGGCGGGTTGCTGGGGCGCTTGATGGTGGGCTTGTCCCAGGACGAGAAGAAATCGTCCTCGTCGCCGGCGGGAGTGTTGGAGCCGGAGGTCTCGACGTCGGGCACGTCGGTGATGGTGACCTCCTCAGGGAATCTGGCCGGTCAGCACCCATTGAAAGGGCATGGGCGAGGACGGGGGATGCCTACTGCTTCTTGTCCAGAGTAACCCTCCTGGCCAACTCCTCCTTGTACTTTGTGGCGGCGTTGGAGCTGTACTTGGCCTTGGGGTCCTTGCTGTTCAGGGCGGCGGTTCCGCCGTTGGTCTGGAAGTACTTGGTGGCCGACTCGTTGCCGCCGACCTTCATGAGGCGGAGCTGGTCCCATTGCCAGACTACAGCGGCGTCAGCGGGGCGGGAGAGGCATTGGCACGGGCTGGCATACTGTCGAGGTTGGTGGAGCGCACAAAGGAGATGTGCACGCCCATGTTACGGTGGTTGGCGGAGCAGTCGAGGCACAAGTAGATGCCAAAGGGCACCGACGACCAGGTGGGGTTCTTGGCGCCGCAGTCGAAGCATATCTGGGGCAGTCAGCGGACAGCGCGGCGAAGGGCGGGCGCAGAACAGGGGCGGCGGACCTTGTTGGCGGGCTTGGTCTTGAGCTTCTCGAAAATCTTCTGCGACTCCTGCTTGGTGGCCGCCATGGTTGCTGGATGCGCGAGGGGCGCGAGCGGATTTTCGGGAGTCGGGGCGTGCGGTGGTGAGTGCGGGGCGCGGAGAGGCGATGTGGACGGATGGGTTGGATGTTGGATTGGATGGTGTTCAGCCCGACGACGGGGCTCGGCCACACCCTGGCCGCCGCGCCTGAGAAGCCGCAAAGTGTCATGAATGATCCACCGCCTTGCACGTGATTGGCCCGCCTGCTCATCCCATGCCTGCGTTCGTCAATCGACTCCCACAGCCGCCAGCATCATCTCGTCCGTCCTCCGCCGGGGGTGTTGACGGTATTGCACTGAGCCTTGCCGGGCGCCACGCTGGCGTCGACGGTCGTCGGGCATCCGTCAGCCGCAGAGGCAGCAGCAACAATCAGGCTACAACTGCTGCCTCCGGTTGCAGAAAAGACCCGCTTCCTGCCCTCCCGCTCGTGCCGTCACCTAGTTGATCCCGTTGCCGGGCGAAGTCGTTCCGATGGCGGGGGCCGAGTGCTAACGTCATGACGTACCTAGTTCTGACTATATAAGTTGCCAGCCTGTCGTCCATCAAGCTGCACCCTCAACCGTCATCCGCCATGTCTACATCCACTACCACCGGTCTCTTCTCCACCCTCCGGCCCATGGGCCTCCCTCCGACGCCAATCGTGTCGCTCTTCCTAACATACGCCATCAATGTCGTCGCGACGCCTCGCATGTATTACTCCAGCAAGCTGTTAGGAGAAAACAACCAGGACCCCGCATCTCTGCTCGCCCGCGCCGAGCAAGAAAAGGGCGTTGTCAGCCCCGAGCAGCGCACCAAGATCATTCGCTCCAAAGCCGCCGCCGCGAACCTGGCCGAGGCCATGCCGCTGTACCTCGTCGCCAGCTTGGTTGGATGGCTTGGCGGCGTCTCGCCTGAGGTTCAGAACTCCTACCATGCCGTCTGGTTCCTCTCCCGCGTCGGCTACAAATGGGCCTACCTGAATGCAAAGGGCGAGGCACGGTCCGCCTTCCAGTACGTTCGCCCTCTCTTTCAGCCTTAAAAAAAAATTCCTGGGAAGAAAACTACACTGACACCTTACCAGCATGGTGGCTACAATTGCTACCCTCTCCATGCTCTTCGTTGGCGGCAATGCTCTTCACGCCAAGACTGCCCTCTTCACGGCGTGAGACATGAAAGCCATGTCCCTTTTGCTATCTTCTTTGACATGAAAGTATCAACAAATCGCATCTCAGCTGTAAACTGTTTTTAAGGCATTGAAACTCCTCTCCCATTTCCTAGTCCTTTCGTGGATCTATGTAAGATAAGAAAAAGGTGCCTCCCGCGATTCTTCTCCTTGTAAGAACGATTTTTGATGCCTCATGAGCGGTTAGTATTAGATAACCTGCCATGCTCGCCGGGGTTACCTGCAACAACGGGGGGGTATATACGTCACCAGACACACTAATGTTAGCGTTGAACTTTTGTTATACCGGTTAGACTGGAGAACGTTCAATCCTTCCATGAGCAATGGAAGCACATATCTGGACGTGGATGTGAGATATGAAACTGGCACGAATATATCCAGATGAAGCATTTGGCTACTCACGTGAGCAGGGTACAATATCTCCATGATACAAGACATTCTCATTAATAAAAGAAATCGTGACTAGTGAAAGACCGACGATTCACACTCGGAAGGCCTCACAGCTACCACCATCCCTGCCCCCCCTCATCCCAAGTACCACTCTCCACTGCTCGCTCTCTGCACCCACCTCTTGTTGAATGTTGACTTGTTGCCTCCCTCTTCCCTCTTCCCGACCACAGCCTCCTCCACCGTCTCCTCCTGTGGAGGAGTGGGAGGATACTCACTCTTCCACTCATCTCCCAACTTCACACCGCCTAGGTTGCAATCCAGCGTCCCCCACTTCTTCGTGTAGAGATCGCGTCCGTAGCCCGCCGTCTCCCACCAGGCCTTCTGGAAGCCGCGAGGATCGTAGGTCCATGGCTCGCCCTTTCCACCCTTCTGCACATCCTGCCACGTATTGCGCCCCGAAGCGTACTTCCGATCTTGCAGCTCCTGGAAGTTGCGGACGAGGTCTTGGTAGCGCGGTGAATTGGGGGAGTTGTCTGGGTCGTCCAGCAGGCGGGGCTCGGGAAGGTTGAGGTACTCAGAGGTAGTGGTCATGTTAGGGTTCTCCTTTGCCGCGAGCTCGATGCGGTACTGCTCGAGCTGGGCAGTGGCCTGGCTCGCGTTTTTGAGTGCGAGGCTTGCGCGGGGGGAAAAGAGGGCTTCCAGCCTCTCCCCAGTCGGGTCATCGCGGGCCGCGACGGCTTGGTCGGCGACGTCGAAGATGCGGCCCGCGTGGACTGAGTCTTTGGTGTAGCCGTGCAAAAGGATACGGGCATAGGCATCGCAGTCTGTGTTGTAATAAGGGACAAACGTGTCCCAGGCGCCAATGCGGCGCCACGCCCCAACGTTGATGAGGGACAGATTGTCGAATTCGAAGAACTTGATCGCCCATGGGCCCGTCGTATTGCGCATCTCACGCGTGGACGCGGACCAAGTGATGTTTGGGTAATTAGGATGGGGCAGCGTGGCGTCGTCGAGGACGTCGAGGGCGCGGGCGTAGAACGACTTGTACGGAACGGTGACTTCGTCAGAGATGACTCCAACGTCCATATGTGACCAAAAGAAGTAGGGCCACCCCTCGGAAATGGCTAGGCGCAGCAGGAAGTTCTGCAGCTGCGCGAAGTTGAGAAGTGTTGAGGCTTGCATGATTGAAACGCCGTAGCGCGCGCGGTACAGGTCGTAGTCGATGAAGAAGGGGTTCTCGCGCGATAGCTGCCCTAGCGGGTTCGCGTCCATTGTGCCCGTGTTGTCCACAATGACGATGTCCGACCGCGGCCAGCCTGCTGCTATCCAGCCCAGCACCGCTTGCCGCAGCATGTTGTTGTTGCGAGTAAAGGGGATAAAGAGAGGCGTCCGCGGCCTTTCCGCCGGCGGGTGGTTGAACGGCGCTACCTGCGGATGGAAGCTGGTGCCAATTGGGGGATAGTAGAACTTGCTCGCATCCTCCTTGCTGCCGAAGATGGGAGGAAACGCTTTGTGATCTGCATCGTCTTCCTCAACGCGGGAATCCCATGTGTTGAGGATGTGGACGTCGATGTGTCTAGTGTAGCTGATGACTGGTAGGCAAAGAAGAACGAAAACACAGGCAACAGCAAGACAACAGATTAAACGATGCCTGTAGCCAGATTGCTGGTCTGCCGGCTTCTCGGTCGGCGCAGGCTGCTCATTGGAGTCTTCGCTGATGGGCAATTGCGCGTAAGCTTGCTTGGGGTGAAAAGCCTCGAAGAAAGCATCGAAGAAGGCCATATTGGCCTACACGACAGCAGGAGATGCTGCCAAAGGAGCGAGAAAATCGGGTCATGCCAGCTCACGGGTGAGCAGAGACGCGCCACCGTACATATGTCAAGGGGACCAGGCGGTTGCACGGTCGTGTAACGCGGCGTAAACATCAAGCATTCCCGTCCTACTCGGTCAATTGGCATATCTTCTTTCTTTGAGCTTTGGCACCCTTGCTGTGCGGTCAACCTTGTCGGTAGGGAAATCCACTGGTATATATCTAGCCCTCTAATGCCACCATTCCGACCCCATCGGAGGCTGAAGAATGTAGGGTCTGGGGCGTACACGAACCCTGTGTCGGTCATATCAGCGGATATATACTTGCGTAACCCTCGGGCAGACTCCAATCAAGAGCGATGCGTGCGACATTTGACCTTTGGGGATTGGTGGGAGAACTGCAGCAAGCCGAGAGGATCAGTGAGCAAGCAGCAGTTTGCTGAGAAGAAGGGAGCGAAATGATTGGTATCTCAATGGATGACTGTTGTGCCTTGGCATGGCACGGCATCGAAGCCAAGTCAGTAAGGGCGATCGGAGCGAAGACAAGGGCATAGCAGTCACAAAGAAGGGTCGGGGGAAGACTTGAGAGGTGAGAGGAGGGGTGAGAGGTGAAGAGAGAAGTGAGCGGTGGGTAGAAGTGAGAGATGGGCAGAAACGGAAAGTGCGCTTGGCGATCGGGCAGCTTTAGCCGGCAGCGGCTCGCTTAAACTTTGCGCTCGACAAAACACGGCGGCCAACCGTAGTCACCAACCAACAACACACGCCACGCGCCATAGCAAATTGTCGCCGAGACTAGCGCCATCATGGTCGCAACGAGCCAAGCGCCCGCCAGCAAATAGACCTGCGACGTGATAACACCCCAGCCTCAGCCAGCGCCTCCACAATGCCGTCGGCTGCCGACCTTCCTAACCTGAGGGCGACCCTGCGCATCGATGTATGCGCCCGCCTTCCGTTGCTTGCACTTCCGAGCTCCATCTAATCAAAATTATCAAGGGCAAAGTAAGCACCGGTAATGATCGAGGTGAGCACCTACTTCATCCCTGTTGCCGCTCCATGTCTGACGCCGTGCAGCTCAGTTTACTGCTCGGCTTTATGACGTTCAATTCTACCCTTACACTCCGCCGGGCGTAGATCCCATCTTTGCCGCTACCGGCGGCCAGCAGGTGGGATTGCCTCACATTTTGGTTACTCAATCCCGATCTGACCACGCAAGACCTTCGTGTGCCGTCCGACGCTCGACAGGGACAACGCCGTCGAAATTATTCGAGAGTTCAGAGATGAGGATCAGGTAACATTAAACATCACTAATGCTTCCATCCAGAGCACCATGGCTGACACCGCCCAGGATCTGGAGCTCAATAGCCTTGTGTGGTCTCAAGACATCGACGGAAATCCTCTACTTTGCGTCGCCGGAAGTCCGTCATCCATCATCAGGGTTCTGAACGTGACCACCGGTAAGCTCACCAGGGTACGTGCTCCAGACGCTCCGGTGGGAAAGGATGACCACTGACCGCACCGCAGTCCCTAGCTGGCCATGGCGCAGTAAGTAGATTGGAATGTTTTACCAAGCTCCACTGACCTGCATCAGGCCATCAATGACCTCGCTGTTTCTCCTCTCTCACCACACATCTTGGCCTCGGCTTCCGAGGACCACTCCGTCCGGATTTGGAATCTTCATCCCAATTCTTCCAAGCAGCCCTGTCCAGTGATTTGCAGTGGAGCAGAAGGGCACCGCGATAGAGTTCTCTCAGTCGTACGACATCTCCCTTACGCTTCATGGTTTCTTCACTAATCACAGTAGTCGTTCCACTCTTCCGGTAGGTATCTAATCTCAGGTGCCATGGATTCTTCAGTCAAGATCGTGAGTAGAATCCTGAGCTCCCTCCACCTCGTGATTAACTTTTATCTGCAGTGGGTCCTACCAGAGCTTTCAGACACAGAACCTGGCACAGATAAAGTCAACATTATCCATTACCCTCACTTCTCCACCACTGAAGTGCATTCTGATGTGGTAGACTGGTGAGTCCCCAGAATACGAAGAAGAAGACAAACACTCATCCAACGCAGCGTGCTCTTTTACGGTGATCTTGTACTTTCGAGATCAGCAAAGGAAAACCAGATCCTTCTCTGGAAGATCGATGGCTTCAATAGCAACAGCCCTCCACCGCCGTTGTCAACTGCAGGCCAGAATGAAGCACACGGAATCAACAACCCAGACGAGAGCAGTGATGCCTACGGCAGTACGGCCTCGGCGTTCGGAAGACGCTTCCAGCGACTTCTCTCATTCGACACGCCCATGACACCACTGTTCTACAATCGCTTCGGCCTCTTCCATATGCCGCACAAGCATCCTATCCTAGTCATGGGCAACGAGAAAAGCAGATTCATGTGGTGGGATCTGCAGCGGCTGGAAGAAGGAAGCGACGACATTGTCAAGACTGAGATGACGTTCCGCGTCCCTAACAAACGTAAGCGTACAGAACGCGACGGGTCGGGGGTTGGTGCGGGCCGAAGCAACCTGATCTCGCGCGAAGAGAGCATTGCGTCGAATGCATCCAGCGGAATCGCATCAACGGGCACAGGCTCGTCCTCGGTTCAGTCCGGCAATTCCAACAGCGCAGACAAGAAGGCTGCAGTCAAGAAGCTGTGGAGCATTTCGGATCCATTCGCGCCCGTTCCTCCGCACAAGAGTATCGTAATCCCCAAGATGACGTTCTGCTCGAGACAAATTGCCTGGAGCGTCGGTGGCGAATGGGCGGTCGCTGTGGGAGATCACGGCATGGTCTGCGTATTCCGACGATGGGAGTGATCGGCGGGGTCTGGGAGAAGGTTCGGATTGGCAGTCGAAGCAGATGAGCAGGCTGGACCCGCGTCAAGCAAGCAGAGAAAGCAGTCAAGTGCGAAGGAGGCTTGCAGATGATCCCGAGGACTGGGCCTGAGTCCGGTGCATGAAGGGGCATTGTGATGTTCGCCACCAAGTCCCCATCCCAGCTGAATCGAGTCGGCATCACTTCCGCTTTGGGATGTTGCAGGCGATCACTGCCGACACACGCATGTGAGCTGTCTTTTTTTCACTTTTCTTTTTCCTTTGTCTCGTCAACTCCGAAGCTCGCGCTACAGCAAGGCAGCGCCCTCGCGCACCTCGACAATGCTCGGTTGGTGCCGATTGATCTCGGCTTCTCGGGAGGCGTCAGCGGCAATGGCGGCCGGAGCTGAACCTGCCAATTGCTTGGTACGCTGTGGAATGCCAATCCGGCGACCCGGTCCTCGGACTCGGCTCCCTTCTTCACCATTTGGCAGCCCCTTGATGACTGATCTTCATCAACAGCCCTTGGTAACAAGAAGATGCGGGATTCTCTGCTTCGTTGTATGCCATATTTTTGAAGCCATTCCCAATCAAAATGAACTTCTTCGTATCGCAGCAGACGTCAATGTGGGCCATTGCTCCGGACACATCTCTTCTAATTTGCATCAATCACTTTCGTTTATATGCACATTTCAGCTCCTCATTTGGACATCGGGCGTCCGAAAGATAAACTGTTGTACGAGGTCGGTCCATCCAGTACTGCAGCTCGAAGCGCTCATCGGGACGTTGATGTGCGACAGTATTAACAACGGAAATGTCTGAGCAGAAGCTTCAACTAGTCAAGCGAGCCGGCCTCGTACACTCGCACCCAATACGGTGACACATGCCGATGAGCTCAGTGCACAGCAAAGTGCATCTCGACGCGAGACAGTCTTCTCATTCGCCAACGGGCGGGGTACTTCGTACGACGTGTGGTTGGAGGCGATCGTCGATTTACTGCGTTCTCGTGGCACGTTGTACACACACGCCGCTCACTGCAAGACCGCCCACGGGAAGGTATACCTCGTTTCGAGAGTTGTTGCGTGTCGGGAGTGGATGGAGGCTGCATCTTGTCCCGTACCTGTTTCAACTCTCCCAATCATCTCCTCTACTCTTACTGCCCGTCGAAGATCGACTTGCTCCACCATCCTGCCTCAAGACCAGTCGAATCTCAAATCCTTCTTTCCTCTCATCCTTCCCCCCTTCTCCGCAGTACGTCTCTTGAGACTGCAGTCCCGGCCCGCTATACCACGCGCCTCGGCTTGCCCGAAGCGGCTGTCTCTGCACGTACGTGCAACAATGGTCCGAACTGTCATCTCGGGTTACCAGACCTGCCTCCTTCCCCGCTGCCAGCGGCACCTCCTCTGTTCCCTCCAGTCTGCCACGGTGTGACACCAGTTACCATCCTCCCACCACCCCCGCTCTCCAATTGCACCACTTCTCTCTGGCCCATGAAACGCTGCCGACCGTTTTTTGAGTACTAACTCTTCACTATGCACTACATGACACGACCGCCGACAACGGCCGCAACGGTCGGTTCGCTTGTGCTACACCACGACAACGGTGCGACCAAGGACATGGCAACACGGGGCTCCTTTTCCGTCGGGTCTCAGCTTGCACAATGCGCATACTTGCAATAGTTAGAATAAGACTTGCCATTCCATGCTCGCCCTGAGTAAGCACAGAGAAGCAGAAGAGACAAGGAAACCCCTGGTAGAGGAGCATCGTGCCGGCTCCCGAGTCCCCGTTGCTTCTTTTGCACGCCGCCGGCCCTCCAAAATCGTCACGACACGGTATGCAAAAGACGTGGTACTTTACCCTACCGCGAAAAAACTCCGGTGGGAAATCTTTCCGGCCCTTGACCGCCTATTGACCTTCTCGAGGATCGTCACGGAGCCAGCGGATGGTTGACTCGCCGGAGCATTGCAACAAGACCGAGTTGTTGAGGCTATGCCATGTCAATGTACAGTACCAATCGAATCAGCTCATAATGCAGTAGAGCGGACGGCAATGTTGGTTCGTATAACGACGTACAATCCAAGTTCCCCGCGAAGGCCAGCCGTCACCGGCGCGGCAGCCGACTGGACGGGTTCTCCTTCAGGTATCGATTGTGCGTCTTCTACAAAGAACCTTTCGAATGTAATCGGGGAGAGGGGTGACGTTGACGACTGAATCAATGCGACAAGGCGACCAGGAACAAAACGAGGCAACGGCTGAGTAATGCCCAACCGCAGAAGAAAAAGGAAAGCAAGAGTTGGGCAGTCGCCAATGATCAGCACCTCGGGCGACAATCGCTCTGGCCAGAACGCTCGGGATCAGCGAGTAAGGATGCGGGAGACGGCACGCATGGGGGCCGCCCTGCCAGCCGCGGAGCAAAAAAGCGCCATCTACGCAATTTGCTTATCAGAATGTCTCTGGATAATCAAGTTACAATAGGCAACTTCTTTGGGCATGGCATTGACTGTGTTTAGAGATGTCGCTAAGGAGCTGCGAGACTTGAACAGGACATGGAACGAAGCTACGATCAGCGGGGTGCAGCACCCACATATATGAGGTGGCCAATCGGGGAATTGTCGTTGATTTCACGTGGAAATATGCTTCTCCGGATGGTCGCGTGGGATCAGCCTGGTAAGAGGGGATGACGTCTCTCTCTCGTATCGCAATGTGCTTGTCCTAGATCGCACGTCAAGTTCAGAGCATTACGGATATCAATGCCAGTACATATGACGCAAGTGGTTTTCGCTCCATCTACATACCGACTTGCCATTCCCAATTCTACTTGTTCAGCTTGCTGCATTCATACGCACAGTATCTGCGCATAAGCTCGATGCACTCTGCACTGCACTGCATTTCACCGTCGTGTGCTGCACAGGCGCTGCGCGGACATCAGAATGTGGCAGTCAACCTGCTGTTGCACAACATGTATGTACAGTAGACATGCGGTCGAGTGGGTACTCGTGTGGGCTTAGAATACTGCCTCAACAGGGTATGCGACCGCTATCAAATCAAGCTAAGCGCTGATTGCGAGCGTCAATTTGATCCGATCTGCGGTTGACGCTACAGGTATACTGCACATACGTGACTACCAGCTGTACAGTATGTCCTCCCCGGTCATTGAAAGTGTCACCGATGAAAAGCGATCGAATCTTTCAGACAGGTCCAAAAACAATCACTCGATGTAAACAATATATCAAAACGCCACAAAAAGGAAGCACTCCACAAAATCCCAGCAAATCCCCCACACATCTCCGGACCTCCGTCCGCCCCCAATGACAATCACCAGACCTCACGAACCCTTGCAATGCCCTTCCCCACATCCACACTAGGCACTTTCCCCTCTCCTCTCTCTCTCCAACCAGACGCAGTAACGAGACCGAGCCCGCCGACTAGAGTCGCTTATGTTCGCCTCCAACTGTCGGGCGCCAGCACCCGGTTAACCATTTAACCAACCAACCAACCACTCAACCAATGAACGAACCCGACGACGACCCGGAGGCAAAAAAAGATATCACACGACCGACCGCATGGCTGGCTTCTGCAACAACGCAGGGGCAAACCACGAAAAGTAAGCGCTTGCTTTCCCGTCGCCGCCGCCGCCGCCTCCTTCCCGCCCTTCCATCCCGATAGCCTGGTTGGCAAAGACACACATGCCTAGCCAGCCACACGTCAAGCTATTACATACTTTTTTTTTCAACCTCGTCGACATGCTCCAAAAAAAAAAAGAAATACATGCTCGATACCAATTCGGCCTCTCCCATGATAAGGAATCAGGATCGAAATGGCAGCAAACATCTTCTCCTGTGAAGCTCGACAAGTGCACTTCTAGAGCGGACTTAAGTTGACAATAATGTCTATTGAATAGCCACCTGCTGACGCCACCACCGTCGCTATGTGAAACGCGTTTGACATGGCAGGGACCTCCCTGCTCAGACATCAGCCGGACTCTTCCCGCCTCCAGCTAACTCCATCGTTAGGCATCGTCCAAAAAAAGTAACTCGAACCACTTCAGCGGCTCGTAAGACCCTGGTCACATCACATTGCAAAACTGTATTTCTGTCAAGCAACAAAAAACAAGCGATAGCTATTGTCTTCTCCGTCAGAAGAGTAGCTAGGCTAATCTGGTATTTGTGGGTAGTGGAAAGAGGAAAATTAGGAGATGTGAAGGTACCTAAAAGAAACATTTGCTCCCATTTCCCCTTTCGCTGTACGCAAGCAAGAAGCACTGTTGCTTCGAGGCCTGAAATTTGGAGGGAAAAAAAAAAAAGATCACGACAAAAGCTGAAGATTGAAACAGCCTTTCTCAGCTGCCCATCCTGGTTGGATTATTGCCGGTAGTGGAAAATCGTCAGCTCATAAGTTTTCCAGCTTGCGCTTAAACATATTCCCGCATATAAAACCCATTCGTACAAGCGCATTGCAATCCGCTATGTGATCGCCACACTAAGCGCCAAACCGCTTTCCATCAAGGCCTGGGTCACCAAATGGGTCCCTGGTAATACCGTTCATCGAGCTTCCGCTACTTCCGCTATCGACTCTGATGCGGTCTCCATGGCCGTTGCCATGAGGACTCCAGATAGGGAAACCATCCGGTGGCTGAGACTCGCCCATTGGTTTCCCGCGAGAGTAGTCTGTAAGACTGCCGTTGATACCCGTCAGGGCCCAGGCAAAAACCGCAACATCGCGGATGCTCTGCATGAAATCATTTGCTGTGGGGCCGCCATGGCCCCAAACCCCATCTGGACCACCTGCGGCTGCAGCCTGCTGCGGTTGACCCATCAGACCCATCCGCGCGGCATTGGCATACGCGTTGGGCAGGGGAGGTAGAAAAACAGGCTCAGGAGCCCATGGGGCGGCAAAGATGCCGTTAGCATAAGCGGGCTGGTCGACTCGAGGAGGCTGTGCCGAGGGTGGCATGAGAGGGCGAGCACGACGCAGGCAGACAACAAGGCCATCCGAAGTGCAAGAGACGACAGCCTCAAGTTCGATCAGATCTTCATGACCATTGGTGGATGGCGAAGTTGGTGCTTGAGATGAGTTGTACGACCGAGGCAGAGGACCTTCGTTCAACCTACGCGCACTACTGTTGTTCGAAGAGATGCGTCCCTCATCGTTAGAGGTGCTTGGGTTGTCGGTGTCCACACCCGAGGTGCTCGTGGAGGTATCAGTAACGAGGGCTGGAGGAGTTCCGACGTTTTCCTCTCCGACGTCAACACCACCCTCGTCCTCGTCTTCGGTGACATCCGTCATGGCTTCGTCCGTGCCGTCATCGTCCGACGCGCCCAGCGCATCATGGTTCGGGCGAACACGGGGATCGCGGAAATGGAAGCGGAGATAGGCGATGGAGTCGTTGCCCTTGGCGGTTTCCAGCACTCGGACGGCATCCTGCAAGCAGTTTTCCTGAATGCAGTAGTAGAAGCTCTTGCCTTTCATCTCCTCAGAGGGGATGCCGATGACTTGCTCAATGCCACTGGTGGCATACATGACGGTCAAAGTGCGGGTGAAGCGATTGAGGAAAAGAGCGGCACGCGGTTCGTGAGTTTGCTGCTTAGGACCAAGATTGAACTTGGCCGACAGATGCGACAGCATGTGGTACCTCGGGTCCTTCGGCGAGGACGAGAACAGCTTGCGGACAATTGGTGCCTCGACCGCGCGCTCTGGGCGTGGGTGTCAGTAGAGATTGAGCAGTGCGGGGGGAAGGGTTTCGCACTCTGGCTGGTCATGCCTCGGCGATAGACACTGGTGCAGCACACCATCACATCGTAGACGACGGAGAAACAGCACTCGCAACCGACCCAGGCACCATCGCGGTTCCTGATCTGGCAATAAGCCAAGACGGCAGCCTTGTCAAGCTTCACGCCACGGCTGTGGAAGTCCTTCGCAAAGGGAATCTCTTCCGGGTGGAAAAAGTCCCAGCAGGATTTGCCGACAACCTCATCGGGAGTGTGTCCGAGAATATCGACGATGGAGTCAGAGGAGTACAGAACGCGGGCCTCGCGGGTGAGGTCTGTGAGGCGGGAGGGTCAGCTTCGAGTCCAAATCTGGCGCCGAGGGGGGGCAGCGCTCACCATGAATGGTGATGAAGGTGGTCTCCATGAGTGCGGATGCTCGTTGCGGTGGTCCAAAATGGCAAATGCTGATTGGTGGCGCGGTCTGGCGGGCGGAAGACAGTCACTCTCTCCGAATCAATGGGGCAATGCCTAATAGCAGCCAGCGGACCCGGAAGGTCTGGGTGATTCGGAGCGTGACCGGAACGACGTGCGCTTCTCAGGCTGCGAGGCGGAGTGAAGTGGGAGGGCGGGCTCGGCACAATGCTGGCGGGAGGCGAGATAAATGGGAGGTCCGGGAGGCAGGCCACAGCACGCAATGGGGCGGCACAGGCGTGGATAAGGTCAATGAGAATAGTGCGGAGCTTGTTGGAGCGGCGTGGGCCGTGTCAGCGCGGCAGAGGCGTGGAGCGGGCTTGGGCGGCGGAAGAGGCGCGTGGGCGATGGTGATCAGAAACGGGCAGCTGTGAGCGAGCAGGCTGAGGCTAGCAGGCTGAGGCTGGCAGGCTGAGGCTAGCAGGAGACTAGCTGCGGGCAGGCGGTGAGGAAGAGAGGACTGCAAGAGGCGTTGTCGCTGAGAGAGCGTTGGGCGTTGGCGGGACTATATTTCAGCGGGGGAAGGCGCAGATGGAGCGTCATCGGGACAAAATGGCAAGAGACAAGCTAGGATGCCGCACCATCAGCAGCTACTTCGGCCGCCAGGGTCTCGCGTAACCACGCACATGCGCGAGGGCGGCCGTGGGCATCGCAGCAGCCGGGACGGTGCGCAGCCGGCTTGAGCCTGCGCGACAGACCTGCATGCAGCTGAAGAGGTGTCGCGGTGTGCAGCGTGAAGCGAGACAGGGCTGCCGTGCCCGCGTTGGCTGCCCAGTGCCGATCCTGCGATGCCCCCGACACGTGCGACCGTGCAAACGACAGCGTCCCCGTCCGCGTGGGGCGTGCCTGTCTGCCAGTCTGCCAGTCGCGCGCCCCACGCCGCCCGCGCTGCTGCTGCTGAGAAGGACGCATGTCCGGCCGCGCCGGGGCCCTTCTCATCGACGTCCGGTGGTTGCGCGCAGCCGCAGCAGCAGCAGCAGTCCCCGACGCCGCGCAGACGAGCGCAGACGCCGTCCTACAACTAAGGGTCTGGCGTCAACGCTCGCTCCTGCTGTACCTGATCTTCGCGTGCGCTGCGTCATTGCTGGCTCACGCCTCGCGGCGTAGGTACCTAGGTATGCTGGCTCGCATCATAATTCCATAGGTCTGGCCGACGGCGCGCGGAGGTCTCCAGAGGCCGATGGGCGTTGATTGGCCTGATTTGCCGGGGCCCAGCAGCGCAGCGCTCGATTGCCAGGGATGCGGCGGACCCCTGTCGCCGCCGTCGCGCTTCTTTAAGCCTCACAAAATCCCGATCTCCAGACCCTCGCTCTAGGACCTCGAGATCAGAGACCTCCTATACGTCCTTCACCAACGCTCCGCCCCATATTCTCACTCTAACGCCCTCGCAAACCGGCGCAAAACGGTCGCTGCGACCGGCTGCACGCGTCAGACTCCTTGGTTTTCCAATTTCCGCCCGTCTTGCAGCGTCATCCGGGGTTCGCACGCCCCACAAGCCCAGCTTCGTCGCCCGTCTCCGGCGCACATCTCTCTATGGCGCGCCAAGTACGAAGCCAGGGCCTCCGGCGCACCGCAGCGTGCATTTCGGTGTGCGAGGCGGGCCTGGATCCGTGAGGCGGCGCGGCACGACGCTTCGTTTGCGGTAAGAAGGCCTGTATATCGCCGTGAGCATGTAGCTGACTGCCTTAGATAGATGCCTCGATGCTGCGTGTGACCCACATCGCCTCTGTCTCCCGCTTCCGCGCCCGCGCCCTGCGTCTGCTCCCCAGGCCTGGAGTGTGGCTCTTCCGGACATGGTGCGTTAGAGCTGCCGCTCTCCCGCTTCTTCAACGGCGCGCTCCACCCGCCGGGAGCGGTGCCACACCCCTGAGCGCATGGCATCCCTTGATTGCTACCCCCACGAGAGGGCCAGAGCATTTGCGCCTGCAGACGCCGAACCAGCATCAAGGCTCTATTCCCGGTCAACCAGTGACAACCCAAGCCTTGCCCGCGCCGAAAAACGTAATCCCGTGGCCGGACACGACGTTGAAACCCGAGCATCCCTCTCTCGCTGCGAGGCCCTTGCCCTCCCGCTCGCCTCGAGTCCGTGTAAGCACGCGCTCCCGGTCTCGACGGCGGCACGGCGGCACGGCGGCTTCTACCGCAGCCATCATGCTGCTTGGGACGGGTTTGGCCAGGGAGCGCGTCCTGGGGTGAAGTCGGCGACTTAAGAGGCGGATCAAGTAGACTTCCTTTTGCATGCTGCACGACCCTAGGATGGTCCCGCACGGCGCCCACCCGACCACCCGCGCGTGCATGTTTGATCCAGCTCCACGGACCGTCCTATCCACGCCTCAAACGCCACACGTGAGCTGCACTCCACCGCCGGAAAGCTCCAACGGCGCTCAATCCCGGTTGAAACCATGCCCCCTGTAGTGAATTGCTGCTCCAACGCCATGGAAGCTTGGCCCCGACCTCGCCATTGGCCCAGGAGCTACAAACATGCAGGAGAGCCATGGCCAACCTCTAACCCAGTGTCCTCAAGGCATCCACTTTTCTGTGTCTAGCCTATCACAACCTGCGCCAATTGGCCGGCAAGCGCCTCTCATGGTTGCATTCGGGAGGAGCGTCCCGTCCTCCGTTACCTGCACCAGCAAGCTCGGCGGTGATGCCTCACGAGAGAAGGTACCGCCGTGCGGGGTTTCAAACAGTTAAGTGCTGATATGTGCGTGAATCTCCTGCACCAGGTTGGACAGCATCGCCTGTGATTGGCAGCTCGCTCGCTCCAGGATTCTCGCGGATTGTCGGATCACCTTTTTTCTGGAAATGGCCCGAACTCGCCTTTTGCAGGGACGTTGGCATCGAAAGAGGAGGCAATCAGGCAAATAGAAAGATCAGCGGATCGTACGAGACCATTACCAGTGTTGAAGAGGACGGTCATACCAAGTGTTCGTTTCTAAAGACTTACGTGTCATGAGTTGCAGCCGCCACTCAGAACCCGTACGACCGATTGATACGTCCCTGAAAGTGGCCTTCTTTCTCACCGCTGTATCTGACGGATTTTTCCCGGGTCGATCAACATCAACCAGAACTTGCATCAGCAGCAGGGACTGATGATCGCCACGTGGAGGGCCGCTGGCGTCGTTCGTCATAGGCCGCCACCTCAAACTCCGACCCGAGTTCGCAGAACCTTTCTGCCATGCAGGAAATACTTTCCGGCGTTGTGGTTCACCATGTGATATCTGACTGCTATTCCCTCAAGATGGTATTTTATCCTCGAAATGTGCGTTTGCCTTGATTGCAAATGGATAGTCATCCATATAACGCGAAAATAATTGTCCGCCCAATTTCCACGCGGACAGCATACAAAGTCCTCATAGTCATACACCTCTGACCATGGTCAGGCCACAGGCGGGAAACAGACGTGTCACAACAAAAGGAACCGAGCTACAGCTGTCCCAAATGATATACTGATAAGCTTAATCGCACTACGTCCGGATATGTGGTTGCTTCAACTACTCATGCGATAGGTGCAGTACACTTGGCGGGACGCAGGATGCCTACTGGGGGGCAACTTCTCGATTGCCGAGTATCTAGGCATTCCGACTTTAGGCTACTTAAGATATCTGCATTACGCAAAGCAGGATTTCGCCTTCGAGTTTGCCGGTTCCCGTTCAATTTTCGGCGATCAGACAAGATAGCCACATCCCTGCATTCCGAGCAGGGGATCAAGCATCGTATCACATAGTCCCCATTCCCGTCTTGAGCGGTCGGACCCAGGTGGGCATACTGCAGCCACATGTTGCCTATCATGATAGAAGCACGGCATCAACCACTTTTGTCTATGAGTGACCAGATTCGCCACCTTTCCCGCTGGTAAGGCGTCCACCCAGTTCCAACACGCGTCTAGAACGCGTCTATGACGCCATGAACTTGGCAGCATACACAAAGCGTCATGCCACCTGTCGTAACACCTATCTGGAAAGGTTCCAAGGGGAAACGAGCAACGAGCACGCAATATGGACGTGCTGAGTTCGATCCTCGTTTGTAATCCCCTTCTCTTAGCTACTGCTATCTTATGGACCTATGACAGCTTCATGGGCATTTGAAGCAACTGCCCGGATGTAGATGTAGGCCTGAAGGATTGCATGACACATCCACACGTGTTCTCTGACTACCCACGTACGTAGAGTGTTCTAATTTGGCGAGCAGTCTTGCGAAGGTCCGAGTTTTGCGGCCTGTTATGCAGGTAAGGGAAGGAGTTTGTTCGGCGGAGGGTTTTCCGGTTGACAGGCGGAAGAAGTGGTCCATGAACGCCGGTTTTCAGAGCACTCAGGACATCACAAGCTCGTCTTAGCAGATGTCGTTTGATCAGACTGCCACGTCGAGAAGGCCGTCTAATCATGGAAAACTTCTCTCTGATCACCGTCCATATTGGAATGCCACACGGATCATAGGGTCTCGTGTCTCAGGTTGTGGTAACGGTGACGTGGGAGGAACCCGTCACGACCTCAAAGGTACGTTTTCCACAAGGCCTTTTATGTCCAAGAACAAGCCACGATACCACCGCAACAGTATACCGGAAGTCTTCCTGAGTTCTCGGAATTGGGGTTGACAATCGTCCAGCAACGCAGGAAGCTTGATTGCTATCAGCGTATGGGCCGACGCATAGTCGCGAGCGATGCGAACAAAGTAAAACAACAACGCCGGTCGAGCAGAGAATCAATCGGAGCTCCTCGAGAAGATGATTACCAAAAGGTCGCATCACAAACACCAGGACTAGAGGGAAATCACCTTTGCCACCGTGGTCAAATCTTAACGCCATTCTTGTTGATCGTTGTCTTTTCAAAATGGCTGAAGAGGAAGAGTCCATCGCACAGTCGGAGAAGGATTAGGCTGCGCCCATGCCGTCTGCGATGGTGGAGTAAGATACCGAGATGCCCCAGACTTGAGGGTGTCTGGCCAGAGCTGTAGCAGCGGCGCTGATCAAAACAGCACAGAAATATAGTCATTTCAATCGAAACGTCCTGAGAAATGTCTCAACAAGCATGATGCCTGATTAGAATACCAACATTAGATGCTTTGGTAATGAAGGCAAACGAAACTCGCCGTTCAACTGATGCCCACCGCATCCGCCGTTTGCACCTTAAGCAAAACAGGCAGCCGCATGCATATAAGCACCGTCCTTCCCTCTCTCTACCGTGATTTCTCTTCCTCACAACACACACACATACACACCACCAGCATGTCGTCAAACGAGGATATCGACCATAACTCTCCGCCATCCAGCCCAGACGGTACTTTCGCGCGCAAGTGAAGCGCCAACCTTACGTTTGTCTCAATTGTCACAAAAAGGTGCACGTTGGCTTGGCCAGCTTTGAAACTGATCGTGAATTCTGCTGCGTGCACTGCAGCAAGGCGCTCGAGGTTGGTGAGTGGCCAAGTCAAGGCGTATGACGATGCGGGCATAGGATAACAACGACCTGAAGTGTGTGGACGGCCCCTTCTCAGAGTTGCATGGAGAATGAGAAGGTGAGCTTGATATGGTCGAAAAGGACAAGTCGATTTGAATGTCAAGTCTTGGTATATACTGTTACGTAGAAGTAACGTAGTAGCAGGGGAATACAGTGGCCTTTGCATCGTGTCCAGATCGCATTCGTTATGATCATGCCAGTTCGTCGTAGCCATGAAGAGAGATACATCTATTCCTATATTCATGATCCTCATATCATGGACTGCTCTTTACTTCAGCCTCTCCTTTGGACAGCCCTGTTGAAGGCAAATTATCCTGATAGGACGTGATAGACAATGCTCAACTCTCGTTAGTCGGGCTTGTGATAGTTGTGGTATCAAAACACTTTTCTGTTGAATCGGAATTCGAACTCGAAACAAAGATTCATCATCGCCCTACAAAAGGCAGGTTCCTATGGAGTTAGTCCATAAAAGACATGGCGCGATGCGCTCATCAAGCATCACTGCAGGGAATAGAAACATAACCACCCACATTTTCGATCCGGCCGCCTACCGCAGCAGCTCCTCCTGCTCCGCCCTCGAAAAGCCCAGAAGGTACAGCACGTTGAGCAAGCTCTCGGAGTTCAGACGGGCGGGCGCCTCCATCTGGACCCTGGCCTTGGCGTTGAAAGCGACGCCCAGGCCTGCGACGCCCATCATGGGCAGGTCGTTCGCGCCGTCGCCGACGACCAGGACCTGCTCGAGCAGGATGCCCTCCTTCTCGGCGATCTCCCGCACGTGCTGCCTCTTCTTCTCGGCGTGCACGATGTCGCCCTCCAGCTCGCCGGTCAGCGTCTTGCCGTCTGCGCTGACGACCAGGTGGTTCGCAAACGCGTAGTCCAAGCCCAGCTGCTGGGCGAACCAGCCCGTCACGGGGGTGAAGCCACCGCTCAGCACCGCCGTCTTGTAGCCCAGCCTCTTCAGCGCCCTGACCAGCTCGGGCGCGCCGGGGGTCGGGGTGATGAGCTTGCGGATGTTGTCCCAGACGTCGACGGGCACTCCCTTCAGCAGGGCGCAGCGGCGGCGCAGCGACTGCTCGAAGTCGAGCTCGCCGTTCATGGCGGCGGCGGTGATGGCCGAGACCTGGGCCTCGACGCCGATGTGGCGGGCGACCTCGTCGATGACCTCCTGCTGGATCAGCGTCGAGTCCATGTCGAAGACGGCCAGGCGCTTGTGCGTGCGGAAGGCGCCGACGCGCTGCCAGATGGCCTCGACGTTCCACTCGCGCTCGAAGCGCGAGATGGTCTCGTCCTGCCGCAGCGACTTGAGCGTCGCGGCCACGTCGTCGGCGAAGGCCGGGGGCAGCGCGACCGAGATCTCAACGACGCGCGGCCACAGCTCCGAGTCGAGCACGCGGCGCACGGCTGTCTTGTCCTGGAAGCCCGGCAGCACGATGTCGAGGGTGCGGAGGAAGTCGGTGAGGCAGCTCTGCGAGATGTAGGCGCCGAACAGGTTGTCGAGCGGATTGGGGCCGGGGGTCGGGGGTTCGAGCGGGTACTGGCTCAGGTCGTTGGTGGGCACGACGCCGCCGGCGAGCGAGTCGAGGGAGGCGCGAGAGAGCGTGTCGCTGGGGATGTGGTGGGCGGCATCTGGGTGCGGCTGCGGCGAGCGCGGGGTGGTGGCTTTGTAGAAGAGCGTGCACACGACGCGGGCGGGGGCGCCGGTGGTGGCGATGGCGGCGGGCGGTGCGGCGGGCATTGTGGGCTACGGTCAGGAGGGGGCGTAAAGGGAAAGGGAAACAGGAGGGAATAAATTCTGAGCCTACTTTTTTGAGTGTTGCGGGGTCTGGCGGCTCCCGCGATCGGCGACGCCAACAGAGCTTAGACCACGACAGGAACAGGCTGCCCTGCGCTCGTCCAGCTCCTCCGTGTCACCTCCGTCCCCTTCCGCTCCGCTTCCGGTCCGTGTTGTCTCGTTGGCGTCGAACAATGGCTGCCGCATTGAACCCAACCCAGCAGCGCATCAGGCAGTCGCCGCCGGTCGACATCACCAAGCCGTGCAGCGATGCGTGGGTCAAGGGCAGACATATCCTGATCACCGGCGGCGTTGGCGGCTTCGGCGCCGGGTTTGCTGCGAGATGGGCTGCTGCTGGGGCGTCCGTCGTGGTTGGCGACATCAACGTCCAGAAGGGCGAGGACTTGGTCAAGGGGCTGCGCGAGGAGCTCGGCTCTCCGAACATCCATTTCGTGCGCTGCAATGTCACTGGTAAGTCCCGGGCATCGTCACAGCGGGCTGCCAACGACGTTGCCCTCGATCGATGCGGGTAGTTGATATCTCCGTCCAGACGGGTTCCTGCTACTGGCACTCACATCCTCTCAGAGTGGGACTCCCAAGTCGCCTTCTTCAAGGAGGCCCTCAAGCTCTCCCCTCACGGCGGAATCGACGTCGTCGTAGCCAATGCAGGCATAGCAAAGAAAGATGACCTCGCAAATCTCCACGCCCTCCCCACCGACGAGCCGCAGCGTCCAGACCTCGCCGTCACCGACGTGAACTTGTACGGCGTGCTCTACACGGTGCACCTGGCCATGTTCTACCTGCCGCGGAACCCCGGCTCCGTGCCCTCGTCGCCGGACCGCGATCCTCAAAGCATTACGCGTGACCGCCACCTCTTGCTCGTCGGCTCCATGGCCTCGCTGGCGCCCATTGCCGCCCAGCCACAGTACGGTGCGGCAAAGCACGGCGTGCTCGGCCTCTTTCGCTCTCTGCGCTCGACCACCTTCGCCCACGGCGTGCGCATCAATATGATCTGCCCCTATTTCGTCGAGACGCCCATCCTCATCCGTTCCGCCCGCGTGCTTCTTGCTGGCACCGGCTTGGGCCAGGTCGGCCACGTCATTGAGGCCGCTACGAGACTTACGGCCGACGCAACCATCTGCGGGCGTGCACTCAGCATCGGTCCGCCTGCCAAGTCGATGAGAGATGAGAACGGCGTCTTGATCCCAGCCGTTGGCGAGGATGCAGAGGGCGCCGACGGCCCGGAGACGGGTATCTGGGAATGCTACGCCGACGACTTCGAGCTGGTCGAGGCGTGGACTCGGCGGTGGGTCGCCATATTCAGCTACATCGAGGCCGCCAGGGGCTGGGTTGGCTGGGCGAAGGATATCCTCAAGGCCGTGTTTGGAGGGTGAATGAGCAGATGAGCCATGTCCCCGAGAGATAGACCGCGATAGCAATGGTTCAAAGTGTACAGCATACTGATAGGAAGTACCTAGGCCGCCAGTGAAGCCAATGTCCCCGGAAAGCTGTTATTCTCGACTGTCTCGTGAGAGTGCCTTGGCTAGGCTGAAACAAGAGGGGCGTACCTGGGCTCTCAGGCGTCATCGCGCATTAGCGCAGGTGCGGCTGCCAACGGCAACTGAACACAAGCTCCCCAGAACAGCCCAGCCACTAAGTCCCCAAACCAAGGTCGCCATCACTTCTCCCAGACGGCCGCGATGCCTGCTGTTTCGCTGCATGGTCTGTGGCGATCCAATCGCGCTGTGCCTTCTTTGCACAGCCGCCCAGCTTCGCGTCTCTGCGTCGCCGTCTTGGAAGAAAACACCGCGTTAATCTATTCATAGTAGGAGCTGCAGCCTCAGTCCCTGCTTCCGCCACTATGCCGTCAACAAACTCCTCTGAAGATCTGCTGCGTGCAGGCAATCACGTTGCAAATCAGCAGCCCTGTCATCGCCGATGGGCAGCGTCTTTTCATTTCCCATCCGCCATCCCACCTGAAACAACCGGGATGCCAGAGCTTATCCCACCCCGGCATTGCAGAAATCTTGATAATGTCTGTTCTTCTTCGATCATGAATGCCCCCGCCCCGATCCTCTCCCCTCTTCTTCCTCTGTCTTCATGTCCCAGCGCCGGATAGTCCGCTCTTTCTTGTCACACTCAACGCCTTCTCATCTATTCCCGGACGCACTGCGCGACCGCCTTTGCAGGCCACGACAGACCCTGCGTGTCAGTGTAAATCAGTCACACGCTCAACCTCCGAAATCCTGCAACGTACTACCTTTGGGATCCCACTGGCCGGGAAGAGAGCTGCGACGTGCGGGATGCCTTTCTCTTCGCCGTCTTCTCCGCATGTAGCGGCCAACCATCCATTCTTCTACGACTTCGACGACTACTCGCCGTCCGAGAGCGATTCTACGTCAATTACCTCTTCTTCCGACGATGAAGACGATGAACTTGTTTCGCAGCAGCAACCCCCCGACCAAGCATCCGGGAAAAGACTTCAGCGCCGCGGCACCAGAAAGAGCTTGGAAAAGATAAAATGTCATGAGCGCGAAAACCACTGTGAGGATGAGACAAGGGCATCCGAAAGACGCTACTCGCGTTTCTCGGTGGGGAACCAGTACTTCAAGACCAAAGGAAAAGTGTCGAGGCTGGACGGACGCCTGAAGATATCGGTCAACGAAATTGCCAACAGCGGATGGCTGGCGAAGGCGCTCGGATCCGGTATCCGGCATCATTTAGGCCTCACGAAAGGACAAGGGGGCGAAGAAGGCGAAGGTGATGCGCGAGACCTGACCACAGAACAGGGGCAGCAGGAGAAACCGCCTCTCGATGGCAGAAGACCTACCGAAGCCCTTCCGAGCAACATCCCGAGACTGAACATCGTCATCATCGTAATCGGCTCCCGGGGGGACGTTCAGCCCTTTTTGAAAATCGGCAAAATTCTGAAGACCGAATATGGCCATCGCGTTCGCATTGCCACGCACCCGGCTTTCAAAGACTTTGTTGAAAAGGACTCCGGCCTCGAATTCTTCTCCGTCGGCGGCGATCCGTCTGAGCTGATGGCGTTCATGGTGAAGAATCCGGGGTTGATTCCCTCGGTCGAGACAGTGAAGACTGGGGAGATTGGAAGGAGACGAAAGTCGATGTACGACATGTTCAATGGCATGTGGAGGGCTTGCATCAATGCAACGGACGACGAAAATGATAGAGAAAACGTGGGAATGAGTAAGTTGAATTGTTGTCAGCGCTTTCGCGAACGAAGAGCTTATGAGGTTTTGTGGCTTGCTTTTAAAGAATGACTGACAGATGGCTAGTGGCAGACAAAAACCCCTTCCTCGCGGATGCGATCATCGCCAACCCCCCCAGTTTCGCCCACGTTCACATCGCAGAACGGTTGGGGGTTCCCTTGCACATGATGTTCACGTTTCCATACACTCCAACGACTCAGTTCCCGCATCCACTGGCGAACGTAAAGCAGACCGACATCGACGAGAGTTATACCAACTTCATGAGCTACCCACTCGTTGAGATGATGACCTGGCAGGGTCTCGGCGACCTGGTCAACAAATTCAGAGTCAAAACCCTGGGTCTAGAGCCAGTCAACACGTTGTGGGCTCCTGGCCAGCTGTACCGACTGAAAGTGCCCTACACATATCTCGTGAGCCTCACAACCTTCCTCGTCAGCGTCACAAGTTAAAAAAAAAAAGCTGACGAACAACCGCGGCAGTGGTCTCCCTCCCTCGTCCCCAAGCCTCCAGACTGGGGCCCCGAGATCACCATCGCCGGCTTCACCTTCCTCGACCTCGCCTCCACCTTCACGCCGCCGCCCGCCCTCGTCCGGTTCCTCGCCGCCGGCCCGCCGCCCGTCTACATCGGCTTCGGCTCCATCGTCGTCGACGACCCGGACGCCTTCACCGCCATGATCCTCCACGCCGTCTCCCTCGCCGGCGTGCGCGCCCTCGTCAGCAAAGGCTGGGGCGGCATAGGCGGCAACAGCAGCAGCAGCAGCAGCAGCGGTTCCAGCAACCCCTCCTCCTCCACCCTCCCCATCCCCGACACCGTCTTCCTCCTCGACGACACGCCGCACGACTGGCTCTTCCCGCGCGTCGCCGCCGTCGTGCACCACGGCGGCGCCGGCACCACGGCCATCGGCCTCAAGTGCGGCCGCCCCACCGCCATCGTGCCCTTCTTCGGCGACCAGCCCTTCTGGGGCGCCATGGTCGCCGGTGCCGGGGGTGGTGGCGCCGCCAACGACGACGACGACGACGACGACGCCAACGACGACGCCGGCGTGTGCGTGCCGCGCCGGCGGCTGACGGCGGAGCGGCTCGCCGCGGCGATACGGCAGTGCGTGGGGGACGACGAGGGGGGGGGGAGGCGGCGGCGGAATGCGGAATGCTTGGCGGAGAAGATCGCGCGGGAGGGGGATGGCGCGGAGAATGCGGTGGGGTTGTTTCAGGGGGGGTTGCCGCTGGGTCGGCGTCGTCGTCGTTGTCGCGTGCGAGGGGGTCAGGCGGCGGGAGAAGGGGAGGGAGTGGTGGAGGGTGAGGGTGGCGGCGGGCCGTCGATGCGGTGCAGTCTGTTGGAAGAGAGGGTTGCGGCGTGGCAGCTGAAGGACAAGAAGAAGAAGAAGAAGAAAAAGAAGAAGTGTGGGAAGCGGAAGGAGGGCGGCGAGGTGGTGAAGCTGAGCGCTCTGGCGGCCGAGATGCTGACGCAGCGGGGGAGGCTGAAGTGGGCCGATTTGCAGTTGGCACGGACATATGACTGGAACGACTTCGACGGACCGGGCGAGCCCATCTCGGGGGTCGGCAGCGCTGTGGCGGGGACGGTGGTGGAGGCTGCTCAGGGGGTGGGGTCGGTGCCGGCGAAGGCCGTGAAGAGCGTGAAGAAGCACAGCCGACACCGGCAGCTGGCGCGGCAGGAAAGAGAAAGGCAGATCCAGGAAGAAGCCGCTCAGGAACTGCCGTATCGAGACTTCCTCCTAGGCGACAACGCCATCGGGGTGACGGACAGCAATACCACCTCCACCACCGACGAGCATCTCCACCACACCAACGACTCCCTCCCCACCGAACTCCGCCGCACTGCCCTCCACGGCCTCCACCAATCCGCCTCCGCGCTCGCCCGCGCGCCCGTTGACCTCGCCCTCGCACTGGCTCAGGGCTTCCACAACGCGCCACGGCTGTATGGCGACGACACGGTACGGCCGGGCCCCGCCACCGCCGGCGGCGGCATCACGGGGTGGCACTCGGGCGTGCGCGCGGCACGGAGAGAGTTCGCGTTTGGCATGCTGGATGGCTGGACGGGGTTGTGGAAGCAGCCGGTGCAGGGGTGGCGGCGGGAACGGCTGGCGGGCGCGGTGAAGGGCGTGGGTTTGGGCATGGGCGGCGTGGTGTTGAAGAATGTGAGTGCCGTGGTGGGGCCGGTGGGGTTCTGCGCGAAGGGGTTGCAGGAGGAGGTTAGGCGGTGGAGAAGGGGGGATGAGGGGGAAGGGTGGGATGGCTTCATGAGGAGGGCGAGGATTTTGCAGGGGAGGAGGGAGGAGGAAGAGTTGAGGTTGAGGGGGGATGCTGGGGCAGCGAGGAGAGAGGTCGAGGAGAGGGTGTTGCATGCTTGGGGTGTGATGGTCGAGGAGGCGGGAGAAGCTGGTGGTCAAAATGGGAGGGAACGTGTAGGAAAGAAGGAGGGAGGCGATGAGGAGACGACACGGATGAAGGAGTCAGAGAAGTCTGTCCCGCGCCGGAGGTCGACATTGAAGAAAAATCAGCGTCCACCGCGCAGGAATACAAAAAAGAATTGAAGAAGCAAGATGTTGTGTTGGATGAAAAGACGAAAGAGTCGGATCCAGTTGTGGATATCGGCCATGCCAACGGCACAGTGGGTTGAGAAAGAAGTTGACCCATCTACATGGGAAGCGGAACCCTACATCCGGATGCATGTGTATTGTTTGAATACTCGCATCTATATCCGGATACCTGTATCGGCTACTTATGAAGAAGGTCGTTTTAACCGTCAGCATATTTGCTTCAACTGCCCACACAAAGGATTGCCGTAGGTCAGTTTCTTTCGTCACCCACTGTGGCGGCGCACCTGAAGCTAACGGGAAACATTCGATGACAGGCCACTTCGTAACCCCGATGGAGGTATCAGGAAGATATTAGAGGGCATGGTACTTCAGGGTTTTGGGTTGATTAAGGAAATTGACTATTTTCCCTACGGCAGCGTAGAGCTCAATGTTGTAAAGCGTTTGTGGGATTCCTTGGAGGAACGTCGAAGAATGACTGTTCATAGTTGACTTAGGATTCGATAATACAATGACCATCTACTTCCAACTTTTTCCCCGAATCTAGCGGCGTAACGACGGGCATGCCACTCACCCAGACCTTACGAGGCAGAATATGATATTAACCTTGATCAACTACGGAAGGAAAAGAAGTCCAGCACGGGAAATATCGAAAGGCGAGAAAGTGGTAGGGATATTCATAGATCTCGGAAGCCGTTTTTAGCCGCATTATATACAGGAAAGCTCGATAATCTATCTTTCCGGTTTTAAATCGCTGCTCCTCCTAAGCCTCCACTCAAATAAATCGACTGTTCCGCCGGATCTCAGACCTCGTCACCCTCCAGTGTTTCTATTCTCGATCACGGAGACCAACGTCATGCACTCCCGATATTTTGAGAGGTCGCCTTCGAGTAAGACCATGCCAATTCTCTTGTGCCAGAAGCGTCCAGTGGTCTAGGTGGGCTGGTGTTTCGGATGAAGACCGGCGTTGATGTTGCTGTCAAGCATTCATGTCGTTTGCCCCCTTCACGTTTGTCCTCTTTAACTCCCCTTCTTTCATACCCCCCCAAACCCTCTTCCTTCTTGTTTCGCCGTTCCAAAAAAATTCTCTCCAGATGCCACTTGGGCCTTGAAGCATTTAAACCTCGTTCGCCTTCTTCCACCCTTCTTTGAAACATTGCCTTCACACCCCCCTCACACCCTCGTCTCTATCCGCCTCCTCCGCCGCTCCCATAACCCTCATTAACCCCTTCCCGTCCGGCTGCACCTGCACCTTGACCTGCCCGTCGTCACCCCTCTGCCCGCCGCCGCTCCCAATCGAACCACGAAAAGCGCTCGCAGCAATGCTTCCACCCCGCTGCTGATGCTGATGCTGCTGCGGGGGCGGCGGCGGCCCGCTACCCCACGCGGCAGCCGCGCTTGCGCTGGGACCGTTAGCGGCGCCAGCATGCAACGCCCCCGCCTTCTTCAACACCTCCTTCGCCTCCTCCACCTCGGCGATTTGCCGTTCGAACGTCGTGATGGGCAGGAATCCGTTCTTGCCGGACGCCGCCGAGGCATCGCCGGAATACGCGTACGCAGCCGCCGCCGCGGTGGCGACGGCGCCGGCGGCGGAGGAGGAGGAGGAAGAGTTGGAAAAATCGTGCGGCGGCAGGGGCGACGGGGCGGAGGCGGCGCCGGCGCCGAACTTGCCCTCGCGGACGCGCTGGACCTGCTCGAGCTGGTGGTAGAAGGGGAGGTCCTCCTGGACGGGGGGCGCTACGCGGTAGCCGGCCGAGGCGATGGTGGTGGGTGAGAGCGGGGTGATGAAGCTGTTGTTGGCGCTGGCGCCGTGGAAGCCCGGGGGAGGCGATGTGGCCTGGGATCGTGGCTGCTGCTGGCCGTACGAATGGTGGTGGTGAGGCGGCGGCGGCGGCGATGTTGCTTGCCGGAAGGCGGACGAGGATGATGGGGCCGGGGTGGATTTGGAGGACGTGGATTGCGTCGTGATTGGCGTGCTTCCGTGGTGGAGGATGCTTGCCAGGCTGGCCATTTTGCCGGACGGCGATAGGGAGGTGGTGGGTGAGATGGGTGGGCTGGGCATGGTGGTGGGTTTCTGTGTGAGAGTGAAGGGGTTTTGGCTGGTGGTGGCTGGCTGCTAGGGACAGAGTGGCGGTGAGTGGTCTGACGGTGAGTGGTTCAGCCCTGGTTCTGGTTGTAGCTTGGCCAGTTGGTGAAGGTGAAGAAGTCCGCGAGAGGCTGCGCTGTAGGGCTTAGGCGTGACCGAAGGGAGAGCCGTGCGCGAGGCTCCTGAGACCCAAGGAGCTTTGTCCGGGATTGGATTTATTTTTATTTTTACGGCAGATCTGAGGCCGGGGGTTTGGCACGTGGTGATGAAGAAGTTGTCGACGGGGTCCTGACGATTGCAAAAGCGTGGTGTAACGGGATATGATGACTCTGCAGACGCGGACCAGAAACGACCGAGAAGAACACGTTGAAAAGGGGGGAAGCGGCCCGGAAGGCGAAGCTTGCAGGGCCGGCAGCCGGTTGTCTGGGAAGGGGGCGTGGACAGCAAGCAGAAGAACGACAGACGGCAATCGGGTTGTGATTGGCTGGAGGCAGCGAGTACAGCAGATCGTGCGGATGAAGGGGGGAAGAGCTGGTGAAGCGCAGAAAAGACGGCGAGGCGCAGCGGATGGGCCGGAGAATCGGCGCGAAAAGCGAACGGGCGGCGAGTCAAATGCACACCAACCGTCGTCGAAGAGCGCAACTTGGTGTATTTAGAACAGTACCCTCTGGACCCGGCATGCCAGCTTCTCCCAAATATTTCAATGCTATGTGTACCTCCCGCCCATATCTCGTAACGCCGTGATCTCGTCATCATGTACAGAGCTGCGGCCCTTCCGCCACTTGTATTTCCCTTTCGGTCCGATGTCCAACTTATCGATACCGACTGAGCCACACGTGCTTTCAAGAGAACAAGCAGCCACGCGAAGTTGAGTCCTGGCCCAGTTGGTTTTGCACTCCTTGCCATGCTTGACGTGCCAGCCCCCTGCGCCATGGCCGCATCCCTTCGCACCGAACGTCGTAAGCACCCGCAGCGACATGGCGCGGTTCGTCTAGACCTGGCTCATGGACGGGGCGCCGCGGCTACCACGCATGCTGACGCTTCCGCGGCTCTGCTGCCACGAGAAGAAGGCGGTGGCGCAGAAGCACGCAAAGCCGAACCACAGGAAGGCGGTCGACGCCTGCGCCTCCCGGCAACGCTTCTCGGTGTCCCGAGAGCCGTTCGTGATGGAGTTGCTGTGCGTGTAGCCCTGCAAGACGTGTTAGAGAGCGTCCCGAAGCCAACAGGGGTTAGTGCGGTACGCACCGAATTGCTGCAGCTGTGGGCCCCGAGGTAGGCGGCCAGTGCCACCGCGGCGCAAAAGTAAAAAACAACGTTGAGCAAGTCGAGGGCGATGATGGCCATGGGGATGCCCAAGCCCTCCTTGATTGTCGCCGGGATCAAGTAAAACAGGCTGAGCATGGAGAAGACGGAGACGAACATGGTGTAATTCACGATGCTCGGGTTGCCGGCGTAGGCGGTTGCGATCATGTTGCCGACGAGGGCCATGACCAGCAGAGCCCACAGGAGCTGCGCGATCGCAGGGTCAGCACAACGCGCTTGGGTCTGCCTAGGCTGGGGCCGCGGCCGGGGCCTAACTCACCTCAAGCCCTCGGAAAACAGTATGCAGCGCCTTGGAGGCCATGTTGGAGAAATCGGGGTGCTGCACGGGCGGATGCGCGTTTGAGGATGAGTGCGGCTCGTGCGGTTGGAGATCAGTGAGTTATGGGGAGGCTGGCAGAGTGCAGCGCGCAGTTTTGTGTAGCCCGTCACTCGAATGACGTCTGGGCGATGACGTGTAGAACTGGCGCCAGTGTTCCCGCTCTTCCGGCAGCTTGACGCGCTTTGTTGTCTGTCGGGCGTGCGACGGTCCGCCGAGCGGAGAGTGATGCGTGGATGATGATGCCGTGATGGAGAGCACTCAACAGCACAACGGCGACGCGCCCTGTTGGGCCCTCTTAAGTGTCGCTCGAGCAACGCCCAAGAAGAACCCACAGCAAGGATGTCACCGCCATCCCGCCCACTCAGCTTGTGTCTGTCTTCCGCGCACTGCCGCCCGCCGCCATCCGCCGTCACCACTGCTGGCCATCGCCGCCGGCCATTGGCCTCTCTCAGCTCGGCGTCAAACGCGTCCTGGCCACGCGCGCGACACAGCAATAACAATGTGGCAGCGCGACGCCGCAGACCCTGTGACGGAAGGGCGGCGATCCCCAGGGCGCTATCGTTCTAGCCTAAGGCCGCCCTGCGCCAGCCGTGATGCTTGGTTCTGTGGCTCGTGAAGTCACCTGCAGCTTCCTCTCATCACCCCACCGGGCCTGACTCTTCCCGCGCCCTCGCGGTGCCTGCCGGCTACCAATGGCCGCCGCCCTCCGCATTCTTGGTTCGCCGTTTCCCTTCTCCCTTGCCTCGCGCATGCTGCACCCCGAAATCCCCTCCGACCCTTGCCGGCCTAGGTTCGCTGGGACGGTTGGAAAGGCACGGCGAGCACGTGAGGGCTGGTCAATTTGATTGCTGACATCAGGCAACATTGCACTACTGCAGCATAATTGGGGAGTTTGCCATTCTGCGACAGACCTGATACGGCCTCCACCTTTCTTGCACCCATGCGCCTGTCCAGAAACGTTTTGCCGCGCACACGCACGCACTGGCATGCCGACAGCGGTTGAGCACGCTTGATGAGTAGACGGGCCACACGGATCAGCGATCTGCATCCATGCTGGCCCCTGTTTCTTAGGCAACACTTGTCGTCGCGGGGTAATTGACCTTGATCGTCCTCATCCAGCCTTGCGACACAGCCACCTCGTTGGATGTTCATCCGGACCCATGATGCAAGCTGCCAGTGCGGTACCTTGTAGAGGGCTGATAACCGTTGGTGGCCACCTGCGCCGACGACCTGGCCCGGTGGAAGTTGCGGTATTTGTTGTCCTGTTGCGAACAGCGATTCAACAAAGACCACGACCAAGCTTCTCCTACCAATAAGCTCACCGAGATCTGCCAAAGAAGAAGTCCTTGTTGCCACCATTCAGATAGGCTTATACCGGCGCAGATCCCTTGGGGAATTCTACCTCTATGCAGAGAAAGAACTACCCAGACAAAAGGGACCAAGGCGCAACGTTGTCCAATGCACGAATCCGGCGCTCGTGGTGGGTAGCGAAATGCAAAATCCGTTCAAATCATGAAAACTTCTCAGAGACGGACGTAAGAAAAATTGTATTCAACATCCGAGATCAAGACAGTTGCCGGACTGCGGGTGGACTCGTCGTCCCCTCAACGGCCGCAAACCTTGCGATCCCTTCGCGAGCTGCTGTTGGGACGTACTTTTCGAGGCCCACAGAAGTATCTTCCCGTTAGTCACCGCCAAGCCAGATTCCATGCTGTATAGTATGGGATGGTGATGTCTGGCACCCTCCCAATGCGGCGCAACGGTGTCATGCATGTCTCGGATAATCACCTCCGAAGGTGGAAGCGGCAGGCGACGACTATCGTGGACCTTTCCCCCGCCAGCTTCGCACCCCACGGCCAACCCGCCTGTTCTGGCTTTCCCAACACGTGTAGACCAGTCGGTCCCGCTTAAAATCATTGGCGCACTGCTGTTGTACAGCCTCAGCGCTCCTTGCGACGCCGTCGGCCGTAGCTTTGGCGCAGTTCATCAGTATAAGTTCAATCCTTGAGGGCGTCTCGCCAAATATGAGAGTACATCTACGTGCGATATTCCCCAGTACAGAAGATTGAGGGTCATATATCAAGCGGGAGAGTCCATTGCTCGCCTAGCCGCAGAGCGCTAAGCTCGCAGTGGCACCAGCGGCAATGACACAACAACGCGGGAGCGTCCCTGAAAAACGATCGGGCCCGGTGCGTGAATCCCGATTCATTCTAGCGACCCCAGCCTATAGGGGCAGATAGCCCGTTCTACAACGGCGATCGCGGGAGGGCTACAGTTCCGGGCTAGCACATGTTCTACAATATCCGACCACGCCTCGACTTGGAAGGCGGCAGATATATACTGGTCCAGAGTCAATGCGCGACCACGGCGGAAGATTTCCCGAATCTCCTGGCGAGTGCTCGCAGACGGGTACCTCATACGAGCCCCTCAAAGAAAGCGGCGTATGTGTGGTGAGCAAGGCTGGATCCTCGAGGCCGAGAAGGCTGCCGGGGGCGGCAGAATCTTGCCAGCACCTTTCTGGCGGACTCAGGGATCGAGTTCAGACGCCGCAGATCTGGGAAGTTGCTTTCTTTTTCCTCGGTTGCATAGACCGGCGGGAGCAGACACAGCAAGCGTCGCATTTGCCAAATGCTGGAAACCGGTGGCGCCACTTATGCTTATGGAGCCGCGGCATGGTTGAGAAATGTGCGGGCCCATGGCAGCGGACAGAAAGGATTTTTTCTAAGAGGGCCCCGCCGGCTGGGACTGCTTGCTAGCAGCGCAAGCGCCACGACGAAGCAGGCCGGCGGCGGGTGGGACGCGCCGGCCAATCCGGCAGGGCGCAATCAATCTCACGACAGCCGGTGATAATACGGAACCCTTGTGCGCAGCTCCTTCAGACCCGTCGAGGCAGCGCGGGCTGCGGGGTAGGTCCAGCAGCGCGCAGCGCGAAGCCTGACTGGCGGCGACAAAGCTTGCGTTCGAGAAGCCCCTCTTTTGGGCTCTGGACGCGTGTTTGGATCAAGGAATGGGCCGCTGCTTTGGTTAGCAGCGCGGCACATGAAGGCTAGACCAGAACCCACCTCGAACGGCAGGCCGCGTGACTGCCCCTTGCGGCCCCATCGCTGCGGCGGGCTGGAGAGCGCCGTCCCGGCGCACGTCGGGCCCGGGTCTGGAGAAGCGGCGGGCGGGCGCTGGCGGGCGCTGGCGGAGCGCGCTCTTCACTCGGCCTGGGTGCGCGGTGGGCGCGCGGTCGGGTGCGCAGGAGGGGGCGCGTGGCCAGGCGCAGCGCGCACCCCGGCCGGGGAAGGCTGCAGCACGCCGGGCGGACCGTGAGCCCTGAGGCGATGACGGGCCTCTGGCGATGCAACGCCGTGCCGATCGCGCTGAGCTGCAGCTGTGTCTCGGCGCAGAGCAGCCTTTGGAGCACCCCAAGCCGGCTAGCCTGCTTCCCCGCATGGCCAGTGCGCGCGCTACATACAAGAGTAGCGTTGTGCGGTGCCTGCCACCGCGCCCAGGCGATCTTCTGCTCTGCGAAGCCGCCGCTCTCTCTCGCGTCACTCCCAGTCCTCGCGCGCCCCGTTGCCAGCCCGGCCACGCCCAGCCCACTCGTTGCGCGGCCCCGCCCTCTCCACGCCCGCCGCCTGCGACCTGCGCCCGCGCCCCAGGCCGAGCCCCGAGTCCCCGAGTCCCCGCGGCCGCCACGACAGATCGCCGGGGAACAACGGCGCGAAGCGAACACTCGGCCCACCCCAGCTCCAGGGACTCGATTGTCAGTCCACCAGCTGCAGCGCGTCGCCTCCCGAGACACCTCCACCTCACGCCTCGCCTCGCTGTCCCTGCGCGCGCGCGCCCACCTCTCCCCATCGCAACGATACAATGTGCCTCCGCTGATCCCGCGCGAACGCCACGACCTGCCCTGCCTGATCGCCCGGACACCTGCGGCTCGAACGAGGCAAAGCGTGGCGCGCCTTCCCCACATTCTCCCCCGGCATACCGTCGCATGCCGCCCTGCTGCGTCCTCTCATGCCACGACTCCGTCCTGACACACGTCCAACCACCGCACCACCTCGCGCTCCACGCTCCCCTCGAAGAGATTTGGGATAGACCGGTACAAAAGTTTGGCGCATTGAAGCTTGCTTGTGCAAAGACAGGTACGCCGCCGCCGCCGCCTGCTTGCCCCCGGCCTGACGCCCGCCGGCTGACCGCCCACACAGCAGCTTTCAACCTCAGCAAGACTCGAGGACTGCGCGGCCAGAGTGGCGATAGAGCTCTCTTTCTGGTAAGCTGCCGCCCCCCAACGCCCCCTCGGATCGAAGCGGTGCTGCACCCTTCAGCGGCTCGCTCTGGCGCTGATGGCACAGTAGTGATTTTGTTGGAATATAGACATAGAGGCACTGTCGCGTCCGCCCCCTCCTCGCCTGTAATTGTTTCCCATTATTTTGTACACTAGGTAAGCGCCTTCATTTCCGTTCGAGTCGCTGCGCACGCGACTCCCGATCCTTTCGTCTCGGACTCCGCTCTGCGTGTGTCGCGATCCTCCCGCTTAGCCTGTCGTTTGGCCGATACGGATTCTGCTTTCGAATTAGCGTCCCGAGTTCTGGCAAGCCTTGAGGTGCAGCGTACATGCGCTACCCGCAGTGCATACAATACGAGTGCATCGACAACACCACGAGGCCTTGGTTGTCAGGAGGCTCACAGGGTTGCCATCACGGCGCAGGCTGTGATGACTATGAGTTCAGAATCCTCTGGCTTGGATTATGCTGGAGGAGGATGGGCCTTCAGTCCTTGGGCGAAGTTTCCCGTGGCTCCAGCACTGATTTGCGCACATTTCCTTCACCTAGATTTTTTTTTGGCGAGGGATGCCGTTCAAATTCCTTTCTGCGCCTTCGTTCTCCACCCCCGAATGGTACAGTGTTGACTTGAATGCATATAGTAATCACAAACGCAACGCGCGATTTAGCTACGAGATCTCAATCCCCAACATACCCACGCGGCTCAGCCTCGAACCTTGACCGCTCCGTTACATCCAGGCCTATCGCAACCCTCAATCATCTCGAAAACAGCTCCGACTATTTTACACACTAAGACACTGTCTCTGTTCAAGTAACTCAAAGGTAGGCTTAATTTTTTTTTTTTATCTTTCTTAATTTCTCCATAAAACAAAAGTTTTCCCCCAACGCTCCATGGTCCCGGTATGGACGTACCTCGAGCGTATTTTGCGAGTTCCCCCAAGCTGCTGCGTCGTCAGACCCCAATACCACATCTCCGATTGCGACCAGTCTTAGCTCCCGTCTTGGCCCACTGTTGTGGCTTGTCGCCCCCGGCATTGCTTGACACCAGCAGGTGTCGCGCTTTGGTTTGACTCGCTCATCATGTCTCTGTATTGGGCTTCTCGGCCTGCTCCACTCGAGAAGTTTTTTATTCTGTCATTTTGATGCTGTACCAAAAGTACCACAGTATCTCCTAGTGTTATGATGAGCTAATCACTGAATAGGGAGTTTGACACGAGCGATTGGTTTCGCTGTATCTCCTTGCCTGGCAAGACACTTGCACTGCAGTCATTGTCTGAAATTTGATCAGCAAACACCCTTGGGAGTGACCGTCTTTCTTGTGAGTGAAAAGGGTTTCTCTCCGCGACACTGCTGATAGACCTTTTAGGCTGGCAAAACGGTCGGTCTTTCCAGTTTGCCCATTCACATTCCAGGGTGAATACTGGTCAACTAGCCATGGCTTCAATGCCCTCAACACGTGCTCCGCTCAGCTCCAAGGCTGCGCTGCCACACAAAAACGGTTCACCGTTCTACCTTGACAAGCCACTTGGACAAGCACCTCGTGGAGGAAGTCCCCACTCCGAGGCTGTGGCTTCTTCCGAAGATGAGAAGGACATCGTTGTAAAAAAGTCTGCAGGCACTGCTCCCATCAAGGGTGCTCAAGGACTTCCACCCCTCCGGCGTGGATCTTGGCTTTCAGAGGTTCAATCAGGCCCAATGGCGGCCCGGAGAGCTTCTCAAGGGGGTGTCTCTATCTCAGCCAACAATTCACAGCCAGCTACTCCCGGTGAGCATGGGTCTTGGAATACTTTGGCGCACAAATCATCCGCTGGAACAGTATCCTACAGCAATCCCTGGACATCCGAAGCAAGACGTGAGCCACCCTCTCGTCTTACAGAGCTGCCTCAATCGCCATCGAACTATTTCCATTCTGCATTCGGCATCGGGGATGAGCTGCGTTCGCCCGGCCATGAGCTACCTTCAGAAGAGGCCCTTCACTTCAGGAAGACGATGAGGTCTCAGTCATACTCAGTGGGGCAATGTGAGGATGGGCCAGTTCCAAATGCGCCTAACCGCGTGCGCGCTAGTTTCCAAGCATTGCATCAACCTCGCCCAGCGATCCTCAGCGACCTCCATGAAGAGGAAGTGAGTAACGATCAAGGCGCAGCACCAGTGAGCAAGGCCGCGCCCGGCCCTCCTTCTTCTGCCTTGCTCAAACAAGCCCTTGGTGTGCGTCATCGCGCCTCAAGCACGACCGTCAACGCTGGCGCGTGGTCGCCGCAGCGCTCACAGACCTTTTCGGACTCCGACTATGCTATTGACGAAGCAGATGACAACGACTCAGAATCAGGTGGCCATAATTCCGTTGGCATGCTTGGCAGAGGACTCGCCGACAGGCGCTTTAGTGAGATGTCACCACTACGAACTGACTTCTCACTTTCTCGCGCCAATGACGGCTCGCAAAGATCTGCCTGGAATTCACTTGGCTTCGACCCTATTGACGAAGGCTCACAAAGCAGACGTCATTCATTCGCCGTCGTCACCCCTCACTCTCACACGCGCCTGAACAACTCGTTCTTCTCCAGCGACGCCAACATCGAGGACGACCTCAGCGCCTCACGCATCTCCCAAAACAGCCAGCCTGACATTCCTCGAAACATGCAGTCACCATCCTCCCAGATGCGATCTCAGAGTTATCACCAGGAACGAGAGTACGACCATTTCAGGTCAAACTCGGGCGACGAAGAATCAGCAATCGAGTTGGGCCAGGCTCACGATCGTGCATTCGCGCAATCATACTTCTCAGGTGTTGGACCGGCTATGCGGAGTGCTCACACCACAGTCCCCGGCATCGCTGCCACGGCTCCCAGCATGGTGAACCCGTACGCGCCGCCGAATGTCGCTCGCCCGACCAAGCATTTGTACATCGTTACCTTCAAATGCTCGAGGTCCGACGTTTATTACATTCCTGAGAACGTGGGTCTGGAAGTCAAGGCTGGGGATATGGTCATCGTGGAGGGCGACCGTGGACAAGATCTCGGCCAGGTGACACACTGCGACGTAGCGCTGGAAGACGCCAGACAGCATCTCAAGGAAGCGTCAGAGCAGCACTTCCGCTGGCTGATGATGTTCTCGCGCCACGTCCAGGGTGGCCACTCTGGTATGGTGAACCCTAATGGAATGCTTGCTGCTTCCAATGGCGAACAGTACGGTAGAGAGGGGGGCATGGGGCCCAGACCTCCCCTTCAAGCGCCAATCGTGGATGATATCCGACCCAAGATGCTCAAGCGTCTTGCACAGGGTCACGAGATTCAAGTGCTCCGCGACAAGGAAGGCGCAGAAGCTAAGGCCAAGCGTGTCTGCCAACAGAAGGCTATCGAGCATGGCCTCACCATGGAGATCCTTGACGCCGAATACCAACTCGACTACAAGAAACTGACCTTCTTCTACTATGCCGACTGCTACATCAACTTCAATCACCTTGTAACTGATCTCTTCAAGGTGTACAAGGCACGCATCTGGATGTCAGCCGTTAACCCTGCTTCGTTTGCGACTCCATCAAACGCTCTCTCGCAACTCCCTCCGCCATCTAGCCTTGGTCCCGGAGCGACTTCCAATGCCAACGGAAATGGATTCCCTACAACTATGACGATAGGACCCAGCTACGGACGTGGCGCTTTTAGTGGTACAGCTGAACCATCACCCCAGATTTTGACACCAGCCGCTAACAACAATCCAGCACCCCGCACTCCTGGAGGCCTGGAAGTGAATTCGACGGATGCTCAACAAGAGTATCAAGAGCCTCAGGGACGCCCGGTTTACCACTACGCTCCGTCTCCGGCCTTTGGTGGATTTAACCCTGTTGCACCGGCTTACGCGCCAACTTGGGTGCCGAATCCTTCTATGAATCGCTTCATGCCGTATCAATACGGATACGGCGGTGGCCCTGGGGGCGGCTACCCCGGCAACTACTCTCCATTCCCTGGCCAGGATATTGGTAGTGCTCGTGGAGGCGAGCACTCTCAGAACGATGAGCAAGATATCGGCCGCATGCTCGGACAGAGCCTATCGCTCAATCAACGTGCCGGTTCCTAATGGATCAAAGGTTATAGAGCTTAGCCGTCCATGCCATCAGAACAGACCTGATTTTGGAGCACACTGAATTAACGGCCGGAGAACTTTGGAAAATGACGTGAGAAATGAGAGAGCCAAAGAATTACACGACTAAGACACGACTACGACTCATTCCATGTTGAAGGCTTGAATCTTTCCCCCCAAAAGAAGAAAAGCAAAAACCCCCCCCCCAAAAAAAACAGTCCGAGCATTTAATCATGCGCTTGGCGAAGGCATTGCTGCAGGCTATTGCCGTCTAGCTAGTTATCGGTTTCAAGTTGTTGCATTCTTTTTAGTCTTTCCAGTTCTACTATCCTTCTTGCGCTCGTTACGGCCCACCCTATTTTCAACCAGCATATTTCTTTCGTCAGTACACATTTCAACTTATCACTCCACTGCAAGTCGGAACATGAAAGGGTCGATACGATGACAGGGAATGAGTACGGCGATTGGATGATGGATGGCTCAATCCACGGCGGGTGTTTTCTGGCTTCTCCATGAAAGAATGGGTTCTTGAGATATTTCCTTCGGCAGGAAAAGTTGATTTAATCATTCCCTATTTCTTCAGTGCCGCTGTGTTCCGCATCGTTCAGAATTCCGTTTTTTACCTGTACGCTCGGGGAGAGAGTATTATTCCCTTTCGCTTCGACTATACTGCTGATGATTGTGGACAATCGGATGCCTCGGTAAAAACGACAAAAGTGAATATCTTCGCTCTCTTCTGACACTGGCATGCAAGAGACACAATGCTTGTTCTATTTCTCCTTTTCAATCTTTCACTAGGAGCAACCGGCTAATGGAAGGAAAGAAGAGAACCTCCGCATCGCTGTTTCCCCCTCTCTCCTGTAGTTTAGCTGGCTAATTTACATTCGGGTGCGCTTGGCTTCTTGTGCGCTGGTTTGTGTGAATATAGCGGTCACGGAGTCCTGGTCAGAGAGATAAGAATGAGATTGGCTGATACATGCGTAAACTTGAGTATCCGAGATGGACTACTACATGGTTCTGTCTTGCAGAAGGTGTTTGAGCGACGGTGCATATCGAGGCTGAAGACCTGGACGTCGGCTGCACTTAGGGGAGCGAGCTGCGTCCGGTGCTGGATTAGGAAGTTACACGGTGGTCCACGCCTGCCCCAGCTCTTTCCAACGCCCCTCTCATCTCTCCCACACACCCAACTCCACACACTCCACGCCGTTCAAGGCTCCTTACGCAACCTGTACCTTACGACATGCAGTCCAGCACCAAGAAAAGACCTCAAGGTGAAAGACCCAGCGTTTGCCGCCTTTCAGCCTCTCGCTAACGCGCCTTTTACCACAGTTGACCGGGGAATCCGCTCTCGAAAGGACAATGACAAGCTTGTCGCAGGTACCAAGTCCAAGGAGGATGCTCGCGTCACAGAGAGCCAGTGAGTTGCAAACTATACATCATAAGAGAAGAGCAACGCAAGCCAGACTGACACTTGCGCTCTCCGAGCAGACAATTGCGCCGCGCAGCAAATGCAGTCGATGCCTCCTTGACCGAAGACTCGTTCTTCACGCAATTCAGGAACAGCCTCGACGCAGACAAGCGCGAGCTGCTAAGTATTGTCCAGAAGAGACAGCAAGATGCGTGAGCCTACCGCTCCTCCGAAAAAAAAATTTACAGTGAGCTCATCGCTGATACTCCATAGAATCAATGCGGACGCCGCTTTCCGCGGCAAACTCCGTGCCCCAGTCGCTGACGCTCTCTATCCGCACGTTGCTGTTACTTCTGCACACGGCAACAAACCCCAGCTGACAGCCGGCAAGGCGACAGGAGCAGTGGCGGCATCACCTGCCGCGGCCGCTTGTCCGGTGGCGGCGTCCGGCACGCGGATCTTGCAGCTGTCGAAACAACTTCTTGCGTCCTACGACGAAGCGGTCAAGGCGGTCGACGTCGGGAGCGACAAGCTCAAAGATGTTGGTGGTCGGCTTGGCGACGGCTGGCGGAAAGACGTCGAGGAACTGCGCGGCTTGCTAGGTGTCGGATACAGGAAGGCGCAGGACGACATAGTCAAGGTCTTGCAGGGCTCTGATGGCGATGACGGTAGCGAAGGCAGAGTCAAGAAGGATGCGCAGCAGATAGCCGCCAAGGGGGGAAAGACGGATGTGTTTTTCGCAGCCGGGCAAGAGCAGGAGGAGAGGGTGCGGTTCAACGTGACGCAGTCGCTATGCGATGCGTCGCGGGGAGTGCTTAGATTGAGCAGGAGCCTACCACCGGAGCTGCGCCTGGAGTAGAGAGGGCCACGACGGCGGTAGATTCAGGGACATGGCAGCAAGATGAGCAGGGTCTGCGGGGGCACGTGGGGGGGATCGCTCCTTTTTGCTAGTTCACGGTTCATGAGGCGGTGGCCATGGCGCTATACTGAGTAGTGATGATTGTTGCAAGGGTGACGGGGTTGTTTCATGCTGGGGTGTGGCGGTGCCGCTGGAGGAAAATGGCCATAGATACGTCATGGCAGCCGTCGCGACGCGTTGATACGCTGCGAGAGAAACCGCAAGAACGAACAGCGCAGGCCCGACGGCGGCGGGGCAGGCTTTTGCTGCATGATCGCTGCTCTCGAGGCTGCAAGTGCCCGCGCGCCGGCTAGTTCGATTCCGCGTGCGGCCTGCCCTCGCAACGCGGCAACCAATCGTGTTTACACCAGCCCAACTCCCGTTCAAAGCCACCCGCACCTGCACAAGCACCGGCGGATCACGAACAACTGCCTCCGTCATCCCCCAGCTGCACTGCCCGGCCGTTCTGCTCCTTCGCTCCCAGACTCGCCGCTTCACGCCACCGCCTCGAGCTTTTCACCGTCGCCGCGCCATGCTGCCGGCCCTGCGTTTTTCCTAGCAACGGTTGGCTCAACCACACACCTGCTGCCCAAACGCGCTGGTCAGCCTCGTTCCACACAACCTTCCGACCTCCTCGCCGCCCACTGCTGGGTAAACACGAGCACCCACCATCTGCGCCGCCATGGTGAAGGCCGACCCGAAGCGCAACTATTACGCCGACCTGGAGGTCGCGCCCGACGTCGACGCGGAAGAGATCCGCAAACAATTCCGCAAGCTTGCCCTCAAGTGGCACCCCGACCGAAACCCAGGCAGGGAGGCAGAATGCGTGCCCAGGTTCCAGGCCATCCAGGCCGCACACGAGATTCTTGGTGATCCTGCCGAGCGCACGCGCTACGACCTCGAGCGCAGGAAGAGAGGCGGCGGACCCGGCGTCTACACGCAGAGACAACCTGCTCCCCGCGGCAACCCCTACCAAGCTCATTCCCATTACCCGCCGCCGCCGCGTCGCACAGGTCCGCAACGGCCTGGTGCCACCAGCCAGCAGAATGCTGGATCCACCTACACCAACGCGTCGGCCTCGAGCGGCGCCAGCCGCTTCTCGAGTTTCCCGAAGCCACCGCCAACGCAGAGGAAGGATGCAGATCACCAGAAGGCGAACGTATTTACAGCGTGGCAGAACATGAAACCGAAGACGAACACGCATACTTCTCAGGCCGAGTCGTCACACCAGCGAGCCAAGTCGGCATGGGAACACACACAAGAGGCCAATAAGCCTGGCGTAAACCGTAGCCAGAGCACTAGGGGACCCAAGAGGGGCGGCTTTGACCCTACCACGCCCGGAGCGGACGAGCCTCCAGCCGCAAGCACCTCGTCATATTTCACGACTTCCAACTACGGCAGACCCGTCCCTCCGCCTCCGCCCCCGCCTCGAGACCCTCCAGCAGCACACCCCCCGCAGCCGTCCGTGGATCCGCTGAGGCAGTTCAAAGAGCAGTTCCAGCAGCAGGAATCGGCTTATCCTGAGGGCATGCGAACAAGGACTCCGTATAACTCTTCCAGCGGCGAGAGGACGTTCATTGATCCTGTGAGACGCTCTGCCAGCCAGCGAAGCTCGCCCCAAAGGGATCCCGGCTCAGCCCACGCCGATGTGAGCGGCGCCTCTGCTGCACGTCACCACAGTGCCAGTCCTCCCAGACGGAAGGGCAACGCCACCCGCCCCTTCGCCATGTACAGCTCCAGTGAAGACGATGAACCGCCGAAACCTACTCCGAAAGCATCTCGACAGAATAGGACAGGAAGCGTTGATTCCAGCAGCCAGCCTACGCAAAGCAATGGCTTCAACGCTAGTGATATGAACGGCGGCATGGGCCAAAAAAGCAAATCATCAATGTACGACCATTTCTTCCCTGACAACCCAAGCAAAAGGGACAACCCTGTCACTCCCAACATCAAAATAAGGCCTAGAAATTGGCCCTACTGGGCAGTTCCATCTAGCTTGCCCCCACGATACTCTTCTCAGAGGCCCCCTGCAGAGCCTGTGGGAAAGATCAGAAAGCGCAGTGCCACTAACAGTGGCTCTCCTTCTCACCCTTCTCAGCGATACCGCAACTCGAAACATGCTAACCAAGACACCAGCTTCAGCATTCCCATCGACACGGAGACCTTCGCTCGAACGGACGGCGAGCAATTCCCAGGTAACAGCGCGGAAAACATCAACACGAAGTTTTCCCCCAAGGATTGGCATGGAAAGTTTGAGGGCAAACCCGACTATTTTACCAATCCGATCCCTGCCACCGGGAACCGCGCGAAGAAGTCACCCACGAGACCGCCGAGCTCGAGAGCGAATAGTATGCACAATCTATCATCCATGCCTGGGGCCCAGATGCCTCAGCCCACGCCTCCACTTACAGCTCAAACTCCTGGTGGAGAGCCTGGACCAGTTAGGTTTTCGCCGAATGAATGGGCAAAGACGTTCAAAGACCCCAGCTTCGTGTTGCCTACGGAACCGCCCAAAACAGCATCTCCGGTGAAAGGACCGGCGCCGATGAGAGGCAGGAAGCAATCCAGGACACGGCCCGCTGGAGCTAATGTCAAGCCAAAGCCAGCTAGTGTAGCGGATGCTGATGAGAGTAGCGAAGGTGCCGAAAGCACCAACGATGCGGCCGCAACGGATAGTAGCGCGATGGACATCGACCCTGTGCCGCCTGTACCTCAAACTAACGGAACCCAACGTCTGAAGATAGTGCCTACGCCGATCTCTCAGGCTCGCACTGCTCAGAGGGAGCAGGTGCAAGGCAATACACAAGCTAAACCAGAGGAGACTGATGAATCGCTTCGGTTCAAGGAGTTTGCAAACGTTGCGCCGTTCACGTCGACGTCGCAGGAGGGACTGAGGAACCTGGATGACCTTTCGCAAAACCTCCCGTTCGAGTCTCGTCCGGCTGCGTCGCACCCGACACGGTCAGCAGAGCCGGCTGCGCTCTCGCTCCCGCTACCGCCCAAAGCTCCCGAGATACCCACGCAGCTGACCATGGGTGTCTGGAGGGAGCTGCTGCCCAAGATGGCCCTGTATGTGAAGGGATTCCAACAATTTGACTCGTATATGCTCCAGCACTTTGCAGCGCGCCAGCATGAGGTGGACGCAATGGGGGGCGCGATAAACTGGCTAGGGGCTGCGGGCGACTTGACAACGACGGGAGGGTTCAGCAGCTACATGCGCGGCATCAAGGAGGACGAAAGAGCGCGGGAGCAATGGAAGGTTGGATGGGAGAAGCACAGGAACGCAATGGACTTGTTTGAAGCAGCGAGGGCTAGAGTGATGAGGGGCGGCCTACCGGCTTGAAAACAGAAAGTTGCGGGGATTTGGTGGGAAGGGCTGCAGTGATGTTGGGCGGCAGCTCATTCGAGCCTACGACGCAACGACTACCCACGACTTGATTGCCACGAAAAGATTAAAAACGCGGACGACAAAGGGACGATGGCCTTTTTTTCCTTCTGTGAACCGGGCACGACTTTTGAGGCAGGTGTCTTCCGCGGTGGTTGTTCTGGTTCTCTCAACCTTGAATACCCCCTTTTTTTTTTGCTCTATTTTCTTTCTGTTGTTGCTTCTTTGCTCGTCTTCGCTCGCGGCCCGATGCGTTGCATCTTTTTGGAGGATGGGCGGAAGGAGTTGGGTAGGGTCACTGCCAACAGCATGGGCGATTTGGCGGCTACCTGGCATCAAAAAAATCAAAAAAAAAAAGGGCACGCATGGGTTGGGCAGGAGGGATGCAGGGGAGAATTGGCTCTCTGTGTCCCCGGCATTTCCATGATTTCCAGAAGCAACGGCCCATCTCGGAGCGGCGGCGAGCGGGGCAGCGTGTAGGCAGGCCAGCGATAAGGTAGCAGAAGCGAGAGCATAGACGCAATAGAGACGATAACAGCGGGAGGCTAGTTTCAGCGGGCACTGTGGGGATATTTAGCACAAGCATTGCAGCCACACGCAAGCGAGTCGTCAGAGTCGACGTAGGCCTCATCTCCTGAGGGGCTGCACCGACGCAGGTGCGCGCCCAGCGAGAGGCGGGCGGCGGGCTTGGCGGCGCATGATGAGGCTGGCCGGCGGCGGAGACAACTGGACCATCTCAAACGCGTTGCGTGCCAGACAACGGCGGCCCCTACTGCTAGAGTTCAGTGGCGGCGGCACTTCCTCCCCCACACGGCAGCGCCTCGAGGCAAGAGCAGGATCAGCCGGGGGCGTGGCGCGTCCGGGCAGCGCTCAGTGGCTTGGAGGGCGATGTGCGGCAGGGGTGGCGTGCGACCGGGCGGGGGGAGGCCTGTCGTCGACGCGCAATGCGGTCCGCTTCCAGGCCTGCAGACGGCCGCCAGCCTGCTCAACCGCTGCTCTCCTGAGTCCTGACTCTTTTCTGCGCGCCCTCGCTCCCGTGTGCTCCTGTGCTCGTCTGCCCTGTTACCTGTTTCAGCACGTAAGGGATAGAGTCCGGCGAGCATCCCAATTCGCCTGCTCCACTGTTCGCTGCACCCACGTCAACTCGCCGTCTTCTTTTTGCTGCCGCCCTCGCCCGCCGTCTTCCTTCGCTCTGACCTCGCCGCCGTCTCCTCCGCTGTCATTCCCGCCCATGGCCTAGGCCCGTCGTTTCCACATCATCCCAGTCTGCCTGCCATGCTGTTCGACGAGAGGCACCACGTCCCGCTTGTCCAGCGCCTGCTGCTGGTGCTGAAGGGACGGAGGGGAAGGACTCTCGTTCTGGGCCTCTTGATGGCCGCCCTCTCCATTTACCTGCTTTTCGATTACGCCGCCGAGGTGCGTACGCTGCCGCTCTATGATGTCATGCGTACAAATTGCTGGCGTCGTCGAGCTCCACTGGCCGCCATGCCTCAATGCCTCAATGCTAACCGAGCCTACAGACCGGCGAAGAAACACAAACTTACTCTGAGGACCCCGAGTCTTGGAGACATTCGAAGACCGACGCCGTGCTCGACACGGCTCAAGATGCAGCCCCAGCTGATCCAAACACCGGCCATGGCCCGCTGCCCACTTCAACATCGTCGGCGCCGCCGCCGTTGAAGACCAAGGTTGGCCCCACCTTCCATCTGCTCGTCCCGGCCACGGACGGCGACGCGAATTTCTGCCGGACCATCCTCAGTACTATGCTGTTGGAGTATCCGCCACCCACCATTCTTGGCTACTCCCGGGGCGAGGAAAGCTCCATTATCGAAGTCGTCCATGACCACCTGCAGCATACCGAGGCCATCAAGGATGAGGACCTGGTTCTGATTGTCGATGGCTACCGCTCCTGGTTCCAGCTCCCCGCGTCCGTCTTGGTGCAGCAGTACCAGGCTGTCCTGGACGAGGTCAACGACAGGCTTGGGACCAAGTACGGCACGGTCAAGCCGTTGGGTGGATCCCGGGACGCGCGGCCACTGTTCCGGCAGTCGGTTCTTTGGGCTGCCGATGAGCATTGTTGGCCGGTCCTGCACGGAGACGTCGCCTGCTCAGCTGTCCCAGAGTCGCCGTTCTTCTGGGACCACAGCCCGTATGCCAATGCCTCGGAAGAAGCGTCTGCATACAATCCCAAGTTCGTCAATTCCGGGACCGTCATCGGGCCTGCCAAGGATCTCCGTGCCATTTTCAAAGCCCTGATGCACAGATCCGCCACGCCCTACGGACACTTGGACCTGCAGCACACGCTCCAAACCCTCTACAGCGAGCAAGAGCAGGCGCGTGAGCTGATTCGCCGCTACAACCTGGGTATGACGGGCCGTATGCGGGAGTGGTGGTACGGCCTCAACCCGAGCGAGAGGCCGCTCCGCAGGACCAACATCACCATAACTCCAGGGAAGAGCTACGAGTACTCCATGGGCCTCGACTACAACAGCACCCTCTTCCAATCCATGTCCCCACCCCACTCGTTCAACGGCGACATTGACTTCCTCAAGTCCGACTCCCAACCGCGTGACAGCTATGATTCCGCCTACACGACGGTCAACCCGAAGACTGGATTACGCACCTCCTACTCTTCGAACCCGGGCCAGAAGGACCCCATTCCTCTGCCGGATGCCCTCCTCGATCAACCCTCCCCGTACACTCTCCCTGAGAAGGACGCAAGCTCCGCCGCCATCCCCGCGCGAATAAACACCGGCCTGACCATAACGCCCGAGCTAGACGACCTACCCCCGGCCAAAAGCGCTCCCTGGAGTCAGCTCTCACTCGCCCACAACATGCGGGCGCGCTCCGTGCCGGCGACCCTGTATTTCCCATCATTTGCCTCCATCTCCAGCGGCGGATCGCGCCTGGTGCGGGCGACCAGCGACAACAGCAGCGAAACGACGGACTCGGGCGACTCGGGCGACACGCTGCAGTTCCGCGACCCGCGCGACCAGCTGTGGTCGAGCCTGTGGTTCCAGCCCCACGCCCGGGCCCTGCTGCGGCGGTACATGCGGCAGAGCACGGTGAAGGCGTACGAGGACGAGGCCGACGACAGCGGCGAGGCGGCGGCGCACGAGCGGTGGTGGCGCAGCGACCAGCGCGGCGGGCGCGGCGGCGTGTGGACCGAGTCGGACGAGTGGCTCGCGTGGGGCGACGTGTGCGCCGGGTTCGAGGACGAGGTGTTCGGCGACGCCAAGGGCGTGTGGCTGGGCGAGGCCGGCAACGCGGCGGGCGAGGCGGAGCCGGTCGAGGTCGTGGGCGACGATGAGGAGGACGAGGGCGAGGTGATTCCGCCGGCGGTGATGGACCGGATCGGCGGCGGTGCGTTTGAAGGGCCTGTCGACGGTGGCGATGGCAGCGATGGTGGCGTGGGCAAGTTCGTGCAGCCGGGGCCGGAACCGGAAGTCGTGGACGCTGATGGGGATCTGGTGACGGGGGACAAGGGAGACGACAAGCCGTCCGATGGAGGAAAGACGGAGAAAGAAGATGACTTGCTGGGCTTTGTGGGCGAGGTGTGGGACGAGATCAAGGGCGCAGAGAAGGACCAGGTGGAGAGCATGGACGACGTGCTGAGGCAGATTGACGAAGAGATGACCGAGAGGTTGGTGTAGAGAAACGTGGGTGAATCTTGGTTTCCTTTTTCACGACACATGATGGGCGTAATTCCTGTTTGCAGCGACGCTCGCCTCGCTGTTAATGTTAAAGACTTGAATCTCACTTCACTTTTTCCCTTTTCGCTCAACTTCCAGCGCGCGACTTCCTACTCTGTCTGCCTGACCCCGTGCACACGTCTGCAAGAATGCATCCGGGCTGTCCTTAAATACCGCCTGTATCTTCCTCCACTCTCCACCCCACCGACACAGCTTTCAAGACGGCCACCACAGCATCGCCAGTCGACCACACCAACCCCATTTGCTCACCTCCCACAACTTCTCACGAGCCACATCGTCAAAAGTAAGGGCCCACGACCGATTCACAGGAAGTGAGACAGCAATGACATACTCTAGTGCCCACATGGCAAGCAGTCGACATGCCCCTCAGGGTGCACATTGACTTGCTCCTCGACGATTACAGGAGGACAGACAACGGCGCGTCCATCGCATTTACCGACATCGAACAGGATGCCTCGGTACTGACGATTTTTGTTGATGGCTCCTCTCAAGGAGACAAGATTGGATTTGCCGCCGTCTGGAAGGACCCAGCTGCTCCCGTGGCCGAGCACTGGGTCCATGACCAGGATAGCCGCTTGATCCGTAGTCAACCAACCGTTCAGAGGGACGGTGACGTGGCCGAGCTGACTGCAATCAAAATGGGGTTGAGCAACGCCCTCTTGTGGCGCCCAGACGGCGTCACCACGGTCTACATCATGTCGTACTCTGTCCGAATGCTCAAGCTGATTAAACGGTTCAAGGAGGACGCCGACGCCGCCGCCGCCGCCGACGACGACGACAACAACAACAACGACGAGGCCCAATTCGCGCCGATCCTTGTCCAAGTGAAGCACCTCGCAAGGCGCCTGCACAACCAGGGCGTGACCGTGACGCTGCGCTGGCTGAAGAGCCGGAGCCACGTCGACGGCCACGACGTTGCCGACATCTGGGCGAGGATGGCTTGTGGTGCCGACCCGGACATCTCGGGCCAGTACTACCAGCGCCATCATCACATGCGCCAGCTCGTCGCGAACCAGGCCAGGTGGGAGCGGGAGAATGCGAACCCGGCGCTGGATGGTGAGTTCATTTCCCCCCTCAAGTGAGAAGTATGGATAATGCACCCCCCTACACTTTCCTACAGATGAACTTGCTGCCCTCGAGCGCGAAACGTGAGAGGGCTGTGGCAGCAATCCTCCTCAGCAGCAACAGAAAGCCTCTTCGGCAGCAGCAGCAATCCTCTTCGGCAGCAGCGCAGCAGCAACAACAACATCCTCGTCCCTTTCGGGAGCGTCGGCATTTCGGTTCCCCCGTCTTTTCCTTGCCTTTTTGGCCTGTTTAACGCGTTAGGCCCTGAATATGGCGATGGCGATGACCTCTTTTTGTTCTTTCAATTTTGCTTCAATTTGCTCTTCTAGCTTTGCCGTTCTGTTTACTTTCAGCTTCGGGTTCAATTCCTTCGACTGCACCATGACGACTTTTTGTGGCCTTTTCTTCATCGCAACGACAGCGGCAGTAATGGCAGTTTCCCCTTTCGGCTTGCTTCTTTTCCATACACGCCATTCCAGACATCACAAGCATTCCTAACCTCAGCCACCTGAGACTTCCAGTGATATCCGATTGCCGTCTGAGCTACCCATATAGACAGATACTGCCTACGCTGTGCGCGATTCACCGTATAATGTATACACATCTCAAGCCTTCGATCAAACCCTTCCATCATACATCTTCTCTCACAATCAATGCTTGTCAAGAGTCAAGTTCCACACCAAATACGTCTGTTCCATTGTATTCCATTGGCACTATAGATATTTGAGTCAGGATTTGTCCCTCAAGCTACCCTTGACCCTTTCTAGCTGACTTCGATCGTATCGAATTCATTCCTCCTCAAAGCCCATGTGAGGCGACTCGGGAATGCTGTATTACGTCAGATTTTGACGGTGAGAAGGACACTGGTACCCCCCCAGATCCGCGCAGACTAAGATTCCTTGCCCGCGAAGCAAGCCAACGCGCTGCCGCAGGCCGTTGCCGCATTTCACATGCGCTCGCTTCTGCGTTTGGCCAACCCGAATGTGGACGACTACTACCAAGAAACAAAAGTAACCGGAATACGAGCGCCGTGGTACATGACGTGATTGGCCTGGTCTAAGCAGTTAGATCTGACCCGACCTTCTGTCCCGGCTTGCCGGCGCGCTGCGTACGCCTTCCGAAGGCCAAGAGGTAATCGAAAGCCATGGAGCCAGTTCTAAAGGAGGAGCTCGTTTGACGTGGTTAGAACAATGTACTGAGTGAGTGAGAAGGCGAAGGAAAAGGTGCAGAAACAACCCACGTGCCGTACGTGGATGTCGTCCGTAAGAAAGAAATTTCTTTGCATCCAACTGAATGTTTCTTCCCTTTTTGGTGGGAGAGAAAGTCAGGCAAGGATAAGAAGTAATAAAGTTTTATAGTCCGGGCTGAGTACTTATAAAGAGAAGGAGAAGAGGAGAAGAGTTAGAAGAAATCCCAATAATAATAATGAAAATCACAAGAATCATCTACAGTTAGTTCCCGGTTTCCCCTTAGCTGACCTTAGAGAAAAAGAAAATCAATCGAGACGAAATGAAAAAGCAAAGAGAAACAAACGAGAAACCTCTCAGCTCTTTTCATGCTAGATCCTCTTCGCCTTCGCAACGGAACAGGAAAAGAACAATAAGGGAAAATCTCACATCAGCTTCGCCTTTTAGAGTCCCACAAAAGTGTAGACAAGCCCAAGGAAAGGAAGCAAAAGAAGACCGGGATCGAAAATAAGGTCAAGGACACAACAGCAACAACGCTTTGCTCGCTCGCTTCTTTTGTTTTTGCCTTCCCTGTACTTTGCAACTAACTGCTCAGACTACCAACGGGGTCACCATTCGCTATCAACGCTTTCTTCCTTGTTCGAGATGCCCGGGAAAAGGATAAGAGTGAGGGTGAGTAAAAAAGGAAAATAAAAAGGAAAGTGACGAAAGAGACAGACCAGCTCCCATTGCCGTGCAACCTAAGAACGACTTTCAAGGAAAACAATTGACAAGGAAACATCCTCTGGAGAAAGGAAACACATCTTTGTAATAAGCAGGGAACAAAAAAGCATGGGAGGAGCGCCCATAGTAACCACAAAAGAGAGGGGAAGAGCAAGTGACTTATTTCCAACGCCCCAAACGCCGTGCGCTGCTTAGTGGATGATTGATGCGATTTGGAGAACAAGAAGTGGAAATGGATTAACATAGGGAATAACAACCAATGGTGATACGGTGATGTGTGAGAGTCAAAACATCGCTGCGTTGGTGGTATGTCATGAGAACAACGAAATTGGGGGAACCAACGTGCAAGCCGGCCCCAACTGTTGCAATGCCTGGAGAAGAAGGATGCGCGGTATGTGTGCGAGAGATGATGGCCCGTGTCACAGAGGAGTACTGATTAGAGTTATAGACTCAAAAGCAACAGTCGGGGTCGCTGGCCTGGAGAGAGCGAAGGACGCAGGTCTGATGGGCAACGGATCAACGAATAGTTCTGCTTGCTCCCGGTGCGCTACGCTTCATTCAGAAGACAGCCGCCAAGCCGTTCTTCGAGTGTCGCTTGCTAAATCTCTTTCTGCCTTTGATCGAGCCGCTGTCATCATGATCGCCCTTGCGGAGATGCCTAGACGTCGGAATATTTACTCCATCAAGCGCAGAATCGCCACCTAGAGTGCTTGATGGGCTTGAAATTGTTGAGCTCAGTTCGTTAAATGCCGAGTCGCCAGAATAGGAACTTGCCATACTCTGAGAATTCGCAAAGTCTTTCGCTTGTTCCAAAGCATCGAGCCATTCCTGCGCTGTGTACTTGCTGCCTTCGGGATCACTGGGGGTCGCCTTGGGATCTTCAAAGATAAGATGCTTGTCCTTCTACACGTGGGTCAGTCCTGGACCTTTGTCAGAAAATGGAAGTGCTCGATACGCTTACCGTGTCGATGCACCAGGCGGTGATGCCCTTGGAATCCTTATAGCTCCTCCACCCGGTACCTTCACCCAGAAGTGACAGGTCCATCTTCGCCTTTTTCTCTTCACCACCGGCAGCGGCGAGGATAAGCCTGGCAGCGGACGTGATCATGACGAGCCGCTGGCGCTTCTTAGTGGTATTGCCACCGAAGAACCGCGAGAAGTTTTTCTTCGGTGCTTCTGAAGATTCCCCATGCGGACTGTGTGGTGCTGGTGCTGAGGTGACCATGAGGTTGCCAAGCTTCAATATTCGCTCATTGTTTCGGGTTAGTACAGGTGACCAATCAATGTCAAGCTGGCTCGGAGGTGGAAGTTCTGTGATGACACGGGCAGAAGGTCTTGGTGGCGGGTTGCTTGCAGAGGGGCCTGGTCGAGGGGGGCCGAGAACCGCCATGTGCGGGGGTAGGGAGCTGGCATGCCCGTTAAGCTTGATAGGTCCGGGAGGTGGAGGTTGGTACGGCTTTAGTCTAGGTGCCTTTTGCTTCCACAACCCCCGTCCCCACTGGATGCCGTCAAAGAATTGATGGGTCTTGATGTGCTCGATTGGCAGTCGCTTGGCGGGGTCCAGGACGAGTAGCCTCTCAACAAGATCACGAGCTGCCTCTGGAAAGTGATCTGGAAACGAGTATTCAAGGTTAACGATCTTCTGGAACGTTTGGTACTCGTTGCCGGCCTTGAACGGCGGTCGTCCTGCGAGGAGCTGATATATTATACAGCCAAACGCCCACAGATCACTGGCTTTGCAAGCGTTCTTGTCAGTCAACAGCTCGGGACTGACATATTCCGCCGTACCGACGAAGGATTCAGCCCGATCAGTCTCCGCCCCATCAAGAGGATCTCCAGGGGGTGCCTCGACGTTCGGTAGACGCTTTGGGTTCAGAATCTTAGCGGTACCGAAATCGGTTATCTTGACGTGCATCTGGTCGTCCAAGAGAACATTCTCAGGTTTGAGATCCCGGTGTATGATGTCGCGTGAATGCATGTAGTCGATCGCATCCAGAATCTGCGCGCCGTAATACCTTGCACACTCTTCGTCGAACGTGCCCATCTTCTTCAAAAATCCCAAGAGTTCGCCTCCAGTGGCCAGATCCAGCACAAAGTATAAGGACCTCTCATCCTGGAACGTGTAGTAGAGCCGGACGACGCCGGGGTGTTCAGTCAGCCGGTTAAGCGTGTCCTTTTCGATATTGACATATTTGACCTTCTTCTCCTTGATGATATGTCGTTTGTCCAGAACCTTGATAGCGTACTCCCGGAGCGTCTGTCGATCTGTTGCGGCCAGTACCGTGCTGTACGATCCTTCGCCCAATGTTCTCCCGAAATTGAAATCCTTCACACCCTTCTTGACCACTCTCGAGATGGGCTTTCCGTTGGGGTCCATTTCTTGCCGCACACCAACCGCCGCGCCCTTTTCCTTCCACTCTTCGCTGCTGTGCGGTATGGACGCTTCGGGGCTGTATGCAGCACCGTGCGTGCCGGCTCCCATGGGGCTTCTTCTCGAGGCGCGGCGCGGGGGAAGAGGCCCGTTTCCGCCCATTGGCTGGTGCGGTTGCCGGTAGGACCTGCTGGGTTCTCTCGTGGGAAGTCCTGCTGCCTGCATTGCGGCAGCTGCCGCTCTTGAGCTACTTCTGCTGAGGCCCGGAACGGTAGGTTGTATCAAGCCAACATCGTTGTAGCGGTAGGAGCCCTGCATGGACACACCCGAGCTTGTGGAGGCATTGGGATGGCTGTAGAGGGTCGAAGTGGGCCGTGACGACGCGCCGGGCGGGGGATAGGTGCGGGGCGGCTGGGACAGATTCGGCGGGCCAGAAGTGGAGTACTGTGTCTGGAGCGGGGGTTGTGATTGTGGTTGCTGAGCGATTGGCATGTTCTGCATGGACTGGCGGTGGTTCAGGCGGGCGGAGGATTGCGAGCGGTCGTCGGGGATGGGGGGTGTGGCGCTCTTGGGGAGGACGAGCGAAGTCTGACTGGTCGAGAAGGCGCTCGGGTTGAAGTCGAGGGTGGAGGTGGAAGACTCGGTCGGGACGGGCTGGAGGAGGTGCGAGGGCTCGTAGGGCTCGTGGGGCTCGTCGGGGGGGGCGGTGACGGTGTGGGCGGACGAGGAGGAAGAGGAGAGCAGCGGGTCTGCCGGCGGCGGAGAGGCTTCGCCATGGGCCGGGGCGGGCGGCGGAGAAGGGGTACCGTCATCGTCCGGGTTGGCGATGCGCAGGCCGCCCAGCGACTGGGACAGGCTGATGTCGCCGCTCATGGTGGGCCGGCGGGAGGTCGCCGCTCGGGGCTGCAGGCGGAAATGGGGACAACGAGGGCTGCGGGCAGCCGGGGCTGGGAGGTAACGGCGCTGGTCGCGGAGGCGGGACGGGGAGAAAGTCTGGGCTCAGTGGTGGCTACGTCTCGTACGGCGGCGACATCCAGGCGCGGGTGCTGCTCGGGGGGAGCAGGCGGGCCGTTGGAGCTGGGCGCGACCAGCGGAGAGCGATGTGGATTGGAGCCGGTGTGCCTGGCTCTGGGTGTAGTTGTCGCAGCTAAGCTTGGCGTGCCCAGAGCGATCCTACGCGCGAGGTCCGCTCGTCGTTTGGGAGGCCTCAGCCCCCCCTGACTGCCAGCCTACGTATGCGCGTGCGTGCGCCTGTTGGGCCCTCCGCTCCGCCTGCCCAAGGGCTCCCGCTACCGTGCCACGCTCTCTGCTGTCCGCCCGCGGCCTCAAGCCCTTTTCCACGCCGCCCTAGGCTCGGCCTGCTGTGCGCCGTTGCCTGCCCGCCGCTATTGGCGAGCCAGCCGGCTGCCGCCCCAGCTAACGGCCTGCCGCCCACCGTCACGCCCGCTCGCCGCAGCCTGGAGTGCTGTCGCTGCCGGGGCGCTCAGAAGTGCGCCGCCGCTGCCGGCCAGGGCCTCTATCGTCCGGACACGCCACTCCACCGCGGCACTGCAGTCCCAGATACCGCCGCGCCGGGTTCCCATAGGCTGCTCACGCTGGCGATTCTCGCGTGCGCAGGAGAGGCACGCACATTCCCCGGCCTGCCGTGCCGTCCTGCGCCCATCATGCCACCTTGTTCACGCGTCTCTGCACGCACAACACCATGCAGCCCTGGCGAATCGCGTGGGCGCGGGCAAGTATTTGATATAGCACCAGCCTCCCCCCACACGCCCTCGGGTGTGCTCCCTTTCGAGATGGTTCGAGACGCGCCGGCAGCCCGTCGATTGGGCTCTTGCACCCGACGCCGCTCGACTCCATTCTCTCAGAAACATTCGTTATTGGCGACGCAAAGGGTGCCGGTCGGCATGTTCCGCGAAGCCAGACGTTTCCTCGGGAGGGGAGCGACATCCAAGGTTCGTTTGCGGGAAGCCGTCTGCTTAGCTGCCGCCGTGGAATAACGCAGCAGCCTCGCGGTGCCACCGTTCTTCCCTCCGCTGCGCCATTGCTCTTGACCTGCCTCTCGAGCGACGCCGTGTGTCAGGAAGCGCAACCCTCCGCTCTATGCAACATGCCTTCCGCCCGTGAGTTTCTGGCCGTATTTCCAATGGGCTTATTCCACGCCCCAGACTCCGTCTGCAATCCTTTGCGCGGGCCGTGGTCGAGATGCTCCGCTACCGAGCAACCGAAATCCGCCTGACTTCTCGGGACGTCGACGAGACCTCGAAGCGCCTGGCATCGCGCCGGGCTGCAGCCAATACCCGCTCGACCATATGCCAACCGCCAGGCCCCACCGGCACAGGCCCACGACTCCGTCGAGGCCCCGAGCGCTCGCGTGACGAGTCAATCGTACAAGCAGACGCCAGCAATGCGGCTCAACTGAGTGCTTCTCTCGAGTCAGCCGTCGGCATTGAAAAGCATTCCCCGACAGCCAGCGACAGGGATCCGCAGACAACTTCGCATATAAGCCACACGAGCGTCGCAGATGACATTTCGTATACTTCGGAGCCCGAGCTCGCAGGGAAGCCAGTTCTTCTTAGACGCGTCGATCAGCGGGTCCTCAAGCGAACCTCGCTCTCACCCAAAAAGCACGACCATGGCCCAGTTGACTTCAGTCACCGGCAGCTTCAGCTCGACGGCCCTTCTGATCCAGCAGGCCGAAAGCTAGCGTCCCCTGAAAAAGTGCAGAGTGCAACCCTCGACCCGGCTGTGAAGGATGTGGTCCATGAGCAGCAAATCCAGGAATATCCGAGCGCTCGTTCCGCTGCGGGAGAGACGACGCAGCCGAGCGCCTTCTCGCACCAATCTCGCTCTTCAGATCCACTGTTGCACCTTGAGACCCAAGGCAATCATGATCGCTTTGATCGACCAAGTCATGGATCTTCCCTCCCAAGCTATATAGCCACTCCCACCGGAACGCATCAAGGCCTACCGATATGGTACAACAACGCCAAAGAAGTCAAGAGCCACCCTAGAGACTCGGTCATGGATGGTACCTTTGACATGGCGCGAATGAGGGTGGCTTTGGAAACAGGAGACGTGGATACAAATGACGCTGTTCCCTCTATTCATCTTCCTTCCCCCACATGTACGCACTACTCTTCAGATTCGGACAAGAGGTATCGGTCTCTACCCACTCTGACGGGACTGTCTCCTGCGAGGCGTGTGTCGCGTTCACCGAGCGTCAGTCCAGCATCTGAGCACAGCAGCCGCAATGTCTCGCAGACGTTCTCCCACCTCAGGACAACATCCACACCCGACTTACTTCGTCCACTTCTCAGCCCCGCGAGTGCTCCTTCTACGGGCAGTCGGCATGCAAGCGGCGCTGTTTCCGCGGATAATTCACCCACAAGCAGCGCCGCTATGCTAGAGCTGATCCGCCAGGGATCATCGCCTCTTGAGCGGCTCGAACAAGAAACTAGATCGCAGATGTCTCATGCACCATCGGCCCGGCTGGGCTCGGCTACGGCGACATCATCGCGATCGCAGTCACCAGCGCTAGGAGAATTGCGGATGCCCACGTTCGAGTCGCCGGAGCGACCTTCTCCACACCAGAGACGGGCCGCTCGATATCGGAATGCCCCTGCTCTTGCAGAAATCCCCAATGCTCCATTTTCCACCTCTTTTGACCTGCTGCCTTCCTTCGATTACTCACCGCCAAGCCTCCAGCCTGGAACTTTCATCGACAGGTACCCGGGCAGCGTGACGACCGGTCGACGCCGCGGAACCGGCACTGATCAAGGAACAGCTTCTATGCCCTCGCTTCCAGCTTCGCGCCCCTCTCGGCGAGGAACTTCCGGCAATAGCCACGCCCCGCCCCAGGCTGCGCGGAACGCTCAGCTGGGCGCACATCATTGGTCCCGTGGCCGTGGGGCGGGTGAAGGTCCGATGGAGTCGCGTCGCAACACCGTGGGCGAGCAGCAACGACTGCGCAGGTACCGCTCAATATCAGCGCGGCTCCTTCCTCCGTGGCAGGATGAGCAAGAAAATTCGGGACGGGCGGAGCGGATGCAAGTGATGGCAGAAATCCAAGAGAGGAGGAGATATGTGGAGCAGACGAACGACGGAAGGCTTGATAGGACGCCTCCTAGCCTTGGTAGGTTCGAACGAGAGCTTTTACCGCATTGACACTGTATCGCTTTTGAGGTTGGATGAGTGTTGTCGCAAATTGGGCGGCTTTGGTGCCTTTGGGCTTGGCAGTCGTCGTTGGGTCTCATTGGGCGCTATTGGTTATGGCGAACAAAATAGTCTCAGGCTTGAGCTTGTGGGAAGAGCACTGGTACCGGACAGAAAATAGCCAGAATCAACATAATCTTACATCTTAATTGAGTCGACCAGTTCGTCCTGGCGTAATCAGTTGGTGGCACAGAGGGGTGGTGCGGAGGCTGATAACGACGTGAACGAGGGTGCCGAGTCTCCGACGAACGGGATGGAAGACGTCCTACACTCGAGTATACCGACGTAGGTGTAGGTTCCAACGACAATTTCTTCATAGGTAGCTAAAGTAGATATTAGGATGTGGATGCGAGAGCTAGAACTGTACAAATGTATCCAGACATAATAGCATGCCGCCACCCACGCAGGTGGGTCAGTTTCTTTCGTCGCCCACTGTGCCGGCGGCGGCGACACCAACCCGAGCGGATCACCCCCCC